GATCGGGGCTGAGTTCAGGTTTGGCTACATTTCTGCGAGCTGGGAGAGGTTGTCTAGACGGGATGCAACATTAAACATTTGGCCGTGCCACTCAAAAGGCGGCTGTTCATGGCGATGCCCGGAGATCCACTGTCCTAGTTTTTTGCTAGAGGATGGATGAGCAAGACAACAAGGCGGCGCATATACGACGAATTAGAAGCAGATGAAGCGTTACACTTTGTGGGATGGACATGGCTGTGCTGCTTGTTGTTGGACGGCGACAAGCGCGCCTGCGTTGCTCCGGAGGGCTGGTAACTTAGGTTGATCAAATCAATGGCTTATGCAAGATGTTTCCGTTTATTCTTCCAGCATCTGCTTCTGTTTGCAAGTTGCTGCATGAGAGGGACGGATAGTGTGTACAGTAGCGTCATGATGGGTGGGTGAATCTCTAAAAATATCTGGACTAGAGCGTGTTGGTCGTCTTAGTCACTAGTCGTCTGCGTATAAGCGCCGAGATGAATAGCAGCAGAGTAACATGGCGCGGACAAATCACTCCAAGTGCTATTCCCGAGTCTATCTAGTTTGACTTATTTCTATTTTTATTTCTATTTGAAGAAATGGAAAAGAAAAAAAGGGAGAAAGGAAGGCTAGCAGTACGCAATCAATACGCAAGCAGTACAGTAAAAGAGGTTCGCAGTGACAATTCCATTTGCTGATCTACAGTACATCGACGATCGTTCTGGTTGCCTCGCCACACTCACTCTGGCTCCAATCAGACCCCCGTAGCAAATGCGGTTGCAGGACCTGGTATTACCCTCATAGGTAGCATCTCCTCTGGATGCTTGGGCGTGAGATAAGCGCCGGCGGGCAACATGTCGTCAAGACCTGCAGCAGCGAGCTGAATGCTGCGGCTGCGACAATCAAGGGATTGTTCCATGTTGTTTGACCTGCCGAGCCATGCCCTGGGCGAAGCTGTCTTAGACACTGAAGCTTGACAGAATGCCTTGTAGCACTTTAGAGTTTTACCGGCTCGTCGTGATCAATGTGAAAAGATACGAGCTATTGCCTAGTTGGTGCTTTTCGGTGCTAGAGCCTGCTGTGCATCCCAAAGAAGTGAAACAAAAGTGTGTTGATCCCACATCCTTCGCCGAAGCCCCTGCGAAAGTGACTGTGAGAGATTGCAGCTCCACGTCCGTTTTGGGATTCCATTCGACTGATAGGAACAGCACGGCAATAGAAAGTAATACATGATGCAAATACTCCAGTCGCTTCTTCTCCTTACGGCGGGTTTGCTGACTGCAGCTACGGGTACTGTATGTAAGGTATGAGTACATGCACCCTAACGTGAACTGACGCCCGTACTCGGTACTTTGGCTGCACGTACTTCCATTTTCTCATTCCCCGCTGCGGGAAGAGGGCAAGGGGGGAGCTCACTAGCACTTTCCAAGCCTGCGGTAGCTCACTAACTTTAGCTAATCTGGCCCCCAAACTGCCCACTAGCCCTCAAATCTTCAGCGACCAACTATTTGCAGTTCATCTCAAATCGTTAACCTGCGAAAAAGAAAGGAAACCAAAGGAAAACCCGGATTGCCTACCACGAAGGATGGTTTTCACCCTCAAATGATCGAGATCAGATAGATTTCAGCAAAGCCAGATCTACAGGGGGGGCAGCGAACGAACATGGTCCCTATTCGTGGCTGCACTGGCAGAGACAGGAAGAGAGACAGATGGACGTGACGTTCCTGGGCGACAGCCGAATCACCGGGCTAGCATTCGATACTCATTTCTCTTCCTCACCGGCTGGACGGATCCACAAAACGAGGTGGGAATTGGTCTGCAATAGAGCGATTTCGAAAATGACTAAAGGAGAAGACTATTACTATTAGTTGTGACCGCCTCTACTTGTCTCCATCGGAGTCGACTCCGCGCGGCCACTTGGGCCAAGTCTCCCAAAACGAGAAGCTAGCCTGCACTTACGGAGCACGAGGGCGGGCGCCTTCGGGCTGCACGGAGCGGGCCATGTGCCTCGTGGACGCGGAGGCGACCATGTCTCCCTTGGGACAGCACTAAAGAGAATGGAGTGCGCATGTTAAACAAACCCCTGGCCCACCAGGACGTCAGCTCTGCGCGAGATGGAGACGCAAAAGACGGGGAACTTTTTCAGCTCTGACCCATCCTTCAGTCTTCGTTTGCAAGCCGGGTGGCCGCCACTGCGCCGTTAGTAGAGCTCGTGCCCATTGCTGGAACCGCAGCCGGGCGTTGATTCGTTCGTTGCAACACCGGCAACGCAGGGAGAGGCACATATCGCAGCTTCACCGGTTTCCCAAGTTTGCGAGCTTGCTGGCTGAAAATGTTGCGCCGGGCATCGGCTTCTCTGTTCCAAAGGGGCGGAGGTGGCCGATGCATTGCTGAGGCATCTCAGCCCGTCGGCCCTTTGGAACATATAGAAAAAGCAATTGGATGTGAGATACTCCGTGCATACGGGAACTATGAGGGCACTTGCATAACGCACGCGCATTAGCATGTATGTATCATGTACGAACATCATACATCATCGCCTGCAAGTCGAGGCACCTCTGAAGCCATGGTGTCAGTGTTGCGACGGGATCCGTTCTAGAAAGGAGGCATGGAAGAGCGGGATGCTCTGTGCAAGGTACTACTACTACTAAGATCCTCCCAGGCAGGCCATTGGAGAAAATGCGTCTTAGTACTGGCTCCGGTGGACTGGGAACACCAAGCTTTTTGCTCAAAGACACGTTACGGGGAAAAACCTTCTTCTTCCACCCTTGTTCCCCCCAGATGTAGCTGCCGATGCGCCAAAACGAGGCCTCTGCGCACAAGCGTACCCAGTACCCTGGCCAGGTTGATGATCTCCCAAGTTAGCTGGGCGATGCCATGCTACTGTCAATCTGCGGCACACGGCATCTCTGCCCTTTGCATCACGTCCACAAGACTACCTAGTAGAGGCTATCGCGGTCTCTGTCTCCGGGTATGTTCCTCCGGTGGCGAAAAAGGGAGAGAAGAACCTTCTGTTCTCGTGAGCCATAGCTGCTTCCTTCAAGACCCGGACTCTCTCACACGATGCCCTCACGGCCAACCAGATGCTCCAGGATCGGCTACGAATCTTTGTGTGGCTGTTGGTCTTCCGGCGAGAAATCAAGCCCAGCCCCACCACCGTCGGATTTCGCTTCAGCAGAGCAAGACGAAGTACATCGTTGTGCTCTGTAATAACTGACGAGTACAAAGGAATCAAGTACTCCATACTAACAAGCGTCGCTAGCAGTTTTCGTCTCTGCCCCTGTAACTTCTCGCCAAGCGCGCACAATTCTCATGAGCCCACACACATTCAGGACGCCGTGTCTCACAACTGCTCATGCAGGTGTTGATCCTCAACAGCGAAGGGGGGCAAAAGAAGAAGAAACAAGTAGTATGTACTACGGAGCAGTCATAAGGCAGTCCGCGGTATGGGACGAAAGACATTCATTTCCCAACTATGAACCCTGCTGGAGCCGCCGGACTGGGACGTTGACGCCATACCCGCGCTGCTCTCGCGGGCCCCCCTTGTTGGTCTTGTTTTAGGGCCTTGGTTCTTTTTCCGCCGGCAGCGAGGCACTGCCTGTGTGCTGTGCTTGTACAGTTACTCCTACTTTCCACATTCCATGATATGATGTGCACAGCCGGGTGGGAAATTCGGGACAGTCGTGTTCAGGTAGCCTGGCACCTGGCGCATCTTGGAACCCAAAGAGGAGATCAGCAAAGCCGTCACATTAGCCTGCATGCTGATAAGAAAGCTGGGTTCTAATTATATCCCCAGTCACGCATTGCAGCCAGGTTTGGCCAAGCTCTCTCTGCTCTACGACGGGTACGACTCGCATATGTTTGGCATAGAGCGAATCCTTGTGTGCCCAACATTGGCATTGGCGCGGCCGTTGGTAGTGATGAGCGAGGCAGCAACAACCATTTGATCACGGCTCTGCTTATGACAGGCGGATATTTCTTACCCCTCCACCACTCGCCGCCACCCTCTCTGGGCTGTGCCCAATCAAGGGTATTGCTGCAGCAGTCGACTCGCAGCGCTCATCTGGACGGAGCTTTTTAGTGTCTACCCCAGTCCTGGCCCGTTCGCTCCCGCGGGCAGGGCTGGCAAGGGCTGGCTCAACCACGCGGCGCCGTCCCCACCGTGTATCCTCCTCCCGACATGGTTCTGTCAGCCTCGGACTGCTAGCAGTACTGTAAGAGTTGGGTCGGGGGTGTGCCAGAGAGATTGGCCCATTCCCCGTTGCGTCGTGCTGCCTCGTACCCAGTACGAACGGCGCGGGAGAGCTGATGGCTTCGACACCGCCCCGGGGAGACAACAAACCCAGACCATGCCGTTTTACCTGGTTTTACATGCACCCCATAGCTCAGCTGCCAGCCCACGGCTCGTCATGGAACTAGGATCATGTTTCCAGGGCCGCTTCAGATGATGGAGTTCGGCTGTGTTGGCCGCCGGGGGTCGTGCTGCCCACGCGCTCGCTTCCCACACAATCAACATACATGTAGACTACCTCTGCGCGCTCTCTCTTTTGCCGCCGCCGTCACCACTGCCATCTTTCCCGCAGCACGACGATAATGCCTTGTTCTCTTCCTATATTTGTCTCTTCAAGGGCATTCTGAGGTCGCATCGCTACTGGGGACATTACCTCAACCCGGCGAGGCTGAGGCTAGGTTGTCGCCGACTTTGCTTCCCACCCCATTCGGCTGCTACGCTGGTTTACCTCTAGTCGACCAGTTCCGTTCTCTCCTACACCATCTACATACCCTTGCTCTCCCCTTGCCGTGCCTTTTTGGAGATTCCGGCCCTATAATCCATAATCTTGACAACTTCACTTCACGTCACATCACTAGCAACTCTTTCTCGCAGCCTTCCGGGCTGTGTATACCAAGATAGACTTTTTGTGCTCCACGACTCCCCGACACTTTCTTCCTTCAACTCTATTTATCTTGCGTCTCATCTTTCTCTTGGTCTGATATAGTCCACAATGGGGAGCCTCAGGAACATTATGAATGTCGATGACGACCACGTCGACTCACACTCCATAAGAAGAGACCGAAGGCCGACTTCGAGAACTTCTATCGATCAAGATCTCTCCGTCCCCATGCCCAGATATAATATCCCGGTGGATCTCTCAAGGCAAACATCTCCCCCTCACATCCTCCACCCTGCAGCGCCACCCCTGGGATATAACAGCCACCCTGGCGGTCGTCGACGCAGCAACACTAGCACTGATTCCATGGACTCTTCCTACGGACAGAGCCAGAACCATCCATCGTACTACACAGGAACAGCAATGAGGCCCATCATGTCAGGAACCGGTTCAGGGGATCACCCTGTCAAGCTGACGCCCATTACTGGGAGAGTCAGTCGGGCCAAGAAGGGTGTTCCAGTTCATACTTGTGATGTCTGCCGGCCTCCAAAGGTATTTACATCTCATCTACTCTTTACTTTTGTATCATATTAGATATATACTAACATGGTTCATCTATAAGACCTTTACTAGAGCTGAGCATCTAAGGTATGTTGTTGTCCATTACCCCTCTTCTCTCTCGTTCATCACACCGAACATCTGGCTTACTCTATCATCTCTCAGACGACATCAGTTGAGCCATCAACCACCCGAATTATGTTGCACAGTCTCCGGTTGTAAGAAGGTCTTTTACCGAAAAGACCTTCTAGATCGACACCTACAGAGACAGTAAGCTTCTCTCTTCATCTCCAACATATACCACAGGGAATGAGTGCTTATTAGAACCTAGTGGCGAACACGAGGGCAAATTGAACAGAGACTCATCACGACGACGACGTTCCGGCAGCAGCCCATCTCGACCTTATAGTAGCTCGCCACCGGCACCGACGAGGCAAGCGACCTCTCCCTATAGCGTTGGAGCTGCCGCCACACCGGCTCCAAGCGTAGGAATTGTCTCAGGTCACTGGTCATCCGTCAACAAATCAACACCGCAAGGAAACACAATGCAATCACCACACATGCGAGACACACATGCGTATCAGATGGCGGATATGAGTGTGGTCGACCCCATTACTGCCGTACAGATGCCAACCTCCCGGGTGGTCCCCTACGATGAATCTCGTCCTACCGGGCTGGGTGTGCTGAACCCTCAGGTTCCAGAGTTGTGTATGTCTGAAACGACACCACCAAACATTCCCTGGACAGATAGCTCGGGCATTCCATCGACTACCTCAGGGAGTGCCTACTCGACGCCGGCATCTGGTAGCTCCAAGTTCCAACAGTCGTCAGCTCGGGCTCATAACGCGGAGTGGAGCGGACAGATGCCGTCTTATACAACATCCCCAAGCCCTGTCATCACTGACAATGGCTATCCCATCTCTTTCACTTATGGAGCTACCCCTCCACAGCTCTATTCTTCAGTATATGGGGATAGCTTGGGGGCTCCATTTCCTAGCTACGAGCACAGCGCCAACCTTTACAGCCCACATCAGATGCTTGACACTACAGTCCGTAGCATGTCTCCGCCACAGCTGATTGTAGGTCAGTCTGCGGAGACTATGATCGCGGCGCCGGCTGCATTGCCTGCGGATCGTATGATGTATCCTCGCACTTGTAGCCGTGAGCCTGTAGATGCTCTCGGTCTGTATACTTTGATGCCGACAGCTCTGAGCCATGGAATTCGAAGCATGATCCCGACTTACATCGAGGTATACTGGGATAAAGTCCACTCCATGTACCCCATCATCCACAAGCCGACATTTGAAAACCCGACAAACATGCCCGAGGAGCACCTGGAGATTCTTCAGTGTGCCATGGCAGCCATTGCCACTCAATTCCTCGAGCACGAGGAGCACCGCGCCAACGGGCACCAGCTACACACCTATGCTATGGACAAGGCAAAGATTGTAAGAGAATGATGAAAACAAAGTCGGCGAGCAGCAGCTAACATGTGTTTATTAGTATACCAACTCTGGCACTCCGGAATGGCCACTGCCGATCATGCAGGCCACGCTCCTGTGCGAATACTACGCTCGTTTCCGGGGAAGGAACAAGAAGGCTTATCAGCCGTCGCCTCGCTTTGAGGCATTGTATCAAATGGTTAGTTCCGCCTAGATTTCATTGGTTTCTACGTTTACATACCACTGGATTTCTGTGTGTGGACGTCTCTTCTCTTTTTCATGTTTGTCATGTGTTACGAATTCCATTTCTATTTTTACGGCCTTTTTCTTTTTCTCTTCTCTTTCTTTCTTCTTGCTCTTCTTTTCTCACATGTACAAGTGATGTGCCCCTATTTTCTTCTTTCCCCTTTTCTTTTTTTCTTCTTCTTTTACTCTTTTGAACCCCTCTCCATACGGTTCACCTTTGCGTTTCATGGTGTTTCTGTATTTGGAGGGGGAGATTATACCATATGAAAACTTTACTCATTCGCACCTTCAATGCAGGTCATTCACGCACAATCTACTTTCCCGCCGAACCTGGGGCCCTGCGACGCCTCTCAGCAATGGAGGATGTGGGTTCATATGGAGTCAAAGAGGCGTCTCTTGTCTGCCTGCTTCTTACTCGATGTCCATGCAATGTCCTTCCTAGAACAGCCTCGTGTCTCGGTACTTGGCCTGGACTATTCCGACCCCGCGACACTCCCAATCCCCTTGTCAATGGGCACGCTGCTCCAATGGGACGCGCAAAACTACCAAGAATGGAGCAACGTCACCCAAGCTGCCCTGCCAGCGACTGTCGGGACGACCATTCTCGAGACCATTTCTGCCGCGAATATTGCTTCAATCCCAGCCTTTGACGCCTCGCTGTTCCTGGTCGCACACGTGCTGCAACTCCCCCAGAGACAATCCCTCACGAAGATTAACCTCTTGGATGATGCATCTAGTATCAGCATGAGTCATTTCAGGATCATGAATCTGTTCCCATACTCTCCAATTGCAATGTCGCATCTTGCTCTCCACTATACCCCGTTGCACACATTGCTGTCAGTGTCTGGTGACAGTTGGGTTTTCAACAAGAAGGTGCTGCAGGCCACCGACTTCATGGAACACCAGAGACAGCTGGAGAAGTGGCGAGACTCTGGCAGCGCTGCTGTTGCAGCTGCCTTTGCTGCTCGGGCTCTCAAACTCTTCCTCGGCCTGCAGAGGTGTGTTAACAAGGACGGAAGCGCCTCGATTCCACCTCAGTTCCAGCGCACACAGCAGAAGGAGATTTCTGACTTTTGGGGCATTTACGTGTGCGCTCTTATCTGCTGGGCATTCGGACATGTCGGCATCAGCCGCACCGAAGCCAAGGCGCCGACGCGGAGGGCCGCCATCCAGTGGATTTTGAAGATGTCGGACATGGAACCTGGTCGCATCCAGCAAATGTCCGAGCAAGAGAAACAAGTTGGCTCCGGCGCTGTCAGTCTCGCGCGCGCGTCGCTCGAGAAGGACTGTTTGGGCGGAAGAAACATTTTGCTTGCCGATGCTGTTGGTGTTTTGAAGAAGCTAGAGGAGGGCGATAACTATAGACGATTTTAAGGGAAGTGGTGTTTCTGTTTTGTGTTTCTGTTCTTGTTCTTTCTTGGTTTTCAAAAAAAAAAATTCTCTTTTGTTCTTTCTCTCTTATGATATACATGAATATGGCATCTCCCCATGACTTTTGGTTTATAATGGTTTAGCATAAGGAGTTTCACTTAGCTCAAGAGCAGGACGCATGAAGGGTTTATTGGCGCATGGATTATTTATGAGCGACACATGTTGGCTCATTGGTATGAGATACCTCGGAAAGCAGGCGTGGCGATATAGTAACTAGGTAGGAAGCATACAGGTTTAGGAAGCAAGGATGGAAATGGGATATTGATTTCGATAACTTGAGTGTTTTTTTAATAGATGTTTTCACTGTGGAATTATGCCCTTGTAGATGTTTAGATGTGCTGATTTATGGAGATGAGATAAGGTACAGCTAGCTATATAGAAGAGTATATCCATCCATCCATCCATCCACTCTACTGTCCGTGTAACTTCAGCTATGGAAGAAGAAAAACCCACAGATTCTAATATGATTTTAATTCCATATATTATATTTAACTGACAATAAATCGACAACGTTGGCCTAATTTTTTTTCTCTTGTTCCCGATCCACAATGAATCCTGTTTTCAAATAGTAAAGAAAAACAAAAAGAGAAAAGTAAAATGAATTTATGCATAACCCATTTCCCCCTTCCATCCCCTGAGCAGCTAAACAAAACCGCTCAACTTGCGAGCAATTAGTAAAGAGAGAACCTCCCCCCTCCTTTCCCCCATGTAAAATTTGCCGCCTCTCTCTCTCTCATCAGGAGTTCATGCCTCAACTTCGTAGATCTTTCCGGCCCCCTCTCATCTGGGTGTTGAGTAGTAATACAAGTTCCGTCATTCAGTAAAAGGCGTGGTGACGAAAAGGTCCGTCGGGTGAAAGATGGTCGATTTGAGCTCTCTTCATCGCCAAATCTGTCTTCCACCTAACAGTTCCAACTATGAGCCATCAAGTGTTGCTGGCTGCTGGTTTCATCGGGCATAGGGATGGAAGCCTCTGTTTCCGCCACGACCTCCTCCACGGTAGTTTGCGCCAGGCTTTCCGGCATTCTTGGGCCCAGTTGGGGCGTTCGCTGGTGGTGAGTGCTGAGCATCCGGCGTGCCTCCCTGGCCAACACTTCCACCACGCCGAGATGAACCTTGGCTGGCATTAGGTTGTGGCACGTCGTCGTACATGCCCTCCCAAGAAGTGGGAGCCCCTCCACCTCCACCCATGCCATATCCGCCGCCTCCATAGCCTCCACGACCGCCTCGCCGGCCGCCATGAGGGCCCTGGGGACTTTGCTGTTGGTACTGATCATAGCCATTGTAGCCGTCTCCGCCCTGGCCGCCTCCCTGTTGCTGTTGCTGCATCATCTGTTGTTGCATCTGTTGCATCTGCTGCATCATTTGAGGATTCATCTGGCCCATCATGTTCTGTCCAGGGCCACCGCCACGACCCATCATCTGCTGCATCTGTTGCATTTGTTGCATCTGCTGCCACATGGCCGGGTTCATGGGCATGCCTCGCGACATGGCCATCTGCGACTGCATCATGGCAAAGTATTGCTGCATCCGCTGGAAATATTGAGCCATCAGCTGTGGCGTCATGGCCGAGTTGTTGCCTCCCATCTGCTGGCCCATGCCACCTTGAACAGATTGTTCTTCGCCCTTTCGAAACTTTCCACGCTTGGCCGCCTCTTCTTCTTCACGTAGGTTGCCCCTCGGCTGAGCCTTCTTGACTTCGATGGGCTTCCCATGTATCTCGAGCGGCACATTGATGCAAGCATCCACGCCAGCTTCACTCTCGAAAGTGACAAACCCAAAACCTCGGGGTCTGCCGGTGTCCTTGTCCATCATCAGTGTGGCATCAACCACTCGACCAAACTGGGCAAAGTACTCTCTGAATTCCTGGTCTGTGGTATCCTGGCTGACTCCACCAACGAAAATCTTGCTCGTCTTCTCCTGCTCATCACGAGGAATAGCTCGCTTGGGGTCGATCTAAATGCCCAAGTTAGCAAAAAGCAGCTTCAAACATAAGGGTTACAAGAAAGTAAAACTCACAATCTTGCCATCTAGAAAATGCTCCTTGACCATGACAATGTTGACAGTTTTGGGGTCCTTGAAGGTTAAGAAACCAAACCCTCGTGATCGACCGGAGCTACTGTCTCTCATTACGGTACATTCGACGACTTCGCCAAATTGGGAGAAGTAATCTCGTAGCGATTCTATGGGTTGTTAGCAATCTCAAAGCTCGCCTAAGGCATAAGTCGGGACGTACGGTCTGTTGTCTCCCAGTTTAATCCACCAATGAACATTTTCCTAGATGAGCAAATGGTTAGCAGCCAGCATAGACATAATATTATTGCCTTCATGTAAATAACACGTTAAAGAAACAGCAGTTCGCGGTAGCAGTAGCAGTGTGTGGGATTAAGCATGAGAAATTTCAGCGGTACAGTGAGAGGAGAGATGAAGCGGCTGCCGGCCCTCTCTGGCGTATAAATGGGAAGCCATGGTCAAATCCGTCGAATACATTATATTGCTGTCATCGGGTCGAATGGCTTGGAGAGGGCAGCCAACTGAGGGCGTACGCAGATATCCGCCAGGCTGTGTGCTTGCCCTTGTTGCTTGTTGTAAAAAAGGACATTTTTTAAAAATTTGTATGCGCATAGCCTCAAAAGCCACATGGCAGGCGACTGGCTCCCCAGAATATCTGACGCGATACGGACCCAGCATTGTCTCTTACTTGGCGAAATGGTGAAGTTGAGGTTATATCAAGAGTTGTCAATGATGGCGGTTCATAGGCCCCACTGCGATGCAATGCTTGATGAGATGTCCAATGGCATGACAGCGATTGCAGAGGGACGCAAGGTGCCAGACAAGTGTCGAATTTGTTTCCTTTCTTTTCTTCTGTCTTTTTCGTCTTTGTGCTATCGTTTGACTCTGTCTCTGACTGTCTGTTGCTAGGTACGAGTTGACCCTAAGCGCTACCCGCTGTCAATCTTGCTACAGCCTCCCGAGAAGTGTGTACATGCTCTCGTGGGCTATTTTAAGACCTCTGTGACCGAGAGCTATAAAGACAAGAGTTCCCATATTGGAATTGGAAAAAAGGTCGTTGGTAGGTCATCTTGCTCTCAACTTTATCAAAGCTTGAAACCCTCCAGCTTCTTGATGGGCGAAAGGCCATCGCTTCCTTGTTCTCCATTTCCCCAAGAATGTTTTCTCACTTGGGAGGGCGGTTCAATGTATTCTTCCAGGCGTTTCAGGATACCCCAAATGAACTCTCATGCTTGTTGACACTTTTGCTCTCCGGTAGACCAGGGTCTTCCCACCGCTGAACCTGATTGGTCTCCCATCTAATCAAGCCAGCCATTTTGCCCCAAGCAAAATGTATATCCACTATGTGGTTGCAGGATGCAGGATTACGCGCTGGCTGGTAGCCTCTTATCATCACATTGCAACATTGCTGACGACACTTGTCGCAGATAATGTGGGAAAGAAAATATCATGCACCGAGTGTCATATAGCTTCACAGAACGGGGGGAACTCACCCATCTTCCTTGGCACTGGCTTTATGAACGGTCCCGTATGGAGGAGTTGTTGGCATATCATTTTGCGGCATCACATGTGTGCTGCTTGAAGCGTTTCCTCCTCCAAGGTTAAAGTCAACATCGTCTTCATCGTCGTCTGCATCTTGGTTCATCGCATCGTAGCCGGTATTGTCTTCATCAACAGCAGGGGCAGGGGCAGCAGCCGGTTCGAGCTGGTCATGAGTTTTGGTGTCGGTATTTTGGACCGCACTTGCGACCGGCGCGGTAGGCTTTGCGTCAGTATCTTCGTAGCTAAGAATCATCAGGTTAGTATGGTGATGGACAACTAATTCCGGAAAAACTGAAGAGCCTTACAGGTCGGCGAAAAGATCGTCCTCGAAGTTTTCCGCTTCGGTCATGATGGAGATGGTGTGGTGGGAGATGGAAACAAGATTGACGTGAGGCGAGAAGACCCGACACCGCGATTCTGGGTCTCTAGCAGTGCCAAAATGTAGGAATCGGCCGCCGTAGAAGTATCCTGGTTAAGAAAATATCTTTCCTAAATGGTAAATAACAGGTGATTTTGATGCCAAACTGGGCGATGAAGTCAAAGGGATTGTTGGGGTAATGGCGTAGCAGTTGTAGATGGAAGGTTGAGGACGAAGTTGCTCCTTAGGAAAGCTTGACTGAAGGCCTTGTGCCTTGCTACCTTACGCAGCTGCTGACTAAGTCAGGTACAGAGTCCGTTGATGGTCTTACAGCGAAGGCTCTGAATCTCACCAGAAGCGCGGCAATGGCTTAAAAAATTACAGCTCGATGGAAGGCAACTTTGAAAAGAATTGAGGCTTCGAATAACCCTTAACTACTTTGCTGCACCCTGCTTTCTGCCCCTTGCGTGAAGCAAGGCTGGCCGTATACCATCGCAGGTTACAAAATCACAAATCAGTACTAGAGATGTAACTTGGAGATGCGTGCAAGTTGACTATAATTTGTTAGTGCGGAAGTATACCTAAGTAGAGTACAAGCCAAAAGTCTCCGCAGGTACCCAGCAGCGGCAGCCTCGCCACCCGCAGGCGAAACGTACAGCCTTTAGCGCGTATTGCCGCTATGAGGGCCCCTTCAGCGACCTTACAGGGCCTTTACCCCGCCTCAGCACCGGCACCTCAGCGCGTTGCCTGCTGTACCAGCAGATCCATCCTACTGTACCGACCGGGAACTTCGCATTGATGGCTACGAGAGTACTTGTACGGAGTACCCGACCAGGCCACACTACCTAAATAGAGCTTGGCTGAGACAAAGACTCGAACGAGGATCATCACCGAGTTGTTCCAGCTCGTTTCGCACAGTCACTGGCTTTGTATCTGTTAACCCAACACCCCGCATAATGACGCCTCACCTTTGCGCTTTCGACGACCATTCGTGAACATGTGGTCGTCCTCTGGGAGCGGCAAGAAGCCGGTCAATGCAGTAAGTAGACGTCGCCTCGGCCTTGTGTCGCAACTGGCGACAAGTGGTGATGCTAACCGCCGGTCCCCAGCCGCAGGAGATGGTACAGGTCGGTACGTTGCTCGAAATCCTCCCGTCGCGTTGGGCAATGCGCCCTGAAAGCAGAGCTTTGGAACTGGTTACTGACTGAAGCCCAATTGCTCTACGTGGTAGATCGGTCTGAGTATGCTTCCATCGCCCCATTCGTTCCCCCCAGCGGTTCGCCCTTTTCGCTAATGCCACTCCTTGGTACAGATCAGTCTCGCCGTTCTGGAGACCGCCGCCACGAGATGGCTCTTCTAGGAGAAACGTTACTAACCCAGCTGGCCGAGATGGCTCCAATCTGGTCGTTGGGGCCGCGTATTCACATGCGGATATCCTCAAGTTCGATTCATTGTGCGCTTCTACCGCAAACTGGCCCGTCATGTCTGTTGTGTATCGCTGACTTGAGACAAAGAAACCTCTCCAACTCTTCTTCGCCTCGTCCTAGAACCCCCCCTTCGACGTCGTCCTCGAGAAATCGCATGGCCGACACCACTCCACCACCACAACGTGGCTCAATGGGCTCCACTTCGCCGCCGTTCAAGAGTTATATCAACTTCCTGTCGAATACCAACGACGATTGGAAGGCGGACGAAGATGAAATGCTAGGATATGAAGATGACGACGGAGACGACTTTGGGCTCCCTAGCCTTTCAAACATGAAGAGAAGGTCGAAGCGAATAGCTACTCAAAACAAGTCATCTCTGAACCAAGAGACTCTGTCTCCCGCCGATGACGGTTCCTTTGGTAGAATTCAAGGCAGACGGTACTCGAACAGCGCAGACATCGCAGCTGAGCGTCCAGCACCAACCTACCCCATGCCCAAGAAAAGTGAGGGCAAGATCCTCCGACCTCAGTATAAAGACATATTAAAAGGTCAGGCTGAAACTATTACCAGTTGGGTTACAAGTCTTATTAACTCGTTGACAAGATCCGGCAAATGCGCTTCATTTGATCAACTACCCTTCTATTCCTAGCAATGCACCGCAGAAAGAAGCCGATGCAATCAACTCCCGTATAACGCGTATAAATAAGTTCAAACGACTACTACAAGCATCGTCAATATCGCTCCCTGACCTTCGCACGCTGGCATGGTCAGGTGTACCCCACGAAGTCCGTGCCATGACATGGCAACTCCTTCTTAGTTATCTCCCTACGAATAGCGAACGGCGTGTTGCGACCTTGGAGAGAAAGAGAAAGGAATATCTAGACGGAGTCAAGCAAGCGTTTGAAAGAGGAGGGACAGCTAACAACAGCTCCTCCGCCGGAAAAGCGAGAGGCTTGGACGAAGCCGTTTGGCACCAGATCAGCATCGACATTCCTAGGACGAACCCTCACATTGAACTTTACAGTTATGAGGCAACGCAGAGGTCGCTGGAACGCATCCTCTACGTTTGGGCTGTCAGGCATCCTGCCAGCGGATACGTGCAGGGTATCAACGACCTAGTGACACCATTTTGGGAAGTTTTCTTGGGGCTTTACATTACAGACCACGATATCGAGACGGGCATGGATCCCGGTCAACTGCCCAAATCAGTTTTGGATGCTGTGGAAGCCGACTCTTTCTGGTGCCTTACCAAACTTCTTGATGGCATTCAAGATCACTATATTGTTGCACAACCGGGCATCCAGAGACAGGTTACAGCTCTGCGTGACCTAACTGCTAGAATCGATTCAAACTTATCAAAGCACCTTGAGCACGAGGGCGTTGAGTTCATACAGTTTAGCTTTCGGTGGATGAATTGTCTCCTCATGCGCGAGATCAGCGTCAAGAACACGATTCGCATGTGGGATACATACCTCGTAAGTCCATCTCTCAGCATTCACCTGCTAATCTACCGGACAACCCAGCTAATGACAGGGTACCCAGGCCGAAGAACAGGGTTTCTCAGAATTCCACCTCTACGTTTGCGCTGCACTTCTAGTAAAGTGGTCCGATAAACTGGTGAAGATGGACTTCCAGGAAATCATGATGTTTCTACAGAGCCTTCCTACGAAGGCGTGGACGGAAAAGGATATTGAGTTGCTCTTGAGCGAAGCCTTTATATGGCAAAGCCTTTACAAAGGCTCTGCAGCACATTTGAAGGGCCAGCCGCAGCGTCCCTTGCTCCCGAATCTACAATTATAGCGTGAATTGGCGCACTACAATCTGGTAAAGCGATTAGCCTTAATAAACAACCCATTTGATTAGTAGCGTCTCCATTTCTATCCCGTACCCATAGCATGCCATCTGCTCTATAAAATTCGTACCAATTAAAGGGATAATGGGATACGAGCTCTGCGACAAAGAGGTCACGTGGCCGCGCGTTAGAGTGGACGTCAGACCGCGTTACGCCCAACGACAACCGCAGCCTCACCTGCAGAATCCAAGTAAAGCGCTCGGAGATTTGCAATCAGGTGGTGGTGGATTGTTTCTCTTTTTTTCTTTTCGCATATTTTTTTTACTTGTTAGATATCAGCAGCATGAGCCCAGTGGTTATTGCTGACTCTGATGACGAAAGTGACTCAAACGAGCACATTGCCGCCGCTCCAGCTATAACAGTGCCCCAGGCGCAAACACGATCCTTTGAGCATGGAAGCCTTGCCACTGCGTCAACTGATTCGATCCTCTTCCAGCAAGTCTTCAATGAGCAGTATGGAGCCGCTTGCGAGAGAGCCCAGCAACTACAGCGGGATTTCGACGAAGCACCGCATCAGAGCTCAGCCATGACCATTCCTGATGTTCCCTTTCAGCGAACCACCAAAGGCTTCTATCATTCATCCACCACATCAGCCACAGATCCCCATACGGATAGGCTTCAAAACACCCAGATAGGACGGCCCTCATTGGATTTGGCCCAGATTCCCTCTTCGATGCAGAAGCAAAATGAGGCTGGCAAGGTGGACCTTTGGGAAGTTCCAAGCAGTCCAGAAGCCCCCGGATCTCTGCAAAGACAATCAAAGGGATTGGATCAATTGTATAGGAAAGATGGATTACCTACTACCAAGGGTGCACTTTCAGATAGCCCTTGGGATAACCATGAACTTGTGGAAAGCCGAGGCAACAAACGGAGACGGTTGGACGAGTCTAGGGAAACACCTTCGGCAACAGACGACGTCGATTTGATTATGTTTCGTTCTAGTAACAAGGATATCACCAATGAGGAACTGGAGACGGCAGCAGCATCCAGTGTCCTGCTCCCTACGCTGCCTGTTGACGCCAATTCAACATTCTGTCTAATACACCCGTCCACAACAGAACGCCAACCGTCATCTCATATTGAGATGAATTTGACATCAAACGATGTTCCAAAATACAACAATTTGCTCTTGAAGCAACAGACACAGTATGCTGTTGGCTCCAGTGGAACGGTCACTAATGTCAACACCCCTCGAAGCCAAATGCTCTCAAGCCATAATTTTAGCACTGTAACTCCTAGAGAGCAAGCTAGGGAAGTGGCTACGAAGAAAGTAGAGTACCGAAGCTTTACCACGCGAAGGGATTCATCCCCCGACATCATTTCTACCCTGACACCCGGTTTGGACAAAGTTACTGTGAGTGGGCTGGCAACCAGGGCATCGCGCATGAAAGGCTAATCAAATTTTGCAGTCCGAGCTGGAGTATTCTCCTGGCCTAAATCTCGAGTCCAAGCCCGATCAGGAATGCTGTGACGAAAGAGATTCTTCAGCTCATCAGCCCCCACCACGAGAGTTGCAGTCGGAGGAGAGTGATGCCGAGTTCGTGGCACATCCTACGCCAATAGCCAAATCTAAGAAGAAGAGGGGGCGTCCAAAGAAGCCTCCAGAAACAGAGGAGCCCCTGCCAATGAAACAGGCTGCAGGTCCTGTATCGGCCGCGGCTGATGGAACACCAGATGCAGCGCTGCAGAAGAAGAAACGAGGGAGACCTAAGAAACAGTCGAGTGATACAGGTGTAGACGGTGCCCCGCCTCCCGCCGCCACTCCCGTCTCTGCCGTTGTCCCTAGCAAAAATACGAGAGCCATGTTGGGACAAGAAAAGGCTTCAGCTAGGAATGATGGAGACAATATCCAAATAGCCGCAAAGCAAAGCTCAGTGGAGATGCCAAATGAGCAGGGAGCTGCCGAAGACGCCTCGTCCGCAGCAGACGACACGGAGCGTGTCCGGCATCAGGCAGCCCCAGGCAGCCAGAAGAACCCGAAGGATCATGCCACCAGCCAGAGCATTCCTAACAGGCCACAGGACGAGGACGAATCCAAAGGGCCAAAGCAACCTGCTGCAAGAGGGAGAGAAGAGAAATCGGGGGGTGACAAGAAGGGATCTTCGGCACAAGGGATGGCCAAACCCCTGTACAGGGTTGGGCTGAGCAAGCGATTTAAGATTGCCCCGCTGCTAAAGTCTGTACGCAAACCATGACGGAAAGCAGACGACAGGAACAAGAAAGGTGCATGGTATCTGAATATACTGCGAGTGGATATGTCACATCTATAATTAACCAAATCGAAATAACTGATACAGCTCAGCGGTTACTCCCTGGATCAAGAGCCGCCTCCTTCTCTCTCGAGAAGAAAAAGTGCGGTGGTTGGTGTGACCCGCCAAGACTATGACGAACGAATCATCACCAGAAGTAGAATTTTCGGGATTCCACGCCATGTACATACGCGTTGGGTAGAGATGGGGACGACGAGATGCTTGCACATGGGGGACAAGGTTACGGCTGTGGTGTGCAGTGGCTGAAAGCAACACCTTCTCGCAAAAGGCTGCTCCAGGGACACGATGAGCCAATGGCCGCAAAGGCGGATAAGCCTCTATTGGAGATAGCTTAGGTGCCTAGTAGGCATTTGGGCATGACCAACGTCACTGTGCCTAATTGGCGCTGAATCTAAGAGGCCAGGTCCTTCTCCATACCCAGGCCCATCTCGGATATGCAGAAGGCCTGCATGGCTACAACAGACTGGTGAGCAAGCGCCACTTTTTCACGTCATTCTCAGACATGGGTTGCGTCCGCGGTCGCGGCAATGTGAAATGAACAAAGTTCAGGGTAATAAATCCGACAAGGTCATGTCAATGTCCAAACGGTGCTCTCCCGTTGGGGCCGATGCGAAAAAAACAAGTGGTCAGTCGAGCAGTGGGGAAATTCATATGACATGATACTGTAGAAACAACTGTGACTAGCGAAAATCATACGGATGGCGGTCGTGGGAAAGATCCTCTTGCCGGCCTTTTTACGTACAACAAAAGCTCATCAAATGAGCTGGAAGCACGCATCAACCAGTGCCAGCCTGCATACCGTTTGTTCGTGCAACCTAAATCTGTACGTTTGAAACACCCTGGTCTGGGATCGTGCGACTCCTCTTACTTTTGTTTCAGTCGCATCAACTCCGAGCGATGAACCCACGATGGAACACTTGGAGACTTCGGCTAGCCCCAGACCATGGAAAGTCGATTACACTGCAGCACTAGTTCAAACTATCCATAGTTTGCCCCGAGAAACATGGCTCTCACTTGGATGAGCTGCAAACAATAAGCCTTAGCAGCAGTCTCAACTCTCCCGATGAACTAGATATGTGGACATTCCTTCAAGCTCTTGGGGCTATCTGGGCTATTGTTGCGGGTCTTTGGCTAGTTGCTAAAACCTCAATCGACACGGCCAATGGTACGGACTGTCCGAGCCACAAACTCGCCTAACGGCCTAAAGCAATCCATGTCAGACCGGTGTCAGTACGAGTACGATGGCAGGCTTGCTTCCTTAGAATAGGAGAGAAGAGGCATGAGAAGTGCTCATGCGACAGATTCTCGAGCCGACTTTTACGTCTCTTCTCTTTTTGGGTCCACCAGCTATCGTTTAGGACTCGAAGGGAATATCAAAAACGCGCCGCTCAGCCGAACTCTTCACAGCTCCAGGGCCCGGTTTCTAACCACAAGCATCAGACGGTGGCAGTGAAAACGAAAGAGCCCCAGACGCATTGATTTGACCGCGAACCAGGATCCGCATACGGCGTGGTTACCGTTGACTATCTACTGGATTCTTTTTTAGGGCTGGCCACCTTGCCATGGGATGGCCAAGTTGACCAGGGGCTTGTTGGAAGCGCGCGCAACCCTCTGGCACCCTGTCACCGCAAAAATCCAGATATGGACGCATACTCGCTCGCAGCATGCGCGCGTTAGGCTTTTACCAACTCCCCGCCGAGATACCGGCTTAAGCTGGGCTCCCGAAAGGTTACATGGTTAATACATACGAGGCAGAGAGGCACAAGGCACATGCAGCCGCAGACTGTCACCGACCCAAGGATATGAAAAGAGAGCCACCCCGCACTAAGCACAAAGGGGATGCGGGAGGGGCTGCCACTGGTCAAAGAGAGACGGTGCCGAAAGGTTTTTGCCCCACGCCCAAGCCGACTGTCTTGTGTGTACTGGGACCTTTGGACAGATGGAATGGCGTCTCTGACGATGGCAGGCGACAACCCTGGCTGGTATTGGGTACGAACCCCTGGCCTGCCTCTCCTGTGCCGTGTATGAGTACCTGCCATGTAGCCGCGACCTGTCCGGGGCCTGTGGCGCCGTACTGGTACTACGGGTCATACGCCAAGTTGATCGATATCTCTCTACTAGTAGTAGGTTGTTAGTGGCCCTGCTTGACTTACAGACAGCCCTCTTTGTCTCTACTCCTCCGCAGCTTCTACCAGATAGTCGCGCCCTCTTTTCTCACCTCGAGCTTAGTAAAAATTTCTCTTGTTTTGATTTTGTTTGTTCCCCCCTGCCTGTATCGCTCCTCGACCAACGCCTCTCTCGACCGCACTGTTTCATCTCTTTACCCCTGACGTCTTGGGTCTTCAAATCGCGGTGCCTCGGGAGCTACGTAGGTAGCCATGGCGCCAGACGACACGGCGGATGAGAATGCGTCGTACCGTTACCTGAGCACTCGCGGACAGGATAGTGGTGTATGAAGACACTTCCCTAAGTCTCTTCTTCCCCAAGCTATCCTTCAGCACGGATTTATTTTATTCGCTGCCATCCACCGTCTATACGTCATGCCCTCTGCAAAAAGCTGAGAACTCCGACAGCATCCTAGCAGCTAACAGTTTCGTCTCTGTGCCAGTTTTCATTTGAGGAGGTCGTCCTGAACAGTGTTGCCCCTGATGGCGGCTTATACATTCCTGAAGAGATTCCGCGTGCTACTGCATGGGAGTCATGGGGAGACCTTAGCTTTCCAGAGCTCGCTTTCGAGATCATGTCCCTTTACATTTCCCCCTCCGAAATCCCTCCCGCCGACCTCAAAGATATCATTGCGCGCAGCTACTCGTCCTTTCGATCCCCAGAGGTTACACCATTAGTCCAACTCAAGGAGAACCACTACCTCCTCGAGCTGTTCCACGGCCCTACATTTGCTTCCAAGGATATCGCCTCGCAGTTCTTGGGCAACCTGCTTGAATATTTTCTTGTCAAGAAAAACAAAGGCAAAACAAGCATCGCAGGTACGCCATCCATATCGCCCCACGTGCCACCCGTTGATGTCATCCCCTAGAGGGTCACGTATACGTACAGCAGTATTACGTGGTGAGACAAAGGCGGGCATGGGACTCTCTATGGCCATAGAGACTCGCTTATCCTTTATGATGAATTCTTCCTAGCAGACCGACATCGTCTTACCTTTGTCGGTGCCACCAAAGGCGACGCAGGCTCTGCTGCCGTTCATGGTTTGAGAGGGAAAAGGGACATATCCGTATTTGTCATGTTTCCCCAAGCACAAATCTCACCTGTTCAAGAAGCCCAGATCACCACGGTGCCGGACGAAAATGTATGCAGCTTAGCCGTTGCCGGCACCTTCGATGATTGTCAGGTAGGTTGCTACCCTGTTGTCCTCCCGGTCTACGCTTGCATGCATTTATCCTTGATTTGATTTTCTTTTCTTAACTCAAGGCATCTAGAACATCCTGCGCCGCCTACAAGCTGATAGGCAAGCCAACGAAGACTTTGACCTTGTCAGCTCGAGGAACTGGGCTCAGATCCTGGCTCAGATAGTGCTTTACTTTTACTCGTATTTCTCTCTTGTCAAGAAGTCTGCGTCATTCAAGACTGGCGATAAGGTCCGATTTGTGATCCCAACAGGCAAATTCGGCAGTATCCTCGCCGGATACTTCGCCTTGCACATGGGCCTCCCCGTCGACAAACTTGTCATCGCTACCAACGAAAATGACATCCTTGATCGCTTCTGGAAGACGGGTCGGTATGAGAAGCAGCGTGTCGGCCGTGGCGGGCATGGCGTTAAGAAGACTCTCAGCCCTGCAATGGATATTCTCACTTCCTATAACTTTGAGCGTCTGCTATGGTTTCTCGCCTGCGAGTTTGCATCTAGCGCAGGCATGGACCATCTCTGGAACCAGAACCAAGCTAGTCAGGAAGTTTATCAATGGTTCCAGGACCTCGACAAGAAAGGAGTCTTTGGCCCCGTATATCGCGACGTTATTAGGAGCGCTAGACGCGACTTTGAGAGCGAGCGAGTCACGGATCAACAAACCATCGAAACCATCAAAGCTGTTTATCGAAAGTCCGGATACGTGCTGGATCCGCACTCTGCAGTTGGCGCTGCAGCAACACAAAGATCGATGAACCGTACACATGCGAACACCCCACACATCTCTTTCTCGACGGCACACCCAGCTAAGTTCTCCGAGACTGTAATAAGGGCACTTCATGGCGAAGATGGTTTCAGCATTGTTGAAACAAGCTTAACGCCAGCAGAATTGGCTGACCTCGATAAGAGAGAGAAGAAGATAACTGTAGTAAATAACGACTGGCAGAAAGTTCGTGAGATCATCAATGCTCGGAATAGCAACTGAGTCACAGCACACTAGAGTTTACATCAACGCCTTGGCGTGAAACGAGTTGCTGGATACTCAACAGGGCGATCGCATCTACATTCTACACGGTCACGGATCCCTCGCCGCTATTTAGACAGCAGATTTGGTAGGATACGGAAAGGAAAATCGGGGGACAAGGAAAAGGTTACACTATCGCTCAGGAAGGGGAATGTATGCCACGAAAGGTTTTTCAATGGCGGGTAATCCTAGTTAGACACTTCCTATCTGTACAGTCGAGTATTCCACCTAAACAATCTTGGCCTATGCAACGGCCTAATTGTACTCTCAACTCCTATTAACCAACACTTTGGCGCTGAACCACAGTATAAAGTTGGGGATTGATTGGTATGTATCATATTTTGTAGTCAACTGCAAGATACAGTCACGCAGCGGTCATCCACTGTTAGTCACATATACAATGAAACACGCCAGAGGCTAAGAGTTGGCTAACAGATACTCTGGAATCATCACGAAGTAAAGGTTTTAACAGATGTGCATTTCATGGTATTTATTTAGTTTCTTCCCTCGTCCATATTCATCAAGACTACATGACAGACCCTGTGCCAAAAACAGCTCTCCCCTCTGCGAACTTTCATCTCTCTTGGCGCTAACGAATACTACTCTGTCATAATAGAATGAGCTCGTAATATAATATGCCAAATACTTCGGATAAGCTTGAATCATTGGCAACGGCTTGTTTGGTAAAAAACGGGGGTTGGGAGCTCAGAATAAATAACGACAGAAATGAAAATGGGAGGAAAGAAGAAGAAAAAAATGACAAGAGAACCGCAAACGCCACAAAGTTAACTATGAGGCCCATATTCCTAGGCCATGAGAGAAAACAAAAAGGATAAAGACGGGGAAATTGGCTTGTACACGTGGGGGGGAAAAAAAAGAGCAAAATAGCATCAACAGTTTTTCCCCGCTTCGTAAAACAATTCATCAAGGCTTCTCGTCGTCGAGGCTCTTGATGCGCTTCTTAATGATTTCAAAGGATGAGAAGAAAATGGCGTTGACGGCGCAGGACCGGATCATGGAGACGCCCAGGCCGCGGTACATGTGACGCTTGAAGAACTCGATCTTCGGGGCCGGTTCGACCTTTTCCCCGCGTGAGTAAAGTAGGGCGTTCCTCTGGTAGATGCTCTTTGCTGAGTCAATGGGGTCTGTATTGGGTGGCTTCGTTTAGCTGAGAGTTCAATGTTTTGGAGCGATATGTTTGCAGGAGATACTCACAAATCATGGCCCATGATACCAACCCGCAAAGGCCTCCGGCGGTAACAACAGCCAACTTGTTGCTGTTCGGGCTATCGCCAGCAAATGTGGTTCCGAGTTGTTTTCCGCTCTCATACACCATAAAGTAGATGGCTGTACCCAAAGTATCACGCACTGCCCCCAGAATCGTATGAATTAGCAAACATAGAAGCAAGAAGTAAAACAAACCCAGGAATCCAGCCATTGCTGCGTCGGAAGGTACTTACAAAGATGTAACTGGAAGCCGGTATAGAGCCCTAATATCCCCCGATGCTTAATGATATTGGCCATAGTCTTCAACGTCCCCTTATTCTGATAGCTCTTGGCTACTTCGCGACTTCGTTTGCAGTCCCCAGAACGCTCCGCCAGCAGCACAGAAACCTGGGCGCTGAGTTTTGTGAGTTCAAACGGACAGGCCAAGAATGTGATTGCAGATCCTGCTGTAGCGCCAGCGGCACCAAAGCAGGCCACTGAATAGAGATTAGGATATGTTCCAGGAGTGCTGACGTGGCGGTGGATGTCGAAGCCAGACTTTTGTTTGATCCAGCCGGAATAGACGTGTTTTGCTCTGCGGTATATCGAGAAGGAGACGGTGCGTACGAGCGTGATGCTCGCCATGGGGGCGGTGACACCTGCAATAATGTGAGGTCAGATGGCATTCATTGCATTGATAACGTTATATCTATCCAGACGACGGGGTAAAAACTCACCTCGAAAGAACCCCGCCAGAGCCTCGGTGCGGTATGTGTGCTTGACGCAATCCAAAAAGCCTCGATATTGATACGTCTGCATGCGTGTCTTGACGCTGTCGAGAGGGAAAGCGGCGAGGGTAGAGAAGACGCTGGATGTGCTGGCAGCGACCTCGATGCGGTAGCGTTTTATGAGCGCGTTGGGCCATTCCCGCTCTCGGTCTCGTCCCCCAGGATGAGGCATGACGGCTGCTGCGGAGCGACCTGTGACATCTTGGTAACCACGCTTGACCTCCGCGCTCATGCTTCTGGCAATTGGCGTCCGGTCACAACGCGTTCAGACAGCGGTCTCGTATGAGGCCGGAGTCTGGAGCGCGGATCGCAGCACGGCCAGCAGCCAGCAGCCTCTTGTCCATCAAGAGCCTCGAACGCAGGGTTCGGAGGGGTTGCCGTCGCAGGCGGACGATATTTCAGCGGTGGTCGAGAATTGGGAACGAATGAGTAGTCGGAATGGTTGTCGGAAAGAGAAGACGGAACCGAGTTTAGTTTCAGGAGCGTCTGTACGAGAGAGAGAGAAGGGGGGCGGAGCTTGAGCCGGGCTGGACTTGAAGTGAATTCGGAACCAAGAAGGTGAAATGGTCGGATGGAGATTGGAATGGAATTGAGTCAAGCCTCAAGGCGTCTCTGGCGATGATTCGGATGCAGGACTGCAGATGCAAGATGCAAGAGCCGGTGCCGGTTCCGCCGCCTCTGTTGTCGTTATCGTTGTTCGAGCAGCGTTGCCCGCGGCGTCAAAGGCGGCTTGTTGCGCCCAATGGCGATGACCAGCAGTCACTGATGAATGGCGATGGCAGCAATGAGGCGAACCCGAGCAGCCCACGACGCTGGAACCGATTCCCAAGCACAGGCGACCTGGTGAGGGGGGAAAACTAGGCCCTTCGACCTGAGCCCATCGTTTGGAGTTGATCAGATGCCGACGGGGAGCCGCTGTGGGGAAGCTCTGGCGGTGCTGCTAGGGCATGAGGTCACAGCGCTGCACTGAGCCGCCATCCGACCCCGCAATGCAGCCCCTCGGGCTACCTGGCCTGCTATTGATGCTGCCATCAAGTATCAATGCTCTAGGGAGGGCTCCGGCTGTTATATTGATACTGTCTGTACTGTTCTGGTTGGCCTCTGTATCTAGTGAGTGGCATGTCTCTTTTGTCATGGATCACATGCCACCTTTTTCTGTCTTGTCTCACCCTGCCTGCCTACAGTCCCCCCAATAGACGTCTAAACCATTCATCCCAATACCCCAGATACGAAGCCATTTAACCCCCCTCCCAAAGCATCAAATACAGATATCCATATCCAGCTCAATTGGCCTCGACAGCGGCCCGTTTCTGGGTGGCTGCGCCCGGGAACACTGCCATGTGTTTGGCTGCTGCTCAAGGACGTCATCAGGCGGGAGCCAGCTTATCATAACAGGCCTTGGTTGGACTGAAACCTTGCCAAAGCATGGCCATGGCCAGTGACAATACACCGCTGTATCTGCATCTCAATGCAACGGCACTGCGTCATATGTGACTGATATCAAATCTTGCCATTTCTGACCGCTTAGACCGGCATTTGATTTGACCTTGTTTATTTATTAATTTATTTATTTTTTATATCTTTTTTTTTTTCTCTTTCTCGAGCGCCCTCGAGGGGAGCAACGTGGACAAACTAAATGGCAGTCTCACAGCCTACTCTGAGGCGCGTCCAATGCTGAATAAAGGCCGAGATGGCTAAATGTTTATATATATGCTTTTGATAATGTAATGTGCAAACAGCTCATCGAGTGCTCCCTACACTCTTGGCATATCTGCTTTGTTCTAGCTGCATTTTTTGCTTGCTTGCTTCCTTGGCAGGCCTTTACGGCCTCGGGGAAGAAAAGCTTGGCTGCCATGTCCTCCATTTATCCCCTTCATCCTTCAAGGCCCTTCCTATCAATATCATTTCCAATGTGAAACTGATGCGGTACTATTCTATACGGGGCAAAGTAGACTAGTAGTGTGAGGTACGTGTACGACTGCCGCCGCAGCCACCCACGTATCCAAGGTAACGAGCTTTCTTTTACGAATAGCAAGTCGCCGCGGCCCTCCTGGCGACCATTGGTCTTTGTGGTCCCAGCAGGTGCTCGGAGTTCCCTCTCGCAGCATTTCGTAGAGATGGGGGGCTTGAAGTCTCCTCGACTCTGAATGTTCTTCCGTAGATGTTCAAGACGCCGGTACTTCTTGACCAGCCTGTGTGGGTTCCTCCGCATCTCCAGTAACGTTGTCACTGCTCTCACCATTTCCAACAGCTTCCTCTTCTTCCGGTACAGCCACCGGGAGCACCCCACCATGCATAGCAATGAGTCGTTCCTCTTCTTTCCTCTGTCGGATAGCTTCGGTCTCACGACGCAGCTTCTCAAGATTCCAAGTATCGTCGTCTTCATCGTCGCTCTCCGCTTCGGAATCATCATCCCTCCACTTGCCACTCTCAAAGAGAGCACGACCAGTGTTGTCCTTGGCCTTGCGAGCCTGTTCTTCGGCTGCCTTCTTGTCCAAACGTTCCTTCTTCCATTTGGCAAAGGTCTCCGGGGTGACTGGTGTCAGGGTTCCAGTAAGCTTGTGGCGCTCCGATTCCAGGAAATCTTCAAGAGTCAAAGTCTTGAGCGGTGATTTGTCAAGCAATGCCTTCTCCGCTGCTCTCTGCTCCTTTGTCTTGAGAACAAATCTAGAAACACCCAGGTTAGTAAACACCAGAGATTGTGAGATTGTCGAATCCAATTGACGTACCCAGGTGGGAGAGCGTGCTTATACATGCACTTGTCACCACCGTTTGGACATATCCAGAACCAACCATACTTGCCATCCTCGATGGCCTGGATGAAGAATTTGCACACTTTGTCCGTTGTGGTCTTTTGGTTGCCCTTCTTCGACAGGACAACTTTCATCAACTGCTCTTCAGTCCAGTCTGCAGAAGTCTCCTCCTTCTTCTTCTCTTCCTCTTCTTGTCTAACATCTGTGTATAGGTTCTTCTTTTCTGTCTTTCGTTCGATGCTCAAGTCGTGAGCAAACTTGCACTTCTTTCCTTTTTCGCAGTCGCCCTTTTTGTAGAAGATGCAGACGACTGTTTTGGGATCCACGCCGAATGGCACCTTTTGAATCTGGGCTGGCTTATTCAGAAGAGCCGCCGTCTCTCGCGCGGCGTCTTCTGCCGCCTTCTTCTCCTTCTCACGCTGGGCCTTTTCAGCGGCCTTCTTCCTCTCTTCGGCACTACCACTGCCCTTCAGGTTGGCCGTCATCTGCTGGATTTGTCTCTGGGCCTGCGCTCCCTTCTTGTTCTTCATTCCAAATGTTCTATCCTCCACCAACTTGGCGGCAGATGGCTTCTTGCCACCGGCTGGCTTCTCCTTCTTCGGCGGCATGATGGGCAATCGATGGGCGATGGGCGATGGGCGATGGACGCTTCTAGTGGGGGTGGAAAAGACAATGAGAAGGCGGTATAATGTAAAAAGTAGATGCGCCGGAAAAAACAATCCGCCAAGAGTATTTGATTATCCCGGAAGCCCCTCTCTTCCTATCCCCAGAAATATCCTGTCAAAGGAGGGTCAAAGAAGTAAGAAATGGAGTTTAGGTTTTTTTTTAAGCTGTGGCGGCGATTCTTCGCTGGACACAGTTGGGTCTAAGTTTGGTGGGTTGTTAAAGTCAGGGCGGATGAAGTCACTGTGGTCACGTGGATAGTCTCCATATTTTCCACCGCTTGAGGCGTCTGAGTACAAAGTACACTGACCTCTCTCATCGGACGGGCTAAGCCGCATTTAGATCGAAGACTAGCCAATGCAACACGTCGTCAGCCCGAGCTATACAGATACAGGTGTCCTTCTAGCAGTGTTGCGCCGAGGGCTGTCAAATCCAGAGCTTTTCATCACGACCATACCAGCGTCCTAGGTGAGCATGGAATCGCTAATCTGGCATGCTGCGCATTATCTCTGAATCACAACTGACCAATTGGCGCTTCTTCAGCCTGTAGATTGCGGTATTCCGGTTAGCTCAAGCCTAGATCAAGCTCCTGCTCCAGCGCCTTCAACATGATTTCCGACGACGATCTCTACAAGCTTGCCATCTTTCTGGGCTCCATTTCCATGTTGCTCATTGTGGTCTACCACTTCCTGGAGGTAAATTCAGAAGACAAGGCAGCCGCTGCGGTAAAGAAGGCATCATGAGGGTAGCAAACGACATGGAGAAGAAACAAGTGCAATAATACGCCATTGGCGCATCGAGGCATCATGCCGCATACAATCGCACGAACGAACAAATGAATTGCACGAAAAAGTCAAAATGTATCTGAAAGGACAATTTTAGCGGGACGACAGAGCGAGAATTGGGAAGTGTCTTCGAGTTGGTAGCGGGACATTGAGAACAAGAAATGCCAGCTTTTGATACCATTTTAAAAGGCAGAGAGCAGGAGAGGCTATGAGGGCAATCGGCATAGAATTACCACGTCCAAAAACATCTCAATCGATTTTTGAACTTCCTCAACGGTCCCAAACGTTGACTGGCGCATGCATCGAGCATACACCTCTCTCTTCTAGATGCCCTTCAATCCAGACACTAAGCGATGACACACCTTTGCGGTCTGGTTATTCTTCCCACCGGAAGTCAGCCTATAATCACCCAGGAAGTAGTTTCAAACAGTATCAGCCATGCATCATCGTATAGACAAGCATGTGCCCATGTGTTATGTAGAGTGTTAGTAGTGTACTATTTATCGTCCCATCCCACGAGCACCAGTGCATGGAAGGATCCGATGAATCTCACCCCCCATACATCAGTTATGAGCTCAGCTATAACAGCAGTTTTTACTGTCTAAGCGCCAATGATAATGCTCCTGCAGACGTGACTACCAAACAGATCCCGGCTCCCACCCGCTTCTCATCTCGGGAGGTTGAAGCAGGGAGGCTCGAGATATGTAGTCAGGCCCCCATACAAGGCCCGCCTCATTACTATCATATTCCCCAAGAGATCGGTGGCAAAAGCTTGTCTGCCCACGGGATCTATGCACATATCGCCTCCAGCAATACCCACCGCCAGCAGCACGCGCAGATGGCCATCGCGGGCTTATGCCAGACCTGGAATTGCTGATTGCATTAGTGGCCTGGGCTGGCCTGTCTCACCAAATCCGACTGCATGTTATTACTACGATAAGTCGAGCTGGCTGACTGATGCGACGACTGTCTGCCGTTGGAACGGGAAAATATGAGCTGAGGCCTGCCGCAAGGTACGAGCGCTTCCGCAGTGCGCTGTGGTTGGCGCCAAGTACCTCCACGTGCAGCCTATTAGAAGGATTCAGAAGGGAGGCCCCCTGTTTTCAAGGCGCTAGCAGCCACCGGCAGCGCTGAGCCTCTCTCTCTCTGACTGTCCCAGGCACGCGTTCCTGCGCCCGTGCTTATTTACCCATCGCTCGCACTCCCCTCTTCTCTCAACCTCGCCTTTTCTTCTCGCATCTCCATTCCAAGCCCCAATTCTTGTGTCTTCGCATCCCGCAAGCACACCCAACCCTCTCTTCATCTTCGACTTCTATACCCTGCTGGACTGCAGCCGGTTTTTTTTCTCTCTCCTGTCACTTCTTCCAACTAGTTTGACTGGGAAAAACGCGCCCTTGCCGAAGCTTCCTTGCCTCGTACGCTGTGATCGATCTGAGCCACCGTCGACAAACCCCAGCTCGCGCATTCCTTCGGTTAAGCCTGATTGGAGCCGCTTCTCGCGATTCTACATCCTTGATCATCTATTCCTGATTGACTGCTACCTTTGTCAATCTTGACCAGCCGCTGTCGACACCGCTACTCGACAGTTTTTCTTCCGCCTACATTTTCTCACCAAGTTCCATCAACCTCCAAACTCTTCATCATGTCTACCAAGCTTGATAAGCCTCTTGACGAGATCGTCAGCGCCAAGCGCCGCGACTCTGTTCGCCGCCGCTCCCTGCGACGATCAACCACCGGTCGCCCTGCTCCTACCGCCCCTGCCGGTGGTATCCAGAAGACCGCGGCCAAGAACTCTCGTGGCTCTGCCGCAAAGGCCACACCCATCAAGGCTGCTATTCCTAGCAGCGACAGCAAAGTCATCGTCAGCAACTTGGTATGTTGGCCAACTCTCTCTCAACCAAGCAGTGTGACAGTCGCTAATATCGCCCAGCCCAAGGACGTGACGGAGAAGCAGATCAAGGTATGTTTCCGTTGAGACCTTATTCGTCTCCGGACTTTGTTCGACGTTTTCTTCCTCGCCGTGCTTGATTCATCGAGACGGCCATCCCTCTAAGAGGCTTTGATACTGCCTTTGTGGCACAAGCCTTTGTACTGCTCAAGTCTCCTTCCTTTGACGGCGCTCGTTTCACAACGGCACGCGCACCATTGGCAAGTCGAGGCCATCCTCGTTTCGCACAAAGGCTTCGAAATACCTGGTCAGTATTTATGAAAGCATGCGATAATCTCCTTGAGGATTGTGGCAATTCTCCCACAGGCGCTTAAGCGTGGTGGTCATGAGACACCGCCTTTGAGCAAAACAGAAATTTTGCTGGCACTAGTCAGTCAGTCGGTCGAGCGAGCAATGCAGTGGGCACGTATATCCAGGAACCTCGTATTTCATGTCAAGGGCCTATCTATTTTGAGCGCAGTTGCACTTGAGGGGCTGTTTCAAACAAATGTCGGTGGTTGGGCGTCATGGCGGATTTTCTTTCATTCACTTGTGCATCCACCAAGGCTATAGTCCGTCGGATCACACCTGCGGAATCTTTTGACGCCCTTGGTTCTTTCTGTTATTTGCTTTCCTCTGGGGGAAATAACTGCTCTACACTCTTTTGTGCTGCATCCTGGTTTGCTGCTCACTGCTACGCTCGCTGGTCTTCTCACATTTTCTATTCCATCGAAATGGTTCTGGGACTGGATCGGCAAAATACTCGAAGTCGGAGACAGCATGTTTATACAACCCTTCGCTTCCGCTTAACTGACACTACTTGCTCCCTAGGAATACTTTGTTCAATCTGTCGGCCCCATCAAGAAGGTTGAACTGTCCTACGGCCCCAACTCCCAAAGCCGAGGTATCGCCAATGTCACCTTCAGCAAGCCTGAGGGTGCTTCCAAGGCACTCTCGACTCTCAACGGATTGTTGGTCGACGGCCGTCCCATCAAGGTAAATCATTACTACCAAACAGGAACTGGGGTGGTGTAAGCTTACCATTGAATACCCAGATTGAAATCATTGTCGGAGCTGCCCAGGCCGACAAGGTTATTCCCCCGATTAGGACTCTAGCTGAGCGCACAACGTTTGTCTCTCCGACTCAATTTCCACAACAACGAGCATCAGCTGACTTTTACATAGCCAACCCAAGGGCCAGCCCAAATCTGCCGCTGGCAAGAAGCAGAACACCACTGCCACCAAGGCTGGTGGTGCCAAGGGAGCCGCCGCGAATGCCAACAAGAAGCGCCGCGGCCGTAATGCCCGCCCTGCCAAGAAGACTGCCGAAGAGCTCGACTCGGAGATGGCAGATTACTTCGTTGGTGCCGGCAACGCTGATGCTGGTGCCGCTCCGGCTGCGGCTGCCGCTGCTCCCACCAACGGCGATGCTCCCATGGAGGATGAGATTATGGTACGTTAGAATTCTTTCCAGCAGTGAGGACGCGGCTAATCATGGTACAGTAATGACTATACTTTACATTTTTCATATGACGGGTGATAAGGCAGGCGTTCCATGGGGACTGTGGTTTAGATATCAATAAACGAGAAAAAAAATTGAAACTGGCACAGCATGCGCTAGGGTATAATGCGCCATTCGAAGTCGCTCACAGAGATGTTGTTGCTACTATAACAGAATGTCTAGGGGTGGGTTAGGAAGCTTTGGAGTATGACACCAATTATCTGCTTTTTTTTATTAATTTTTTTTACCGCTATTTTCCTATCACTGGACTTAAGCATGCAGTCGGGTGCTGGCAAGTAGTTTACATACGAATAATATGCGATACCCGGCAATGTAGAGTGTCTTCCAAGTGATTTAAGCTTGAATGAAAGGAACGGTGTAGTTGAGTATGAGTGTCTTCTTGTTAGCAACCTGCTGAGTCTGTGGGCGTTAGTAATGAGAGAGGGGAATAGTTGTCAGCAACTCAAGTTACCGTAGTTATCAAGGTGCAGTTAAAGCGAGTATAATGAAGGTATGAGGAGGAAACACCTTTTAGGAGGGTATACAGAGTATCGAGTTCTTGGATTATCTACTGCTATCGCTATTTTCTTTCAGCATGGCTCCTCTTTTGTACACATGACATTGTCTGCTAATATTGATTCTCGTTGTCTAATATCAGTCACATTGGGGACACTGGTTGTTGGGTAGCTGACTAAAGGTGCTGCACAACCACTCTCTTAAACATATACGCTGAGCTTGAGCCTCAAGCTTGAGCCTCCGCAGGTCTTGCAAGAGTTGAAATCTCAACAAATGGCAAATAATGGGAGCAGTACACTGGATCATACAAGCATGGAATGATACGGGCTCTACCCAAAGGCGAACTCCAAGCCTTAAAGTCCTTGCCCGAGACACCAAAAAAGAAGACTGGAAAGGAAAGCCCTCCGAAACAAAAGAGGTATTTTAGATTTAATTGAATTTTTTTAATTTTAAAGATCCGTACTCCCAAGTACTTGCCGTCGGTCCCGAAAAAATGAGGCACGCCAAGATCCGTTTCCAGTGTATCTCATTAAATGGCCCATTTACGCCTTTGGTGCGGCCTCGCCCTCGGCCTTCTTTTCCTCGTCACCCTCAAGCCCGGGCATGTCCTCGTCTTCATCCTCAGAGTCGGACTCGGGGACTCCAGAGCTGCTGAGGTCGGGCATGCCCTCCAGGCCCATGCCGCTCATGTCGGGCATGCCGCCAGCGCCGCCTCCCAGCTTGGAGAAGTCGATTCCGCCAAAGTCGCCGCCTAAAGAGCAAGAATAGTTAGCCTTTGAACGATTGCAGAGTCGAGAATAAAGGGGGTGGTCGAGCAGAGTGGTGCTGAGTGTCTCAAAGTCACGTACCCATTCCGGGCATGCCGCCTATTTCATCATGTTAGACTCGATTATCAATGTAGATACAACTGGGCATCTTTGGTGTCGGCATGGAATTACTCACCCATATCTCCAAACTTGGCCATGTCCTCATCAGCAGCCTCGTTCTGCTCATCCTCATCAACCCACTTGTCGAAGTCGGTCTTGAGGAAGTGGAGCTTCTGGGCAACCTTGAGCAACCGCGGCCAGTACTCCTCCTTGAGCTCCTTCTTCTGCAGCTTCATCTCAATGTTCTTGGCAGTGTGGTTAACACGGCTCTCAGCGGGGTCGATCTCGGCGTAGAGCTCAAGCTCGACATGGTACTTCTTCTTAAGGGTAGATGAGGTGCCGGTGAAGGTCACGCCGGTAGGCTTCAGGTCCAGCTGCAGGTCTTCTTTGGGGACGTCGGGGACGGAGATGGTCAGGTAGATGAAGTTCTTAGTAGCGTCAGCCACAGAGGAGCGCTGGGCCCAGAGAACTAGAGATTAGAAACAACAACGTCAGCTTGGATTGCACCGTAAAGAGCAGCCGCCAGAGCGATTCGAATAACCGGAGCAGCATAGAAGCGTCGCGGTTACTGGAAGCAATAGGGCGTGATGTGATGGGAGAGAATGGGAGCGTGTCCGGGGGCAGCAGACAGCGCGGCTGGGCAGATTAAGGTTAACTCACCTTCGGGAGTCAACGTCTCAGCCATGGTGTGTGCGTGCGGGGGTTGGTATTAGGAGTTGAGGTTGGTTGAAGACAAGAGAGATTGGCAAAGCCGACGAGAGCTGGTGGATTGGGAATATGGTGGATGCTAAAGAGAGCAAGGAAGTGAATAGGTAAGGCTGGACAGGAGCACAGCAGTTTGAGTGAAACGACTCAAGGCAGTTATGGAAAGCGTCAGAAGGCAAAAGATTTGGCGGCAGGGCTGATGAGGGGCACGATGAGGCGGTACCCCTCCCCAGCGCGGCGGCAGATGCGTACAGCAGGTACCGCGCTAACGCCTGCATTTGCCATAGCGTGTTCGCATCTGCGCCACGCCAGCTCTTTGTATGAGCAGATACAGCGGATTACATGGAGCTTGTCAGCATGGTTGAAATTCAACTCCAGGCCAGTGACGAGATGTAGAGGGTTCAGGGCACTACAGCTCATCATAGAAAGACTCTAACCGCTCAATCCTCTCGTATCCGTCGAATAACCGAATTTAATTCAGTATTCTTCATAGCATCTCCCTTTTGACTTGGTCAATTCGCTTCAATACTTTGCTGTGCTGCGATATTTCCCTTCTCGGCGACAACTCATCAGAGCTTGCGGCGGGGTAATGCTCGGACTGGACTGGCTCAAGCCACACTGTGGCTGGGCCCAGCCTCAACCCAGTGACGAGTGACGAGTCCGTCTTCCCAAGGCTACCGTCTTTGAACCTTTTCCATCGAGATAAGAGATTCCCGTCACGACGCATATCCGGCCAAGGCCTCGGCTCCTCCAGCGCCGTCTTTGTGCTTCTTTCTGCGGATGAGATAGACTGCGACCTTGCGTCTTGTTCAGCATTGGGCCGCGAGCCAGCGTGCGCAGCCATCCTCCCGTCATCGCCATGGAGACGTTTAAATCCCTATTCGTAAAGCCGGATCCCCAGCAGCAGGTACGGCGCTTTGTTGCGTCGCAGATTTTTGCCATCTAGATTCGTCGGCCATGGACTTACAATCTACAATAGATGCGGAAATGCAACGCTCTGCTCCGAGCCAACGTCCGAAAACTCGATCGCGATATCGCTCAGGTCAAGCAGGTCGAGATCAAGACCAAGAACCTCATCGTACAAGCAGACAAGCGCGCTCAGCGAGATCCCACGAGAGCCAAGCAGGCGCAGAAGGAAGTTCGGGACTTTGCGCGCGAGCTAGTCCGGGCCCGGAAGACGTCGGCGCGGCTGGTCACCTCGAAGGCGCAGCTCAACTCGGTGCAAATGCAGGTCAATGAAGCCTTTGCCGTTCGTAAGATTGAGGGGTCTATCCGAGCCAGCGTCGGCATCATGAAGGACGTCAACACTCTCATCCGATTGCCCGAGTTATCCGGCACGATGCGAGAACTCAGCGTCGAGCTGATGAAGGCCGGCATCATCGAGGAGATGATTGATGAGTCGCTGCCCGAAGACATGGATATGCTAGGAGAAGATGAAGAGGCCGAGGGTGAGATTGAAAAGATCCTGGGCGAGGTCCTCAAGGGCAAGCAAGAGCCGTCCCTCCCGGCCACGCCAATCCCCGAGCCGGAGAAGTTGGCGGCGGAGGAAGAGGAGGACGAGGAAGATGCGGAGGCAATGATGGACCAGATGAGGAATCGATTAGATGCCCTGCGCAGTTAGAGCAGGCACAAAAGCCGTTTTACGTCCCGCAACTTGGATCATAGGCAGCGGTGTTTGGCGTCTGGTTTTCTGGGGTTGCTTGACAGATATACAACAAGTACATACATAGGTAATACTGCCCTTGGGGGCCACTTTGCCCCGTTTTCATATACATTCTGTCTGGGCGGGCTCCGACGAACCACCTGGCTGGAAAGACATGTGACTCCTCTGTGTTGCATAATCGAGATGCTTGTGGTCCCGATTTAGTGCCCCTTGTGCCTGACGCCATCTGGGCACGGGAGAGCCATGCAAGCCATCCGATGCTCTGTGGATGTGCGTGTGACTGTCCCCATACGGAAGCCGGTAGTTACATACATACTAGCCTAGCAGCAGAAGCATGGACGGTCGACAGCCGGCGCACGGCCAGTGGAGTTGTACTTGGCTGTCCGTATTGGAGCCGTCACGGCTTCCAATCTGGTACCGAAAAGTGGATGCTGAGGTTGATCAATACGGATCCCGGTGAGGGAGAAGAAAGTGGCCCCTTTCCACTTGAAAGGATAGACTGTGGGAACGAGAGCCACAATACCGTCCCAACGGTGAGCACAGAGACGATTCTTTCACCGTGGACATAGCAGGGAGGAAATAAAATACTCCACATGTTTTTATTGCATCGATTATATCCCGGGTAGGTGAGCTATCACGAACGTGTGTTGATGAACTTTGCCAGAACAATTGCCTCTGTGCCATTTGTAAACTACGTAAATACACCGTTATAAACATCCATGGATATCAATTACTATTCGATCAAAGACAGGAACAAAAAAAAAGTGATATGGTTGCGCTGTGTCGAGAAACCAAAAAAATGCGTCATCCGGAACTCGAATCCGGGCCTCAACTTTTCAATTGTCAAATGGAAGAGTTGAATCCTAACCCCTAGACCAATGACGCCTTTTGTTTCCAATTGGGAAAAGCGACTCCAAACAATGACTAAGAAGGGCTCCCCTTTTCTCTCTCCTCCCCGCATAATTCTTCCCTCGCCTCGATTGCAATGGATACTCAGTAACCTCAGGCAGAACCCGAAGAATCTCCTACGCCTGCGTGTAATAATCCGGATTCTCCCCGGTTTCCCCGGGCGTGCTTCCGCGGCACGACAGCGCGGCGCAAAGAAACCCAAGTTTTCGGGCCAACTGTGGGGACCTCACTTTAAAAGCGCCAGGGGGGACCCGTGTTATTGCAGGCAATTTAGGAATCCATACCCAGGACCCAACAACAGAGCGTGAAGAGAAAAAAAGGTCCTCGGTGAGAAGAAACAGCGCCGAACTTTTCGCACGCGGGACCCAGAAACACGGGACCGTAAATAGAGGGTGTGTATCGAAAACCCCTGGAAGGGCCGGCGGACCGAGCTTGGGGAGAGAGAAATCTTGGGCTGCTGGGCTACCTTGTTTGACATCTCGGTCTTTTTTTTTTTTCTTGGGACCGATTTTGAAAATAGCTTCTTCCAATTTCCACATCGTGATGGGGTCCAGTTCGCCTCTTTGCTCAGTCGTCCCAAGAATGCGGTTTTCACGGCTGGTTAACGCCGTGCTCCAGGCAGCTGGGCCATTTCATTTCTCTCCTGCACGACATGTCGCTTTTTCTTCAGGGGAAGAGAACGAGAAAACATGAGTTATCATATGAGACAGCTTTTGAGGTCGGCGATTGCTAAAGGGCGAACAAGACTAACAATTACCGTAAATGGGGTACTCGTAAAGAAGAGGCAAAGACAGCTACTACCTATCACAAAAGACTAAACCACCGGGACACGATCCGGAAGGCTGGGATTGGCCACAAGGCAGCTTTCCCAGATGCTACATGCAAGGGGCCGCGCGACTCGCGACGTTCCATGGCGTTGGGATCTAACAAAACCCTCCCCTTGAACGAAAAAAGCAAAGCAAAATAAGGGACCCGTGCTCCAAAAAGGCGTTCGTCCATCTCGTCCACATGCCTAAAGCGGATAAAACCACGATCCATGTCGTGAATTTCAAGGTTGTCTTTTGGGAAAAGCAGGGGCCCGCGGCCGGGGAAGCGCTCCCGAGAAATTGAACGGAGCCCAGAACGCTACGCCGATGCGCCGCACGTGGGGATGCGCTGGGCATTGAAGAAAGGACGGGATTTGATTACTTAGCATCTTGCAAGGACCAAGCCACACTTTTGCTTTTGCCCTGGGTTTCATTGTCCATTGTGGCTTGGGGTAAACCCGGACCGGGCTGTCAAATTTCCTGGGGAGAGATGAATAAGCTAGGGGCGTGCCGCTCTCTAGCACCGGCCATGGTAGCATTGCCCAACTTCTTTTCGAAACCGACTAGGACAGCCTTCATTACTCATTCAACTCGGGACTTGAGTCGTAGCGTCGAGGCAGCAATCACACACCCCTCCCCTCCCCTCCCCTCCCTCTCTTCTCTCCCTTCCCCTTCATTTTGACGCCATTTTGCTTCTTCATCTTAGTTTACCCGAGCGAAACCCGAACTTTGCTCCCAATTCCCAAGAAGCCGGAGACGTCTCATTTACCGGCCTCGGGGAACAGAGGAAACACACCAAGACGGCGGTCCGCGCCAACCCTTGACTGGGCTCTCTCTGTCTCTTTCACATGGCTCTTAATTACTAGGGCGAGCGGATGTCAAGGGCCAAATTTCGGTGCCTAGCCGTCGGCTTGCTGGAACTCTTTACCCGCGGGACAGCCGAGATCTCTTGCTCGTGCTTGTCACCAAGGGCATTGATCCTTTTCCTTGGGTTTTTGACAGTCATCGCCTTTTAACCGTTCAATATTGACCGAGGCATGGGTACTCTGGTGACGCAATGAGCCGCGCGTGGGAATGGCGTCGCAAACACAAGAAAGGTAGTTATTCAGCATTGAGAAGCTCGCAAGTTTCTGCGAACCTCACATCAGCCGCGACAAAGAAAAGAAGCCATCATGGCGAGCACCGAGCACCGAGAAAGTCCCAGACGCCACTGACCAGGCATTGAAACTTGGAGCCCAGCCAAAGGATAGATAGTTTTCTCAGTTTCTCGCCGGATTCGGTGTGGTCGTGGCGCCTTTCTTTTTCCCGCCCACGGGCGAGTCTGCTCTGCCATTTAGCCGGGCGTGAAGAAAGCTGTCAAGGCATTCAAAGCCGAACTTCGTTGCCGACTGGACGGGAAATTTGGCTCCACTCTTTAGAATGTTCGAAATTCCGCAGAATGTTTCCATGAAGACGGACCGGCTCTCGCTGCCATGACTCCGGACATGTGCTAAGGTAGCTGACAGCTGGCTATAACCTCTCTGGTGGAGTCGAGGAAACGGACCGTAGTGTCTATGTAACGACGAACTAGTGTCCGTCCTGGCGATTCATACATCTCCTAGGGGTCCTTCTTCACCTTTGTTCCCCGTTCGTCGGTGCTAGACAAGGGCTGGCGCCAAAGCAAAACAGCACACGATGGAGTCGCATGTGTGTGTGTCGCTGATCGTCCCCCCCTCTCCATCTCCGGAAGATGAAAATCCCACCTCAAAGTGGACTGGGTTGGTGCCCGAAATCTGTTGGAAATCGGGCTCCACGAAGGCATGCACGTGAAGCAGCGCAATGTTCACCTGATCGAGTTAATTTAGCAATTGGCAATCCCAGCATACCGAGGACCAAGCGTCTCCGTGGTCAAAGAGCCTGCAAGATAGAATTGTAAACGGCCTACGGGGTACTTTTCGGGAAAATAGGAAACCTTCCATCTCGGTTGTCGCTGAAAAGACAAAAATTCCAATAGTAATCAACGGATATCGACATGGACATGTGGCTTATGTGGTACGGAGAAATTCCTTCCGTGGGTGAGATAGAGAGAGCGAGAGCCAGCAAAGAAAAATTTTCGCCAGTTTCTTCCCGTCCGTTTACGGAGTACCCTTCTGGGTAATGCAGTACTAGACTTGGAAACGGCAGCTGTCATGCCGTTGGCTTGGTTTGGGCTAGACCACCGGGGAATAAAGAGAGTGAGTGAGAGAGAGAGATCAAGACATGGATTGCTCTAGTTTTAGCATTACATACCCTTTAATCCTTCACCGGGGCACGGTATCGAGCATTCCGCTGCATGGGAGCAGCAGCAAGGATGGTCATCAACACCCCTGGACCCAACCATAAGATTGCACTGATCTGAAACGAAAAGGCACCGAAGAATCTTTGGAACACTGGCTAGACGGGGGTTTGCTTGGTCTTGCTTGACAAGAGAGACGCTGGTTCCGGTCCGCGGGAGTGGAGAGCCGGGAATACCGCCCTCCAAGGGTCCTACAGCAAGCACAAAAAAGTAAAGAGATGGCGAACGAGAGCAGAAAAGGAGCCTAGGGATCCGGGCCGGCCCTGGCCAGTGGAGAAACTCTCTGCTCTGCTGGACGATTTTCCGCGTGCTAAGTAATTTAAGCTACTGGGTATTGTAAAAAGTCTGTTCCATCAAAAGAAAAGATCCGTGCTCCCTTTTCCCTTCTGGCTGGAAGAAGGGCCTTTTAGGCGACGGAAGCGGTAGAAGCATCGAGTCGGCGGTTTTGGAGTCGTGCTCGTGCGGTGTGCACTTCTACTCTACCTTACCTTACTCTAGTTTGTTTCCATTGGGGGGGACCCGGTGTGGTGTCGCGTATGTCAGAGGTGCATCTTGCAGGAGCGGTCAGAGCTTGTGCGTGCGTATCGCTGAGATGTATGCAGTGCGTGATGCATGCTGCAAGATGCAGTTGAGTCGGACTCCATCTTGATAGATAACGGACTGGACTGGACGTTGACCGCACTGCACGCAAGTCAGGATCCATGTATCGTACTCTATGCACGCCCTATCCACCCAGCAGATACAGTAGCGAGATGCCGAGCCCACTCTATGCACGGCCAGCATGGCAGACTGGGGGGAGAGAGGGGAAAAGAGAAAAATTTTCCTTTTGTAAAGGGTTTTGTGTAAGTCGTGGGAAAGGAGGAAATTTTTGTTGATATTTTTTCAATTTGACCTTCTCACCTTGGTCCCCTATCGGTGGTTGATGCGCGGGTTCCGTGCCCTAGCCCACCCTCGGCTCTGGAAATGCCCCGGCGGCGATGTTGAGCAAAGAAGCTTGGCAAGGGATCTACACGCCTTACGGGTAATATTGGGAATCACGGAACAAGCGTGTACTCAAATCGGGCAAGTCCAATGAGTAATACTACAAAGATTTGGAAATCAATCTTCTGCTGTACACACGCATCTTTGATTGCCGCGATGGAAGTTTCCGTGTTATTAGCAATCCGGCGGTCGGAGCGAGAGGTTAGGGTGCCTGTGTCATGTCGTGACGCCAAAACAGGTTGTGTGAGCCTTGGCCCAGTGTGACTGCGACTGACGTCAGAGAAGCTTTTTGGAATACTCGAGACTCGACGGAACTGGAGGGTGCCCGACGGCAGCTACGGAATAAGATTGCATGAGTACGTGCATTCGCTGACCAAGTGGATGGTAACCGCAATATCGTGTAATTTAGTAGATGGGCAGCCAGCAGCCAGGTGCCATATTCGGTATTTCGTGCTCCAGACATAGGGTAGCACGTGTACCTCCGTACTGTTCCCAAAGTACGACTCCTCGAGGGTATTCTGATACACTGGAACGCTGACTGGGAGGTGATAGCCTACCTAGATAATGCAGGCATGCTACGTAGCACGGGGGTCCGCCATGCCGGGATGCCAGATTAATGAATCTGACTGTAAAAAAATCTGGGTGCCGAGGCGGCGGCATTCCAGCCCGATAGAGAGATAATGTAAAATGGGGGTCGGCGTGGCATCGGACTGTACAGTAGCACTCATAACCAGTAGGATCACGACAGCCTTGCGAACATGATGCGAGTATGTAAGCTGCCCCCGGACTCCCGAAAATGTAATAATAGAAAGGATGCTTGTCCAGGTAAAAAGAGGCGCCGATGTCAGGCTCTCGGGGGGCGTGTCTCGTCTGACTGCGAAAGCTCGCTCGGTGCTGTCATCGCACAGCCATGGGCATGGCATGGGCATGGCGAGATGGCCCCCATCCAGAAATAGCAGTGGCCGTTTTCGATTTTTCCCGGAACCATGGATGATGACTACGACATATGGCTGGGCTGTCTGCCTGCCTGCCTCACGATGAGGGGGGAAATGGCGGTGCACGAGAAAACAACACCAGAGACTGGCCTGACTCATGAGGGGAAACGGCCAGCTGGCGGCGTCTCCCCTCGCAGCACGGTGAGCTGTCAAAGCTGTCCAGGCGCCAGCGGCCAGAAAAGATTCCCAAATCGTCGTGGACACCTCATCGCATTACCGCCAAACCCACTGCCTTAGCAGGCACACGTCTCCCCCCCAGCACTACCGGGGCAAACGATGGAGGTGCCGCCCAGGTAGCACCACAGTATTATCGAGTGCCTTATCATGTACGTGTGTACTCGTATGGGTTGCTTGCGATCAGAGGACCACGATCAGGCTGCGACACAGGTCTTGACCGCCTGGACAGTTTGCCCAATGGCATGGCGCAGACGCAGCTGGTGGGCGGGCAGCCACAGCAAAGGGCGGCATGACTGGCGACAAACTGTCGAGCTGGCGACGTTAGCGACCTGCCGGTTGGAGGAGGCGGCAGGACTCGACTCCGTATCGCCGTCATGGTACATGGAACGAACTGCCTCTGGTGCTTGCGTTTACGAGAGTTGAGACGAGGAGGAGACGTTCTAGCAAAGCAGTTGGGCTACTTACGACTCAGACTTCGAGGGGAGTGTCGGCCCGCTACGAGTCCACGTATATCGTATCGTAACCAGCAACCGTCCACCCCCAAAGTGGCGCTGAGTGCGCTGGTCTGGCTGCTCCCCCCAACTTTGCAAGCCCAAGAACCCTTGCGTGGCACTTCAGTCCAGTCAGCACTCAAGCTGGTTTGCCCAACCAGTGCCTGGTGCTCGAGCACGGGATGTGCTGCCTCCGTTAGTTTATCGCGGCCACTGTCCATTACTCCATTCTGCCGGCCTGGGCTGAGCTGGGGGATGATGCCATCCAGTATTACTCCGTAATGTTTATTGTGTGCTCACGGTTATTCTCCGTCGCGGCCCGTTTTCTAATTCATCTCACCTACCTTGCCTGGACGGTAATCATCTCATCCTCCTTCTGTAACGAGGAGCCTGTCTGTCCGTTTTGGGTATGTGCCTTCTTGAGTTTTGCTTCTTACTTTTCGGTCTCCTCCTGTCATGGTTGCTTTTCGGCTGGTTGCTTGGGTAAGCGCTACTTGTTATTAAAACATATCAAATCTTTTTTGTCTTGCTTCTTTCTTGCTAGACGACACGGGTTACGAGATGCCGTTTGTTGTCTGAGTCCACAAGCAGGAGGTAGATTAGTGTTACCATACTAATACCACTGAGGTAACCAACAACAACATCAAATCTCAAATGTATCAAGAGTAACGCACAGTAGTGGCCGGCGGAAGAGCCATCCGCCGACGACGGCTCAAAATGAGATTTACCCTTTTTTGCGATCTATCAGATTGCTAGCATCCCTTCTCAAGGGGACGAGGGAGGACAGGAAAAAGCAAGCTCGCGACGAGAGACACCCAGCGATTGCTCGATTCCGATTCCCCCAGACCGAGACAAGTGGCAGATCCAGCAAAACGGAATGCCGGGGAAGGCCATCCGTCGGCAAAACTGGCGCTGGTCTTTGTTGTCTCAGACGCCTCCAGGGCTCCCTGCTGGCTGACCGACCGGAAAGCTGGGGCGGTGTGCCCCGGTGCCCAACGGCGGGTTATGGCGACTAGGGAGGACACGAAGGCACTTTGCATGGGTGAAGGGAGTCTCTGGTAGGGTAATTGGAAAGCTGGGGCATGAGAGACATGGGGGGAAATTGGCGATACCAAGCAGCACGTACCAAGTAGTAGTAGCAAGTAGGGCATGAGATGCGCCGCCGTTGACACTGACAGGCCAAGATGCAACCTGTAACCATGTTGATGTTGGCTGGGCCGGTACGTACCCCGAGCGAGAGCGAGAGCCAGAGCCCAGCCAGCCCATTTGAGCCTACCAGCTAGAGCACGCCCCTTCCGAGCGAGCCCCGGCAGCACGGGTTTCTTTTTGCGAGGGGCTGCTTTTTGCGACTCGGACGGCGCTCGGTCCTCCTGCTTGCTACCAAGGAACGAGCGCGGTGTTTCCCCGGACCGCCCAGCCAAGCGTGTGTCTCTGTCTGTCATCTTGGGTGAACGGTTGAATTGCTGTTGCCGCCGCGCCGGGTTTGGGCTGAGCTAGGTTCCGTGACACTGACACTGACACTGACTGAGGGTGAGAAGCAGGATGAGGGATGGGAATGAGAATGAGGATGGGCAATGGGATGCAAGATGATACGGGATCCCTCCGCGCTGATACCTGGATGACACAAGCGTGCGGTGCTGATACACAAACATCACGATACGGCCAGCGCAGCACAGCACTGCGCACGCAACAGCTACAGCTCGCCGCTTCTCGCAACGCAAGGGTCCAATCAGACCGCTGGGCTGTGGCGGTCAAAAACCGAGTTGCGGAACACCGCCATTTGCGTGTCACCTCTGCTCTGTGCTGTGTGTGCGACGGTGTTCCCTCTCCGTTAGTAGGGCTGGCAGTTTTGCTGTGCTGTGCTGGTGCTGGTGCTTGTGGCCCACGGATGTCCTTGTCCATGTCTTCCAGCCCAGCGGCGTGGCGTGGGGGGTGCGAAATCTCCCAAGGTGATGTTGCAACAGCACAACGGCAGGGGAGGGGGGTGGGCGGAACCGGCTTGCTGCAACCTCTCAACTTTGCTTTTGATAACCCCCAGCCCGGCAAAGCAATGACAATGGCTCCCTTGCACCATTCCCCCCTTCTGCCCCAGCGCCGAGCGGCTCTCCCAGATGATTCACACATGTGCCGCCCACGATGAGTCGATATAAGTGCCTCTGCTCCCTCCAGGCTCCAGAGCTCGGTCTGCATTGTCCGCCATCACAAACATCCTTTGTTTGCCAATATAAACACCATCACCACTCTCCATCCTCTACTCTACTCTACTCTACTGCTCAGCAGTCAGCAAACAAACAACAACAACAACAACATCCATCCATCCTTCGGCATCACTGACGGAAAATCCTCGTTGCATCCACACCACCCCACGGTAACGCCCGAAGCACACACACACACACACAATAGCAATCAACAGAAGCCGAGCAAACTCCACCAACCGGTCTTATCAATACATAAACCATCTCAACCCCAGATTTCTGGAACAATACTCCATAACACCCATCTCTCTCACATACACACAAACACATTCACAATGTTCGGTTCATACAGCTCATACAGCTCCGTGAGCACCATGTCTACCGCCATCGATATCAGCCCCTCCAACCTTCGAACTCGCGATGCCTCGTGCGCCTTTCCCTCCTGGCCCAGGCGAGAGTCTCTCTCCGAGTTCGACCGCGAGGAGCGAGCCACTTCTTTCCTCTCCGACGACGACCTTCTCCTGTCGGACCCCTTCGACAGTGACAGCCACAGCATTGCCAGCTCCAGCGCCTCGTCCTCTCCCATCATGATGATGCAGTCTCCTCCCCGCCTGACTGACGCCGAGGTCCTGGAGATGCAGCGAGAGAAGCTTGCTCTGCAGCGCGAGTGCATGCGCCAGATCATGCTTGAGAAGGAGCGCCGCAAGCAGGCCTCAAAGAAGAAGAGCCGCTCTGCATCCAGCGCCAAGAAGAGCCCCAAGTCCAAGCTTGTCTCCATGACTCCCATTTCCGAGTAAAACATCTACAACTTACTCTGCGGGTCATGCGCTGGCGCAAACAAAGGCTCTTTCTTTCTCACTACTACTTCCGGCTTTCTACGAACAGCCTCTAATAGATTCAACACACCTTTGAATGGTGTACATGACATTACGACTTTCTTCTTTCTATTCTACTACGACTCAGACCCGGCTGTGGTCTAAGCACAGCCACCCACACCAAGTGCGCTATCAATATGAATTGATTTGCGGCGCTTTCATGGGGAAAATCGGGATGCCGACGGGAGAGCCACGGTCCGACCTAATCTGACTCATCCTCCCGCCCACCACCGAGGCATTCCCTCCTCTTCTACACTTTCTACTACCGCGGCCAGATCGGCTAAACTGGGTCAGCCCAACACGGCTTCTTCCATTTCTCTTTCACAAGCCTTTGCAACTTTGGACCTTCACTTGATACCCGGATCATTTTCATATCCAACCCCCTCTTGGTTTAGGGGATCGTCGCAACGACAGCCTTATTTCCTTTCTCATTTTACTACTATTTAATTCTTACGACGGCATTATCGGAGTTCATTTGTTTTTTATCGGGCTTTTGGGTTTTAGCGATCAATCATAGCGGGCATTAGCCAATGGGAATTTCTGGATACCCACTTCCACAAGGATGAGCGACGGGACATTGGGACACATTACTTTAGATACATACTCTGGCGTTGGGAAGCCCTCCGCTACAGACGGACTCGGCACATTGGGAAACATTTTAGCATAGCAACTGTTTAGATAGCTTCTTTCTTACAAGATACCCCCTTATTACCAATACTAGTTTCTACTTTCCACACACAATACCTTTCTCCGCCTTTGCCATTCATGATTCATTGTATTGCCATGTGTCTATCCGCCATTAAGTGAGCGCCACGGCGTAAACTTGGAGCCAGAACGCCATTTTCCGATTGACCGCATTTAGATGCCCTTCGGGGACGTTCGGCAATGGGCGAGCTTTGCTGCCACCGGCTCTCGTAGCCCAGCCGCCCCCGACTTTCAGCTCTGGCACACTAACACTAACTATGACTACAGTACTACTAGCATCTTTCAGCGCCGCTCTTTCGCGCGCAAACGCATAAACGGTGCGCTGTACACGGACAGAAAGTCGGTGACCGTCTGCCACCACACGCGCAGGCCGCCACAGAGGCTTGCGGGCGGATCAATCAACTTGGGGGTGGTTTGGCTCGCTCACCGACCCAATGCAGTGCGACTCGGTGGCGCCGGGGGCTTTTTCGCATTTACGTGCCCTATTCGCTGCGTGCTTGTGTTGTTATTGTCACATGGGAGGGGTGTGTGTGATTCGATAGGGCCCCATTGGTGATTGATCTGAGGGCTTGGGTTTGAAGGCACGAGTTCGCGAATAGAAAAGTATAATAATTAAGACAGTAAAAAACAACAACAGGATTTGTTAGACTTGAGGGGGTGCGTGACATGGGGGGAGGGTTTGTGCGCGTGTGAATCATGACTTGAGAATTACTTTTTTTTTTTTTTTTTTTTTCTTTTTACTCAGGTGCGGAGTAAGTAAAGTGTACTCGTAATTGATAGCTGGATTTTGTCGCAGAGAGGGAACATGGAAAATGTAACGAGCGGTGGTGGTTGGATCGCTACGAGGTATGCTTTTTGGGCGGGCTGAGAAAACGGTAGGCTAGTGGTTGTATGGTTTTCGCTATAAGCTTGTGCTGTAATCTACGTGCAATGCAGGGCGTCGTGTCTCGAACCTCAGTTGTGATATCTCATTTATTTGCTTTTTTGCTTTTTGCTCATTGGGATTTTATGATGTGGCAGAAAAAACAACAAAAAATAGATTAACTGCCCAACATTAATACTTTGCTTTTCTTTTAATCTTAATGGTCTACTATTTCATGTAGGGCGGCCAGTAAATGAAATAAAGGGCTGCCTGATGTGTGATAACAACCACCGAACGTGCAGATGGGTTGCATGTCTAATGTACGATGTACATGAAGCACGATTTCGCGATCGATCGGAGGGGGGGGGCAGCACTCGGACATGAATGGACAGCGCGGCAAATTGCGTGCGGCTGCACTCTTTGCTGTGATTTGACGTGGCCATATACGAGTACATATTCGCTGTATGCATCTTCTCTCCCTCTGTTTCTATCTTTTATCTTTTTTTCCCTTGCATGCAGCGAGCAGCTGGGTTCACCTACATATGTGCGTTACAGCTGATAATGTCGGTGTACAGACAGACGCAAACCTAAAGCTTGGGAACGGGAACTTGCGCGACCGTGAGCTTTTTCGCCCCGGGGGGCTTATCTTTTCTCGTGTTCTCTCTCTTGTCTCTCATTGCTGCGCTCTTTATTTCTCCGTTGAGACAGTGATAAGCTGGGCTGGGTTGATCACACAGTAAGCCCTCGCTCATTCGGCGCACGCTTACTCATTCGTTTATTTGTGTGTGTGTGTTGCAACCACTTTATTACGCCGATACAAAACACGGGCTTCGGGATGTGCCACACCGGTGATTTGAGGTGCTGGTGAGCTTGCATAATCCTCCTGCTGGGTGTGGGTGTGTCTGGGCTGCATATGCAGGGTTGGCGAGAATCCTGTGTTTCCGGCTTGCTTTTTTTCCTTTGCTTTTTCGTGGTTTAGGATTGGGAGAGGGGTGTCGTTACTTTTTGCAAAAATACACTTTTCTTTTTTCCCTTCCGGATGTTTCTCTCCCTCTCCCCGACAAATGAGTTTCTTTTTGCTTTTTACCTATTTACCAGCCATGTCTTGGCCGCCTTCCAAGCAAGGTTACGGTACGGGCCTTCGCTGTGGGCCAGATAATCCGTACGGGAGAAGGGCCGGCTGACCCCGAGATTGGCGTTTCTTTTCTTCTTGTTTCCGTCTCCGTCTCGTCTCGCCTTTTGATAGCAACGTTGTACTTCTCCATCGGGGAGGGAATCTTTGTTAGTCTGCCCTCCTCTTCTCTCTTACTCTCTTTTTGCTGAGCCACCGTTCGCCCTCGGGAAAATCCTCTGTCCACACAGTCACAACACGTGAAAAAAAAAAAAAAAGGTCCATCCAATCCGTCAGCAATTCTTCCTGAGCGTTTTTCGCCCCCTCCTCCTCTTCTTTTCGCCCGCCCTATCACAGCCCGAATCCTCTTGGCTTAGAAGGGAGTGTCAAAGAGGGAACTTGCTGGGGGTTTGCGGCGGATTTGGCCAATAGGTTTGTCGAGATGCTGTACTGCCACCTTATTCGTCGCGGACATGTCGTCCAATTGCATGCATGCTGCACGCCCATTGGCTATAAATACTCAACCACGTGAACGCTGAGTCACTGCATTTCTGGCGTATCGTTTGTCTTGTAGGGCACATCTTCTTTTTTTAAACCACGCAAAGTCGAAAAAGCCCATTGCCAATACAATCGCTCATTGCTCATTGCGGCGTCGTAATCTGTGACGCAGAAATGTATTCGAAGTGGCCGCGTTTAGCGAAAGGGAAAAAAAGCCCAGCTTTCCCCATATCATCTGATGCTGGTGAGGCGCCTTTCAAAGTACCTACAGGCCCGTTTCTATGGAGTTCTAATTATACGCCCTGTGTGATGCGCGTGTGAATCGATGTGATTGGAACTGGGCGGGCGCCAACCGTAAAACGATCCCCCATTTTTACACTCCCATTCCTGACATGAAGTTTGCGTGCGTGGTTTTGCAGCATCGATCGTATTCAGCAATATGAGATGTCAGGAAAACGACATGTTATAGGTTACAGCCCCGTCTCAGCTCCGTCTGAAGGAGTCGTCAAGGTCACAGATGCAACCTAATCGGCAGCACAGGGCTATCCAAGGACATGAAGTTCAGATCACGACACCTGGGGGGAAAGGCACGGCCTTCCTAGTTGAGGAGGAAAACATACGCACAATGTCCGCGAAGGCCTCCACAGCGGTAACTAATGCCGCTGTCATTATTGCCGCTGTGATTGATCAAGGCCGTCTTGTTAGACCCAAGCTACCGAGATTGATCACATGTTAGCTAAATTGTTCAGAATCATCTACTGAAAGCCTCGGACTCTGGCCAATTGTTAGCCAGTAGCTTCTCCTGTGGCCGAGTGTTGTAATGAGTGGTTGATAATTTCTCTTTTAATAACGCAAAACTGGAAGCTACACTCTTCATATGGACACTCCATGGAGGTGGATTCACAGCTCTAATGGGTGATATCTGATATGATGTGTGACACTCTTGTGTCCTTTGCGTAAAATCACTTTATACACTTATCTTAGTCTTCTTGATGCCCGCGTCCAGACTGATCTGGACTTTGAGCAAGTTGGGGTCATCACGCCAGTTCTATCGTAGATTCGAAATGAGAAACGAAACCAGCCATTAAGGGACCTTCATCTATTGTTGCCCATCTTTAGAAGCGAGCACACCCCCTCCATCAACCAGTTGAGGAAGAGATATCTCATAGCTAATCGCCTGATGTCGTTAAGATGGGTATACCCATTCATGAGGCATTAGACAGGAACATAATATATCACTTTATATCATTTCAACAAGCAAACTCATTCTATAGACCATTACATTAAGGCTTTGGCACACCCTTTTCTTTGAACCAACTCTCAAAGCGTGTAGAGTCAAGATACTGATAAAATAAAACGTCGATAAATCATGGACTGTGTATTGTAGAAAAAAAAAAAGGCTCACATTATATCACATCACGAGTAGATTTCCTCCAGTATCAGAAGGCAGGAACCTGAACTGCTGAAAGAAATCTGCTATGCTTATGTTATAAAACTGCATATACGAAGATGTATAAGTTCAGATGGAGACACAGCCTATACTGTATAGTTAGTTCCTAATCTTTGACAAGCTGCTGGCATGAGCAGCACTTGGATCTACACACATCACTCACACCTCCTTGTTCAACACATCAGGGCCACACTGTCGATAATGCAGAATGTGCGCCATGGGCTGGATAGAATCAAGGTCTTGAGCACTTTGGGTATTGAATGTGCCGATAGAAGCGAGAAATGGTTCAAGTGACGGCGAAATCGCGTGCCTCTCTTCCCTGCGAAGTTTGACATTTATCAACCATGAGTCGTACCCTTATTCCCAAGAACATTATCCGTCCTATTGCTTTACTCATTAAAAGTTTCACCAGCGGTATACTATTAGTAGTTTGACGATTTGGTATACTCCCACAAGTGTCTACTTGTGCCTGACAAATTCTCGTGCTGTCGAGACGTGACAAGAAGTTGGCGAAACATGTATGTAGATAATGGAATCAAGCATCAAAATCACTCGAATGGCCTTTTACTCTTTACAAACGTGTTTGCTTTTGCATTTCACCTCATAGGTAACGAATGTGGCGATAGGACATGTCAATAATTCATCGAACCTATAGCAATAAGGGAATGTATTCTTGACGTTTCTTTACCGTTCAGTTAACAATGAGTAATGTTCTACAAGAGCCACCTGGGCTGGGAGTCGTTGACTTATTCGAGCTCATCAGACAACATGTTAAAGTGTCTATTGCACAAATACAGAATAAAATCTGGATAGAATTAATGCTGCACAAATAGTCTTACTCATCCTATGACACTATTACACGAGACAAGATAGAATTGGATCTTGCTCTTTGGTGGAAAAGGGCTTGAGCCACGAGGTCAGGAACCGAGACTCTTGTTCGTACTTCGTCATGATTGAAGCGAAACCGGACATGCCAGTCACCGGCTGGGTCAGGAACAAGCTGCCATCCAAGGCATGCGGGATGGCAAGGGTGGCTCGGACTCTTACTTCACGTCATGGATACCTTGGCTCTTGATCTCGTTTGCTTCACCGCACTTCAATACTCTCCGCTCTGGTGTGACAAGACGATAACGGACCCCCCTCAGCTTCCATTCTAATCCTTGTTCAAGAAGACTTCGGAAGACACCTTGGCATCCCAACGTATTCGTGGACGTCGCAGATTGATTTGATGAATGGGCATTGGAACACCAGGGGAAGCCAATATTAGCGGTTTGTGCGTATTATTTCATTGCGGCAGCAGTATCCTATGTACTAGAAGCTTTGGCCACTTTGCCCTGTCTCGGAGTATAAAATGTGGCCGTGCCATGCTTGACGACCTTTGATGAATGTATCCCGCGAGTGGCGTTCCGGCGATAGTGACTGTAGACATTGCGTATGACAAAGAGGAAACTGAGTATAGTAAGCCAAGAAAAAATACTGCGTCACAAGGTCACAGTTCGACAGGGTGCGGAAAGAATAGCGAGACTAGAGTCATATACGCTGACAGGTTTGTTGTTGTTGGGCCTCAAGATATTCCCAATCGAGTAAACTTGCTGTTGGTCGCCCAAGGGACCAGTGTAGCCGGCGCCTATGTCTCATGGGGCCATCACTACTCCGTACCAGGATATATTGGGTGCCTAGCTGTGTGATATATACGGAATACGCATGTCTAGAATCCTTCGTGTGCTTGTAGTGGCCTCGGATGAGGTGGGTAAATACTGTATGTAGTACAATGGCAGTTCAGTCTACCAGCAGCGTTGATGCAGGAGAATAGACTTGCAAGTGGAGAGAGGAGGCTGATATGGATGCTAGCTTGGACGAAGGCGTGATAAGACTCCAAGACATTTCCAAGCATGTCGCACGTGTGCCCTCAAGTGTTTCGTCACTGTGTACAGACAAAGGTACGAACAGAAGACGTTTCAATGGCCATCCGGGTACGCCAATTCACTAGGATGATGCTGTAACAGAAAGAGTCCGCACCAGGGGTTGCTTTGAAAACAAGATATACCTAGATATAAGCCGGCTTTGGAGATGTGATTGCGGAGCCGACGGACATGGAGCTGGGAAGCTTGTTAGCGCGCCGATTTGAGAGGAGGCTAGCAGTTGAACGGAGTTTGGACGAAATTGCGATACTTGTACTCTGGGATTTGGTAGGCCGAAATCCGTGTCGTGAATCATCTGATGCTGCTGTGACGGCAGAGTCGTGCCATGCCATGACCACGGGCGGCGGCTCGGAAGCTGTATCGTATCGTGTCGTGTCCGTCTTATGTCTTGTGTTGTTCGGGTCTCGTCTTTGTGGCTGAGGCACAGAATTGCGTTGCATGCGATTGCTTAATTACAGTAATTACAGTAATTACAGTGCGGGACGGACTAGCACACAGCCGAGCTTCAGTGTGTCCAGTCTTGTTCTTTTTGTGGTCTGTTCTCTCTGTCTCGGCGCGATTCTCAAGCTCAAGATGAATGAATGAGGTTTGCATCCCTGATCCTGGGCGGCGTCTTTAACGGTCTTAGCGGCCGGGACTGAGCGATTAGACCCCTGCAGGCAGGCGTGATCGAGCCGCCGATTGGCCAGGCTGCGGCGCGCACCTGCATTTGGCGCGCCCAATCAGCAGGCGCGACACACCTCGGCGCTTCGACAGCTCTTGCCATTGAGCGCCTGCGCTGGCCGCCCCACTCTGGACCGCAGCCCCAAATCGCCAAAAGCTCCAGCCATGCTCCAGCCATGCATCTGGGCGCCCCCCCTCTGGTTCGAACGTCTCCAAGGCCCAACTTCAGGGCCTGAAGATGCTGATGATTTGTGGCGATGAAGTGCTGCATCGTATGGAATCGAATCGACTGTGGCAAAGCAGAATGGACGAACCATGGCCAGGGCTCAGTCTGGCTGCGGCGGGCGCGAACGAACTGGTATCACAGCACAGCACGGCTGCAAGGTACCGTGCAGTCACCCAGGCCCGGCCCTCGCACAGAGGCCAGATCGCCAGCGTGGAACCACCGATGCAACGGTGAAAGGCGCCGCAAGTCGGGGTAAGAGAAGAGCCCCGGTTGCTAGACGTAGTACGAGGGCTAATGGCGCAGGCGTATCAGTTGGTGCTGTTACGAAGACTGCTCCGTACTCACTTACAAATGTTGCTCCGGGCAAGACATGACATGGGATACGGAGTCGACGCAGTTCAAGTCGAGAGCTCTTCGACACCTCGATGCCTCTGGAAGCTTTGATAGGCCCATATCCAAATGTCTGGCAAGGGTCGCGGGCAGCCTGAGAGGCTAAGCAGGGGGCTTCAACAAGGGATTCTACTCCAGCAGCGGTACATGGCCCGCTAGCGCCTGTACATCACCTGTCTTCAATTCGTCCGCCTCGAGGATCTGAGAGCCCATGATTCCCAGTCCCAGTTGACTCTGAGGCGACTAGCAATCGCCATTGCCTCGCCCGCCCTTTTCGCCTCACTGCTTAGCTGGGCCCACCGCGGGCGCACGCGCGTAGCAGACGCAGAGCCTAACTTACGGCGGCTGGTTGGGACGAAACGGAGTGGGAAGGGGAGAAAGAAAAAAAACGAAGAAGCGAAGAAGGCTGCCTGACACATGGAAGCGATGGCAGCGTTGCAACGACGTCTGTACCTGTTACTCTCTGCTCGCTACACGCCGTCGGTAGCGAGAGAGGTAGGTACCACTACCACGAAGCAGCACATGGCCAGCATGTTCTATTTACCAGCCGTTGATGCTGCAGATAGCTGCAACACGGAAAGCCCAGGTATCTTGTCGGCATGCGCATGTACCTGGGCTGCGTCGACGCGCATTGGCCGGTCCTTAGCTGCCGGACCGTATCCGCTCCATCCCAAAGACGGCCGTTAGCAGCTTTTGCACTCTAATTTTATATGGCAGCCAACCCCATCCATTGACAGGCCTCAACCACGGCCGCATAGGCGCCATGCTCGCCTGGCTACTCTCCATCGGACCCATCACACCCCAGCCTGCTCTTATTACCTACCTATCCAACCCTCCTCTCCAACCTGTCCATGTCCATCTAATATTCTGGAGCGACCTTCACCGTGCGTGAGTGGTGCATGTCCCTACCGGATGTACAGGTCTTAGGTTGCTTGTGCGTCGTTTACAAGTAGCCGTTCTTGCACTTGGGCCGCTCCGATATTTTCTTTTACCTCCTCCTCCTTCCCTCCCGCCATTCCCATCTGTGCTGTTTCACACAGCTTGCCAAGGGTCATCAGAGGAGGATAGACAAGGCCTGAACAGACCAAGAGAGAACAGACGGAAGATCCGTAACGTCTTTCTTTGTTTCCATCAGCGTGACCACCATTACGCATCAAGCCAAAACTTCTCCTGCATCCGCCTGCATCACCTACTACTCCCAATCCTCCAAACAGGAGCATCCCCTAGGCGGCACGAACAAGCGCCGAGCTAATCAGATCAGCCCCTCCCCTAACGCTGCCCGGCACATCACAGAGAACCGTCATTCTTCTTGCCTACAAGTTTGTTCTTTATATGCAAAACCGTGACGCTGCCCTCTTTCGCTAGCCTGTCTAGCCTTCTTCTTTCCAACCTCACTTCGTGGCCTACGAGTACTACGGCCAAGCCTTGCATCGTCAAACCACCCTCGACGACACATCGTACCTCACATCTTGTCCGTCCTCGACCAATTCGACATTCCTCCTTCCCGAGCATAATAATCTTCCATCATCCTCGGTGGCCCGAAAGAAAACCAAGCGCCTGGTGAATTGCAGTGTTTGTGGCTTGTGTCCGGGAATAGACAGGAGCTGGGTTTCATGTGATGATTGATACCTAAAGAACGCCGCAGCTTGCCGCCACTTTGTGGGCTCACCCCAGAGAACGCTCTCAAGAGAGTCGGACCTTGGCCTGGAGACAGGACTGTGACACCGAAGCTGGTGCTGTCTCACGGGCTTGGAGTGCTTCGCATCTTGTTGGAAGCGAAACTGCCTCTGCGCTGGCAGAGGTGTAGGCCGACTAAACGGGCCAATATAATCTCGGACTTGACATAATTGGCCATCGTGGAAGCCTCGATAGCAAGACCGCAGCCATGTCTTCCGCGTCACATATCCAGACCGTGTCCAACCGGTCCGGCAAATCGTCGACCGCACGGGGCCGTCCAGCACCGCCGGAATTCGCACAAATGCCGAACATCAAGGACCTCAGATACTTTATCCCATCAGCCGCCACGGCAGCCATCTACCTCTATGCTCAAGGGCCAACAATAGTATGCTGTCATCACGATACTCTCACTATCGATCGGAGGTTCACACGGCACGTTGACGATGTTCAACTTCTTGCCGTGGACACCCAGAGCGAAATGGGCGCTGGCCGTTTTGTCGTGAGCTATGACGCCGGCCAGACCGCCATTGTCTGGGATCTGATGACTGGCGATGAGATATCTCGCTTTGTTTCGTACGAGACGCTTACAGTCGCCTCGTGGATGCGTAACGGAAACGTTGCGTTTGGTGAGAGAACCCGCATCATCCTCGTGTGGCTTACATGGCCTAGCTAACATATTGGCTTATAGGAAACACGCAGGGAAACATTATCCTTTTTGAACCAACAACATCCGAGCACATCTCAGCTCGGACGATTGACCAAATTGCAGTAACGGCATTGGCTCCTTCATCTGACTGTCGGACCTTTGCTATCGGGTAAGCTATCATCACCATTGGACGCAATGTGTTTGTCATGTACTAAACCAACCAACCTCAGCTACCAAAATGGATCACTCCTAGTCGCCACTCTGCAGCCTCGCTTCACCATCTTGCATAACTTGACGACTTCGAGAGGCCCATCACCTATTGTCACCCTTTCCTGGCATGCGTCGTCCTCGAGGCAAAAGTCAGATATGTTGGCTGTACAGACACACGATGGCGACCTGCGGGTCTGGAGTGTGGCCAAGTCGTACAACGCCGACGACCCCGCCAAGGTGGTCAGAGTGCTCCGGAGGAACGAGAACTTCCTGTCTGGCCCTAATTGGATGGGGTGGTCCAAGAACGGCCGTATCATCCAGTACTCAGATTCGTATGCCCCTCTAAACTGGCCACAGCCTAATAGCGCGGCGGCCTGCCTTCCATTGGCGGTTTTGTGCTAATTTATCAAACAGCGAAACGTTTTCGTGGGACGTAAGGACCAAGCATGTCACCAAGGACTCCATTCCCACCCTTGAGCATGTAAAAGGCCTGGCCGTCTACGGTCCTGGAGCCAGTCTTTTTACCATTGGACCAAACAATACTGTGCAGCAGTTTGACCTCAACTCTCCGGCCATCATGGTAGCAAACGTACAACACCCCGCTGGTGTTCTCCCACCATCGCCTCCCACCTCAGAAGAGACGGGGGGCCGATCAGTGCATTCCGCAACGACCATCCATACCTCAGAGTCCGAGTCTAGCTCTGTCCCTCTTGAGATGGGCATCTCTGAAAGCGATGACGACCACCTATCCCCTTTCCAGCGACTGGCAAAGCGCAACGCACCTGAAGTAAGAAACGAAATATATGACTCAGGCAGCCAGGCCTCCAGCCACTCATCCTTGTCAAAGTCTTCGGCAGGCTCCCGCACACCCGGCAGACAGGCTGGCTCACTGAGATCGCGAGGAATGACTGAGGGGACATACATCTCCGCTGGTTCATCCTTGAAAACCTCAACAGTTGGACGGCGGGACGTGGACAATTATTCGATGGGCTACACGCTTCCTAGCACGAGTGGTCCGTCGTTGGCCTCGTCCAAATCAAGACAACATCGCCCATCTCGATTGCGACACGAGGTGCCTAGGAGCCCTGATGATGCCAAGGTGCAGGACCTGTTCAAGTACACTCGCTCACGCCTAAGCGATCTTCCATACAAACATCCAATGCCCGCAAGCCAAACTAATCCTACCAATGACGATCTGCGTCGACAGATGCTCAGCACCATCTTCGGATGGAACAAGGAAGTAGACGACTTGATTCGCGATGAGATGAGTCGTTATCCCGCAGGATCGGCAAACCGCATCTTGCTCGCAAAGTGGTTGGGCGATATCGATTCAGACATCATGGCTGCTGGCTCTCAGAATATGACGTCTCAAGACTGGATGCTGCTGGCCTTGAGCGGAATCGGTGGTCAGGCATCTCAGCACAAGCTCGGCCGCGTCTACGTCCAACGCCTCTTGGAGAACGGCGATATCCATGTTGCAGTGACAATTATGCTTGGCATGGGTGACTACAATGATGCCATTGAAGTCTACATCTCGCATAAGAGATACATGGAGGCTCTCATCCTCACTTGCGTGGCATTCCCAAGTGTCTGGGAGCGACAAGCTGCCATTGTGCGTAAATGGGGCGAGTGGGCTGTTAAGCACGGTCAGCAACAGCTGGCGATTCGTTGTTTTGCCTGCACCGACCAAGAATCCTCGGAGCCTTGGACTTCACCATCAGCTGCTCAGCTCAACTTCCAAAACATCACACCGAGCATCCCCGAGATGTTGAGCCCTCCGCTGTCTCCCCCAGGAGTTCAGAGGGGCCCTCAGCGCAGTGTCGCCAAAGCGTCGGCGCTGAAGCTGATCACGTCGTTTGGAGACCCAAATCAAAAGTCCAAGTTTTACTCGCAGGCTGATGGCGGCCAAACACCTATCGCGGCCGGAGTAACACCTATTGCTGAATCGGCCATATCTCCCTCAAACGGCTTTGACCCTGCGACTGCGTTTCTTCGGCCATCGGGCAATAGTAGATTTAATACGCCAACATCAGCTCGCCCCGTCCAGGGTTTCAATCGTGGCCGATTACCATCCATTGGAGAGGCCACTCTTGATAGGAATACTCTAAAGCCCATTGATAACATCGCGAAAATTGTTGACGCACCCCCGCAGCGGGCGAGCCATTCCCGCAAGTCGTCCGCCACTCAAGACAATATGACGACGGGTCTTGCGATGCAGCGCGCTGCTACAGCCAGCCCCATGATGATGAGAGACCAGTATCAACGTGTCGTTCAGGGGTACTCGGGAGAGCGGCCACCGTCTCCTGATCATACCATCATGAGCAGATTACAGGAAGTCCACTCGACGCAGCGGAACGGCTCCCGTGATCGGATTCCCTCGCATCTGCATTTGCAGCTGCAGCCTCTGGCTCAACCGACAGACGCCATGTCCCCTGATCAGTCTGCCGCCTCATCTACTCGCTTCCACTGGCCATCTCGGACACGTCGTGGCACTGGTCCTCCTGTTGCCGGATCTGTGGCAGGCTCCATTACATCCACCTCGAGCGCTGGCCGGAGTCACAAATCGAACCCCCGGCACAGGGATGATTATATCCATAGCCTGGAGGCGGCTCAGAGTTACTCAAGGAGAGCTGGAAGCAGGACGAGGAGCAAAGAGAGGATGAGAGATGTGTCTGCCGGTCGCCATGGCAGCCGGGAGCGGCGAGCCAAGTCGCGCGATCCTTCAGAAGAGCGCGGTAGAGCTTCAGCCAGATCTTGGACAAAGGCCAAAAGATCCCCCACGTCCCCTGTACCAATGTCACCGGAAGACTTGGCCATCCTCAGCAATCAAACTTTTAGCAACAACGTTGAGCCCCTGACGATTCGGAAAGCAAGCGTAATAAGGGGTAAGACGGGTGGAAGGAGCCGATCGGCTCCGCGATCACCACCCTCGCCAGTGCCAATGTCGGCGACAGCTCTGCATTATCAGGGATCGGAGGATGAGGAAGATTTTAGAGCTGCCATGCAGGCGCAAGAAGAATTCAGAGCCAAGCACAGCAGGAGCGTTGGCCACAACATCAATTCTCCAGCCGTAAGTCGACGGGAATACGCGGAAAGCCGACGAAGAGAGCCAACCGAATCTCGAGAAGCCGCCCCAATAGACTTGAGCCACACTGTACACATACGAGCTGCATCTACCGAGCACGCCGGCGACTTGAAGAAAATGAAGGATGAGAGGCAGCGCAAAAAGGAGCAGGCCGCACGAGAGCTAGAAGAGCGTCGAAAGTCTCTTGCAAAGCGACAACTGGGTCCTCAAATCCCACACCCAAGCGAGATATCTCCTGGCTTTCCTCCGATTCTGGTGGAGGCCGAGGATGAGACACTCCCGGATGACCTCCCTCCTCGCTCTGCAACAGAACCTCCGAGGAGCATGTATGCGCGAAATGGACCACACATCGGCCTTCCTGCTACTCCCAAGGCGATGAGACTCATTCTCCGGTCGGACGATGACCAGTATGAAGACCTCACCCCTCCACCAGTGCCCGCAACATTCTCCCAGAAGTATTCCCCGCAAAGCTCACCAGGGTACTCTCCGCAATACTACACAGAGAAGAAGAAGGTGGTGCAGAGGGAAGAAGAAGACCTACAGCAACGACAATATCAACCACCGCCGCCGCCGCCGCCGCCACCACCACCACCTCAGCAACAGCAGCAGCAGAAGCAACAGGAGGAGGAGCAGCCACTGACACTGCTGCCATCGACCGTCTATCAACTGCCGTCAACAACTTATCAACCTCCATCTCGACCCATGATTCCGCGAAGCATGTCGGCACCAATCCCTGAGGAACCCTCTCATCAAACTCGTTTCGGGAGAAAGGGGAGTGCGAATGAGGGCAGGGGCCTCGATGACATTGTTGAGACAGAATGGCGCCGGCAAGTGAACAACCTGGTGCCCCCACCACCACCGCCCCCTCCTTCGGCGCCCGCTACTTTCTTGAAGGAGCTGCAACATCTAGCTATGCCTCCTCCTCCCCCTCCGCCCCCGCTGCCACACGTACGACGCCAGCCGCCCGTTGCTGGAACGTTGGCCTCGGGTATGATTGAGATTGTCATGGATGAAACCGATACGGAGGAACCCATGATGGCCGCTCCAAATGACGGCATGGTACCGGTGATTCCTCCTCCCGAACCGCCTGTCAAGGCCCACAATCGCGGCCGCAGCCTCGGAGAGGGCAGCCTTTCTGGCCGCATGACCAAGACGAACGAACGTCTCCGTTCAGGCAGCCGTAGCCGAAAGGAGGGATCCATCAGCATCAAATCACCCCCGCTTGACATGTACGGCGATGGTGGCAATTCCTTTAGCCAGCTTAGATCTCCTATGGCTGGTATTCCTCCTCCCGTTCTCTATGATCGAGACGCCATTCGATCGCCAATCGAGGGGCACGGAAGAAAACTGTCGTCGGCTGGCCTGCACGGTAGTGGCATGTTCTAATTTTGATAATGACGACCACACTAAAGGTTCCCCTTGCCGAGGCGCGAGATCTTTGCGCATGCCGATTTGGCGTTCTTGCCATGCTTTTCTTTGCTTCCAGTTTGGTTTTGGTTTTTATTATTCCCCAAGATGCGAATGCTATGTTCGTATCATCTTGTGAGTTCAAAATATGGGGTCGATGTTTTTGAAGAGGTTCTCTCTGGAGGGATTTATTTTCTGGCAGAGATATGTCATGACTATATTTGTTTTCTTTCTTTCAATTTTGCATGTTTTTCTTCCTTTTGCACCAAAAAAATTATATTCTTTCTGGTGTCTTTACATTGCACTTGTGCAATTCTAGAGGAGAACCTTTTTTTTTTCTTTAAACTTGTTTTATTTTGTGATATATGCATTAGGGGGTTGTTGTTGGATAGATGGCCTGTGGATTCGGCCTGAATCACATGCACGCGCATACGGGCATTGTATATCCTGGATTGGAGATGTTTCTTCTTGGCACTTGCCCCCTTTTTTCGCTTCTTTTTCTCTTCTTTACGATTGATGACGGACTGGGGCAAAAAAAACAAACAAGCAAGTGAAGCTGGAAGACGGCGACGTCTCATGGCAGCAAGACTAGGGGAATTGTATGGATGGACATGCGGTGCAGGCAGAGAGGTAGGAATGCAGGGCAGACTTAGCTTTTTTATACAAATGCTGCCTCGCGGCAAATTTTGGCTTGAGGTAGCTGATGAAAAATTGACGTCTTCTATCATGCGCACACGCTTTGTTTTTGTGGTGTCTGTGTACTATATAAGAGTTGATGCAGTGCACATGTTCGTGTACCCATCTTGGTGGTTGGTGATGGCTTCACACCCTGTGAATTCGACAGGATGATGCGAAAGGGAGGGGTTCAAGTGCCGCCACAACATCACAATGCAGCAATTTTTGAACCAAACCAGGCATCTAGACGGATACCTGAATGACTTGTGAATCCTCTACTATTTTTTTCACGGCATAAACCAATATCCTCAAAGAATAAAAGGACAAAAAAGTGAGAAAAAGCAAAAAAAATAGTGTCGGCATTCTCCGTCTCACCATTCCATCCCACGCCCTCCGCGATCGTAATCCAGCCCGCCACGCGACGGGGGAGAGTCCTCTGCAGAGTGAAACCTCCCTCAAGTGTCATCTCCATTGCTTAGGGCCAAAACCGACAAGTCGCAAGTTTCCTATGCGAGCGGCTGGCCACCGCGGCGTTCGGGCTGGGCGTCGAACGGAGGGGATCTGACGGGGGTGAGATTGGAAAAGGCGAGTTGAGTTGAGAGCCTTCACCGTTTGACCATTACAGCCGTTAGCATGGGTATGAATTTTGGTTTATAAAGGGTAGGGAGCTCTGAGGTATGGGGGACGGGAGATTGTTGAGCCGGCGGCCGGGGGGCAGCTGGAGCTGTTACAGTGGGTTGGGGGCGCTGTAGCTGCTTGAGCATGTGCTAGAGCTACCTAGTAGAGCTTCAACCTTACTTTCAACCTCCAACACGGAAATATGGCATCGACATTACTACATTCACAGCCTTGATCACCGAATTGATGCGCAGGCTCGCCTCTCGTTATATCCCACGGCCAACTCGGTTATCTCATAGAATGGCCTGCGCTACTTGATTGCGCAACATCTCCGTCCGCCTTCCCTCTCCATTCCCAACCTCCGACAGCTTTCCCGAGATAGACGGACGGACGAGACGAAGGCTGAACCAGGCCAATTACTCTACACCTTCTGCTATATGAAGCGATATAAGAACCAGCGAGTCCTTTAATATACACCAAAAGAGAGAGAGCAAAGAAAACAACAGATCACAATGCTCACCACGGCCCCTCACCTGCGCATTCGCCGCCCCTCTCCCACAACGGCAGAATTCACCGTCACGACGCTCCCGCCGCAGACGCTACCCCTGCGCCTCCTCTGGCTCCTCCTCCTCTTCCTGCGCATCTCCCTCTCCGTCACAATGCTGCTCATCCTCTACGCGCGCTGGGTCCAAGAGCGCACCCGCAGCTGCTTCGGCGCACAAGCCGCACCGGCCACAACCTCGCCCTCACCACCGCCGCTGTTCTCTCTAGACCGCATAGTCTTCGCCCTTGATGCCTTTCAGGACACACCTGCTGGTGCGATACTGGCTAAGATCGCGGCGACGGTGTCGCTACCGGTGCTGCTGCCTGTTGCTGTGGCGGTGTTTTACGCGCTGAGTTTGAGGGTGCATAAGCAGGAGAGCTTGTTGGTTTTGAGGGGGTTAGGTGTGCAGACGTGTGAGAGCCCGGCGACGTATTTGGCGGGGGCGGCGACGCGATTTATTCCGACGGAGAAGATTCAGGATATTTTGGTGAATGAGGCGTTTCGTGGGTTTGAGGTTAGGTATTATCTTGTGGTGGTGGTGGAGGGGGAGGAGGATGTCGTGGTTGTGTTTCCGGGGTTGTTGCCCAAGAGGAAGATTGTCGAGACTGTATGGAGGGGGGTGAGAGAGTGTTTGTATGAGGGGAGAGGGGAGGATAGGGGGTTGGCGAGTGATAAGTGAATTGAGAAGTCAAGATGGATATTCCCATAATGTGCTCATGAGATGATGCCGTTTTTATTTACATGTTGGCGCTTATAGAGAGCACTTGGCATCATATTTCCAAGAGTCATGTATTCCAGAACTAGAAATCTATATACCCCTCTTGATTTATATATATATTCATTTCTTCGTTTACTTGGATTTACTCATCGGCCATGGGGGTATCGCCGTCTTGCTCCTTGTTGGACCTGAACCCCTTTTTCGCCCTCATGTCCTCTGCGTCAGCGTATCCCTTTCGCTTCGCATACTTGTCATTCTGCTCATCCGCAGACTCGAGCAGCTTCATCTTCATAACGCCAGGATACTTGCCGCTCAGCCTCCCGCCGTTACCCCCCTCAAAGACCTTTGTGCTGTTGGCGCTGCTAGCCGGCGCCGCCCTGGCTGCCGTGCTGCCATTATTGCCCTGCTGTGAGACGTGCTGCAGTAGTTGGCCAGCAAGGATCTCATCCATCTTTCGCTCACGCCACATCTGCCAAGTGTCGTCCATGATGCCAAACTGGCCGAACCGCCCGCTCGGCCCGTCGTCGCCGACGTACACCCACTGCAGCGCGTCGTCCTCGCGATGGGCCGCCGTGGACTGGCTCAGGTCGGACGGGAAGATGCAGTCCCAGAGAACCAGGGGCACCTCGTCGGCCATGACGTAGTTTGGGCGGCGCGGGTTCCTTTCCACGTCGAGCAGCTCGCTCACCAGCGACGGCTGCTCGAGGCCCTGGCCGACGAGAAACAGCACGGCAACCATGTGGCGGATCTGGTGCCACAGGAAAGCAGAGCCGCGAACATGAAAGTAGTAAACCTTTGGATACACTTCGCCGGAGTTCAAGGCCAAATCTTCAGGGGCGAAGCCAGCGGCCTTGAGGTACGGCAGGGCAGAGGCGGCATCCTTAACCTCGACAATGTCCGACTCGAACATGCGGCGCTTGAAGTTTGTGATTTGCTTGGCCGGGTCGATCTTGCAGAGATTGCGGAAGTCGTGCTCGCCCTCGTACCGCTTCGCCGCGTCGCGCATGGCTTCGATATCTAGCCAGCCGGATTTCATAATCTTCCTGGTCCTCTGCTTCATCGGGACGCCTTCCACGTGAGAGGGCGTCGGGGCAAAGGCGGGCTGGGTGAAGAAGTACCGGTACTGACGCTCCCTACACGAGAAGCGGGCTGAGAAGTCGGGAGGCGGCGAGGGACACCAGGCGAGGATGCGGATCTCCTTGGGGAGTAGGCGGTTGAGGACGTGGGGATAGGGGATCTCGTCGCGGATGTCGTCAAAAGACTTCACTTCCTCTTGCTGCTGCTGCTGCTGCTGCTGCTGCTGGTTCTTATCTGCTCCGGACTCTTCCTGTACTTGCTCCCACTCCCCTGGTGCGTCCTCGTCCTGGGCCGGCTCCTTAGGCAGCGGCCTGTTGCTGCGCACCCTCAGCCCAATGACCTGCCCAAAAGCACTAACTCCACGATCCGTCCGGCCGCACTTTGAGTACTCGCAGCAGTCAAAATCAACAAGCTTCTCGTCCTCGGGAAAGATGAGGCACGCCTTGGTCAGGGCGTTCCACAGCTCCTCCTCGATGGACGGCTGGTTGCCCATGGCCTGGAACTCGAAGCCGCCGTAGTTTTTGCCCAGGTACGCCAGCTTCAGGGCAATGTACCGTGTGGAATACTTTGACGGGTCCATCTTCTTCTTGGCCCTGGGCTTCTTGACTGGCGGAGCAACTTCATCTCCTTCTCGTCGCGGTTGTTTGTGTTTCTCTTGTGAAGAGGTTTGATCCTGTGTTGAACTGGGCACCAAAGATGTGGCCACATGTAGCTGCTGCTCCAACTCCTTGACTCTCTGAATGAGACCGGTTTTGGTCCAGTTATTGTATTTCCCTTGGTCAGACATCTTCAGCCTCCTCTCGCGAACCAGATCCAAATTGTTGACGGTTGATAAACGGCAGTGAAATTGAAATCCTTCTCTAGCCCTGCTAGGCCAGCTCGTTATGGCACCCCCACAAATCTTGCGGCCTAGATTCCCCTGATGGAAAGGTCGCATGTAATGAGTTTGTGTAGAATATTTGATATTTCCATAGCCATTGAGGGGGGGTTTCTCTAGTTGCTTTGGATTTTTTCCATTTCTCTATTAATGGCCTTAATGGGTAGTTTTTTGAGTCGAGATGTGTGTGGCTTGGTGGCCTGTGAAGTGTGGCTGGTGAGATAAGTAGCGCCACTCGAGTTGTCAATGCTATTACGAGCGTGGACTCAACCCGATGACATCCATTGATCTCTCTTCTTCTCATGCTCTGTCTGACCCAATGCTCCAGATCCTCCACGGGAAGAAATGGACGATGAAGTCGTCAAGATACTTCTCGTAGGAGATGAAAAATGCGGCAAAACTACGTTTCTCTCGTTTGTAGCGACCCATCTTTTTATAGGGTAGTAGTAAACTCTCACTGACAGACGGGCTTTCATCGCAGGAGAGTCAGCGCTGGCGAGGACATCAACCCGATTCCGCTGCTCCGTGACATTGACCAGCCGTACATATTCTCGGTCAATGTAGCGTCCAAAAGTCTTCGGTTCGAGTTCTACGACACCTCCAGTCCCGAAAACTGGCGCCTGCTGGATCCGGACGTCATTGTCATTTGCTACGATATCAGCCAGCGCCTGAGCCTTATCAACATGAAGAGATATGTCAGTATTTCTTTTATTTTGCCCTCAATTTCCTATCTATCCTCCCCTCTGCAGTCTCTGCTATATACAATTCATAATAACGGCCATTAGTGGATCAATGAGGTGAAACAATCCTTTTCCCGGATGGATTCCCTGCCGGTGGTAGTGATGGGGCTGAAGAGGGACTTGCGGTCTGAGAATGATCCGAATGGCATCATATACCCGCAGGATGCCTATCGAATGGCCCAAGAGATGAGAGCAGATCGTTATGTCGAATGCTCGGCGGTGACGGGAGAGCTGGTGAGGCCTGCGTTTGAAGACATCTGCAAGACGGCTGTCAAGACGACAACGGAGAAGGGTGGCCAGAGCGAGGGTGGTTGCACGGTCCTGTGAGCCTGGACGAATTCCTGTTTGGAATCTTAGATATAGATATCCGAGTTGTCGTTTCTGGCAGTTCATTCATCCATGATAAAAGAGAGGGCCATGCCTTTGCCCGACCTGACGCTTGGTGGCTGTAATCATAGTGGTGACATTCATGACATTTCATGACTCTGCGGCTTCATCTGCGTTGCCGTTGGCATCAGGCTGCGCCGCTTCAAACTGGCCCAAAACTTCCAGAATAATGGTCACCATCTCCTCTTGCTGCTCGTCGCTGAAGCGCTCCGACATCTCCTCGATGACGGTATTGAGAGCTGCCACCGACGCCGGCCGAAGGTTGAGAATCATGACGACCTCGCCCTTGGAGAGCTCATAAGGACTTAGGCGTTCAAGCAGCTGGGAGATGCAGCCAGGGGTGTAGGTGCTGGGCTTTTGGCTCAGCGGGTTGGGATATGACTGCAGATATTGGATGAGCTGAGGAAGAATGGTTAGTTGTTGATAATACCTAGTCATCTCATGTCTAAACGGCAACGAACCTCTCTGACAACCGTCTCTAGATTAGGAGGGCCACGTCGTTTCCTCTGCTTGTATCGATCCTTTTGCTGGGTAAGATGCTGCAGCACCTCATAATTGGAGAGTACGGCAGCCTGAGCTTCGACGACCTTCATGGTGGTGGTGATATATGCCTTGTTTCTCCGGCAAAGTAGAGCAATAAAACCTCCAACAAGTGAACGATTGTAGCTGTAAGACTCCAGATAGTACAATGCCTGGGATTAAATGATTCCCCTTTGAGTATCAGACAAGACAAACAAAGCTCTTATTGAGCTTCCGTATCCAAATCGCTGCTACACGACTTGATCTAAGAAAAGATTGGACGACGCAAGCATTTTCTCGCGACAATCCGGCGGCCCAATCAGGGCAGCGCCAATTGCCCCTCCTAATATCTGGGTGCAGACCGCCAAACAGAAGGCCGCTAAAAATTTCCTCGCGTGGCTTGTGCTATGCTGAAGTTACCTTGTACAGTGTGGAATGTCGCATTTGCACCATGTAGCGTCCAGCATGCAGCCTAGAATATCACATGCAGGGAATAGAACTACAGGTACGGTACCCCGTAGAGGTGAGGGAGAGGGAGGGTTTGATGAGGCTCGTGATGGGTATTTTAGAATGCCATCACAATATCCATAGCTTAAGTACTACTACGAGAGAGGACTTTAGACATTGTCTCAGTAAAAAAGACGCTGAAGCTCGCGAATTTTGCCATTGACGGATGCCGAACTTGGACCAAGGTCAAACGGGTATGTACTCGCACTAAGCTGCACTAGCCCTGTTGAAACATGGCAACCCTGCATCTAAGTCGAGCTTGAGACCCTGGGAAGATATCAAGCAAGGCAAGCAAATGCCTCACGAACTGACTGGCCTTGTTGGAGAGAGGGAATAAAGAATACGGCACGCCATCACTTACTTGTTTTTAGGTGTCTGCTAGGTATTATGTGCGAATGTCGGTGTGATGATGGATATATGTACAGTTTCGTTTGCCTGACGTCAAGCACGCCATGGTTCCAAGTTGGATCAACGCCTCTGGTTCCCGACCAACTAAATGCAAAACAGCCTTTCGTACATAAAAATAGGAGCAATTGCGCAATTCAAAGCGTCGTTCCCTCAGACAATACGCTGACAGCTCGCTAGGCCCGGTCCTCAGAAATAGTCGTCACCCTCCAGTGAGCGCTATTCATTCGAGTCCGTGGCTCAGCCAGTGGCGCCCACCATTCTGGTACATCCAGTTGTAGCGTCTTTGGGGCATCTGATGTCCTTTATATGGGAAAATGCCTTGCCCGATATTGAACACATGCACCTTCCATCACGGGCACATGCACGTAGCAAGTACTGATAAATGACATGGAAGGATTCCATGGGATTGAGCTGGGTTCTTGTGAAGCTACAGTTCCGGTACTCACTCGTCTCAGTGGATGTACAGTGTCCAACACAGTGTACATATACCACCATCTCTTCCCCCGCCTAGCACCAAGTGGAGGGGCGGCAGCGGGGAAGAAAGCCCTGCCCAGGTGCAGTTACAGCGCGTTTTGGCCCTGTGCCAGGTTTTGCCAGGCTGCTGCAGTTGGCCTGAAATTGAACTGCATCTCGCTGAAGCCTGCCCCGACCCCACTCATGCACGTCTCGGCAACAGACGCAGGCCGGTATGCGGTAGGTCAATTTTTTTTCCCAATGCGCATCAGAATTTTTTTTTTTTGAGTTCCGCCTTCCTGCTAGTCGTCGAATCGGCGTCCTGACTCAGAGCCTCTCACTCCTCTCTCTCCTCTATTTTTTTTCTCCTTCTCCTTCTCTCCCTCTTCTATCTCCCCTCTCCTTTCATTTTGATCATCATGCTGCTGTAGCATCTTTGCGCTGTTCTGCTGCTGCTGCCGCTGCCTCGAGGCTCTGCCATCGCCGCCTTGGTCTTTGCTCCTTGATTCCGTTCCGTCGTCTCCCGCATCTCCAACTTCGGCCGCAATCGGCAAAGATCTCTGGACCACGGCTTTGCATCTGACGTCGGCCTGGAACTCTGCTCCCCACACGGACGGCGGGTCTGGCTGAAAAAACGAGCATCGCTCAAGCCCTCACGCGACCCCTCCATATCTCTGGAATTGCTCAATTGGAGACCTTCATCTAGTCTTCAAGGCTCTTCTCTTGATCACTGCTGTGCTGCTTGACGCTGTCGCCATGGTTCGCAACATTGTCGTCCTGGGAGGCAACTCCCACCCGCAGATGACGGAAAACGTCTGCAACTTCCTTGGTATCCCGGCTTGCGACCGCATCTTGTCAAAGTTCTCTGGTGGCGAGAGTCGCTGCGAGATCAAGGACTCTGTCCGTGGCAAGGATGTCTACATCATCCAGTCTGGCTCTGGCCATGTCAACGACAACCTCATCGACCTCTGCATCATGATCTCGGCCTGCAAAATTGGCTCCGCCAAGCGCGTCACCGCCGTTGTGCCTCTCTTCCCTTACTCGAGGCAGCCTGACTGGCCCTATAACAAAGCCGGCGCTCCTCTATCAAGGTCCTCCGAGTCTTCTTCCAAGAAGGACTATACTTTCGAGAGCGTTCCCCCGACACCGCGGCCTGGCGGACCGCGAAGCGCCGGCCTCTCAAATGGGGTTAATGGCCTCACCGAAAAGCTCTCCAAGAACTCTGAGAATGGCCATCGAGAAGTTAACGGCGACTCGCTGCCAAAGCGATCAGATACCCTCTCCAGCGTTGGCTCTAATGGAGTCTACCCCGACCTCACAAAACGAAGCTTTACGACTCACGATTACGAGAACCAGACCAACATCAACGGCTTCCGGCCCAAGCCTGGCTATAAGCAATGGGTGGCCCAGGCCGGCACTCTTGTTGCTGATCTTCTTACTTGCGCTGGCGCTGATCACATCATTACCATGGACCTTCACGACCCTCAATACCAAGGCTTTTTCGACATTCCTGTCGACAACTTATACGGCAAATTCCTCCTCCAAAACTATATCCAAACCCATATACCCGATTACAAGGAGGCAGTCATCGTCTCGCCCGACGCAGGTGGTGCAAAGCGAGCTACCGCTATCGCGGACAGCCTCAACATGGACTTTGCGCTCATTCACAAGGTAATATGACTCCATGATCTTCTTGTTCGAGACTCATTTTTTACCCCCTCTAGGAACGTCGTCCCATCAAGTTTACAGACCACCGCAACGCCAGCATGATGCTTGTTGGCGACATTGCCAATCGGGTCTGTATCTTGGTCGACGATCTTGCCGATACGGCCAACACAATCACTCGCGCTGCCAAGCTGCTGAAGCGAGAGGGCGCCACTAGAGTTTACGCCCTCATCACCCACGGCGTCTTCAGTGGAGATTCCATTGCCCGCGTCAATGCCTCCGCCATTGACAAGGTCGTTGTGACCAACTCGGTCCCGCAGGAGGAGCATCGTCGTCTGTGCCCGAAGTTGGAAGTGCTTGATATCTCGCCAGTCTTTGCTGAGGCCATCCGCCGCGTCCACCACGGCGAGTCTATTAGCGTACTCTTCCAACTTGCCTAAGTTGGGCTGGACGGAGAGACGCTAATTTTGTGTTGATGGATCAGCCATGAAGCTCGCGATGTTATCGTTGCAGTGCTGATGAGGGAGCAAACGGAGACGGGCTAATCTGCTGGAGCGGTTGAGATTTCTGAGGGTCACTTGGTCTGGGCTGTCTTTTTTTTTTTTGCCTTCGCTTCTTCTTCTCCCTCTCCCTCTTTCTCCCCCTCCCTTACTTCATGAATAATACCCCTGTGGCTTTTAAACTCGGTGTAAAAACACATTATATAACCTTGAGCCTTACTGCCACTGGGGGCTGTTCATGAAAGAGGTGTGGCCGTTCTTTTGTTTTTACTGCCAAAAAAGTATTCAGCTCTCACGGCATCTACTCGATTGGCCGTACTAGACGAAACCCCTTGAAATGCCCGACTACTGGCCTCGCACAATATCTCTGAGGAGGATCTATGTGCGAGAAGTAAGGGAGTTTTATTTGCGGTATGAGCTTTGTTTTGGTTGTTTTGACAGGGCCGCGTCGCTAGGCGCGTAGACCCTGTCACCTACCATTTCACTATGGTATTTTCCTTTTGCTCTTTGCTACACACATCATTGACAATACTGTCACCGAAGGAGCTGCTAGAGTGCTGTATGTACCCGTAGCTCTCTTCAAAAATATCTGGGAGGCTGCTTATTTTTCCCCCTTGCTGGGAAATTTATTGAGAAAAAACCATATAGAAAGTAAAATGGCATCGTAGACTTGAGGATTTCCAGGAACGTTTGTGCTTGCGCGCCGCATGTGCTAGTTCATGTTTCGGCGACGAGGAGGAAAACACATATCGTGTAAATAGTTTGGATTCAATTGGCCGTAGGGAGTAAATGCCACTTGAAAATCATTGACAGAGAAATATTCATGAGAAAAAAAAATTGAATGAATTGAAAGATAATCTCTTTGATTTCTGTTATATGTCGTGTCGTGTGTACGTGTATGTATGTGAGGCTGACTCCGGCATGTTTGCATGTGATTGAGATGTTTGTGGCTTGTGAAGCAGACGACAGAGTGAGATAGCATTGACGCCGTCCTGATTAAACAGATACCAGTGCGCGCGCGTCCTCTGTCTTCCTAATGGACTGAAAATGGAGAGAGAAATTATCGCCTTGGGCTGGTTGAATATGTTAATTGCATGTTCTTGTTACGGTTTCCAAAGTTTCTCTTATTGCACACAGATATGTTGGTGGTAACGTGTGAATTATCTACGCTGACTACTTGGAGTTGCTACGTCGCCCTTTGATGTCGGGATAAACTGGCCTCCCGGCTGCTTCTCTAAATCAAATTGGACGAGTAAGATGTCGTTTCACAGCATTTTTAACTCCCCCCGAGACGGCGAATCTGGGGTAAACCCACCTCCCACCGTGATGACGCGCCAATATTCACAGCATTTATAACCTCTATCGAGACCTTTGTTTCCAGCCTTTTGGTAAGATTGATTACATTCCGTGCCAAACACGTGTATACACAGCTTAGTTCAGAGCAAGACAAGACAAATGGCAGAAAAGAGAAAGTCGTCTAAGGTGCATTCATCTATCTCAGCGCAATCTATATGTGTTTGCCTCCTGATTCATCATTCCTCATCACATCATATCCATCTGCCAAACCCATCGCTTTCTGTCGCTTATCCCCTCCAACAGTCGTAATCAGTTAAAAAAAAAAAACGACAGAGCGCATAGCAAAGCTACGCATCACCTTCAGTTGCCGCAGTTATCCAGCTGCCTCCAATCGTCGCAAGGTCTTCAGGAATCTGCCAACCATGTAATCTTGCGGCTCGTTGGTAAGCATCGACTGCTTCGCCGACGCCGTAGTCATTGGTATCATTGGTCCCCTTTGCCGGATCCAATCTTGCTGGACGGTCCCGTTCTACCAATCCCAAGCGGACCTGCAAAATGACCTTTTCTATCGTCATCGCCGCCGACCAGCCTGAGTTTGTGAGCATCTCGGAACAAATCGCTCCCCCCATCGTGACATGCCCTCCCCCTCCCCGGGAGAATGGCAGGAATCTTGGCCGTACAACGCGAACAAAAGGCGGGGAGAAGGGAAAGTTGGCACCAAAACGAAATTCAAGCACGATGCTGGTGCACCCCTTCTCTTTCATGTCTTTTGCGAGTGGAAGGTCGACTTCGAAGCTGTGCAACTCAACCGTCCAGTGAAAGATGTTGCTTATCTTGTCAAAGTCAACATACCACCCGAGAGATGCGAGGTCTTCGTGACGTTGAATCTCATGCATTTCCTTGATGGCGCGGTTTAGGGTTTTGAGTGCCGTTGGAGAAGTTGAAGCCCAGCTCGGAGCCGGGAGCTTAGGGAGAGACTCCAGATCTAGGCTGCCAGGCACAAAGTCAGTCGTGAATCGCGCGACTGAATTCTCATCAGGTAGTCTATGAGCATATGCTGTCGTATTGAGTTTGTGACTTCTCCTATCTGTTGAGGCAATCGATGAGCTTCGGCGCTTAATTGAGCGCCTTACAACATCGTCGGCATGATTCTCTTCAGAATCCAGAAGAAATTCGTGATCCGTGTCGCCATGGTCGCTGTCATAAGTTATCTCCGGCGTTTTCAATGATTCACCTGGTTCACGGTCGCTGACTGTGGTTTTGCTTTTGCCAAGGTGTCGACGGTTAGATGGTAGTGCTGATAAGGGGATCTGAACTTTGACATCCCTAGAAGCACAGAGCGCCCTCGAGGGCTGCTGGGGCACGTATTCCGTGCATGTTTCTGTGGGCTTGGTGGGAAATGGTTCTTGGATCGCTTCCGCTGTCGGATCTACAGAGACGAATAGGTATCTGCACTGAATCCATTCGATTTGATTGACCACGTAGTGAGGTGCTGTTCTCACAAACTCATCGCATCGATTAACGACCTCGCATATGCTGATGGCAGCAAAAGGCTTGAGTAGGGAATTTGGCCAGTTGGTTTCCTATTGCACAGCAAAAGTCAGTCAATGCTTCTGGTATGCTTGCCAAAGTGTAGACATGGACTTACTACAGCATATGGCTGTTTTCTACAGTAGCCTTTGCTCACTGTAAAATCACTGCTCATATACACCCCATCTCCAAGGGAGCGCCCATTCTGGACAGTGTTGAAGTCGAGACCAGTTCGTATAATGCTATGCCAATTCTGAAGGCTGCTACCATGCCATGCAAAGATGGTAGGGAATTTTGACTGTTCTCCTCGAGACTGTGATACGGCCATAATCTCTTTCATAAAAAGACGTTCTCGTTCTGGAGTCCCCTGTAAGAATCGAAACTGCATCCAATGAGGCTGCAACCCATTCACCTTGTGAGGGTTGAGAGGGTTGGGAGGGTCGGGAGGGTTGGGAGGCACCCTGATTCGAGATTGGGGATCATCGGGAGGCACCCTGATTCGAGATTGGGTATCACCGGGCTGCTCTTCTGGCTTGAATAAATTCGGTACTGCATCGTCCTGAAGAATTAGAGATCTATTCGAGGATATGATCCACTGCAGAAGGGTAAGTGAGTCCTTATCAAGACGACCCCAGGAAGGAAGGCGCTGGCTTGGATTATCCAAAAGATATGTCCTCATGTCTAAAACGGATGGAATTCTGCGTAATATCATAGCCAGAGCGACGGATCGGTCAGTCTCGTTAAGATTATCAGTATCACCGGTGTACTGAAGAATCGTGACCTCTTTCCATTCCACTTCAGTATTCGAAACCTCTGTAGGCCGTTCGTCTTCCGGTAGAGGCAGCACTCCCAACGGTGTCGAAAGTGTCGAGAGGACCTCAAATGTGTAGAAACAGTCCGCAATGTGTGTCACTTTGCAAACGTGTCTTTCGAGATCTAAGTAAGAGCATTAGAACCGAGGTGTTGGATTCAACAGATTGTAAAAGGGCAATTGATGCTTGGGTAGCAGAAAATGGTCAGTTACTTACGTCCGTTGACTAGCGATGCCACTGGAATGTCGGCTTCCTCCCCGATGACTATCATAAGCAAATCGCCGACCTTAATCTTGGGGTACATCCTTGCATGAACATCTGGGTCGAAGCGGATCGTCTTGTCGTAAAAGCAGGCTTCGGCAACGGTATGCGCTGCCGCTTCACTAGCATCTCCAATGGGGACGCTCTTTAGACCTAGACCGACAGGGAAGTTTCGTAGACTTCTAGGGCTACCAAGGGCTGCAGCGAAGAAGCTAATCAGAATGTCAACGACATATGGGTTGCTGACGATCTCGTGCTCAATGCTTGCGCCTAATCCAAGAGTCGTAAACTGGTAAACACACAAAGTTCTATGGCAGACGTAAGGTTTGAGAGCCTCGAACTCATCGTCCAGCCCTCTGTGACAAACCATACAATATTTTGTACAGCGGGCGAAGCGGCGAAGTGCAAGTTGCATGGCGACCATAGGAAGGCTGAAGTTCTTATCTTGATCCAAAGCATAGTCAGGGCTTAATGACGGTATTGCGTTTTCGGAAACCGGAGTGTCCATTGTAGTATTTTCGCAAGCAACTGCATCCCGAAAAAATTCACCCTCGGCGAGCAATCTGAGGCGATTCACAGCCGTGTCCCAGGATAAGCCCTCGCTCCGTCTTAACTTTAACAATGCTAAGAACTCATCATTCATAAGCATGTTGATTGAGTTGGACATATAAAGAGGCACAAAGCTTCCGCTGGTATCTTTAGCCTTGTCGTTTGAGGTATTCTGGCTACCAAAAACAGCATCAAACAGCGTCTTCAAGGCCAAGCGAGCAGTATCCATGGATGGCTTAGGCTTTGAACACTTGCCAAAACGGAACTCAGGCTTCCAGTGGTCGTCGTTTAATAATTCTGAAAGAGTCGGATAGTGTGACGAAAATTTACACAAAAGAACTACATAATCGCGAGGTTCAAGGCCCCATGCTTCTAGAGCATGCTCGGGGATACCAAGTTTGTTTGCTCGGAGAGAGAGGGAAAAAAACTCAGCCTCGCGAATTGGCCCTCTGGGATAAATTCCCACTGAAATACCTGCTGATCGAGCAATGTTTAAATCTTTCTTTAGACGAGCGAACGAAAGTGGAGTGCCGCTAGGTTGGTCCAAACGTTGCCTGGCTGAAGTCGTGGAGAGAGAGTACTCGTTCATATGGTCCTCGTATAGTGATTCCAGCTCTTCCTCATCAAATGAGTCTAACACATCATCCGAGTCGGCATATGATTCGGGACTTTCATCATCTTCGGCGCCGGCCTCTACCTTGAGAAGAAGCCTCTCTGCAACAGCTTTTATGATGGTCTGAACATCCTTATTTGCAAGAGACGCCGACAGACGTTCAAGAAGAGAAGAGACATCGACCATGGAATGTTCGGATTCTGTGAATATCATGACGCTTGAACTTTTTGGATAGGAGTCGACATCTGGCTAGCTTTAACACCCAAAATTCCAAGGTGGTGGTTAGGAATATTGGCACTTACCAAGGACTAGGATTTGGATAACCAGGGATGGTGTATCGCCATTGGGAGACCAGGTAAAGACAACCTCGCCATCTGAGTCTCCTTTTCGAATGTCGGATACTCCATTGATCTCAATCGCTTTAGATGCGGATATATCCTGGTTGAACTGTTTTAGGCCCATGACGACGAGCTTCTCAAAGGCGCGACGTCTGACGACATGCAGCCATAAGAGGTGCGCTCCACTATCGCGATCGGACCGTCGTAAATCTGTATTAATAGAGAGATAAAGAAATGTAGAGATGGAGATAAAGAGGGCAGAGAAGTAGAAGAAAAGAATATGGGATCAAATGCCGTCTGGTTCTGCGCGTGCTGAGTTTGCGTTTTCAGGAGGTTTGTCGCCGGGCTGGCGGCAAGTGGCGGCAGAAAATTGGAAGGCTGTGCCGGGCGACTCTTGGGGCCTTTTATATTCCGAGAGTTGGGAGCAAAAGTGAGAAAAGAGAGAAAGAAGAAGAAGAACAAAAGCGTCGAAGAGCGTCAGAGAATCACAAAAGGGTAGCAGCCAGTCACCTGTTTGAGCAACTGCATTTGGCCTTACATTAGCACTTTTCCGAGCCCAATGAGAGATGGAAACTGGACGAGGCCGAAAGCCTTGCTCTGGCTTGATAGATTAGTACCGGTATGACATTTGACGGAGCGAGAAGCAAAGGCCACATCAATACATTCAATCAAATTAGGCGGCGCCATTCCATTACAAAGACAGTTGAGGGCAGAGTGACCACAGCACAGCTCAGCGCAACAGCAGAGGTATAAGTAGCACCGGAGTCAGGTACTTACGTGCACCCAATGACCTCAGCTATAATATCATTAAGTTCAAGGCTTCTCTGGCGCAGAGGTGCTCATTGAGCAGCCTTGGACGTGTGCTAGTAGGTATGCTGCCCAACTGCATGCAGGATCCTTCACTGTTGCGTTTAATCTATCCGGAGGCCGACGAGGAATGAATGAATGCCGCTGGCTTTGCTGGCCGGCTTGCAGAGTCACGACAGGATAAATGAGAGAGGAGCAGGTGATTCATAAGGTATTTGACGACACGCAGATGTTAAAGTACCACCGAAGTGCCTCCAAGCACCCAAAAGCTTCAATTTCAAGGCTGCCAAGGTTGGGTCAACGAATCATCAATTGGAGAAAGATGGAAATACGGACTCGCCACAGCAGAAACAAAAACAGGGACTCAGCCTTGGTGGGGTGTCTGGGGCTGTTGCCTGCGATGGGCATGGATGGCTGATGTGATATGATAAATGATTCGGTGCATCCAAGTCACGCAGACCTGGTACTTTTGGCAGCAGCAACTTCAATGGTACAGTACTTAAGCAATCCATGTGTTGGTTGCATGTGGTCAAAGTCAACATGGACATGTGAAGTTTGGTGTTTGGGCACTAAGGACAAAATAAGGCTGCCCGGACGATTCATTCTATATCCAGTAGCGCATCTCAGGGTTCTAGGCTCAATACACTTTCGTGTGGCTTCGGCTGTTTGCCCATCGATGTCTCACAATCAATCAAACCCAAGACTCTGTCACTGATGCTAACGCGGGAGGTACACGGACACCACTGTAAACCCCGCTAGGCGGTGGGGAGGCTCAGCGGAATTTATTTTAGCACGAGCCTTAACTTCAGCGTACCTAGACCCGAAGGCGCCGATGCGCCACTTTGACTCCCAGATTCGCGCATTTACAGTGACATCCTCAAGCCAACAACGACGACAGCTTCGCACAATGGCCTCCACGAGCCGTCGGTACTCGCAGTAGCCGGCGACACTATGCCGTTCAGCCAGTCAAAACAGTCTCGAACTCCCGTTTAACACGTCCCAAGACTCAGCCACCTTCGCCACAGCTTGCCGATCTCGCCTCTGCCTGCATTGCGTGGCCCTCTTCTAGACCAGATGCACGGGACGGATTGTGCAAGCCACCGATATGCTCAAGCCGTCTACGCTTTGGGGCTGGCCGCTCTCTCGGCTTTCCCCTCGTCGCCTGCCCGCGCTGTTAATCTTGCTGTCTCTTTTCGCGCTCCTCCTGATTGGCAGCCTGACATGGGCTGTTCCAGCCTCACCGGGCCTTTCTGCATACGAGCACAACGTCTCTCGCCCTCGCCCTCACCCTAGTGACGCGCCTCCCAAGGAACCTGAAGTCTCCCGCCCATCACAATCGCCACAGTCACCAACGGAGCAAAAGAGCAGCGAATACAATGGCTCGTATTGGTTGGCCGACGAGAGAGGGCTCTCGACTCCCTATTCTAGCGCCATCACGCTTGATAACGAGCGGGTACTGCTTCCTCCGCTAAAGGCCCGACGGCCAATTTATTGTTACTATGATAAGACCATAAAGAAAACAAAAGACGAAAGAGATGCCGAGAAAGAGCTGCTACTGACATGGCGCCGTGCTTGGTGGGCGCAAGGGTTCCGTCCCGTTATCCTGGGTGCTGCTGAGGCCAAAAGCAATCCCTTTTACGAGCAAGTGCGGAAAATGGCAGCATCGTCTGAGCTGAGAGAAGATCTCATGAGATGGCTCGCTTGGGACACTGTCAATGGAGGCATCTTATCGGAATTCACTGTCCTCCCCACGGTTCCACGACAGGATCCACTGCTACTGCTCCTACGACAAGGAGAATACGCCAACTTGACGAAATGGGCGGATTTGGACGACGCGTTTCTCGTTGGACAAGAAACCGATGTTCGATTGGCAATCCAGTCCATTCTGCTGAAAGAAGGTATAGACAAAGTGACAAGCGTCACTACGGCTCTTTCAGATGATACCATCACAGTAGACAAGACAAAAACACCGCTGGCTTACTACAGCTCCAAGGTTATCGACAACAAGTATGCTCAAATAATCAAGAAAGGGAACAGGGCGGAAACTCTCCGGAATCTGAACAAGCTCATCAACTATCACCTCTTAGTTGCTTGGCAGAATACTTTTCCCGATGGCATCGAAGTTGTCAAGCCACACCCGCAGCATGCGACAGCTATACTGACTGGCGCCTTGAAGCTTGCCAAGTCTCTCTCCTCTTGTCCTGCGTCTCCAATGCCATCCACATGCCCTCCTAATCTACCCCATTGCTTTCCATGCGTAGCGTCGCCCATGGCTGTTTCTACCCCTTCTCGCCTTCGCAAGTCTCCTCAGATTTTTACAATTGGCGTTGTCCCGCACCCATGGTCCTTTGCATTGGTAGATAATCTTCGGGAGTCTATCAACGTCACCTGGATCCTAGATTCACCTCGGGATTCGTGGCTGAGTGCCGTCACCCTCGCGTATCTTGGTTCCGGAGTGTCGTCGAATCGCAGAATTGTGCGATTCAAAGAGCTTGTGGCTGACGAGGCTGACTCTGTTCACTCCCTGTGGCTTTCAGCAGAGAATGAAGTCCCCAGTGATATGGACTGGCACTTTGGATTCACCTTGCCTGAAAAGTCTATGAGTGATGGGAAATCTCGCAGTCCCGTTCCCGCTGATCGCTTGCCGAAAGAAGATGAAGAGCCAGACGTGCTCAATGGGCCTGTCGCCTCGGACGAAGAGGTCGCCCGTGAGCGAGCTATCCTTGACAGAGCCAAGAGCGTCATCATGATGAACAACAAGTCATTGAATAACGGGACCAAAGTACGAGCCTCGCTCGAGGCCTGGAATATGGCTGACACAGAAGCATGGCGGTTTACAAGAGCCTTCAACGCACGACGCTTCTTGGAGCGTGAAGAGTGGCAAAAGGAGACATTGTCAACGTCCGGAATCGAAAGCAGTCTCAGAGCCCACAACTGATAGCAGGGGGGTCGATGATATGAAGGCAACGTGAGTTAAAGATGTTGAAATTCTTATACTTAATCTTCCTGTACACCCTCTTTCCCCCGTTGCCTGTTTTGCATTTGCATTTTCACAGGCAGCCTTCATGTACATATAATTTTAATCATTTTCTAAATATGTGGTGAGCAATCCCAATCAATTTTTTTTTCTTCTCTTTTCTTCATTTTCTCTTCACCAAATTTATGGTAGCCTTTTGGATGTTGAATCCTTATGAGCTACCAGACCTCCTTTTCGATGGCGCAATCGCGATTAAATACAGAGGCCGCGAGCATTAGGCCTTAACAGTATCGCCGCCCATCTCTCCGCTCAATTCGCGCGATGTAATTCCGCGGCGCAACAATCCAGACAGAGAGCCATGATGTTGGTTATCACGGAGCAATGCCTGCTCCTCAAGAAGCTCGTGGATGTGGTCATTGAGCCAGAGGCCATCAAGCAGCTGAGAGGGCATGTCCTTGGCGCCAGTAATAACCTTCTTGCAAGTGGGCTTACCGCAAAAGCATTCGAATGGCTGAGCCATGTCCCATTCAGTAGATGGGTAGAAGAACTGTGTGTTTGAAGAACGGGGTATATCAGCTATACGCTAAACCAAGACTAGGCAGAAGTTTCACTGACAGTGAGTTCATCTCCAGGCTGAAGACCCTTGGGTCCCGCCACAATCTTCATGTTTCGCATGTCAAAATGCTAGCAGTACTCATTTAGCTGTGAAAGTTTCCAAAGTTATCCGGCTTCGGCGGTTCTACTTACAAGAGAAGGCTCGCACGAGTGGTTGATGTAGAGCAAGTCGCTGTTGAGGTTCAGATGCTGGTCTTTGCCCATCTGGACGGTAGCATAGGTAGGCTCGCTGGCCAAGGTGCAAGGAGGGAACTCCAATTTGACGAATAGGCCAAAGGGCGGCACGGTCACTTTAGACAAGCTCTTGGTCATAAAGTCGGCACCGCTGACGACGACGTCTTGGACGTCGGGGTGGGAGGGCTGCTTCCAGGAGGGCTTGAGGGGGGCCATTGCGAGAGCGTATGAGGTTTAGATGGAGTGACAACAGAAGAGTGTCTGATGATAATGACGGCTTCAATCGGATGAAATGACTGTTCTGAGGAAGAGTCGGAAGTGAGGGGATTACTGCTTGGTATACAAGCTATAAACTACTAAGCTATCAAGCACAGTACGTGATGTGGTCAAACTCAATTTACGTCCAGAATCCTGGGCCATCCACGAGCTATTTATAAACCATAGACCTTTCTCTACACCATTCCCCCAGCCCCAAGCCATCTCCGGTCTTTAGCAACACGTCAGTTTCAAGCCGCCCAAGCCGCCCATCTGCCGCGGGCCGTTGACAGTCGACTCTGCTCCCTCTGTCGGATTACCGAGGGACCATGTCAGCGGGCTCCACGCGGAAGTCCCGCTTTCTGCTGGCCGCTATAATATCTTCACCAGCCCATTGGATATAGGGGAATATTACTAGGGCAAATAGCTCGTGACAGGGCGGCGGGGTAGGATTTTGACGGTATGCTTGCGATCCATTTGTCCTTTGTTGGCATGATCGACTAGAGCCTATCAGATGCTAGTCCGTAACCTAAACTGGTAAAGCAAAAGGGCGTGCTTCGAGAGGTGAAAGCTCCCTTTAGGCTGTGGCCAATGTATGGCCTTGTTCCTTTGGGATCCTTTGGGCCGACTGTAGGAGCGGAGGTGACGGGATTTGTAGCTGCTAGACGTAACGTTTACGTTTGAGCATAGAGGATAGACGGACGCTTCAGGGTGAGGCTGAGGTTGTCAACAGGCACTAGCGGTGTTCTGGGTGTTTTGGGGCCCTTGTCAAACTGTTATTTAAGCCCTGTGAGTTCTTTACTGGAGAGCAAAAACCCACAATTGGCATTGGCTGTCATGATGCTAATTAGCGCATGTACAATTTCTTGACATGTGAAACCTTCCAATCGAAGGAGCGGTAACAGCAGATTATCAGTCTACCTAGTGGTCTTCATTATGTATTGTGGTCTAGGGTATGGGTGGCTTCACTAACAATTCACCTTAACTTCCATCCCAATACAGGACGTCGGTCACTGGCAGCATTGTAGTCGTATGGGATGAATCACTAAATGAACCGGCCACGCATACGGCTATTGATGCTTCTCCCGAAGGCGAAACTCTCGGCTGGTAAAGCCGGTGAGGCTCTTTGTTATGTTTTCCTGTTTGCTCAAGGGTCTTTGATCAAAGAACGGAAAGAGAGAACAAGAGGAAATCACATAATTTACTAGAACAGGAGAGTGCTGCATCCATGTGTGACGCCTATACACATGGTTTGTGATGTTGATTTGTCCTTCAAAGTGTTTCCTCCGTATTGACCTCACATAAGGCTTATTATGAATACCACTGAATCGAGAGGAAAGAGGGTAATGGATCTTTCAGCCCCGACAATGGTTATTCAGGTTGATTTAGCAGTCATTTTTCGGTCTCATCACTGGCCATGATTGGACAGCCAAGATACCAACATGAGCGTTGCCTGAGCCAGCTGCCGGCCACCTCGTCAAACAATGCTCCAACTGGCACACAATTCCTTAAAAATAAGGGCTTCTCACCTTGATAAAAAGTACTTAAGCATGCACACATGAATAAAATTCTCGCTTCTATAAAAATATTATCTGTGCGCACTTCTTCACCTACCTCTTCTTCCCTCAACTTCTTCTCCCATCTCTTCCTCCCTCAACTCTTCTCTCGCCTTTCTCCTCCCTCAACTTCTTCTGCTCTCTGCATCTTGCACCACAAACTCACGACCTGCTTCTTCTATTATCTTACTCTCTTAGCGCCATCACCATGCCGCTTCAAATTACGTGCAAAATTTAGTGGAAGCTCACGTTGCAACGGGTAACCATCTGTCGCTTTCGTCTGTTAACTGGGTGTGATAGGTAGCAGTTGGTTGTCATCGTACGGTTGGCTTTTTTTGCATAACGCTGATAGACTTGGGGAATTTCCTGAAGACTTATCATGTCGGGTATCAGAAATTAGATTATATGGAAGTATAGTATAGCCCATATTGACTCAGATGGTGTTGGTGACGAACAGGCCAAATGTCTGAAAAGATGCTTGGTCTGTTGACCCATCCTCTGTGGCGTTTAGACGCAGTCTGAAACTATCCGAACTACAGAGGTTTGCCATCTACTCCAATTCTAACCATGGTCAACCAGCATCTTCCCTAGAATACTCGGATTACCTGTCTAGTCTAGTCCACTGCTAACAAAATATCACGAGAATTTTCCAGGACTACTGAACTCATCCTGTAACGGATCCAAATGCCATCGTTTCTACGAATGATTGACCAATAATGAATGATCTCGTAATGAGATTTATCGTGGAACATTATTTGGGTACCAAGGCTGCAGAAAGCGAGCCGGCCTGAGCCACTGTCCATTCTGCTCTCCATATTCCCGGTTTAGTATGCCCTATGGATTCTAGCTCTTGGGAATTGCGATCACTCCGAGCTACCTACATTTGATGCCAAGCCGACTGCTGTAGTAGTACTCCGAAGCGAGAGTCCCCTTGCTCTGGTATTTACTGCTGTAGGGAAAGAAGAATAGATGAGGGTATATCTATTCATATCCTCATGAGAAACCTCTACTTGGCATTCAGTTGCTAACATACTCATTCAGACGTAGCTTACTCCAGGAGAGCACGATATCCTATCTCACTTCACGAAGCTTCTTAATTTGCTCAACCATAGCCACCCAAGGACAATAGAGACTTGGCACCTGTACGGCTTGTCTTTCTGGTTGAAAAGATGTGGCATAGCACCCATTCATGTCATTTGCATGCTGCAGTCAGTAATCACTCAGTACATATTCAGGCCAGCCGTACTTAGTTGTCTTGATACATGCAAAATGGTATAACGAGATGGAATCAGACTAACACGGACGCAGCAGGATCAATTCACTTGACAAAATTGATTTCATCCGACTCAATTGTCCCGATTTTTGTCAATTCATTCTCAGTATCCCTCAGCAGCCCTCCCTACGCATCTAATTCACGTTGCTATTGTGTTGCCGGGGCTTACGGGTCCGCAAAGCCGGCACACGTCCGGCAGCCTTTCGACACGCCTCCTCGCCAAGTAGGTCGGCTTTGCTTGTGATATGAAACGAGCTGCCCCGTCCTCGGATCTCTACGACGCGCAGTGCCACGGCAACGACGAGATTCACGCTTCTTGGTGTTTTGGTTTTCCAATTTTCGAGAGCCAATTGGCCAGATCAGCTGCAGCCCCCCCTACTACAAAAGCCTCCTCGAGTGCAACCTTTCACGCCAACCTTTTCACCACCGCAACCCACTTTCCAACGCTCTACAACTTTTGATCGAAAACCAACGCCCTATCTGCATCTGCATACTGAGATCTTTGGTATTTGGTCGAGGCCTCAAGCCTTACTCTATATCCTTGTTTTATTTCTCTTCTTGTCTCTTCTTGGTGTTCGACATCGCCATCTTTTCTTCTCGCCGGCTCTTGCCTGCAGTCGCAGCCTCCTTCCCCTGGAGGCCACGACTTCAGCATCGTATCGCTGAGAATCGGGCAAGGACCCGAACTGCTATTCTGGGAGGCGAAGAGTCGTTTCTCACTCTTGCTCTCCTCAACTAAAGCTGAAAAGTTTCAGGCGACAACGTCCCCTGAAATTCGCTAGAAAGCTCGTCTAGCCCTCTTACCTTCCAAGACAAGCCATCGCAGCTTCCCCTTCTGAAGCTTACAAGTAACTTCCTCTTCATTCTTCCAACCTCAGGCAGGCATCTGCTAACAGTTTCTACAGAAAGTACCTACCAGCAAGAGTAGGTAAGCAGCTCATCAGTGCTCTTTGTGCTGAATTTGCTCCTTCGCACTCTCTTCACTTTTTGTCCATCTTCAAACACACTCTTTCGACTACCAGTCAACCTCAACACTACCCTATCCGCTCCCTCTTGTGTCTGCTGTCTTCAATAGTTCCCCGTTGGAAGCCTGATCAAGGCTTTGTATGCATACAGACCTTTTCCTGCTCACTTGGCAGCTGTTTGGTAAGTCCGATTTCATATCTCCTGGTGAGAAGCATCCGCTACTCCCATATTACCTTGCTGTTCTAAGGCTCAGAGCAACTGTTTGATATCGAACACAACACCTCTTCCTTTATTGTTTCTTTTCATATCCACCGATTGTTTATCCCCCTTGAGTTCTTTGCTGCACTATTTGGCAGCAAAATTCCCAGTGAACCGGTCTGCTATCCCATACCCAACCCAATCATCTTCTGTTCACGAGAGAATGTCTTCAAACCCAGTATCTACAGACTTCATTACGTTTCATTCGCCATCGGTCTTCATAGCGTACTGACAAGAACAGGTTCCAGTTGCAATCGCGCTTGTCTCGACGCTTATCCACACACAGCTGCTTCATTCAGTGATATACGCTGTTCTTCGACTGTTTCACTTCATTCCTTCCTTCAGGAAGAAACGACTAATGGCAATCATTGCTGCTGTCGACGAGTCCGCAATGGCCGGGAAAATCTACACTCCCAGCGAACTCCTACGACTCAAGAATACCCCTATGAATAGAGAGCTTTACAATCAGCTCCAAGAAAAACTTCGCCAAGATCAAGCGCTAGGTATGGATGAACTTCTGCCTAGTCTGCTACGCTACTTGATTGCTAACCAACTGCTCTAGGTGAAGTTCTTCGCATGCCTCTTGAGAGCTCACTTGCTCGCATCATGGAGGAACCTGCCAATGTGCCTGTAGGCTTGGAGAGCGCTTCTCCCCGCCGTGGCGAATCTGCTAGACAGTTGGATGGTACTGAATCCGAATGGAGATATCGTGGCCGCAGAGACTCGGAAGCTATTGGGGGCCAGCCCATCTCAGCTCCGACTGGCCTGAGCGCCCAGAAGGATGAAGGCTTCCAACGATTCTACCGAGCAGTCGTGTCACCAACTCACGTTCGAGTTACTGCTGGCGGCCGCATCGTGCCCAACACACGTGGCTCTCCATCGCCCACAACTAGGTGGCCCAAAGACAAATCTGCGATGGAAGCAGCTGAGAACAACTCCAACCGCCAGCCATACCGAGATATTCTCCAGCAAAGTCAATTTATTGTGCCTCAACACCCCATGGGATTCTTTCCCCACCACGCCATGATCCCAGGCTTTGCGCCTGGAATGGTGCCTGCAATGCCTGGCATGGCCGCAATTTCTGCGATGTCCCCAATGCCATCGATGCCTGCGATGCATGCTATCCAAGCAATGCCATCGGCGTCAGCGGCGCCAGGCGTACCAGCAGGAGCAAACCCATATCCCATTGTGCCGTGGCCATTGGGATTCAATATCTCAGGGCCAGGAGGAGCGGCTCAACCTTCTCTCATGGGCCACCCCTCAGGTCTTATGCCAATGCCACCAAACCCAGCCACTGGTGATAGGCAGGATGAGACGGGAGCTTCAGAGAATGCAACCCCAACTCGGCCTCCTCCCCCTGAGAGTGGCGAGGTAGCCCGACCTTACGTGCACAATGGACAATGGGTGTTCCCCCCTACTGCTCACTTTGCTATGGGACCTCATCCCGTACATCCCGCATTCATGGCTCCCTCAATGGTGCCTATGGTGGCTGGCCACAGGCTCATTCCCAACCATATCATGGCTCCTATGGCCCAGAGCAACGGACAGGCGCTGCAGATACCACCACAGGCAGTGGCCTTGCCACCTCCTCTTCAAGTCCCCCCGGTACCAACCCCTACCCCCTCCAATGGACAGCATCAGTCCTCCATCCGAGCAAGCCAAATAACCAAAAAACAGCTTTCAGTTCTTCGTGCGTCCCTCAAGTGGGCAGAAGACCAGCTCCAGTACAACAAGCACCAGATTGATGAACGAACCATGGAGCTTCATGCAGAGTCGTTGCGCTATTCTATTGGACACTTCGAGAAGGTTCAAGATGAGCAGGCCGCAAATGAGAAACGGAGCCACCCAAAAGACCAGGCAAAGGACGACATGAGTGACTTCGCCTCTGCAGACGAGGAACGATCAAAGTCTCCAGTGACTAGCAGCGTCAAACCTGAAAATAGCGGCGCTGAAAGCTTTACTAGCCTGCCAGAGGAGTCCTCCATGGAGCGGGCTGACAAGGCGATGCCGACAGCTCAGCGAAAGGCTTTCACTTCTAGCCATGAGGAAGCAACAGTTCAGGTTGCCTCGACTGCCCAAATTCTCAAGCTTTCCGATGAGATCGGAGCCAACAAGAGATCTTCAACTCTGCCTGTCACGGCAGCGCTGGCTCCTCCATTCCAACCTCGTGCTGTGGGTGGCCAGGATACCAGGGACGTGTTGCCTAGCTCTGGTCATCCCAAGCCCATATCTGGAGAGGATGACTCTACTAAGCCTTATCTCGTTGGACAGCTCCCACCCGGTATGAGAGTCGAGCACGCCAGGGATACTGATTACATTTACCCACGACAACTTACTGAAGATGAACTCCGAGCTCGTCACATGTACTGGGGTAAAGCTCCTCACCACCTTCAAAGCGGTCTTCCCAAGTTTGATGGCCAGAATTTCTATCCACCTTCACCAGACAGAAGCCAGTGTGGCGAGCATGAGTCGGAAGTCAGTCGTGGACAAGAATCTCTTCATACCAAGGCATCCCAAGTTGACAATGGTGATGGGAATGTCAGCACTGACCCCTTTCAATCTTCTCGACATGATTCACGTCAATACGAGCGCGGTGGAGTGGGAATCACCACTGAGTCGAGTTCATCTCAGCATTCTGGAATGTCCACCAACGGTGGCGATCGTTCTCGCCAAGAGGCCGGAAAAAAGGCCCCTAGAGGAAGTCGTCATCAAATGGCTATGACTGGCAATCCCAACGCTCGCTCAGAGAGCGACAGTCCCGACGAAAATGACGAGAAGAGCATCGTCTTCAAAGGGCGCAACTCTTTGCGCCAAACTCGGTAAGTTATTCCTTTTTATCTACAATTTCTCATGCTAACACAAAACCTTTATAGACCACGACCTCGCAGCGGCATATGGCACGATATGATGAAACGCGGTACATCGAGCAGCAACGCAGTTCCAGGAACAGTTTCCTCTACAACAGTTCAGGGCGTTCTACCTCACTACAGTGGCCATGCGACTGCGTCTCTCACTCCCACAGCAACCAACATCAGCTCATCTCGTGAGCAGACAATCAAGTCGGGAAATGCCAACGAGGGTGAACCGGCCAACCTTACGGCCGAGAGACAGATCGAAAACAGGCCCCTAGGAGATGGCAAGCACAATGCTCATTCCGGTGTTCAGGGGTCGAAGAAGCGAACCTCAATGCTTTGAACTGAGGACAAGTCGGGCTCTATATTGCAACAAGAGGAGCCCAGTCCAAGATTCAATCGAATCATCTCTTATTGCAAGCACATTTATGGATTGTATGAGTACTTATTACGACTGTTACTTGATTTCGACATTATTTTCCTTTCAACTCGGTTATCACTTTGTTTGCGACGAACAATCTGAGAATAGCATCATGTCAACCTCACCATTTCTCCGTGGTGTCAAAGGGCGGCCAATCAGTGCTTTCTAACAGACTTAGGGCGCGTCACTTATTGTTAGAGTTTGGCTGTATCATGTATCATCTGCAGAAATTTCGGAAAAAATCGAAACAACCAAAAAAAGGGGATGTGTGTATGAAAAGGTGTTGATCATTGTGGGATTATTTTGTACGGAAAAAGAAACACTTGCTACGAATGGCATCTCCTTTGGAGCCTGCTTCCTGTTGCCTTACAGAAGGTTTGGACTTTGGAGGAAAATTACTCGCTAACCAACGAATATATTGCTTTGCTTTTTTTGCTAAACCTTTTTGCTCCACTGGCTCATTTGACAATGGTGAAATGATATACTCGTAGCGTCTTGACAAAAGCATACCGCGTGCTAAAGAGAATGATTTGACCGTTGCCTACGCATCGGCAAAGTCATTCGCGTAGTACTGGTCGTCTACCCTAGATACAGAGCTTGATTGGAAGCCAAGGGCCTTCGAACAGGTGTCATGTCCCTCACCATCAAATTTCCAGCTTCGTTACAGAAAAGGCAAGATGAAAATCTTCGGGCGAGCGCAGAGTTTCGTGGTATGAATCTCAGTCGGGGTTCACTCTTCGCCAGTCGTATACCTCGAAAACCATGAATTTTGTTGGTTGACGCGGAGATTATCTAGCGGGATTCACAGACTACGAAGAACGGAGACAAACCTACCTGCATATGCCTTTTCTTTGTTCATAGTCAAAGACTTCAGGCAGTCTACGAAGGCTGAGCAATAGCAGCCCCTCGACAAATGAATCGAGTATGACAAGTCTCACTGAGACAGCAAAAGTGGAACAAGAGCCAAAAAAGCTTCGGGAAACACCTCCCATGGAGCATTTCACACAACAAGTTGGTGAAACGGCCATTGAGAATTGTAAAATTCTCGATTCATCTACCCTGCTGAGAAAGCCGGACCTGCAGGGTCTCGGGTATCGCTAAAACGCCGGAGTATATATGCCCATTCCTTGCCCATCATTGTGCCATGGATGCATCACATGGAAAAACTGTTAAGTTGAAAAAAAAAATCATCTCCTCGTCTCACCCAATTTTAAGATTTTGCTTATGAATTTAAGCAGAGATCTTGTTGGGGACACGGAGCTCACGGCCGACCTTGGAGCGGGACAGGATGCTCTCACGGTCCTTGTCGAGCTTGAGCTTGGTGATGACGACGTTGGAGGGGTGGATGCCCAGGGGGACGCTCTGACCGCTGGCCTTGTCGCGGGTGACACGCTCGATGTGGATCACGTACTTGAGACGGTAGACGGAGGTGACCTTGCCCTCACGGCCCTTGTTGGAGCCACGGACAATGGTGACCTCGTCGTCCTTGCGGATGGGGATGCTGCGGACCTGTTTGCGAGAAAGATGTTAGTTTTCCACGATTAGGAACGGAGAAGAGCGTTTGTTTGAGGGAATACGAACGTTGTACTTCTCGCGCAGCTCCTTGCTAAGGGGAGCGCTCATGATGACACGGCGCTGGCCAGAGCCGGCCTTGAAGTGAGCGGCACGGCTCTTGCTCCTGGAGGAGTGAGTGTCTATTCCAAGATGTTAACACAAAAACATATTCAATTGATGCACAGATCATTAATAGGAAAAGCTTACTCTTGTTAACCTTGACCATCTTGACGGTTGGATTTGGACGACGAGGAGATCCTGTTTTGTCGGTTGAGCGTTGGGTGATGAGGAGAGAAGGAAGAGGGAAAAAAAAAGTAGTCCAGCCAGAAAATTGTCGTTGTCTGGCCCGCTGTGGGCGAAATTTTTGGCGAGCGGTGGGTTACCACGTGACTTTTGCTGCCCTACTTCTTGGTTCCGTTTCTGGAAAGAGGGCTGCGAGCTTAATGTGATTAGTCATTGAGTGCAACCTAGCTTCCCTTAGATGGACGGCAGCTAATGGGATGAGGTAAGCAGCCTGCTGGGTTTTCAATGAAGAAATCTGATCGTTTGAGAGAAAAGTACAAACGAAAGAGAGCTCAATGAAGGTGAGGGAAAATGGGCAATGATTTGAAGAGATGGATTCTTGCTTTGCTCTCCAATCTCATCATTGGTGAGCGGAATGCGTATCTTTAGTGTGCAAACTATTTATACAAAATCTCCCCTCCAAAAGGACGAAAGAGCTCCATTGGTTGTAATGTACAGAGGCCATCCGAGAACTCCTGGTCGTCTATCTATAAAATATCGTACAGAGACTGCAGCACCATTTTTGAGGAGCACTATAGAGGCCATGGGAATCTTCAATGCCTATTATTTTGAGGCAGGAGGCATGAATCTGCCGTTATTGTCATATCTCGCTTCTGCTTTCGGTCAGTAGTCGGTCAAGGAAATAGACGGTCAACGTCGGTATATCGATGGAATCTTACTGAAGAATGTATAATTGAGAGTTACAGTCTCAACACCCTTCATGTTGATGTCGTTCAACAGATCAGGGTCCAAGTAAAAGAACACGGGCATGTCCACTGTCTCGCCAGCGTTTAATCTCTGCTCCTCAAAACAGAAGCACTGAATCTTGCTGAAGTATGGCGCACACTGAGCAGGCGTCACGCTATATGTTGCCACGCCAATGATGTCCTGGTCGCCCAGATTCGTCGCCTTGTAGAACGCCAGGGCGGTCTCTCCGGGAAGCACTCGGACCTCTCGCTGTTGAGGGACAAACTTCCATGGCAGGATGTCGGACACGGCCGCATTGAATGTGACTTTGATTCGATTCGCAGAGGTTACGGGAACGAGACGGCTGGAGAGGTCTTGGTTCTCTTCGCCGGACGTGCCGTGGGCTCGGATGGGCTGGCCACCCCAACCGGTGGTTGCGCAAATCTGCAGCCTATTTAGTCCATTGATCAATGCCATACAGTGAGGATGTCGCGAACCATTTTGTAGAAAGGCACCGATCCATATGCCAGAGCGAGAGTGCCCATGATCACGCTCATGGTATAGAAGCTGTAGAAAGACATGAGCCCAGTATTCCACGAATTGCCGCCCAGAAATGGTCTCCATACGCTATTGTCTTGTTCCTCTGGCTATACTGCTCCCGCACCCTGTCCATAGACGGCGCATATGTAGCATTCTGTCGCGGCTGGTGTGGTATTTGCTGCTCTCGCCGAGGCCGTGAGTTTGAGAATTTGCGCCGAAAGTCTGCAAAGTTGGACCGGCTGCTCTGTGGCCGCGCATGCTGGCAGAAGAAGCAAGCCCACTGCGATGAAGAGTTCGCCGTCCGCGAAGGACCGTTGCGCACCAGGCGCAGTGCGTTGCTCATCTTTGGCTATTTGTTTGCGAGATTTGCCTTGCGAGAAGGCTGGAGGAAGCAAGCTTTCGATTTGGAGCTAGCGCCAGCATCTGTATATCCGATCCGATGCTCAGTGGCATGACATCTTGAATTTGGTGGGGCAGCGGTTCGGGGCGAATTGACTTTGGCTGTGCCGATGCAATGCTGTAGGTACCCCCACTGCCTCTACTCTATTTACACAAAGCGAGATATTAAGCTTAGCAGTAGCTACGTCTTGATGATATATCCCCAATTATAAAAAAGGAAGAAAGAAATCATGTTCGGTACAATGTGCTCTCATAAAAATGATTTTTAATTTCTCTCTCATATACTGGCCTTGGCCTGGTACTTAAAGTCTAATGTCTGTTAAAATGTGCTATCAGTCTTGTATTGCAGCATGCCCTCCCCATCATATCGTCGTGAATTCTCAAGTAGCTCCATACGCTGTGGTAATAATCCCGTAACAATAATAAAGGAATAAAAAAGAATAAAACAAGAAGCATTTTTGAATAACACCTGGGATGTTTATGCCAATTTTTTGCGGGGTTGCTTCTTCTGGAAGCCATTGAGAAGCGGCTTCACCACCCTCTGCCTGCCAGATTGTGCCAGTCTCTCCAAGACCTGGATGACAAACACCTGGATTGCCAGAATAATAAGCCGGAATAAATGATCCAACAGACCCAACCTTGGGACTCTTCCTCTGCTATAGGTGGAGTCTCGGAACTCAAAGGGGAGCTTAGCCCCTAGGTGGTCCTGAGCCACCTGCAATCCACTGGTGAATCCGTCTTCGTGGAATCCATATCCAGTCCATGCACCAACGTAGCTGATTCCTCTCCTGTTCTGTATATAACGCAGCATCCTTTGAGCGCGCACAGATGAGGGAGTGTGCAGAGGATGAGTGTAGTAATACTTCCCCTGGATCTTGGATGGACTGGGGCGATGGATTGGATTCAGAGTGACCAAAACATCGCCAAATGGATTTCTAGGAATGCGCTGCATGATGTTCATGTTGTAAGTTATGGAGACTTTGTCCATATTGGCTTTCTGTGTTGAGGGAGAAGACAATGTCAGGAAGTTCCAGCTTGACCATGCCCTTTTATTCCGTGGCATCAGAGACAGATCTGAATGTAGCACCGCTTCGTTCTGTGACGTCTGAAAGCAGGCCAGAATCGAGCGCTCCTGCTCCGTGGCGGAGGGGCCGAGAATGGAGAGCGCCTGGTCGCCGTGAGTGGCAAGGATAACGTGATCGAACACCTCCGTCTTGCCATTTTCAAGGTGCAATAGTACTCGTCCTTGATTGTCGTTGGACACATTTCTGACTGGGGTATTGAGGAACATGTGGTTCGGGGGAAAGCCCTTCATGACAGTATCGATGTATGAGCGAGCACCATTCTTGAGCGTCAGCCACTGTGGGCGTAGGGCGAGGGTGGATAGCAGGTGATGGTTCCATCTAATTGAATTGTCAGTATAAGATCTGAAGAGATGCGGCAACAGTCTGAACTCACAGGAAGCGGACCAGCATTGTTGCAGGAAACTCCAACGCGCATTTATCAGGGCTTGTGCTCCAGATAGCAGCTGTCAGGGGAATCAAATAATCGTCCCGGAAGCCATCCGAGTAGCCCTCACGCTGCAGGTACTCGCCAATGGTCAGCGTCTTGTGAACGTGATTCATCATGTTCTCTCCTCCATAGCGAGGCTCATATTCCTCATCGTCTATGAGCAAGTCCAGCGCGAACTGGCTGAAGCGAACAATGTCAAATAGTGTCCTCCACATCCTAGGAGAGAAGACATTTCTCTTTTGACAGAATATCGTGCTCAGATTCGTGCTCGCCCATTCAAACAGGCCCTGGTCTCGCGATACGCTAAAGGTCACCTCAGTAGGCTCAGTCGGGACTCCGATTCTGCTGAGGAAATTCAAGAAATTGGCTAGCCAGGGGGGTCAGCACTCGGAAGATGGCAATGGAACAGTTCCAAGTCAACTCACGATATGTCGCTGAATTCATCGCAATGAATCCGGCGTCAACGGCCGTCGTATACTTGCCGGCCTTCCATTGCACCGTGTTGGTGTGGCCGCCCAAGCGGTCTGCGGCCTCGTAAAGATAGACATCGTGATACGTTCTATTCAGAGCCCAAAGCGCAGCAATGCCCGAGCAGCCACTGCCGACAATGGCCACTTTCTTCCTGGCAAATCTGTCAACAGAGTGGCTCATAGGCGCGATGGTATCTTGCTTGGGGGCGACGGATGGTGAAGGGCATGGGAAGGGACTTGGGAGTTGGGAACGGCTTCAGCTGCCCAAAAAATACACGGGAGACGACTTGCACATGTCAGAGAACTCGACGTCCAGCAGCGGCCGGGACAAGGGGGGCAAAGCTGCCGGCGCCACCCATGGAACTGTGCATAAGTGTCGCGGCCCTGATTCGATGACGGGCAAGAGATAACATGCAGGAGAATCAAACAACTCACACATGCCGCGGTTCTGCTCGCAGGGGCATAGTCACTTGTACATGCAGCGATCTCCAGCAGGTACCTGCGCCTTATGTATATGTACGAGTACAGTACGTGCGTCTGTGCTGATGTGCGGAAGACAAAGCAAGGGATCGGATCACCACAGGAACACTTCGGGGATTCAGCAGGAGAACCCTCTCGGTTTATGTACTCCTAATTGCTGCCAGGGTCTTGTAATTGTCTAGGTGTGTTTTCAAGGATGAAAGCGGCTGAGCTAGCGCCACAGGTGGCTGACTTTAGAGTGACGGTTCCGATCAACGTCGATGCAACTGCTTTCATCAAATGTTGGGATACTACAGAACAAAGGCTCTCTCGCCTCATTTCTCGAAATGCCACGTACAGGCACGTTGATAATTGATGCATTAGTTCCTGCAACGAACAACGTAAGCCAACGGATTCGGCACATCCTGCCAAGGCAAATAAAGACGTGGCTGGCAGCCAGACGGCTGAAAATAAGCTATCCAACTTTGCGGAGCTGTCTTAGCATGGCGGGCTGTTAACAGCAAGGCGATGTTACAAGAGTCAGGTACTCTGTATTTTTAGCCAGGATTTGTTGCGATAACGCATCCGCCCAGCACCAAACTCGGCCTAGAACTGTGGTCTGATGCAATTCATGCTTCTACGTGGAGATGCATCAGTGGAGCATGAATGGTTTTTTTCCGTTTCGCCTCCATTATCACATGCTTTGCAGCCGGTGCAAATCATAAGACGAATGCCTGTCGTTTCACCGGCATGGATCCGTCACCGCTTGACCGCCTTACTGGCCGAGTTCTTTTTGAGCAGTTGGTAATGCCTGGTAGCAGTACCAGTACTTCGTATCTCATGCTAGAGACGGACAGCCCAGGGCTGGCCCTTTAGCTGGCATGTCGAGCACTCAACGGGATCGGGAAACGTGGGAAGCGAATCTCCAATTCTTGAAAGCGCCGTGTAGGAAAACCTACATCAATCTCCCCGGCATCTCAACTGTGCGCCATTGACAAAGTCTAGACGCTTAGCCTTAAATTCTTCGTAGCCGGGTGGAATCAACTTAATGAAAAAAGAGAAGAAAAATTCAAATTGTGCGGGCAGTTGTGAGATAATATCGACCAAAAAGCACGGACCACCCTGAGCTTAGTCACTTGCCATATTTTAGCCGTGGCCTCACACTGCACGTGTTGTGCAGTCCAATGCCAAGGCTGGATAAAGTGCAGGTCGGTACTTGGCCATGGGTAGAGACAAGGTACCCTGTCACGCGCATAATGCAGGCAAAGTACCTAGCTGCCCCCAGCAGACCGGTACCCCTTCTGATTGCCCAACCAGCCTGTCTTAGCCTTGAATGCGTACGTACGATGACGGCGCTGCTGTTCTCAGGCGGCCATTTTCAACATCACCAGAGGAACTCAGCCGAGCGCACATCGCAAGCATAGAAGCCGTCATCAGTCTCCCATTTCTGAACACCTCCAGCGAGTCGATTTCATCGCAACAGCTTACTGCGTTGTCCACCTTTTTTTCTCCGCTTACTCCTGAACCCAACAAGCAAGATGGCGAACCCTCTCGATACCGATGCTGGCTCCGAACTTTTCAGCTCGTATGAGGCGGAGCTCAAGCTCGTACAGGCCGATCTGGCGCAAAAGCTGGACCAGATCCCCGAACTGAGTGGTGAACCGCGCAAGGCTGCCGTCAGCCAGGCTGAACGCGCCTTGGAAGAGGCAGATGAACTGGTACTGTAACCCGTTGCATATACGCAGAGACAGGTCTGATATTTAATCGCCATCATAGCTTGGTCAAATGCGCCTTGAAAAGCAAAACATCCCTACGTCTGCACGAGCCAAAGTCAACCAGCGCTTCCGCAACTACGAATCCGACATCGATACAAACCGCCGAAAGCTTACGGGCCTCGCCACTAACCGAGCGGCCATGTTCGGTTCACGCTACACCGACGAACCATCCGGATCAACGGATATCAATTTGGAACAGCGACAGCAGTTGCTGTCGGGAACCGAAAGACTCGACCGAAGCACACAACGACTTCTTAGCAGCCAGCGGCTCGCCAGCGAGACAGAGGCTATCGGAGCTGAAACGTTGGCCGATTTGCACAGGCAGGGCGAGACTATCCGCCATACGCACGATACTCTTTTGGACAGCGAGGGTTATGTCGACCGCAGTGTCAAGACCTTGAGGGGGATGGCTCGGAGGTAACGTAATCCAACACCGGCAGTGTCGAAGCACAGAATATTGATGATGAACAGCATGGCTACGAACCGAGTGATTACAATTTCCATCATCACTATCCTGGTGCTTTTGATCATTGCTGTGATTTTCAGCAAGTTTCGATGAAAGCCAGGGTCTTGCTTGGAGTTATGTCGGCGATTCGGAGTTAATTCAACTGGACTTTTTGCGTGCTTCTTTTCTTCTTCTTTCTTTCGCAACATACAGACTTGCACATATATATGAACCTTAGCACAGACACCAGGGGCTATAATAGCAGCAACTCGAATAGAGAAGGCGATAGTGTTGAATGCCCCTTTGAACGCATGCACTAGTAGAGTGCATTGTTCACAGCTATTGTGTTTACCTCTCCTTTATCTCATACAGGCAAAATAGAAGTGTATTGAGCAACCAGAGTGTTTCCTTTATCAATAACGAAGCTCAACAAGTGACAATAAGCAGAAGCCTCGGGAATGTAAATGTACCTCCCACTACAACAGCTGTGCGGAGTACACAGGTATAGATTTACGGGTGGTTGGGCAACGGGGTGTGGGGTAATTCAGTGTCTCAACTCCATGGCCGAGTTTATTCCAATAAAAGTCCGATGTTGATCCAGACGCTTACGCGAGGGTTCCTCACGAGAGCTCAGACTTTGTCCAACCGTTTTTATTAGCCTCACAAAACTTTCTTCCTCGCACAAACCACTCCAACCTCTCCGCATCCTCCACCTTCCTTACCTCCCAACACTCTCTTCCCTTTCTTCTTCTATTTTTCAATTTTTCTCTTCTCTATTCACAGTGCATATACGCACTTACTCTCTCGTCTTTGAACCCCTCTATTTACAGCTCGCTACGTGGTCGACGTGGCCTCACGGCCCACCATGTCTGAATTCCTTGGGTATGCGCGAATGGCCTCAACTCACGTACCGTGTCCCTCAGGCTAACAAGCGAGCTTCCAGATCCCGTATCTCCCTCATCTCCAAGAGCGATATTCGGTGAGAATCTATGCTCCTGATTCACCAAGACGGTCACTGACCTCTAGTGGAGCTACGTGGGGACTTTGCACGAGATCAATTCGGACGAGTCGACAGTGTCTCTCGAGAATGTCCGCTCATTCGGCACAGAGGGTCGCAGGGGCAGGCCTGAAGAGGAGATAGCACCATCAGACCAAGTCTATGAGTACATCGTTTTCCGCGGAAGCGATGTCAAGGATTTGCGAATTGAGGAGCACCCCGCTATCAAGGAGAATAAGCCTCCTGTCATGCCTGACGACCCTGCCATTGTCGGAGTAAGTAATGTCTCTTTCTATTTCTGCCAAGATCTTTATACCCTTTCATGATGAATTATTGCGGATGTAAACTTTTTGTCACGTCGGAAAGCGCAAAACCATGTCGAGATTTCCGTTGCCTTCCTTCTGATTGTAAAGGATCATATTCACTGTTTTCCTGAAAATCGTACTTTGAAAGCTTTGTGCTAACAAATCGATGCAAAGGCCCGAGCTCGTCCTGGAGCGCAAGGACCAAACCAAAACGCTCCTGCTGGAGCTCCCCCCGGAGCCCCCGGCTTTCCACAACACCAATACCCTCCCAACCAGTTCTACGGTGGCCCTCCGCCTCCGGGCTCTTGGGGACGAGGTGGACCCGGCCCTATGGCTGGACCAGGTTTTGGCAACGCACCATTCCCTCCGGGACCTCCACCCCCAGGCTGGTACCCTCCTCCAGGCCAAGGCTTCCCGCCTGGACCTGGTGGTCCGGGTCCATGGGGCAACGCACCGTTTCCTCCGGGACCCGGTGGTCCCCCGGGCTCTGAAGCTCCTCAAGGTCAGCGGGCTGCACCTGAGCTCTCCGCCACCCAAGAGTCAAAGCCTCCTGTTGGACCAGGTGCAGACAAGTCGAAGGGAGCTCCCCAAACAGAACCCAAATCTCACGCTCAAGCGGCGAGACAGTCCTCCAACGCGCCTGCTCCTCCAGTCGATTCCAAGCCGTCGGTGGAAGAGGTAAAGGCAGTTGCTACAACACTGGCATCGAACGGAGCTGCAAAGGCAACCGATGCGTCCAAGGCTATCCCTACTGGTCCCAAATCGAACCGTGTCCAGCCAGTTTTGCCTCTCACGGGACCAGCATCCAAGCCTTTCCAGCCTCCCTTTGCGGCAGAAAAAGCTTCCCAGGCAGCTCCTCAGTCTGCAGCTGCTGGGCCAAGCAGTGTACAAGATGCTACGAGTGCAGCTAGAGCAGCCGTGGCGCTGGCGATGGCGCAACTGAGCAACACTGGTGGGAATGCTATGGATAATCTGACCACCAAGGTCCAAGAGATGCGAGTCAATGCCATTAGAGGCGGCAGCGCAAATCGTGGCCGTGGACGAGGTGGCCGCCCAGCCAAGGTGGAGGTTCCCGACGCAGACTTCGATTTTGCTCAGTCAAACGCCAAGTTTAACAAGGAAGACTTTGTTAAGGAAGCTGTTGGGGGCTCTCCGTCGAACGAGGCTCCTGCCGCGTCTGCAACAGAAGGCTCAGAGACCCAAGATGACACCACTCCTGTGGCATACAACAAGTCGACGTCGTTTTTCGACAACATCTCCAGCGAAGCGAAGGAGAGAGCCGAAAACAATGGCCAAAAACCTGGCGGACGCGAGTGGCGCGGCGAGGAGCAGCGCAGAAACATTGAGACGTTTGGCCAAGGAAGCGTCGACGGTGGATACCGAAACTACCGTGGTCGTGGTCGCGGACGCGGAACTAGAGGAGGCGGTCGCGGCTTCAGCCGTGGTGGACGAGGAGGTCCTCGTCCCCAGTATCAGTCAACTGCCGCTGGCCAGTAGTATGGCAATTCCGAATAGGTTCAAAGGCTACAACCCCCGAGAACAATTCACCATACAAGTCTCTGGAATGAGACTACATGACGACTTCAACTACCAATGAGCTCATGGTGCGACTTTGAGCACGCATTCTCCCAATATTCCTCTTAATTCACTTGCACCAATGTACCAAAATTCTTCAATGTTTGCCTCTTCTAAGCTACTCTACAGTAGTCGCGAAGACTTATATTATTCATGTTTGATTTGCTTTCAGCTCAGGATAGGAGCTACGGTTTGCACTGGTCACGGAACTCGACGACGATGCCGGAGTTCGGTTTGCGTTTCAAGGGGGGCACAGGCATTGCATTCCATGAATCATGAGGGGACATGATGAATGAAAAAAAAAATCTTTTCGACCAGGAGTAGGGGGCGCTTAGGAATAAGCCGGAGTCTTTCACTGAACAATGAGGCTGGGGATAAGCATGCGAATATACAATGAACCTGTATTACCTTCTATATGAAGCACGGGGGTCTGGTTAAGAATAATCAGACAAAATGAAGTTTAATGAGTCAGTACCTCGTAGTGGGCAAGCAACTTTCTAGCCCGCTACCAAGAAAATGAAAGAGGATTAATTCCCCATTCCCAAGTGCCAAGATGAGAATTACTCAGTAGATGTAGTGGTGCATTTGAAAGCAACAAGGCTCGGATAAACCCACAGTGAGATGAGTGGCAAACTCAACGATGGAGTATGAGCTGTCATACCGAAAATTGGAGTTTGTGAAAATAGAGCGTAAAAGCAGCTGGCCAAACGGAGCAAGTGGGTTCTGCCGCTCAGCCCCGCTAGGTTCAAGGCGGCGTGACGCATATCAACGAACCCTACGTCCAGTTGCCTGCGCAACTAACCTGAACCATTTCAATATCTTCTGACGTTTGGGCGAACGATACGGAAGCCATCACAGCATTTGGAAAAGTATAAGTTTCAGGAGCCTTGCTGGATTTTGTATTATTAATATCTCTCATTTCACTTTTTTTTTTCTTTCGACATATTTTCTTCTTCTCTCTATTTTGGATTTACGTTACCCATTCTCCCCAGAGCACAATTCCGAAATGTCGACAAGACAGCTTCGGAAGCTGCAGAAGCAGAGGGAACTGGAAGCAAAGACTGTTCAAGAACATGAAGGCAGTGATGACGATGCAGACGATGACGAGATTGCTCCCGTAGTGGCAAAACCTCGGGCGAATCTGTTTGCTGCACTTGGGGGAGAAGATGGGGATGAGGATGAAGGCGATGACAATGCCCACGAGGACCCTGAGCAAGCATCAGCACTAGAACCTCAGGTGGAAGAACCTGCCGCTGCAGCTACTGGCCGGAAAAACAAAAAGAAGAAGAAGAAGGGCAAGACCAAGAAAGCTGCTCCGGCCCCCGAAGCCGAGCAAAGCGAGGATGATGAGATCGACAGAGCCATCAAGGAGTTGAAGATTGAGCAGAATCCCCAGGCAGGATCCGTCACCAGCAATGCTTCCACATCCCAGGGACTCTTCAAGATTAACCTCTACAATCTCAAGGCCATAAATGAGATGCGAAACCTGTTCGGTAGAGACACGATTGAGTCGGCAAACGCAGAAGAAGAGGAGCAGCGTCGTGGAGCACGCCATGGAATCATGCAGCAACAGGTGGACTTGGAGACCTTCTTGAGAGGACCACCAAATGCTCGCAAGCTCCCTGAAGTGTCTAGAAGACGCAACATCTTCATTCAGGGGAGAGAGCACTGGCCAATGAGTACCACCGGGGGTTTGACTTTGAAAGAGCTCGGCAAGACGGCCGATGGAGTCGAGTATACCTATGCTCATGCCCCGGAATACGATGAAATCCAGGCTTTGTTTTTTGCACAGGTGCAGATGGGAGATCCTATGAGAATGGTGCATCTTCTCACCCAATTTCGTAAGAAACGCAATAACCCCCATTTGTTTGGAGAACCATGCTCACACACATGGACAGCCTACCACGTCTCAACGCTGCTGCAAGTGAGCAGTGTGGCAAAGCAAGATCAGAACATGGCACTTGCTGCAGAGCTGTGTGAGCGCGCCTTATTTAGCTTCGGTCGAGTAGCCCCCTCGTCCTTCAAACAGAGTCTGGAACTAGGAATGGCTCGCATGGACTTTAGGAGACCAGAGAACCGTCAGTTTTGGCTAGCAGGGTACCACTACATCAAGAGCCTCGTAAGGAAAGGCACCTATAGGACGGCACTGGAGTGGGCGAAGCTTTTCTACTCTCTAGACCGTAGTGATCCTTATGCGATGAGGCACTTGATTCATTTCTTAGCCATCAGAGCGCACGAATCAAAGTGGCTTCTCGATTTCCTAAACCAGCTGGACACGGAAGGCCGCCGAGACGACACGGTGTATATCCTGCAGAGCCGGGTATTGGCGATGCTACAAATAGGCGACGAACAGCAAGCAAGGCAATATCTCATCGAAGGGATGCAGCGAGTACCCTGGTTATACTGCGCGCTGTTCCAAGCTCTAAATGTCGACACCCCGCCGTCTGTCTGGGGCATCAGTTGCGAGACGGAGGCCACCGAGTTCTGGGTGAAACTGTACCTGTACCAATCCAAAGATTTGTGGAACATTCCGCAGGCAACACGACTTTTACTGGATGTGGCCAAGAGTATCGACCGGGTGGACGCAAAGTCTCTACCAAAGGACGAGCATCCGATTGATCTGGGCGTGGCTCGAATGGCCTACATTGACGGGCAGACATCTCTCCTAGCGCTGGTGCCGCGGGGCATGCTAGAACAACAACCCAACTACGAATTCGATCCCCTGCCGCCGGCAGAGAAAGATAACATCTTCACTGGAGAAGGATGCAGGCTCCCTTGGCGCGAGCAGCGGCAGAACCCAGCGCGCCTGGGCGGCATCATTGCCCAGATGGAAGAGCTTCTCGCGCGGCGGGGGCCTCCGCCTCAAGAAGACGAGGATGCTCTGATGGAGCAGCTTCGCGACGGAGCGTTTTTTGGTGCGAATGGCGAGGCTGAGGACGGCGATGACGTAGCCGAAGTGCCGGTGAGCAGCGAAGATCGGGGAATGGTGGCCGCGCTCATCCAGATGCTCGGATTTGGGGGTGCCAGGGAGGGTGATGCAGCTGATGCAGCAGACACGAGGGAAGGCGAGACATCTAGAGATAACGGCGACGATGTGCATCCTGAGGAAGAGGACGGGTCGGGGACTACAGACCTTCCAGGGTCGTGGCCAGCCGAAGAAAGTCGGCGGGAATAACGGGCGGCGAAATGAGGCCCTTGATGGGCATTCGGTGTAATTCACAGGCGGTATGTGCATATGTCTGTATCGCTGAGCGGCCCGCGATTACTGCGTCTACTATCTCGTTTGTATGGAAGCATAGGCCCAGATTGACAGGGGGTGAGAAATGGCATGTTGGATAATAGTAACTGCCGATGGGATTCCGTTTGCCTTCTCGTGCGTATCCCGTGTCCGTGTCTGTCCTCGAAGCAAGTCATATCATGCCATACACGTGTCTAGAATGTCACTGCAGAAACCCGGGCATGGCACTAGCAGGATTTGTGGTCGCCGTCTGGGAGAGGAGTAATTATAGAAATGGCGACTATCAAGTTTAATGCAGGTCTATGTATGTACTATGTATGTAAGCCGTCCTTCTACTATCAAGTCAATGCTGGTCTATTGTATGTATGTAAGCACATCCTCCTAGCAACATCTGGCTACTAAATGCGAAGAATGGCGGAACGGAAGGCCAGGTCAGGGGCAGTACGTGTACTTGTAAGCACTCGCATCTGCAACTCGTTCAAAGGTTCTGTCATATCATCGGTGACGGAAGGATTACAAAGCGCACGTAGTCTTGGACAACTAGTACTAGGCATTTTTTCTTCAGAGAGATTGATTCCTGATCAGCGTTTTGCTTGTTTGAGAAGAGCCTCTACAATATCTCTTCGGAGTTCCGCAACAATTGGCGTATCTTCACCTGTGCTTATTTAGGCTGTGTTGAAGTGCCATGTTGCTTGTTGACAAGGGGGGTGGTTGGCATCAGAGAGATAGATAGGGATCAGAGTCTAACTCGCTTGCCGGTTACCAAATCGGAACTCGGAGAAAAAGGACGGAATTTGGTTCCGCGCACCCAGGTCCAATCAAGGGCAGAGAGATGACAGTAAGCACATATTACATACTACAACGGGTGATGGGCTGCGATATTTTCGTGTGTGTGTTGGGGGTGGCATGGCATGGCCTTGCCATAGGGCGAAGCCGTTTCGAGGCGGCAAGACAAAGGCTGAGTGGCTCGGGAGGGGGATCCACCGTCATCACTTTGAATCCGGAATCTATTTATACATTCCGGCCGAAAAAAAAGGCACTGTGAGTTCCCGGGGGGAGGGAAGAAGAGGAAAGGCCAAAGAGCGAGAGAACTGGTTGTTGCCTCGAAACTTGAAGATGGGGGCAGGAGTGAATGATGGATGGCTACTGTAACATATAGGAATGAAGGAGGGTAGAATCTAGAAAGGGAAAAGGAAAAGAGAAAAAAACAACAAAGGCTTGTGCTAAACAGGGTTTGGGCAAGTATCTCGGCCGATTGCCCGTTTTTTACTCTTCTTGTTAAACAGATGCCTGCAACTCCGAAGAGTCGGCAATGCGAGTGTATCCCGTGCGGCATGCCATCTTTAGCGAACAGGGGGAAAGGGACAGAAAAACAAGACTAACAAGCACCGGAGCAACGACGCACGCCAGCCAAAAGGGCACATAATAAAATGATGCTTACCGTGGCTTGAAACGTGCCGCGTCCCTCACTCAGCCGTCACCCGGGCCATTGAAGGAGGCTGCACCGGCTAAACCGCCATCTTGAGGGCTCAAGGCCAAGGCGGGCTGCAAGACAAGGAAAAAAAAAAGATGAAGGGGAGGGGGTGGGCTGTGTGTGTGAACAAAGGGGGAAGCCATTGCCGTGGCACAGGAGGGAGGTGGACGGGGGGGGGGACTTTTGATCCAATGTCCAATGGACGGGTTGTTGACTCGCTGTTAGAGAGCAAACAGCGAGGAGCGAGAGAAGAAAAGAGAGATAATTCCCGTGGCTGCGTTCTTGTGCATTCGGGCCCTCTTTTGCAAGCACGGAGCACGAACGGGCATATACGCGTAAAAACAGCACGACGGAATTGGGCTGTTATACGAGTGTGCCTAGCAAAGTGTCAACGAAAAAGGCATTTGATCCATCCACGGATTGGATCCATTTGATCCATTGAAAAAATGCACAGTGCAGGCGGGCATCGGGCATGTACTGTGCCCGTCGCTGGACGTTAGTGGCATCGACGATCCCAAGGCTACTGGTGCAGGGCCTTGCATACATTTACGGAGCGGCCAATAGCGGTAACAGGAGATGCGATTTGTCCGGCCCCGGGGGTCGCAGCTCTCGGCCGGGACGAGCGAACTACTGCTGAGGGATGGGCTAAAGGCAGCACTAAAAAGCGATGGGAGGAGCCAAAACGAAAAAGACGGAAAACTCCATTCGAGGTGCTGCTCCGGCTAGGGGGTTCGGGGCCAACGCAGGGGACGTCTATTGGGTGGTTGGCCGCCCAGAACCGGAGCTTTCGCCCGTGTATACGGCCGAAATAGCGTCCCAGGTAGCCACCAGTGCTAAAGGGTCCCTGGAAGCGGTTTGACGCCTGTGGGGGGGAAAGGACGTGATGGAGAATGAGTTGCGAGCATGGGATGCGGCGTGGAGCCCTTTCTTTTTTTCTTTTGGTTCTTTTTTCCTTCTTCCATCATGCCCAGTCTGGCGCAATGCTCCGGTCCTGCACGGTCTGCAGGCACGGGGCGTTGCCCAATTCCACCACCGGAGGTCGGTCCCACGATGTGACATGACCATCCATGGCTGTAGGAGTGCGGCTGCAAAGGCACTGAAGAAAATGCATGCCAGGGGGGATGGAAGATGGCCGGAGAGCGGCGCTAATGGCGTGTTTGACGGCATTGACTCGATCTGGACAATATCACGTATGATTGATGCGATGCTTTGGGGCCAGTGGAAGCGGTGCTGACGGGGGATGATGCGTTGGAGATAATTATAGAGTAGAGTTTCAGCTTGTCGCTGCCGCTTTGATGCTAGCGGGTGATACGCTACCAGAACGCCAAACGGAACGGGCTTGATTGCTGGGGGAGCAGCAGAAATGTCCCGTCTACCTGGAGCCTGCGCGTTAGCTGCATGTGCAATGTAATGTACCTTGCCGCTTTTTTTTTTGCAATGGAGCACCGAGCAGTTGCAGCTGCAGCTACGGAGTTGACCAAATTGTTTAGCCCGTACGGAGCTGGAGCCTTTGGGGGATCAGAGCTGGAGCCCGGAGGCCTGATGTTTCAAGAAGGACGATGAGTTCAGGTTTCCATGGCTTGTGAGTTGCCTTGATACAGAAGAGCCAGATCAAACAAAACAAACATCCCTCAGCGTGAGGATGCAGAGTGAATTGTTTGTCCGTCTGCTGTACGAGTACAAACGACGTCGTTGAATCGCAAACCCGTGTCCCGTCACGTGGCGGCCAGCTCCGGGGATCCTGACTGACTGATGCTGATCCTGGGCCACCGTCTGATGATCGGGTCTTGTCCCAAGTCCAATCCAGATTCAACCAACGTCCGACTCCTTACTTACTGCTACATGTACCTACTGCTACCTTAACTTTGTGCCCGGTCAAACTATTCTGCCTTTTCGCGGGCTGGGGGGGCCCCCCACCTTTCGACAGCGCTGCAGGGACATGGTTCGGCCGAGCCAAAAGCCTCGCTAAAGGTCCATTCACACTTCCGCAAGCTAGGCTTCAAACTAGTTTCCCAGCTCTGCTGGCATGTGCTGGTGCTGTGCTGGCGTCTGGGCCGGGAAAAAATAGAGGGAAAATTAAGAGAAAATTTAAGCAAGCCACGGAGTACTCCGGCGTCCTGGCATGGGGGCCCAGTTTCGAGCCAAGCAACCGCCGATCACTACCTCACCATCGCCGACGCAAGGACGGCGAGACTTACTTTACTTTGCGAGTCAAACTCGAAGCTGTGACGACGCATCATCAGCTTCGGAGCTTTCCGCTGCATGTCTGAAGCTGGACTTGCGTCTCTTTTTCTCTGTCTGACGACAAAATAGAGATAGGGAAAGCCGGAGAGCTGTCTATGCTGTGTGAGAGATTGGTGTATGAGCGCAAAGAGAGAGAGAGAGGCTCAACCAAAGACAAACCGTCACAAGAGACAAAAGTCACAGACGAATAGCTCTCTCTTCAAGCCACTTCCTACAATCACACCCCCCCTTCTCCATCATCCTCGTCTTTCCTCCAATCCCTATCCCACTCCTCTGCAGTCCTTTGCGTCTCCTGCCTCCTTGTGTTGCCGTTTCCTGTCCGTTATGCTTGGCGTTGGCGTGCTGCCGTTAGATAAGCGACTTGTATGCGTGCCGTCTCCTTGACATCACAAAGCACATACTATTTCAAAAGTCGACCCTCTCTCCCCCTTCTCCGGTCGGCCGAATCACTCGGCCGCCCAGCCATCTCGCATATTCCATCTCTTGCCCCATCTTGCCCATCGGATGGCCTCAATGCATACGTATCCTTCCATCACCGAGCCGGGAGTGGCTCAGTCGCCAGCCATGGGCGTCGATGCCTCCAACCCCAGCGAAGGGGCAAGTCCCTACGACACTTCCTCAATGTCTCAGCAGCCTTCGCCGCACCAGCATCACTTGGGCGCGTCACATTCGCAGTCACAGCTGCAGTCGCAACAACAGCAACAGCAACAGCAACAGCAACAGCAACAGCATCAACAACCGCAGCAGCAACCACAGCGCAGCGTCAAGCGGCCAAGGCCCGTCAAGTCGTGTACCGAGTGTCGGAAGCGCAAGCTGCGATGCGATCGCCTCTGTCCTTGCTCACAGTGCCAAAAGTCGAGCCGTCCCTGCAAGTACGCGCCCGACCAGGACTCGGCCAACCTGTCCGAAGGCTCGGACGCAGAGGCAGCTGAGCCGGGCCGGCCAGCCAAGCGCAACTACTCGCACAGCACTCTTCCCGGGCTAGGCAGCACGTACAGCGATGCTGGCGCCGCCAGACCGACAAAGGCGGGCGATTCCACCAGCCTGCCGTTGCTCGAGGAGCTCTCCATACGCATGGAGCGGCTGGAGAAGCAGGTTCTCGTGCGAAGCCCCAGCAGGGCCGAGCTCGGCGGCGGCAGAATCGTCGCTGCACCACCAGAGACAATACGGGGACTGACAGTGAAGCGCGGGGCCTTGCGAACCCGGTATTTCGGGCAAAACGACCCCCGGGTGTTGTTGAATCTGGTAAGTCAGGATCAGTCGTGTGTCGGAGGGGCAAGTTTTGCTTTCGATTCTTTTGATATTGGGCCAACAAGAAGCTGACTCTCAACGCTCCCCCGTGTTCTAGTTTGACGATGCAAAGGCATATGTGGCACACAACTTCCAGCGGGAGCCCTTCACCAGCTTTGAAGCCCTGCATAAGCATCTACGAGGCGAATTGACAAAGTCGTTGACCCCCATCACCGTCTTTGTGGATTCCATGATGCCCATACACAAACGAATGACAGACATCCTACCCAAGAGGGCAGTCTGTGATCGCCTGCTGGCGGCCTATCTCGATACCTCGGAGACCCAGTTTAGAATCCTTCACACTCCAACATTCGTGGAACAGTATAACCAATACTGGCAAGGCAACCCGCAGGCCGAGCATTTCCTGCCACAGATGCTGTCGGTCCTAGCAGTAGCGTCTCGATTCGATACCAAATCAAGGGGATTGGTCCACCAAGAACGCGTAGAGGGCGTACATATCCCGACTGCTTCCGCGTTGATTCGAATATGGCTGGACAGCCTCAAAGGCAAGCAACTCGTGGAGCTTGCCACGCTGCAAGTCGAGGTGTTGTTGTTACTGGCCAAGAGAATGATTATTCCACGGGCACAAGACTCGTGGAATCATCTGGGCTTCGTCGTACGCATGGCAATGTCCATGGGGCTCCACAGAGATCCCTCGGAGTTTGAACCACGGATGACGGTGTTCCACGGCGAGATCCGAAGGAGGCTGTGGTTCACGGTCCTGGACATGGACTTGTACATGTCGATTGCTGCCAACATGCCCTGCCTTACTCGAGACGGTGACTATTCCTGCCGGCCGCCGCGAAATCTCAATGACGTCGACCTCTACCCAGAAATGACTGAGCTGCCGCCGTCTCGGCCGCTAGACCAAGCAACAGACAGCCAGATTCAGGTCTATACGGTCATGACTCTCCCCACGCGGATGAGAGTGGCGCACATGATTAACCGTATCGACACCATTCGTGATTATCAAGAAGTGCTAGACGTGGGCGGAAAGCTTGACCGCTTCCTCGAGGACATCAACTACATCTTCCCGCGGCATGCAGCCCTCAGCGATGCGCAGAAGAGCAGACTCTGGAGAAACCGCGTCATTCTCGATATGCACGTGCGGCGGCCTTTGCTTGCCTTGTACCGACCCTTTGCCATGGCAGCCCCTGAAGCTCCAACGCAAATCTCACGGGCCTACCTGCGGTCTTGCATGGTCATTTTGAAATACCTGGACGAGGTCGATCCCAATCTGCCTCACTTTCAGGACGTTGCTGAAATGTACGTGCAGATGCTGCGGCGAGACATTGTCCAGGCGTCCCTGAGCGTTTGCTACTTTATCAGGCCGGCCGTTCGGCCTTCTGCTGATACCGTCATGCTCGATCAGCATGGAATACGGTCTTCGCCGGCCCCGGTGGATGACTTCCCAGGGTACATACCGGACGACCTGATGCTGTGGACGCCTGCGCGGCTGATTGGCACCGTGCAGAAGACAATAGATCTCCTAGTCGGGCTTATCCGCGGCAGTGATGTCAAAGACGTTTTGTGTATTGCTGTTGTGCTGGAGAGCGTAAGAAAGGCTGATGTTCGAAGCGAAGAGATTACCAACAATTTGTTTGGCTTGCTGGATGCCTGCTTGAGGGCCACCAACGTGACGGCAGATAAGCTGCGCAGTTTATACCTCGGCAGCGCGAATGGCGCGTACTCACATGGAAGGATGCCTTACGTGCAGCAAGGCTACAGCATGGGAGGCCTTTCGGATCCTACCACAGAACTGGGCGGCTGGATAATGTGGGATGGCTGGGATTGATTCCGACTTTTCTAGTCCGCCTTTTGTGGTTCTGTTCGTCTACTTAATATTCCTTTTATTCTTGTTGATCTGTCTGCTTGTATCTTTTTGTCTTTTCCATGTTTGTCATCTCTTAATTATGGTTATTTCGTCTTCTTCTACGGCTTGAACGAGCGACGAACGTTATGGTCATTGGGTTTCCTCCTCATATATAGAGGCTACTGATTGGCGAGTATTGGCTCTGAGTAACATGGTCGGTCACATTCTGGTTGGTTCTCATAGCACATTCTGGTTGGTTTCTCATAGGAAAGTGAGAGAGAGAAGGAGATACCCTACGCGCGTTAGTGTTTGGAGCAAGGTGCAGAGGCTTTTTATCCTCTTCTTCTTTTTGTGTGTCCTTTTCTTCTTTTGGTTGTGTGTGTACAATAAAGGGAGGGTGGATATTTATAGGCAAAAAGTATGACCACCCGTACCATGAAGTGAATGGCGGGCTTCTGATTAATATACTGCTATTATACTGTTGTTGTTGCTCTAGTCTCCATGAAGGTAAAAACATTTCTACAATACGATGACCGTTAGTTGGTCAACACCGGCGACTTGCCATCCCACTCATTAGACTCGGCTGCCGTGATCAGCCATGCTCCCAAGCTTTCCCTGCTCATGGTCACGTTCCAGCCACATCCCTGACCATTCTCAGGCCACACCTTGACCTTTGCAGCCGGCCCATCAGTCAATCTCGGCGCCCTCGCAAGTACAAACGGCACACCACTCTCCCGAATCAATACATCCGTGTTATTATGGTCCTTGACAGCATACTTCATGGTGCTGTGATCCAGGACAGCGCGAAAAGCCCAGCTGAGATTCTTCCATGACTCACGAGCCCCGAAGATGGAGTTTAGGACGATCTTGGGAGGATGTGCGAATGGTGTGGCGGCGATTGCGGCGAGGAGGACGCGCGTTGTGCTTGCGAGGAGGTCTGGGGGAGAATCTGGGGATAGGGGGGCGAAGGGGTTGTCGGAGGTGCGGCGCTGGTTGAGGGTTATGAGGATGGAGGAGGGGGGGGAGGGGGTTGAGAGGGCGGTTTGGACGTCTTGCTGGGAGGAGGGGGAGCCTAGTTTTGGAACAATGGGTTAGTTTGTGAAAGAAAAGTATTTATTATGTGGGCTGTGGATTTGGGAACGTACCTTGTATGATGGTGAGGTTTGGGTTGGAGGGGAGGGAGGATGGGTTGCGGGTTAGGACTGTGACGGTGTGGTTGCGAGAGAGGGCGTTGTCGAGGGCGATGCGGCCGTTGCGGCCGGTGGCTCCAGAGATGAAAATGTGCATAGTTTATTGATGTGGGATGTATAAGATATTATTGTTGTTGTTATGTAGAGTGGGAGCATGTATTATATGTGATTGAGATGATAGGGTCGTGTGGTGCGTGTAAGTGAAACCAAGGCTGCAATTGAAGAAAGCAAGTTTTTGGTTTGAATTTGTCTGTCTGGATAGAAGGATAAGGATGGTTATGGGCTTTTACAAAAATTCTACGGAATCTGGAATTGCCCTTTAAATACGTTGTTTCCATCCTTCTGCCATTCGGGCATCTTTGAATCAATCCGTCCACTCGGCCGATATACTTTCATCGGATCCGTGACTCTCGGCCGGTGAGCCGGTGTAATTCATTCCAGTCCACTCCTGCGCCGCCGCACTGACAATGCTCGGCCGAGTTCCTTCGAAGCCCCAATTTGTAATCCTCTAATCCATCCTGTCTCACGTGCGTAACACCAAGGCTCATTAAAAATCAATCGGCGTCCTTCTTTGTCATGACTCCCTTTTTTTGCCTTTCAGTAGCTCGCAGGATACCTTCGGATTAAGATTGTGGCGGGCCCCGAAGCTAAACCCATGGACGAAGCAGGCAGTTTGATCGCTCCACCAACACCTCGAAACAGAAACGGGTAATACGGGCTGGACGGCCCGCAGTACCTCGGCATCGTTGCCCCGGATCCCAAGGTACGATCAACGGTGTTTCCCCCGCATTCTGCCACGATGCATACATTCACGTGCATATAAACTGCCGATACTCCTTTTACTCCGTATACGCCGATATAAAAGGAAGAGATATATATATGTACTGCCCTTGGTAGTAGTTTTTACGAGGCTCTGATGGGTTGAAAGAAAAACAACGAAACATATCACACAAAACAGAGGATATATATATCACAAAACCAAAACACACCATGGCTCCCAAGCAAAAGTCGCCCGTCTACGTCCTCGGCGTGGGCATGACCAAGTTCATCAAGCCCCGGGGCAAGGTCGACTACACCGAGCTGGGCTACGAGGCCGGCGTCAAGGCGCTGCTGGACGCGCACATCAGCTACGACGACGTGGACCAGGGCATCGCGTGCTACTGTTACGGCGACAGCACCTGCGGGCAGCGCGTGTTTTACCAGTTCGGGCTGACCAAGATCCCCGTCTACAACGTCAACAACAACTGCTCGACGGGCTCGACGGGCTTGGCCATGGGCCGCACGCTCATCGCCAACGGCGCGGCCGACTGCGTCATGGTGGTGGGCTTCGAGAAGATGAACCCGGGCAGCCTGCAGAGCTTCTGGAAGGACCGCGAGAACCCGACGGGCACGACGGTCAAGATGATGGCCGAGACGAGGGGCGTCACGAATGCTCCGGGCGCGGCGCAGATGTTTGGCAATGCTGGGAGGGAGTACATGGAGAAGTACGGCGCCACGGCGGAGGATTTCGCGGAGATTGCGAGGGTCAATCATGCTCACTCGCCGAATAACCCGTACTCGCAGTTTCAGCAGGTGTACACGCTGGAGGAGGTGCTCAAGTCGCCCACGATCCACGATCCGCTGACCAAGCTACAGTGCTGCCCTACTTCGGACGGTGGTGCGGCAGCGATCCTGGTGTCGCAGGAGTTTCTCGACCAGCGGCCGCATCTCAAGGCGCAGGCCGTGGAGATTGCTGGGCAGTGTCTAGCTACGGACGGCGCGAGCGTCTTCTCCCGCAGCGCCATTGACCTGATGGGCTACGAGATGACGCAGCACGCGGTCAAGACGGCGACGGGCGAGGCGGGCATCTCGCCGCGGGACGTGCAAGTCGTGGAGCTGCACGACTGCTTCAGCGCAAACGAGATGGTGGCCATTGACGCCCTCGGGCTGAGCGACAAGGGCAAGGCGCACGAGCTGGTGCGCAAGGGCGACATCACGTACGGCGGCAAGTTCCTGATCAACCCTTCCGGCGGGCTCATCTCAAAGGGCCACCCGCTGGGCGCCACGGGCATCGCGCAGTGCGCCGAGCTGGTCTGGCACCTGCGCGGGTGGGCGAACAACCGGAACGTTGCCAACACGCGATACTGCCTGCAGCACAACCTTGGCCTGGGCGGCGCCGTGGTGGTTACGGTGTACAGACGTGCGGACGGGGGATTTGCGCCGAAGTTGGATTCGAAGGCGGTTGGGGAGGTGAATGGGCTGGGATACAATCCGGCGGTGGAGGCGAGGGGGTTTACGAAGACGCAGGCGGAGGCGGTGATGAGCAAGAAGGCGAGGAATGATTGGGCGCTGCAGGATACGCTGCAAAAGGTTGAGTCGCGGTTCTAGGCTTTGATGCTGTCTGGTGTCTTGATATCTTCGATGCTCTCTTGCGTGGAGGAGACGATGTATATGTGACTGTGACTGTGACTCTTTGCTGTGTATTAGTGTGTGAATAGTATGTACGACGAGCATCTAGTCTTATGAGTAATGAATGGTTTCGGATTCTTTATGGCAAATCCTGAATTATCACTGGGTAGATGTGGTGATGATCAACACATAATTGACCCATTGTATGTCTCCGTGTAAGAGCTGAGACTGAGACACACACAGCTCGACGATACAAGACCAAGGCACAAATGACGCAATCCGGCGAAATGGCCTCAAACGAGAATGAATCAAATCCGAATAAAGGGGGCAATTACATATCCATACAAACCAACACGTCAATTCGTAATTCATCCGGCCCCCCTTCCAACCGTCTTTCTCCTATTCTCACCAGAATACTTTCAATCCAACGCCGTGAGCAAGTTTCACATCCCGCCCCCCCAAAGCTCCGTCTAGCGGGGCGCTTGTTTCCCCAGGCGGTACTCTGTACCTACGCAAATCTCCCTCACTACACTCAACTTGGTGCGCCAAACACTTAGACTAGCAAGTATATGGTACTTGTATTCTAAACCCCCCCCTTGGGACGGACAGAGTTACAGCAATAGAGCCCTTCTATTTGGTGTGGCGCAATTCCCGCTTCAGTGACGAGCAGCCTTTTTTTGGTCTTTTGGCGATGCGCTTTCTCTGATATCCATCTTAGAAGAGCAATTATTAATCGGCCTCTGTGTCAGCCTTCATAAAGAGAAGCCCATTCTCGCTCGCAACTTCTTCTCCTTCTTCTGCATCACTCCAAACCACAAGCTATCTACCTCTTCTTCATTCGCATTCGTCGCAAACAGCATTTGCCTTTTTTATCTATCGTTCAGATAAGCCAGATTACAAACCACCAGCAAAAATGGCCGACACGCACACCTACGAGTTCAACGTCACCATGACCTGCGGCGGCTGCTCCGGCGCCATCGACCGCGTGCTCAAGAAGCTTGACGGTTTGTTGCTTTCTCTTGTTTCTATTCTTCTTCTTTTCTGTCGGGACTAACGTGTGTGTGTGTGTGTGTGTTTGCAGGCGTCGAGAGCTACGAGGTTTCCCTCGAGAACCAGAGCGCAAAGGTCGTCACTGCGCTGCCCTACGAGACGGTCCTGACGAAGATTGCCAAGACTGGCAAGAAGATTAACTCTGCGACGGCCGATGGTATTGAGAAGTCGATTGAGATTCCCGCTGCTGCGTAGAGGGAGAGAAGAGCCTAAGACATGATAGGGTGGTAGAACAGGAGAGAGAGAGAAAGGCGGGGGAGAGGACAGCTTTTTTTGCTGCTATTATACGTCCAAGATTTGAGCGCTTTGTCTCTTTTTTATTAATGAAATGAAATCACGAGTCCTGTTATGGAGTCTGAAGGCCTTGTATCCTTTGCAGGAGGATGCGAGGTCCGCCGAAGTGATGTTCGGGTACGTTGTGATGTGTGTTTGTCCATGTGTCTTCTATCGGATTCGCTGGAGAAGAATGTATAGATATTGACTGAGGAAAACGAGTATGTTCGGTTGAAAGGATCAGATATAAAGAACAGACACATGTAGTAGAGGAATAAGAACAGGAACAAGAACGAAGGGGAGAGAGCAGAAGAAGCAGGAACAGGACGAGTATATCCTGTGGCAACTCCATGCAAGCACGAAGCCCGCGGAATCATTAATCTCGCTGAGAAGGGGAATTTGATGATTTGTAGATCTACTAGAGAGGGCCATTAACTACTACTGGCCATGTGCCTGGCAAAGGACTCGTAAACCATCTCCATCTCATCCCGCTGCCCGTTGATGCCAACCAATAATCGCATCCCCAACATTCCCAACGCCCGCCAGCTGAAGATGAAGATCCGTCTATCAACAAGGCACCAAATTCTAGGCCCATCTCTCCCTTCTCCCCCGCATTCCGCAAATCTGTCCTCCGCAGAGCCGGACCGTCGACGGCCAAAAACCTAGACGCTTCGTTCCCCCAGCCCAGTGCATAAACTACAAAGTCCAGGGTAGTAGTAGTTCCAATAATCCGTCGGACTTGCGCCCCAACCCGCACTATGCACCCCGGATTATTTCTACTAGGGAAAGAAAAAGCTGGGGGAAAAAGAACGAAACAAGCCCCTCTCATCCATACACAAGGGAAGAAGAGAAAAATAGGGAAATAGAGCTAACAACAAGAGGGGAATAGTGGCCCGGGAAAGCCCTCCCGGGAAGTACAAGTAGGCTGGATTAGATAGAGATCCGTTCGAGCGAAGAGCTTATCAGGTCCCGCATCCATCGGCGGAACGGGGAGACCTGAAGCATTGACGGCTTGTTTGCTGGGATGTATTGCTGGGAATGGGATTGGAAGGATCTGGTGGCTAGGCAGCTGTTCTTTTTTTGATCTGGATAGGTTGGTTTTTCTGGGGAAGAGGAGGGGGTTTGTGGGGGGTTTGTACGACGGCTTCGGGAGAGTTATACCGAGCTGGCTGGCTTGTCATGGGATCTGATCTGGGGCTTGGAGCTGGTGAAATGAAGCAAGCCTCGGATCTATCTTTGGGAGTGTAGCTTGAGTATCTTTGATTAGGATTGTAGCTTGATCCTACTAGTTAGTTTGCTATTGACTATCTTGTTCTCACTCATGAGGTTTCTCTGTTGGTATGCTTGTATGTTAGTTGAATCACATATAGTCTTCCTTGGAACATCTTGCTGGCATCACAACTCCCATCCCCAGAAACCGGTCACAAGGACAAGCATCGAAGCTGCATGGTAAGCAAATACAGCACTGACTCTATCCCCGTCAAACCCCCATACCTGCAACGTAAGCCGTCAAACCCCACGCCTATCGTGACACTCGGAGATTCGAGGCCTTGCTCTCCTCCTCCTCTTCCCAACCATCCCCGGATTCCACGACGCTACTCTGCATCTAGATAGATTCCCCCCTCCCCTCCCTTCCGCCCTTCGAAACATCGTGGCGTGGAGCCCACTTTTGCCCGTGAGTGCCGCTCAGCATTTTATCTGGCTGTAGTTTGTACGTAACTAGATGTTGGATGCATCGGTGGCTGTTCACAGTGGGAAGAAAAGAACACAGCTTGGGCTTGGCGTAAAGTCAAAGCCTTAGCAACGAATAGCTTCCCCTTGTGTAGCTATCTAGGCATCATTGGCTAGCTGTGTATGATGAAGCGGCTTGAGACGCCGGGTATGCAGGAAGAATGGGAAATGATAGGGCCAACGCTTTGATTTCTCTTGTTGAAGAATTCCGTTGCACCTAGCGCTGCACACCTTTCTTTCCTTCTTCATTTCCGTATCTTTGTTGGTTGCTCATTGCATGGGGATCTGCATCGGAGTTGAAGAGTTTGTTGTGAGAATACAACACTGACCTGAGTCAACTTACATGAGGTACATTGTATACTGCTGCCCACTTTAGTACAGAGTGACATTGTAAAAGTCGTATAGATGCATGGAAGTAAACCAGGACTGAGAATGCATCATACTGACTTATACGGCTATGCAGTACTTTCCCAATGCAGTAAGAATTGGAGATACTGTGTAAAATAACAATCTTTACTCTATCAATTTGAATAAAGAGATTAATTGAAAACCCGATGAAAAAAGAGGAACCGGAACAGTGTGACGACACAACAGACTACCAAACAATTGAACACGGGCTTCTGGTCTCTTCGCAACAAGGATCTGCCTTTAAACGAGACCGGGCGTTCTTTTTGCCTGCGGGGACACATCATTCGCAAAAGAGAACCTATCGAAAAAAGGGCCAACGGCGCAAATCACGGCCAATTCGACTGTGCGGACATGAGGATGTGGCTTGCTTTTCGCAAGGTGGCATGCCGCATGCATCTGATATGGTTTGATGGCATGATGCGCCATGGCATGACATTTGCTGCGCCGGCGGGGCCAGTGTATGCAGCTTGTTCTAATGCTGCATGGCCCCCCCCCTGTAGCCCTTCAGTTTCTCCGACGCCGCGCTCAAATCAATCACCAGCCTCGACGGACTACGCGTGCGACGCCGGCTCTGTTTCTGCAATCTAGCATTGGTTGATTTGGTATTTTCACTGGGCTTTGATGGGATTGCCACTGTGCAGGCGAACGTCACACCAATCATGGCTTCGGTCCGTCCAGCCGAACGACGAACGAGATGGATGCGTCCTATCAGCCATGATATCACTGCCGTACGTGGGATGTAGCTGAGGGCTTCAAGGAGAAACGAGTATAAAGGCGCCGGCTCGTCTCCTGGATTCTCTATAGCTTGTCTCTCCAGACTCTCCTCTCAACATCACATTTCTCCTTGAAAACAGATTCAATCTCGACTCAATTCCTATTTTCCATTTACTACAACCTCAATACCAACTCCATCATACATCATGGGCAGCATCGATATCCCCTCTGAGCAGTGGGCGCAGATCGTCGAAAAGACCGGTGGACGTACGCTTTCACCCCTCCAAACTTCCAATTCCTTCTCCTCATCCATTCATCCATTTGCTAACATTCTCTCTCTCCAGCCGTCGTCTACAAGAGGATCCCCGTCCAGAAGCCTGGTCCCGATGAGGTCCTCGTCAACGTCAAGTACTCTGGCGTCTGCCACACCGATCTCCACGCCATGATGGGCGACTGGCCCCTCGACACCAAGCTGCCCCTCGTCGGCGGCCACGAAGGTGCTGGTGTCGTCGTTGCTCGTGGCGAGCTCGTCAAGGACATTGAGATTGGCGACTACGCCGGCATCAAGTGGCTCAACGGCTCGTGCCTCAGTTGCTCCTACTGCCAGAACGGCGACGAGCCGCTCTGCCACAAGGCCCTGCTCTCGGGCTACACCGTCGACGGAACCTTTCAGGAGTACGCCATCGCAAAGGCCGCACACGTCGCCCGCATCCCCAAGGAGTGCGACCTCGAGGCCGTCGCCCCCATCCTCTGCGCTGGCATCACCGTCTACAAGGGCCTCAAGGAGTCAAACACCCGGCCCGGCCAGACCATTGCCGTCGTCGGCGCCGGTGGCGGCCTGGGCAGCATCGCCCTGCAGTACGCAAAGGCCATGGGCCTGCACACCATCGCCATCGACGGCGGCGACGAGAAGCGCGACCTGTGCATGAAGCTCGGCGCCTCCGCCTTTGTCGACTTCACAAAGACAAAGGACCTCGTCGCCGACGTCCGCGCCGCCACACGAGACGGCGAGGGCCCCCACGCCGCCCTCCTCGTCGCCGCCCAGGAGAAGCCCTTCCAGCAGGCCACCCAGTACCTCCGCTCCAAGGGCGTCCTCGTCTGCATCGGTCTTCCTGCGGGTGCTCAGCTCAGCGCCCCGGTCTTCGACACCGTCATCCGCATGATCACCATCAAGGGCAGCTACGTCGGCAACCGTGCTGATACTGCTGAGGCGCTCGACTTCTTCCGCCGCGGCCTCATCACAGTGCCCTTCAAGACCATTGGCCTGAGCCAGCTGCAGGAGGTGTACACTCTGATGCACGACGGCAAGATTGCCGGCCGTATCGTCGTTGACCCTACGAAATAAGTGGACAAGAACAAGCAGTACACGACAATACGCTCTTCTCCATTCATAACCTTTTAAACATGAAGAAAAAAAGCAAAACAAAAGTGATTGGTTTAGATATCATTCTGGGCGAATATAGGCGGGTGGGTTAGTGCGAGTATGGGCGGTTGCATGGGCTGTTTCGATATACAGGATGGCGGAGCGTTGTGAGATGTAAAGTATGATTATGATGAGCTTTTTTTTACGAGTTAATTGATGAGACATGATATAATTATTTGACGTCTGTGTAAAAGAATCATCTTCTTCAATTGGATGATTCTTCAATTGTGTGGCTAACAGATCTGGAGTGGCTGCTAGTCCCTTGGTACCTTGTTAGCAGCGTCTTTCGTAGCTCACTCTCCTCATTAGCTTGCAACTTGTCACTCAATCCCCATGACAGTCTTGACAACCTACAATGAATCACCAAATGACAGAAAGCGACATAAATAGCACGCAATTTTATCACCATAATAGAAAGGCAACACAAGGTGTATATAATGTATATATTTTGTCAAGTACAAAAATCATCTGCCTAGTATCTACCCCGCGCCATATCGTAATCCGCTTATAACACACCCCTCTATGAACCGCCAGGGCCACCAAGAAGAGCAAATCTTCGCACAATGCTGGGTCCGTATTCTTGGTACTAAGTCAAAGGTTAGCCACAATGTCATTAACAGATAATTGGACAAAATATTTATGTCACGTACCTCCGCCTTGGTGTGGCAGTAAGATCGGAACTCGGGAGTCTGACCGAGCAGACTGCCGCCAAACCAGGGGCCGTGTCGCTGTCTCTTGTGTGTAATAACCTGGACGTCGAGTCCACCGCTTCGGGCACCGCCGCTGCGCTGCTCGCTAGCCTGGATTCTGGCGTCCACAAGCAGCTTGATATCTCGCTGCAATCGTCTTCCAAAGTCCTTGTACAGGGTGCTTCCACCAGAGAGCACAATGTTCTTGTATAGACCTCGTCGAACGTCAATTGGGGACTGCTGAATGACGCCATCCACAACCACGGGCAGCGGGGTCAGGAAATCGGACGTGTAGATCTCGGGGTTGAAGAAGATCTCGGGTGCCAGGAAACGTTCGTAACCGACATCGACAGTAACCTGGCGGCCACCGGGCTGAGTCACTACGTGCTTGGCAAAGCGGCTGCGGTCGCGGTCGTATCGGGCGAATTCCTTGACAATGTCGGGGCAGACGTAGCAGTACTCTTCCTTGATCTCCTGGGCTGTCTTCAGGGACGAATCGGGCTCGCCACGGTCTCGGAGAAGAGACTGGACAAAGTACGTAATGTCTCGACCGGCAACGGGAATCGACTTGATCGAAGACCCAATGACATATCCTTCAGCCACGGGGATGACGTGGGTGACACCATCACCAGAGTCGATGACGGTACCGGTCAGCGATCGATCCGAGACCTTGGATGAGGTCCACGAGGCCGCGAGGGCAAGGACGGCCTGCACGGCAATGTACATGCCGGCACAGTTGAAAGACTCAAAGAAGATCTCGGCCGTGTTTTCTCGGTTTTCGGGAGGGTTCAGCGGCTACCATACCGTTAGCAATTCGGTTCTTGGTCTTCCGTTCCAGCCGGAGTGAGTGTCGTGTGTAGGAAACGTACAGGCTCAGTGAGGAGGAAGTAGTGGTCTTCAGGCTCGACTCGCAGATACTTGAAGATGGAGTTTGACCAAAAGCGCTCCATGTGATCCTAGATACCCGTTAGACCATGTTCTCCTTGTAATCTTGTGCTCCTGAGACGCATACCCAGTTCTCAATCTGACCGTGGCGGATGGGATAGTGGAGGCCATATCCGGGCCCGGCCGCGGCGCTAATGGCCTCATCGCCAATGTAGTAATCCAAGTCCTCGGTTCCGCGCTTTGAATTCAGGTGGCCGCTGGGACCAGCTCCTCCGGTGAGGAACGAGGGCTTGTTGGCAACGGAGGGACGACCCGATCCTGATCCTCCGGCACCCCCACCAGCTCCGGCCTTGGTCGCAATGGCGGTAGGGAAGACGAACGAAGGGGAATCATTTCCGGCAAAACCTGGCAGGCGAACGAGCCCATGTCAGTCGAGTTCAATTCAGGAGACGGGATACGAGGAACGGCGAGATGGTACCTAGCTTGGAGAAGCCCGTGCCGCTGTGAGAGTCTCGAGTTAGCACCTTGAACCAGGCTGTTGTCACGGAAGACAATCGGTGGAATAGTCTAGGGAGAGGAGAGGAGAGGGGGGCAAGAGGAGAGAGGAGGAGGGCGGAGCATGACTTACTTGTCCATGACAACGGCGGGAGTTTGGTTCGCCATGATTGCAAAAGGTGCTGGCAGCACAGGCAGAAACTCCCAGACTCGTGACAGTGAGGCGTCGAGATAGTTGCAGTCGGGAGAGCGAAGCAATGGAGCGTCGACAGCTGGACTCTAGGGACAAGTGGGGAGAGATGAATGGGAGTGGCACGTACGTAACGTGCCTTAGCTTCCATAGGATCAATGCTCAGCTAATTCTAGGCACGCTGTTAGTGAGTGAGACCGCTAAACCACAGCAGCTCCAGTTGCTCTGACGAATCTCACCAGCCCCGCCAGCTACCGCACGGCCGGGGTTTATGTGCTTAAGGGGGGTTTTGTGGGGAGCTGCCAGCGTTCAAAGTTTCCGACGTCATGCTGCGAATAGCTTCGCTTTTTGGGACCATGATACATATCTTGGGTGCTCTGTACGGCATTGCGGTTTGGGAGTTTTGGTTTCGACCACGCAATCCGAAGCGCTGCAGTTTCTGCTTGATTCCCTAATTGGCTGTTTGTCTGCTACATTCTGCATCAGTGAATTAATGTCTTCTCATGCAAGATACGGATTGACACTCGTATACCTCGGGACTGTTTGCTGAGATGCACTTTTTGGTCACGAAATAAATAGACCCGAACCATGCTATGAGAATCTACAGAGGAGCAACACAAGCCAGGTGGAAAAATACATTCAGCAAACTCAAGCTTCCTCATGATATATAAGGAAGGCGTCGCCTACAGAAATCTCAACCACATAATGCTCTCTCAAGCCACTGCCTCCTATTGTGGCCTCCTGACGGTCTAAGACGACTGCTTTGGCTCGATATCGACACTCTTGCTTGAATCCGCCTGCCATATTCGCGGTGTATCCAGATACTTAGAAAGCTCCAGCATTTGAGAGTTCAGAACGTTCGCGGTACCATCTTTCTTCGCCTGCCGCGTGCGTGCTCAGTGCAAAAATTCTCGGCTATCTCTGTTGAAAAGCGACTGCGCTCTGTAGGCTGGCAGAACAAAAGGCGGTGGCTTTACCTCGTGCTGAGAGCAATTCCTCTGCACGCACCTAAAAAGTCCAAAAACTTCAACACTTCCTAGATTTTATCCCTTTTACTCTCTTACTCTCTCCGTTCCCTCTCAGAGGGGCCGATCTGAGCGTCCTAGCCCGCCTTCTTCCGCTCCTTTTCACCATTATCAATACTGTTTCTTGTTTTCACAGCTTTCTGGACAGCTCTTCCGTATACTTTCTATACGAGACTTCGCACCCAAAGCATGAGCAGCGGCTGTGACCATGAAGTTTCCTCCATGATGGCTGACAACACATACGGAACTGATGGTGCACTCGATCGCGTTCTCGGCTTCGGTCAGAAACAGCTCAAGAGTGTTCCGGCGATCTTTATCCATGCTGGAGCGGGTTTTCATAGTCATCAAAACGAACATGTTCATCTTGAGGCATGCGTGGCGTAAGGCATCCCCTTCTTCCTTTAAGTTTCTCTCCGAGCTTTCTCTCGAATTCCTCCTTTGATTTCCACTCTTATGTGCTAACTCGATGCATCATCCGATAGGGCCTGCGAGATGGGCATGAAATTCTTAAAAGCTGGTGCCACTGCCACCGAGGCCGTCGAAGTTGCTCTTCGCATCCTCGAGGACAAAGAGATAACGAATGCAGGCTACGGCTCCAATTTATCCATTGACGGCGTCGTCGAGTGCGATGCAACAATCGTTGACCATCTAGGACGCAGCGGTGCCTGTGGAGCCGTTCCAAGTCAGTCAATTGTACCGTCTGCATAGCTCAACACAAACGACGTCCATCATGTCAAACTAACAAGACTGCTTCTAATAGACATCCGAAACCCCATTTCATTGGCGAAGCTCATCTTGGACACGAGCAACAAACCCCTGAGCCTCCGCCGGGTTCCCCCAAACGCTCTTGTTGGCGAAGGAGCAAGACTCTTTGCTGAGGAACACGGCATGGCAACCTTTACCAACGAGTATCTCGTTTCAAAAAACTCCAGGGACCGCTTTCTACGATGGCAAGAGGACCTGAAGAGAGCTGATGTCAAGCCGAAAGATGCAAAAGGCGGGTTTGCTGCTAGCCCGATCAACATGAGCTGCGCTCCGTGTCAATACGATACAATGGCAGTAACAGATCCTCATAAAAGCTTTCCTCGGGATCATACCGCAGCAATCCTGGCCGGCACATGGAACGAAGGACAACCGGATTCTCCTTGTGTTGGCACGCCTAATCCCGATGCTAGTAACATCTCTGAACCTCCAGCGTACTCGACAACATATGCTCGGGCTCTGGCTTCAACCCCAACGAATTCTCCGAGAAACCTCATGCGACCAACATCCAGTGTGCTGATGCAAAAGACATCTGCCGCTCTAACGGGCGATATGAGCCCAATGCTTTCACCCGACCGCCCAAAACGATACCATAGAAACACCAACCAAGGTGGCCACGGGAACGGTGTGAGCACTGGCTCCCCTCGAGATGAGGCCAAACAGACGCAAAAGTCTGGAGGAGCGACTTTCGATGGCTTGAAGCCCCCTAAGAATCTTGACAAGCTCCATGAGGTTTCGAACAGCCCTGACGAGGATCAATTTCATCAAGAGGATGAAGCTGTCGTAAGTATTCGCGGTCTTAAGCGTCCGCTTAGCGTATCAAATGAAAACGAGGATTCAATCACGCAAACAGCAAAGCGCCAGTTCCAGTCTGGTAGCTCTGAAGAGGATTCGGTCACGGACACTATTGGTGCTATTGCAATTGATGATAGAGGCCACATTGCAGCAGGATCCTCATCTGGCGGCATTGGAATGAAACATCGGGGCCGCCTAGGACCGGCCGCCCTAGTTGGCATTGGGACGGCCGTTGTGCCTTGCGCCGAAGATGACAACGATAATCTCACCGTTGCGGCTGTAACGAGCGGCACGGGTGAATATATGGCCACTACAATGGCTTCTCAGAGGTGTGCTGAGCGTCTTTATCATGGGACGCGTCGCGGTCCTGCCGGCATCGACGTCCAGGACGATGACGAAGACGCCATTATGGAATCTTTTATAGCTAAGGACTTTATGGATCACCCCGGGGTGAAAAACTGTCATTCCGCGGGTGCCATCGGTATCATGGCCGTCAAGAAGAACCGGAACGGCTATTATCTATACTTTGCCCACAATACAGACTCCTTTGCCCTGGCATCCATGGGTGGGCTGGAAAGAGAGCCGCGATGCGTCATGTCACGACTCCCCGACGGTGCTAAGATTGCAAAAGGTGGGCGCAAAGTTCGACTGGACTAAGGAGCTAGTAAAGGAAGAAATAGCTTCTATTCCTTGGCATGTCAGGTTCTACTAGACTGGAGGAGGGAATTGCAAGAGTAGGCTGGCTGGCACCTGTACACAGCGGCGTTACGCTCTGTCTGTCTCTCCATCTTCATGTACATCATTTCTCTCCTGATATTTGTACCTGGTACTCTCTTTGTATGATATTCGCATAGTGATTATCCCCCTCTATTCCTATATAGACATCTTTTTGTTTCCAGAACTCCCATGTCTTTTACCCAAAGCTATTATTGCAAGCTGCCCTCGGCTGATCCTCACTGTTGCACCAGCTCGGACATCAATACAAGACTGTCTGAAATTTCCACCTTGCATTACAGCTTGAACTCGCAGACAGTCATTTTTTATGTAATCACCAAATATGTCTTGTTCCTCTCTCCTCAAATGAGTTGTTCATGGTTTTGGCGTCCCTGTAGCACTACCCGTCTCCTCACGCCCGCTACCGTTGGTAATCTTCTTCTTCTTCTTCTTTTTCCGAGGCATAACGGCAGGCTTCGCTCCGTAATTACCTAGAGCAAGCACAGTTCCGCAAGTGAGACACTCGGCGTTCTCTGGTGGTTCGCAGAATATGCTGAGACACACTGAGCAGACAAAGCCGGTGTCGACGACCTTGCCGTGGCAAAAGCAAGCAGTACGGAAGTCGACCGTATCGTGAGTCGGTGTGATGAGGTCTCCACGGGCCTCGGTATCGGGGATCAGACCAAACATGAGGTAGGTCAGCAAACCCTTGGGATTGGAGGCTTTAAGGAAGATGCCGTTTGTGTTGAAGCAAGCCTGTTGGAGGAACGTCGAGTCTCCGGCAAGAGAAATGGTGTCAATGGCAACCTGATTATGGGCGGCGGCAAAGACGGCGTTCATGGTGGGGATGTATTGGGAGGGTTCGGAGTCAGAGACGGAGATGACGACGATTCGGCCTTTGACGGGAGGAGGGGCGGTGGAGTTGACGGGGGCGGCATTGGAGATGGTGGTGTCTGATGAACTTAGAGCCTGGGCGGCCTTGTTGATGCGACAGAGGGCGAGCGTCAGGGCTCCGGAGAGTTGTGTTGTTACCTGGTCGAGGTCTTGCACGGTGGTCTCTGCCATGAGCGTCTGGATGGACGAGAAGACGGAGGACTCGATCTGCGCGAACTGAGGGTACTTGTTGGCCGAGTTCGAAGGGGCATTCGTCTCGGCTGGCACATCCTGCATCTGAACATCCCCTGAATGGTCCTTTGTTGCCGTGGTAGCTGATGGACTCTGAGGAGTGGGATACAGCCATACGGCGCGGTTCACGTGTGCGGCGATGACGGCGACCTGGTTGGTGTTGCTAAACGCCAGATGGGCATTGACGAAGACGAGAATGTTGGAGATGGCCTGGGCGAGGGAGAGGGATGAGTCGAGAGCGGCCCAGGCGCGTGGGTTTGTGTCGAGGACGATGGAGAGGAGGGAGGGAGAGTTGTCGGCCGCGGTGACCTCGTAGTGCTCCGAGACGTCGACGGCATCCATGATGACGGGTGGATGAGCTGGACGTAGGCTAACGGAGACAGCTACGAGGCCTGTTTAAGATGAGGGGGAGAGGAGGAAATGGTTCAGCTCGTTTGAATGTCGAATTTGGTTCGTTAATGGAAGAATGGTCTCGTTGGAATCGTTGGGCCAAGGCTAAAAGAAATAGATGGAAAGAGGTAGTATGTGCAAAAAGACACGCGAAGATGGAGACGCGGTTATTGTCTCTAGAGCTGACAGACGAGAATTGCAATTTGATGGAACAGCTGGAGCTCAACAAGCAGAGCCAAAAAGGATGTTCATGGCATGTTCGGGTGAGGCTAGAAACTAGCAGCTGCAAGACGCAGGTCCGTCATTGACAAGGCTGACTTTGAGACCAAAAAAAGAATGACCTAGACCGGGATGGCACGGCTTTTGGCGAGAGACAACGCCAAGGCACGTGACTGGACGACTGCATATTAATCAGGGTGTTTCTTGCAAGGCGTCCATGGGATATTTCAGTATACATAAACACTTTGCATATATTAGACAGTTTGCAGTCTTGTCTTGTAGTCTCTTCCAATTGTTAAAATAGTGGAAATGGCGGAAGCAGGAGACGGAGATCCAATTGCCAGACTGGTGAGCTTATAATACGACAGTGATGATGCAGTGTGGAGATGTGCTAAAGCTTAGGTACTTGGCTCGTACTGTAGGTGAAATCCGCTATAAGCCTGCAAATCCCTAAAGAGGTCTTTAAGCATCTCAAGAAGCCGTCTTTTTATTCCATTATCCCGGATAATGACAGGGATCGGGTAATTCATTTTAACGCCTGCGAACAAGTCGAGTTCTACTGGGAATCGGAGTTTGGGTCGGATGTGCCCGTTTGGGCTCGCAAAGGCGACTTTACGCTGACGCTGCCTAAAGGAATAAGTGCCATAGTTGCTTGGGGCCAGTACATATTAGATGAAGTGCTGAGGGATGAAGAAGTACCGGAAGATTAACAGCTGAAAGAAGAAAAAGTAATAAAGAAATTGGAGTGCCGGAAGAAGAGACACTGAACGCTGGAATGCTCAAGTCGAAGAATGACGAAGCTGCACCTAGACAAGCGGGGGACAGAAAAACCGAGACTGAAAAGATTACGAACACACGCGCCTCAAATATTACGCCTTCAAATCCTAACTCTTTAAGCATCTGCTACGGAGTACTACATCTACATTTCTCTAGTAACTGCTATTATATTTATACTTCTTTAGTAACTGATACTATATCTATATTTCTTTAGCAACCGCTATTATATTTATATTTATCTACTACTTAGTATTATTTTCGTACTATGTTAGTTTAATAGACTAACTACCTAGGTGCTTATATTGTTGAATGTATGCACTTATTCTTTTTACTGTCTCGCTTTTTCTGACCTCGGCTTGGGACCCTGACCTCGATTGAATTAGTGACGAATCGAGTTCCCTGTGCAGCTCCGTTACTCGTAGAAGATGCTCGATAATAGGCCAATTGCAGCCCTGGAACCCAAAATTAACGTGCGCCAGCGTGACATTTCCGGCGACATCACTGGCTGCATGGCGGGAGAATATTGCGCCAACCAGGTCGCTAACACAAACGGTGACGCCAGTAGGTGGGGTTGAAGCATCGACTATCGGGAGTGGGACAGAGCAGAGCCCTTGGAGCTTCATTTTTATCAGCTAAACCTGCGTATCTTATCTTTTTCTCCGGGGGAACAGCTTGTGGCCTGTGACGTTTCGATAGAGTCGATCCATTCTCCATTCTCCAACTTGTTTCTTCCTTATTCAAACATCTAGTTGACCTTCATCCATACATCCCACTCCAAGGAGCATTGACATTAGACGATAAATGCATGCCCAAGCCGGAGCCTAGCTTTGATTTGACCCTATCCCAGACACAGACACAGACACAGACAAGACCTGAAACAGATCATCTCAAACATGGCGACTGTGGCTCAGACGCTTCAAAGCTCGGGCCCGGCCGCGTCTCTGGAGGACCAGACGCTGCTCATCTTTGCGCGTCTCATGGAAGGCGGCCAGGAGGATGAAGAGACCGTTAGAGATCTGGACGCGCTGACCAAGCTGCTCAACGATGACGCCAATGCCCAGCAGAAGAACAAGGAGCACAAGTCCATCTGCAAGCTCATCGATAGCGATTGCGTCGACACCATTCTGTGCTATCTGGACATGCGCCAGCCCGAGATTGTCCGCGGCCACGCTACTCTGACGACATCGGCCTACCTGAGGGCTGCCGACGAGCAAGGCTCCAAGAATTTGTCTGCTTTTTTCTTTGATCGAGTCAAGAGAGGCACATACGATGACTACATCGTGGCCTTTTGCGTTGCGGCGGCCATCTTCCCCATTGTTCCGGATCTCTCCGCCGAGCTGTTTCTCAATGAAGGATTTCTCGTTTCACTGGGCCCCCTGATGAGGAGGAAGTGGAAGAGCAGAAAGGTGGAGACTGCGTGCTTGGAAATGCTCAACGCTTCTTGCATGAACTCTGCGTGTCGAGAGGCCATACAAAAGTACTGCGTCGAGTGGCTCGAGGAGGTGGTTGACCAGGATCTAGATGGAGAGGTTCGCAGTATGAATGCGGACCCCAACGTCCATAGCGAGGGCGGCTCCATTAACATGAGGAAGCATTCCGAGCAGGTTCAGCATCTGGCCGCCGTCATTTTGGCCAAACTCAGGGTGAGAAATTGACCCCATCTTTGCACCTTTGGCACAACAAAAGCTTGTGATTGTGTATGGCTGACTGACTCAGAATGAAGGTCGTGCCGTCGAACCCGGCGACGAAGGATCCAAATCAACCTAGGGTCGAGACAGCGGTAACGAGCATTGAAGATTTATCCGGCATGTTCACTAAGATGATTTTGCGTGACGAGGATCACGGAAGACAGCATTCTATAGAAGGCCTTGCCTATGCATCTCTTCAACCAAAGATTAAGGAGTCAATCATTAACAACCCCGAACTACTAAAGAAACTCGTCAAAACGCTCAAGGACGCACCACCCCGATCCCCAATGACCTATGGAGCTCTCAGCATCTTTCTCAACCTAACCCGATATCGACCTTCTCTTACTGAAGAGGAGAAGAAGATGTCTCAACTCAAGGCTTATGCGGACGCGGCCGGCAAGTTGGCCCCCCCAGACGCCCTGGATGACGATGATCACGTCTCCAAGAGGTGCAAGGCTGTCTTTGATGTCGGCCTCACTCCTGTTCTCGTTACACACAGCAAAAACGGATCTCCAGCATCAATAACCATTATTATATCCATCATTCACTCATTCGCAATGACAAAGGCACTTCGAGGCCCCTTGGCTCAGCAGGGAGCCCTTAGCATGCTATTGGCCGCATGGACGGCTCTTCCAGAAACCGAAGCGACGGGTCGTCGCATGGCCGCCCAGGCAATTGCTCGCATCCTCATCAGCACTAATCCTACTCTTGTATTCGGTGGCAATCGTTCCAGCTCAGCCATTGCTGCTATACGACCCCTAGCCTCTGTTCTCCCCCCTGATCCCGCGGCTGACAGACGAGACTTGCTTCCAACCTTTGAGGGGCTCATGGCACTTACAAACTTGGCTTCGATGGAGGACGAGGAGATTCCTCGTTCCATTATAAGTATCGCATGGGGTCAAATCGAGGAGCAGATGCTGTCTTCCAATGACCGCGTGTCTCAAGCAGCAGTTGAGCTGGTTTGTAACCTTATGCAAGCACCAGAAGGCATAGCACTTTACGCAGATGGCAACCCACAAGCCAAGAACCGAATCCACATTCTCCTAGCATTAGCAGACGCCGAAGATGCAGGCACGCGCAGCGCAGCAGGTGGTGCTCTGGCTTCCTTGACAGGCTACGAGAGCGTGGCGAAGCTAGTATTGCAAAGAGAGGGAGGCATCAAGGTCATTCTAGGGATGTGCACAGACGAGGACGAAGGGCTGCGGCATAGAGGCGTGGTTACGCTGTACAACATGGTCGCGGGAGATGTGGAAGTTTGCCAGCTCGCAAGGGAAAAGGTCAAGGAGGCGGATGGAATCGAGGCGTTGAAGCAATCTCTTAAGTTGACTAGGAGGCCGGAGGTTCTGCAGCTTACGGTTGGGACGTTGAAGGCGCTTTTAGGACAGGAGTAGTGTGCATAGGGGGAGCGTCTTTCGTATCTCTCGTTGTTCTGTTTATTTCTCCTGTTAGTTGAATTGCATTTGATAGCTTTTATAGGCATTATTATTTGAATCAAGTTGGGCATTGAGAGACCCTCGGGTTCTCTCTCTTTCTCTTATATATATAAATTCAGCATGACCATGTCTACATTCATACTGCAACAAAATGCATCATTAAGTTGAATAGAAATGAATGAGCCGAATAAGAAAACTTTTGTCATATCCTTTCTATAAAAATCCCTAATTGTCTACTCTGTTCAAAACAGCAACGCCTTCAACATGACCCGTCTGGGGAAAGAAATCAAACCCCCTCAAACTCTCAATCTCATACCTCTTACCCTCCCCCTCGCCCCTAACCAAAACACCGACGTCCCGCGCCTGAGTATGCACGTTACAACTAACATAAACGACCCTCCTAGGCCCGAAGCGGCGCAGCTGGCCGAGGAAGTCCGCGTCGCAGCCCTTGCGCGGGGGGTCGAGGATGACAGTCGTCTCCTCCGGGTCGTATGTGACGCTCTTGAAGAGCTCGCCGGCGTCGGCGGCGATGAACTTGCAGCGGTCCTCGCCGAGGCCGTTGAGGGCGGCGTTTTGGCGCGCGGAGGCGATGGAGTCGGCGGCGATGTCGATGCCGGTGGAGTGTTGGAAGACGGAGGCGAGGGTGATTGTGAAGAGGCCGGAGCCGGAGTAGGCGTCGATGAGGTACTTGATGTCGGACGAGGAGGAGGATGATGATGACGGGGGCAGGACGTGCTGCTTGATGTAGTCTGTGAAGACGGGCAGGATGGAGTTGTTGTTTTGGAAAAAGGAGCCCGCGGGGTTTGTGAAGTGGTGGTCTCGGATGTATTCGTGCGTGGTGGCCTTGGAGTCTGTCTCACATGTCTTGATGTCGATGCCAAACTCGCTGTCGTTGCGGACGGTGTAAGGGAGCAAGTTGTCCGCGGCGGGGGCGGCGTCATCGCCAGCAGCGTCGATGGGATGGCGCTGAGTGTTTTCTCGCAGGAGAATCGTCGCGCCTCGCTGGTACTCGCCAAACTCCTTCTGCATCCTCTCCCGCTCGCGCTTCATGCCCAGCCGGACGACGTCGGTGCCGATGGGGCAGTCCTCAATATCCATGACCTTGCGCTGGCCCTTGCGCATGAAGCCAATGTCGGGACAGCTCTCGAACTGAGGCTTGGGGCCGCCCTTGTTCCTCTTGTGCGGACGAAACCCGGGAGGCCCGTCGAAGTGAGGCGTCAATTTCGTGCGGTAGCCGTACTGCAGCGGGCTGCCGATGGTGTCGAGGATGGACGGCACCAGCTCTGCGGGGAGGTTGGCGAAGTTCTGAAAGGCCTTGTCGACGATCCTGCGCTTGCGGCGGAGCTGCTCGGCGTAGTCGAGCATCTGGAACTGGCAGCCGCCGCAGGTGCCAAAGTACTTGCACTGGATGCGGGAGTCGTCGCGCAGCGGGGAGGGCTTGACGATGGAGATGAAGTCGGCGACGGTCTGGTTCTCGCGCCGCAGATGGCGGAACACCTTGACTTTTGCGATGTCGCCGGGCACGGTAAATGGCACGACGTATACCTGGTTGGAGCCGGCCCTCATGCCGAGGCCATCGCCAGTGGAGGAAAGCTCCAGGACTTCGACTTCGGTCTCGGTTCCTTCAGCGGGCAGGTCTTCTTGCGTCTCGGTAGCTTCGCCGTCGGCCGGGGTATCAGCTTCGGATTTCCGTGACTCTAGCAGCGCTTCGATATCGTATCGCAAGACCTCCTCTGAAGACCCTTCGGTGATGTTCTTTTCTCTCTTCGTCTTCTTCTGCTTCCAGCTGCGATTGTTGCCGCCGGGATTGGGCCGCTTGGGCCTGTTGCCATTGGCGCCATTGCTGCTTGTCTGGGGCACAGCCGAAGGGGCTGAAGGAGCCGCAGAAGCTTGAGCGGTCGCCATGAATGCCGACGGACGAAGAAAGCGGACGGGTGGTGGTCTTAGTCGGCAAGGCTGGAAAACAAGGCTGGCGATGGTGGGATACGATGAGAAGGGCCGTATCAAGTTTTTCATAGACGATGCCGAAACCCCGTAGCAATTGAATAATGGCGGATAGCACAAGGCACTCGGATGGACCCAGAGCTATAAAATTGCCTTGTATCGTTTCGATGCGCTACCGATGGCTTCACTCTACAGCGCAGAATTTCTGTAGAAAGTTTTGCCTTACGTCTACGAAGAAAAAAAAACCATGCAGCCAAAAAAAGTTACTTGATATGGAAGTCCCTGCGCTCCGTACACGGTAGACGAGCTGCAATCCACTGTCTCTGATTGGCCGCCGCTGCGATAAGACATGCGGCATGGCTGATAGGCGGTCACAGGGGACTCCGAGCCTATTTTGGCACTAACTTCTGGGCCTTTTTGGGCGTCACGAGGGCACTGGCAAGCCATAATAACGGAAGAGCATGGCTTTGGATCCAGCTGACTGGCAGATGCGGAGCCGGACGGTCCACATGTGGCAGCCAACGTTTTTTTGGGGAAAAAAGGGAGTGAGTTCGTGCTTCTGGGGCTGGTTGAGGTGATGAGGCCGGTTCTGCAGGAATGAGAATCCGAAAATACTATGGCGGTGTCTGCTTTCTTCTACATAGTAAGCTGAGGCTCGGGTTACTGTTACTCCTGTCTTCAACCACAGGACCGTGTTTAGTCATTTGTTTCACCGGTTTAGACCTCGTGGTGCGTCTTCGTGTTGCACCAACAACGCCAGTCAGTTTCTTGTAAGTCGTGCCGCACCGCGCTTATTAAGTGGTCCGAATCAATCCGACGAATCTGTTGCTGGAGATAACAGACGCCCTGCCGGCGATTATGTACATACCCCGGGTCTCATGAATATCATCCTTGGAATCACTTGTCCGGTCGGTTCTCCATTAATAATTAATAAACGGTACTAGTACATAGTGTAGCAAACGCGCACGCCGACGTCCCGGAGCAGACGCCGACCACCCATCCTTTTCCTTTGTGCAACAAACTCCCAACATGAGTGAGTAACATCCCCAATTTTCTTCTTATCTTTCCTTCATCTTCTTCCCTCCATCTTTCACAATATCGTCTCTACTAATAAGACAACTCACTTTCTTTTTTGTATTCTTATAATACACTTATCTGCTTTCATCTCTTGCGGCCTATTGACTTACGATGTGGATAGAATCACCGGCTGCTCGCGGCCCTCGGCTTCTGGGATCGCTGCTCCTGGCCATCACGCTCCCCCATGCCATCACCGTCCAGGCGGCTGCTATACAGCAGGAGATTATCTTCCAAAAAGAGACACCAGGACATGTCGGCGGCGTTGCCAGTGAGAGCAGAGAATGCAGCGCCATAGGCAGAGATTTGCTGGCTAGAGGGGTATGTCGCGTGCTAAGACTATGATTTGCGAAGATGTCTCACCCGGACCATCATCACCATCAGCAAACTAACCTTTTTGTTTACTCATTTAGGGAAATGCCATAGATGCCCTCGTAGGTACGACGTTCTGTGTTGGCGTTATTGGCATGTATCACTCAGGCATCGGCGGCGGAGGCTTTGCTGTGGTCCGCGATGCCAACGGCGAGTATGAAGCCATCGACTTCAGAGAAGCTGCGCCAGCCGCGGCCTTTGAGGACATGTACAAGAACAACGCAAGCGCAAGCATCCGCGGCGGACTTGCTGTCGGCGTCCCCAGCGAGATCAAGGGGCTGGAGTACATGCACACAAAGTACGGCGTCCTCCCCTGGAAGACGGTCATGCAGGGCGCCATCCATGTGGCTCGCAATGGATTCCGAGGTAAGTTTTGCTCCCCCTGAAAATTTTTAACGTTGTGTGCTGATTTGGTGGCGATAGTTTCGAGCGATCTTGTACGGTACATGAGTAGCACGTTCAAGGCGGACGGAGGGACTTTTCTCACCAAGGACCCCAACTGGGCGGCAGACTTTGCCCCTGATGGTACGTATAGAAAACCCGATTAGTCTTTCGATGAGATGATCTAAACGTATACTAATTTGTTCTAGGGGATTTGGTCAAAGAAGGTGCCTGGATGACGCGGAAACGCTACGCAGAGTAAGCCAGCCACTCGTTCCTTGGACCGTTAAGCTTCGGATAGAATGCTTACCTCTCTTCTAGCACGCTTGAGAAGGTTTCCAAGCATGGCTCTGAAATATTTTATTCCGGAGAACTAGGTAAGCCTCAAGCTGACATGTGCCGCTGTAAAGCTTCTAATAACTAATCCATCACGTATAGCAAAGACCATTGTCGACTATGTTCGACGCACCGGCGGGACAATGACTCTCGACGACATGGCGAATTACAACGTCGTCATCCGTCCCGTTCACAATGTGACTTATCGCGGCCTCACTCTCCATGGCATCGGTTCCCCCGCCGGCGGCGCCGTCAGTCTCCAGATCCTCAAAATCATGGAGCGCTATGACTCGGAAGACTGGTCTGACCAGGACCTATCCCGCCATCGCCTCACCGAAGCCATGCGCTTCGCGTACGCCGCCCGAATCAGCCTCGGCGATCCAGAGTTTGTAGATGCCGATGTGGAGGGTTTTGAAAAGGAGATGCTTGACCCGAAGAACATTGATGCCATTCACGAGAGGATCTGGGATAATCAGACGCATCCTACAAAGTACTACAACCCGGAGGAATTTTACGTGCCGGAGAACCATGGCACCTCGCACATTGTGGCTGCTGACAAGTCTGGCATGGCCGTCTCCTTGACGACGACTGTCAACCTCCTTTTTGGAGCCCAAATCGTCGAGCCTAAAACCGGCATCATCCTGTAAGTCTCCGTGATATCAAGTTAAACGAATTCGTCACTGACATGACATGTCTAGAAACAATGAAATGAACGACTTCTCCATCCCGGGAGTCAGCAACGAATTCGGCTTCGCCCCCTCCGTAGCAAACTACATCCGCCCCGGCAAACGCCCCCTCTCCTCCATCACCCCCATCATCGCCGCCTTCCCCAACGGCACCCTCTACGCCGCCATCGGCGCCGCCGGCGGCTCCCGAATCATCTCCGCCACGGCCCAGGTCCTATGGCACGTCCTCGATGACCACGACGCCACTCTGGCGGGTGCTCTGCAGCGACCGCGTCTTCACGATCAGCTCATGCCGAATACCGTCCTGCTGGAAGAAATGTTCGACGATGAAGTGGCTTTGGGACTGGAGAAGAGAGGGCACAACGTGACTTGGGCTCGGCCGGGCTTGAGTTCCGTACAGGCCGTCAGGAGATTCACCGACGGTGTGTTTGAGGCGGCGGGCGAGCCGAGACAGAAGAACAGCGCGGGATACACGCTGTAGAAGGGGGGCATGGAGTTTTGTGAAAGGGAAGCGTATGGGTATGGGTCAATGAATAGAGGTTAGACATTGCAGTGATACCATTAGCATTAGCGCAAACATTTTGGTTTTCTTCTTGAATATGCTCGTCTTGCCGCTTTTTATTCTATTCTTGAGTTCTGTCTCCATAATCTTTGCCTCAAAAGCAAGCAACATCTATAAATGTACCCTCCGCTAACCAGTCTATCAATAAAAGAAAAGGGGGTATCTCCTAGTTCTATATACCTAGCATTCTGCAATAAACACGAAACCAAACGATTATTCTTCACCTTCTTCTGCAAAGTGCCACCAGCCGGTCCATCTGCGCCAGCCATTTGCCTTCAAACACTTCCTCGGAGAATCTCTTTGCTGATTTCCTCGCGCGGAGGCGCATCGCCAGGGGATCGGGAAGGGAAAGAGCTGCTTCGTATCCTGCCGCAAACTCGGCTGCAGTTGATCCGTGGAAGCCTAGAATTGTCCCGTCAGTTAACTGTTCTCCGTGCATAGGTTCATTATTCTCTAGACTTACCCGTTGGCTGGCCATCAACTTCAGTGACAATGTCCAGCTTGGGGCCACCACTATCGTGGACCACGGAAATCAACCCGGCGGCCTGGTACTCCACGACGCCGATTCCAAAGTGCTCGTTCCACATTCCATTGACGCCCACAGAAGCTTTCCTCGACCAGTCAAGAATCTCTGCCCAGGAAGCATTGATATGAAACAGAACACGATCCTTGATACCGAGCTCATTCGCCATTAGTCGCAGCTTATAGACCCTCTTGGAATCCGAGTCATCTCGGACGCTTCCAATCAGAACCAGTTTTGCTTTTTCTGCAGCTTCCGTCTTCGTCTTGACAAAATCAGCGAAAGACTGGAGAACAAGGGGGTGGTTCTTTTCAGGGCGAAACTGCGCAATGTAGATGAGAATCGGCTCTCGCTTCTTCTCGCTCTCCGCGGAAACGTCGACCTCCTTCTCAAATTCGCTGACGGCCACCGGGGGATATACAACAGCAATTGGGTTCTCTCGGTCCTTTCCTCGACGGTATGGACCCCACAAGCTCTTTACATGACCCTGGGTCCATGTAGAATTCGTCATGACAACGTCGATGGAAGATCCAACAATCGAGTAGAGAAGAGCAAACAAATGCCAATATGCCTTCTTCACGGTCCCCTTGGCTCCGGTGCCCCGGCCAGCATTGACTCCCTGGGAGCCCACAGCAGATGTAGGATCTAGAGATTCCAGCATATCGGTAGAGATTGTCGGATAGTGTACATAGGCACCAGTGGGCACACTCCGGAATAAGAGCTTCGAGAGACTGAGCGCAAATGCGTAACCCATGGTATCAATAAAAACATCGGGCACCAGCAGGGAGAAGGCGTCCCAGGCGAGTACTATCGAACCCAAAGACTGTCCCAGGAGCGTAAAGACTGGCCACCTTGACGCAAGAACCCAGCGTGTCTTGGAGAGGTCGAGGAATTGGACAGTCGGGGCGTGGAGCTCGATATTGAATCGGGTCTACATTTCAGTTTAATAAGATTGGCTCTCTGCGTCTGATCTTAATGTTAGATTCTCACCTTGATTCGGTTTAGAACCGCACCTTTGGTTAGGGTGCGATCTCCGGTATACACAAAGCACTTGGCTCTCGGCCATCGATCTTGTGTCGCACGAATGGCAGCCCACAGAACTCGCTCTCCGCCACCTCCAGCATTGCTGACGCGGTGTTAATGAAATGCAATGGGGAGTCATCGGAGGGACGGCAGCAAGGGAGGGGCCGCGGCCACTTGGAGAGAATCATACCAGAAGGGGTGGAAGAAGCCAACTACTCCGTCCCAGTCTTTGGAGGCCTTGAGGTTGCCGTTTGCATCCAGTGAATCATTAGTTGTGCTGCCTGACTCTGGGCGTTGTTGCAAGTATTTCTTGTGTTCTTCGTCCATCAAGCTGACCAGGTGCTTTCGTGTGCCATCTGTCTTGACTCGCAATATCCATCCGATGCCAGAGGCGATGAGGGGGAAAACGAAGAGCAGAATCAACGGCGAGGTTGCCACAAAAGTCACAAAGATGGCCATTGAGGAGGAATTCAGCCCGAGAGCAGAAGACGGCTGGCTGCATGTCGCCGCCTCTGCCGAGCACTTGTCCGCCATGGGCAGGCCGGGAAACTCACCCTCGCTTTGATATTGGCGATGCCTGGTTTGGGGGGGTTTTCCGGTCGAGCTGCTGATTTCTGGTTATTTAAATGACCGCAATGCCACACGCCTTAACGCGACAGCAGGTGGCATTGCCAGAGACAGAGGCAATGGAAGAGAGAGAATGGGAGTCAGAGTGAGAGGTGCAGAAGGGAAGCAAGCATGTGGGGGAATCTGCCTGTATGACTTGCTACCTAGTAGGTAGGCCTGCATTATTGACAGCTTGTCCCAGGCACTGGCTCCAGTTTGGGACCACTATGAAGCCACTGTCGAGCAATCCTGTGGCGCCAGCTTCAGGCAACTGTGGCTTGAGCGCTGAATGGATTTCTTCGAGACCCACTCACGGGACTTTATCACGCTTCGGTCTTTGTTCTCATGACGACTCTTTATTATATTAGACTGAAACTGTCCATGTGCTGGATCACAACTTATTAATCAATCACTTGTATTGTGCACAGCCTTGGACTGATCTGATTCTGGGCAATTCGGGTCACGTTCTCACCCCCCATCGGCTTCAAAGCTATGACCGGCCATGGCTTTCTTCAGCAAATCAGTCAAGGGCCTCGCAGCTCGTGGTAGCAGGGCTTCGCTTTCGCCTTCACCTTCACCTTCACATCTAATTCAAACACCCTTTCCTGCAATCCGAAGCAAAACCAGTTCAGTTCCAGGACATCGCAACTTTCACCTGAGCGCCGTAGGAGATGCCGTCCTCTGGACAGCTGACAGTATCACCTTCATCCACCATGCCGGGCTGCCCTGGTTCATCTCTATTCCCCTCGTAGCTGTCGGCGTCAACTTTTCATTTCGACTTCCAATTCAGTACTACACCAGACGCCTTGTGGCCACCAGAAACAAATTGACACCTCTTGTCACAGCCTGGAGCTCCCGACATGCGGCGACTGTGCCGCAGGGCCAAGGTGAAGATGCAGCCCGACTTTGGCGGTTGCGGGTGGCTGGTTTGACAGAGCGGTCTCGTGCACGGATATATAAAAGCTGGGGTGTCCAGAGATGGAAGTCATTTGCCCCTTTCCTGAGCATGGCACCTTTTATTGTCGTCTCAGAAGCTCTGAGACGCCTTTGCGGTGCCCCCACAGGATGGCTCAGTCATTCATTCGGACTGGTAGATATCCAGGCTGTTTCATCAGCCGTAGAGATGTCTCGCCGCTATCTTGATGAATCCCTGGTGGACGGCGGCTGTCTCTGGTTTACAGATCTTACCGCCATGGATCCTTATTATGCGCTTCCCATCATCTGCTCGGCACTGCTTGCCCGGACGTCATGGGGGAGGCTGTCAAAGGACCAGCTTCGGGCCTTGCTGAGTGTCAGTCCGCCTCAGATGCCACAAACACCTGCTACCAGGATTCGGACGGCGGTAGGCCGAACACTTCTTTTAGTCCCCCTCTTCCCCATCCTTTTTGCCGACCTACCCAGCGCAATATTTTTATACTGGGCATCGACGTTTGCCCTCAACGATGTCAACGAGGCCATCCTAGGGAGACTATTTCCACAAAAACCACCGGCATCTTTAATATCTACTCCGAAGCCGGCGGCAGTACTACCATATCTACGAGGAGTGGTAGATTCCAAGGAACAGCCAGGTCCGAATAGATAATAAAATTTTGATTTCAACGCGCTCAAGGTAAAATTCCAAAATTGCCCAAAGTGATCCGAATCCTACCTATATACATCTTCGAAAAAACGAGGTCAGGACATTGTATAAACCAGCCATAAAACACGCCTGGACAAAAGAAAAGAACAAGGCAAAGAAAAGAAGAGGAAACTCCGTGTAGAAACAAAATCACTAATTAGCCCGGTGTATCGTCTCGCGCAACTCGCATTCAGCCAATAAAGATGGCCAGAAGAACAATGGTCAAAATGACGGCCATGATAAGAAGCAAGCAGCAGCCCTTGTTGCGCGCCGCCTTTTGGTATCGAGCTGCTTGGCGAGTCTCTACGTCAGCGCCGCGGGTGCTTTCGTGGATATTCTCAACGGTATCAGAAATGGTAATGAGCTGCTGGCCCTGCTCGGTAACAATCTGTGCCACTTGCTTGAATAGCACATTTAAGTCGCCAACGCCCTGTTCAATGTTTCGGATTTCCTCTTCTCGCTCGATGATCAAGGCTTCCTGGAAGTCCACCTCGTCCTGTGGGGCCAGTTGCGATAGTTGCTGCTGCTGTTGCAGTTGTAGCTGTTCCTCTCCCCCGGCGCCAGATATTTCTGATGCCTGCGCCTCTCGGGCTGCCGTAATGGATGCGCGCTCTTTTTCCAGAGCCTTCCTCTGCAGACCCTGGAACTCCTGGAGGGCCGTCTGAAAATCGCTCGAGACCTTTGTCTGTTCGTACTTTTGTTGTTTCTAGCAATACGAGTCAGCTCATCATCATTTCGCATGGCAAGATGCAAGCGCAGACGTACGGTAAGGTCCTCCCATGTCTGTAGCTTCTTCACGCCATCGCCAATGTCCTTGCAAATCTCCCGAGACTTCTCCATTGTATTGTGAACCCGCTCCCGCAAGCGAGGGGTATCTTTCTTGGTCCCCAAGACGTTGACATCGTTGGCAAGTTTGCGGTTATTGCTTAGCAGGGACTGCAGCTTGTTTTTCAGCTCGTACTGAAGGTCTTGGAACGCAGGGTCGTCAGTGTAGCCGGCGCCGCCCTGGCCGGCCTCGAGGCTGTTGAGTCGGTCGTATGCCATGGTCGCGGCGGTTCACAGGGCGGAGTAGAAACGGAACGGGAAACGCGAATAGGGGAATATGGTCCGTATTGCTGGTATATAGTGTATAAGCGCCGCAGAAGGATAGAAGCCGACAAAATGCGATGCGATTCTAGCGCTTGCGAGCAACAAAGATGGCCAAGACGAGCCGTTCGGGATGCAAAATGGAAGATGAATGAAACCCGCTGGGACGATGGGGCTCTACGTAACCTGTTGCGACGGCCGAGTTACGACATGCATGCAAGTCACTTGGGCGATGGCGCGCCAATCAGAGGCGACGCCACCCATTCCACCTTTGCTTATCGCCACGTGATGCGTACAGATAGACTCAGGCTTGGCGCGTCTAGCGCAGCTCTGCACAGCTTCATGGTTGCTTAGCCGGTGATTTTTCTTTTATTTACTCCGTTCATTACATCTCGTCCACCCACGCATTGATATCCCATCTCGTCCAGCGTCCTTTCTCGACCCGACGTTCCATTTCTCCGAGGGAATGCGCCGCGACCATGGCGGGCACACAAACGCGGCGAGCCCCCTATAAGGACACTCTGCAGCCTGCGTTGCATCGACGCTTCTCCTCCACAGCTAGTCTGTTGTTGGCCGTGTCGTACCTCCAATCGATCTTACTGAGCAGCTGGGACTCCTGTGAGAAACCAATCCCTCTTCTCAGTCCTATAACTACCTTTCTCTAACCAAGGGCGGAATGGAATGATACAGATTTTTGGTCATGGTTCCCTCTCGGCCCGGCAGGCTTTCGAACGCTGCTACTGTTCGCGTGCGGTCTCACCATTCTCGTTCTCCGAATCGCATTCTACCACGTGGGCATCAAGACGACAAGCTCAGGCCTGCATAGCTTGGCATCTGCACTTCTCAGTCCCCGAACCTACGAGACAGCCTTTTGGTACGGTACTTCGAGTCTGCTCTACTGCGCCATCTATCTAGGAACGACAGATGAGGATTCAAACCTTCATTGGATCAACTACTTTAGTGGCGACCGCGCCAGGCTAAACGAGCGACCTGTCTTCTTGGCCTGCTACATGATCACGTTTGCGCTCATTCAGACTGTTGAGCATTACAGACATGATACCGACCGTCTGGATCTCGGCGCGCTTGAACGGAAGCCTGCGGTGGAGCAAAAGAACACGGGTATCATATCAGGATCCCTTCAAGCTGTTCTGGAAGAGCTGCCCATGGCCTTAGCTGAATGCTTCAAGCTGGCACTCATGTCTATACCTGCGACACTCATCCTTTACTTCTTCTTCCTGAGGTCGTTTGCTTGGTCGTGGACTTTGACATTCCTCCGTCCGTTCTACAACCTGCCCAGGACTAACATGCTTCCATCGTCCTGGCCCTCGGATATCTACCTCTTGGCTCGCTGTGTTTTGGCAGGAGTTGGTGTTGGATTTTTGTGGGCGGCCGGTAACAGGGCTTTCTCAATTTTCATGGTTAAGAAGCCTCTGAAGAACGACAATCCCTTGACTTCTGATTCCAAGGACCCCAATGGCAGTCTTCTTAATGGCCTTAAGAGCAAGAAGCTCTCCATCAAGGTAAGGATACGAAATCGGGTTAATATCATGTATAATGTTTGAATGCTGACAAGTAGAATCATAACAGTCCTTTGCCATGTGGGAATTGGCCCTCACAGCTCAAAACTATGGACCCCGGAGGCAAAGTATTTTCAACGATATCGACCGCCAGGGTGGCCCCATGTGGTCTCAGATATACACAATCTGCATGGAGACTCTAAAAAGCATCGAGTCAAATGTTGATGCTTATGGACAACCAGCAGCACATGCAGCTCCTGAAGCCGCACAGATTGAAGAAAAGCAACGCTCGTCAGCTCCGTTGAGGGAAGATACTATTTTTGCCAGCCAGTCCCGACAAGCAACCCTTCGGACTGGGGTTGAAAAAGCTCTGGACAAACTTGCACGGAACCCTGGCTCAACACCCGCTTCAGAGCTTAGCCCTATCGCTCGCAAAACCTGGCAGAGTGCCAAAGACCGAGTGTTGAGCAAAGAACAGCAAGAAGCAGTCTCTCCTGACCATTTAATGGACCAAGCCAGACAGGTGGCCATTCGCCTGATATCAATTGGATGGATTGGCGATATAATCCGGCAAAGCTTCCGAACGCAGTTTGCCGCCGCAGTCCTGGGCGGTTCATTTGCCGAGCCAACCTTGCACGCCAACGCAGCCACTGCACTCTGCCAATTGGCGGTACACAGCTTGGCAGAGGACTTGTATGGCAACGTTCACAGAGATGTCCCCAGTATAATCCGGACCCTAGCATCAATCATCAAGAAAGTGGAGGGGTTGAAGGCACAATTTCCTCTGCATTGGACCGACGTAAGGGGATTAAAGGAGTGTCCCGAGGTGGACGAGGTGGTGGAGGCGTTGAAGACAGGCTTGGAGCAGGTCATTTCCAAATTCGAGCCCTACAGCACTGATCTGAGGCTTACGCCTACCGACTTGCGGATCGCAAAGGAAGCCATTGGAAAACCAGTAGAGCAGCCGACCAAGCGGAGAGATAGGACACCCGAGCCCAAAAAATCCATTGAGACAAGGACGAATGGAGATCGGGCAGAGAGGAAACCCGCACGAGCAGACTTCAAGCGGGTAGAGTTCAAACGGGTAGAGTTCAAGGAGCCGGAGATGGAGCAGGTTCGATAGCGAAAGCAGGGCTTTGTGAGACGAGGACGAGCTGGATGAGCAAAATGTACTTATAAGAACTGGAACTGGGAATTCCTTGGGGGTTATGAATGTCGCATATCGCATGAGACGATACCGGAGTTTGAGGGTTCACTATAATTGACAATACTAAAATACCTGAACTGCATGTTGGCCCGTAAAGAAACAAGGGAACAAAGAAACAAGGGAAGAAACAAACAATCGAAACAAAACAAAACAGCAGTATAATATCAAATAATGTCAACCTTTATACGGCTGCATAAGGCAAAGTGCTAGCCAAGCCCAATACTCTGCTGCAGGGACCGGCACAGAGTCTCAGCCACACAAAGTCACGCGTTGGGAACCCAGCAAAGCTGGGCGAAGGTATCCACGCTTAGCGGAGCAGGTCCCGCGTACCTTGCATTACACGCGCTAAATGCCTGGTCGCCTAGTACATGTACATCATCGGCCATTGCGCCCCTACGACGCTGTACCTTCAATAGTGTGGCATCAATCCTTGCTCCATCCGAGCTCCCTAGCGAGGTGCCTGTAAATTACCTGCTGGGGCCCTGCTGGGCAGGTACAGCTGCACTCGCAATTTCGTCCTCCTGACTGCTTGTTCCTCCTGACAAACTCTCCTCTTCCCCCATGACATGACGATATCGCCTTTTTGCCTCCCCTCAACAGCACTTACGGCAGCGTCTTGGATGATTCCCCATCAGCTATAGCCATGCGACCGCGATTATTCTCATCCGAATCAGAAGGGCGGCGACGAATCAGTTGAGACCAGCACCCGGGCGCGTTGTCGCCATGGCGCATCACAGCCTTTTCTTGCGTATCCTCTACAGGTCCCTTTACCTGTTCCTCTACGTCGTGCTTTGCGGCCTGCTTCTCATTACCCCGAGCGACGCCATCCAGCGATCCGTGGTCAACAGGCAGTGGTACAACATCTGGATCATCGCGTCGGGCTATGTCGTCACAGTCTTCATCGTCGGCTTTGTCTACGTTGTGCGGCTGTACGTCAATCGGACGGTGCTGGCGTCGATCCCCAAGTCATGGGTGCCCATCGACAAGGGCGATGTCAAGGAGGCGGTTTATAAGATGATTGGGGCTGGGCTGAGTAAGAGCTCGGCGATTGCGTATGCTGCGCGGCCAAGGGTTGACGAGGAGATGATGGGGGACGATCAGGATGAAGACGATTTGGAAGACGAAGCGCGCACACGAGCAAAACTGATGGCGTGGAACGAGGAAGCGCTGGAAAGAGACGAGCCGATCCCCATGCCGCCGCATCGTCCTGTCTGGGGCGTCATCGAACACGGCGGCTGGGCGTCTCCCAACTCGCCTGATCTTGCCAACCTGCAGTACAGCAGCGTCGTTGCTGAAGTTCCGAATCTCATAGAGGCGCAAGCGCTTCGACTTGCGCCGTCGGACCCGACCTCTCAAACCGACCCGCCGATGCTGGATCCCGAAGCTGCAGAATTATTGCAAAGACTCCCCAGCATGAGTCTACGAGACTACTTTGGGCATTTGGCCAGTCTGGGTGTTGCCGTCATGGATGAAACGGTGGCCGAGTTCCTATCGAAATACGAAATAGCTCGTTTCTCTACGAAGCCAATTTCTAACGCCGAGTTCCGCGAGTTAATGCATCTCTTTGCGGAAATCTTACGATCGATACAGCCTTTGGACCCTACTGTCTTGGATCACCTGTATGAAGAAGATGAAGAGGAGGGGGGGAGGATGCATAGGACAATGACACCGGAAAGCGACATCGACAACGATGCGCCTGCGGAAACGATTCCGTCTACTCCAAGAACTATATCACGACCCTCCACAGCGAGTACTCAGCGCTCTGTTCAGAGACGGACAAGGCGGCGCACCAACACATATCGTACGGCGCCGAGTACGCCCGGTAGCAGAAGACACATGAATATGACACCACACAGCGCCAGCACCAATGGCTTGGCGCAGATGCGACGCACTTATACCTCCAGCCAGCATTCATCAGCCGCCAGCCTGCGATCCAAGTCGTCGGATGGCTCAGGATCCGTCATCCGTCTGGCAGACAGCGGGGACGTTAGTGACTTGCCATATATTCTTTCCTTGACGGAATCGACGGCGACGAGATATTGAGTCCCAGGCTGGCCAGGGAGAAATTTCACGACTACTACGTTGCGATGGGTTTTATCAAAAATAGACTGTAACTTTTTATCGATGAAGGCTCCAGAGGCCAGAGAGGATACGGGAGTATGAAAAGCATATCGAGTACCTTTGTGATTTTAGACGAATAATAATATATACATAATTTCATTGGCTCAATTGGCCATAATTTTCTTTTACATTGCTTTCTGGAATTGCTACCGTGATATGCGCAAGAATGATTGACGCTTCTAGAAGCACGCAGCTGTTTTCCCGATGGAGTAACCCCAAAGACCCCACTGAAGCTCCCAGTGCTTAGAGTGACGCTACTCCAACTTTTTTTTTTCTCCAGCAACTTTTGTCCTTCAATATCCTCCTCACATTCAATAAATCCAACCACCAAGCCTCTCGAGTTTCCTACACCCATTGCCATATCAAATCAATCAAGACTCTCAACAAACAATGCGATCATAACAGCGACAACCCGAACAATTCATCTCGAACAATTCAATCTCGAACATCTCCCAATCTCACCAACAATGCCGCCGCCCTCATCAAAACCACCTCCCCTCCCCCTCGCCCCCGACCGCGCCGCCATATCCAACAAAATCTCCCTCCTCCTCTCCAACCGCACATCCCTCCTGAAAACACTCAACCCTCCCTCTTCCTCCTCATCCTCACAAACAACGCAAACGCGGAGGCACAAGGTCAACGCAGACGACATCGAGCAGCTCTTCTCCGGGCCCCGGCCCAACGAAGGCGTAGGGTATGTTCCCGACCGTAAGGCCGCTGCGGGAGACGCGGCTGCGAGGGAAGATCGGATGTTGAGGGGACGGTTGTTGGGGAAGAAGGGGCAGAGGGATGGGAAGGGGGGGAAGAAGTTTGCGGCGGCGGTGGAGAGTGAGAGTGATGAGGAGCCTGGGAGGAGTGGGTTGGGGAAGAGGAAGAGGCCGAGGAGGGAGGTTGAGGAAGTTGAAGAGGATGGAGACAAGGTGGGAGGAGAAGATGAGGTTGAACATAAGGAAACTGGTCATGGTGAAGGAGATGTTGAAGATGCTGCGCCGGTACTACTACAACAAGAGACAATAACAGATTCCAACGGCGGCGACGACGCGAAGCGGAATAAGAAGAAGAAAAAGAGACAAAGGGAAAAAGAAAAGCAAAGGCAAAAGAAACTCGGCAATATCCCATCATAGTTCAACTATTTTCTCATCATCAAGAAGCACAAAAGAACAAAAAGCGGCCAATATCAAAATATTATACCATCCTATAATACTTTTTTACCACAACATAAAACTCATGAGAGATCTCTCCTATATACTTTATCCCCACTATCCTTCCGAAAAATATAATCTCTCAGTCCAACCCCCCTTCCCTTCTCTTCCTTGATATTACCGCCAGAACAGCAAGCTTTCCTTTAGATAACCTCCCTTCTCTTTGCTGTTCTCTTCGCGCGAGAGCCACGCACTGTCGCCCCGACTGAAGACCATCTAGACTCCTTCCATCCTGACTTTCATGCCTTTCCATCAGGCTTGCCAGTTTCCTCCTCTTACTACGACAGTCAAAAAGCAGCAGTCCAAAATCAGACCCCGAGGTTTTTAAAAGATATAGCAACTTTTGTTCGGCGTTCCAACGACGGATGAGGAGGGTAGCCTCAGACGTGGCAGGATATAAAGATATTTCCAGCAGGTCATATTCCATCAAGGATCGTATTAAGAGGCTCGATAAAAATGATTGACGCCAATTCATGTCGTTCCTTAGCGATGTCCTCAGAAAAGACGTTTGAATCAGGGAGAAAGGAGAGGCGAGGTGACTCCACAAGTAGAAATATGTTTTGTAGTGTGCCATGGAGATGGTCAAGATCCAGTCCAAGGATGTTGTTTGTTATTATACAATCGAAAGTGAATGCGAATGTGTCAACTCGAAAACGGCCGTCACCTTTGAGCATAGCTAAAAGAATCTGATCGGCCATGATGCTGCCATGCCTAAATATCCAATCTGGATTTGCAAATCAATAAATCGAAAAAAAAAAAGATAAACCAAGAAAAACAATAAAGAAAACCGAAAAGAAAAAAACATGTGTGAGGTATTGATATTTCTTTCAAACGCCAGCCTCAGAATGCGACCCCTTGGTCGTAAAAGCAGCGCCAGAACTCATGCGCCGTGGTCATGATCCATCCTTCCTTTCCATCCGAACGTTACATGCCCGAGGCTTTCGACACCGTATCACTGTCTTCGTTTCCGCTTCCTGTCATCGTCGCCCCGGGGGTCTTCGTCTTCGTCTGATCGTTCAGCAGTGTCGCTAGGATTGAGAATGTGCGCCATGCTCCCTCTCCTGGTAGGTGGTGCTGACGATTCCTTCAAAGCCCCAATCGTTTTACTCTCACGATTCGATGCCGAGTTCCACGACCAGCTACCAAAAGTGTCCGAGCCACCGCTCGCGCCATTAGAAAAGGGGGCATGCGGTGGCGTCGCCGGCCGTGAGTGCGGATGGCCATGAGTAGGTGGAGCTTGCAGAGAGAATGAAGAGAGAGAGTCTCGTATCCTCTGATCCTCTGGCGCAAGTCGGTTGGGAGACTGAGGCCACACGGGTGGCGGTACAATTCCTGACGGGAAAGGAGGTGCATTTGGCTGCCATCCGTGGGCGCGAATGTCGGCGGCGGTATGGCGTCTAGCCAGGCTGTTGGGAACCGTCTCCACGTTGGAAAGGGGGTGAGGACCCGGAGGAGGAGCTGGCGCGGCATTGCGCAGAGGTGAAGATCCAGCACCGCCGCTGATGGATCCGTAGGGTCGTCGCGTGCCGATGGACAGGTTAGAGGGAACGGCCGGGCGGTAGGATGGCTGGTTACGACCCTGCGGGACGTTGAGGGTGACTCTTCTGGTGTCATCCTGCGGTAGCTGTCTGGGCGAGACGGGTGCGTTGTCGACAGTGCCGAAGAACTGTTGCCGGGCAGAATATACGGGTTCGTGTGGCTCGTCGAGTGAGCGGAGCATTTCTGCTTGCCTCACCATTTCGCCCTGGATTGACAATACTTTAAACCGTTCACGTTAACCTCATTACATCTGGCTTTTTTGGCGAGATTGTTTATACGTAACATACCATCTCGATGAACAGGATTGTCCGGGGGGACGAGCGATAGCAGTCCCTTGGACAATTCCTGGTTAAAGTAGAGCAGTCGACTTAGTGTCTCCATGACTGCTTGGTTCTTAACATGCATGTAATGGGCCGATTCTTCGCTTCTCTGGAGTCTCGCCGCCGTATCGTATAATGAGTGCTCCAGATTGGCCAGTCGAGCGTCAATGCTATCTGGCGGAACCTGAACAGGCTCGACTGGAGTACCGGGTTGAGAGGTAGATGTCTTGGGGAAGGTGTTCTCTCGATTGACAAGAGCGTGTCGGCTCGCACGACGCTTGATTTCTCGAAGACCAACGAGGTCGCCACGCTTAAAGTTTCCGTTGCCGTGCTTGAACTCCCAGAGAGTTGTTTCGGGGTTGCCGGTATGGAATACGTCTCGTTCTAGATGAGAGTGTGAGCACCTCTATACTTGGTCTGTTCAAGGAATAATGTAAATGGAAGCGGTCGGTACCTTTGTGAAACCCGTACATGTTGAGCTGACGTACAAAAGACGAGATATTGGTGTGCTTAAAGTATTGACTAAGGGGACGAGGGTGAGCAAGTTCGTCAGGCCAGAGGCTGTTTATCGAGGGGTTGCTTACGATAATACCTTCGAAAAGTCGGCCGAGGGGGACATGACGAAGCTTTCGGCGGACGATGACCATGAGATGAGATGTTGTATACTAGTATCCTCCAGCATGCTGCTTGCACCATCAGTAGCCGTCGCTTGGTCCGGGGGCACCCGGCGAGCTGATGAAAGGGGGGGGGGTTCAGGATCCTCACTTGTATAGTTTGTGGATGAAGGCAGTCTGGACGATTTTGGGCTGATGAACGGCGGCCGCGGCGGCCGGAGGAGGCGCGGGCATGTTAATTGAGCTCGTCACGGCGGTGTGCTCCTGCGGCGATGTGTTGCCGGGTCGAGCGCCGGCCGGCTTGCCATTGGCGCTGGGGTCGGAGTCGGGGCCGTGGGCGGTAGGCGAGTTGTCCTCTGGCGATGTGCCCTCCATCGGATGGTCGACGGGACTAGGTGGAGACATGCTGATGGTAGGTGGCGGTACGGAGACGGAGATGGAAACGGGGACGATTCGGGAGCCGGGCGAGTCTTGAAGTCTATCGATTGCCGGAATGGATTTCTGAGAGGTCTCAGTCCTGTGGGCCATCTGTACTGTCCCCATTGCGGTCAGCCAGCGATGGAATGGGATCTCCAGCGTGTGAATTGGGGGAGAATGAGGGGGTGGGGGGGGAGAGAAGAAGGTGATGGTTCAGGATTTGTAGCGGCGTTCGAGGAGGAGAGGCGGGATGTGAGGAGGAAAAGCGACTGAGCGGGCAGGCGGGCAAGGAGGCGCAAAGAAGAGCTCGGAGCTGCGACAACCGGCATTGGCTAGCTCAGGGAAGCTCCGTGGACTAGCTACTCACCTCACCTCATGTCTGCGGGATGCAGCACTTTGGGGTCGCAAGATGAGGGCGGACTGGCGTGTCGTGTTGTTGCAGTTTGGGTGGAGTCGAAGCAGCAATGGAGATGACAAAAGTTCTCGAGTTTTCTTATTTGTTCGTCGAGGGACCGCACACACGCCCACACCACACCACAGCAGACAGTCTCGGGGCTCAGGCACAGGCACAGACGTCGAGATCAGCCTCGCATTTGGAGAGGCCAGGCCCGGGGAGCTTCTAGAAGCGGCAGCTGTTGCCAGAGACTGCGGACAACAACAGCAGCGACGGCGCCGGCGCGAGGGCGCACACGGAGGTAAGCTGTGTGTGTGTATGTAGCTGTATGCACTGCACGATGCTAGTGTACGAGGGTCGAGGCCACTAAGAGAGAGCTCGACGATGCAGCAAGCAGAGGCGAACTTTTTGGGGGCGAGGCGGTGACGGTCGAGGCACGTCAGGGAACAAGATGCGCGGACAAGAGGAAAAAAAAGAAACAAGGAAAAAAAGACGATGAGGACGATGATGCACAGCTGCGGCCCGTCGAAACAGCAGCGCAGGAGCTCGCGTAGGGTTGATGTGTCTCAGCGACGGTGCAACCAGACGGAGCAGAACCGTTACGGAGGTGGGAATAACTGTGCTGTACATGCAATGACGGGGGGGAGGAGGAGGTTGTGGGATCGGTATGCAGTACTTGCGCCGCCCATTAGATAAGTCGTGCTCTTGTACCACAGCAGGGTGCGGTACGGAGCAATGGCCGCTGGCAGGTACCTCGAGGGGTCGGCAAACTCGACCGCGGTGTAGTGGGCGACAAGTACCGGGTACAGCGCCTGTGCTGGGAGGCTTTAGGCTTTAGGCCGAGCTGCGACGGGGACGAATGGAGAATGGAGCTGTCGGCAGCTTTTTGCGGCAGCGCTTCCCCATCTGTGGAAATATGGGAACACAGACTGTCAATGGCGGTGGTATGTACCTTGGCAGGTAGAGGTACATTGGAATTGGATCGAGATACTCGACGAGATTCCTCATGGCGCAACCAAAGCAAGGCCAATAGAGAGGCATAGTACGCGTATCAGTGACATCGAAGGGCTGAGGTGATGCCCGGATATCGATCTAGGTAGTCTACAGCTTACAAGGTTTTGCCAATCACGAACAGAACAGCTCAAGCTTACTCGTACTGATTGATAGCTGTCAACAAGCCTCTTTCGGAGCTCGGGAACCTCTTCACAGGCCCGAGGTGCGGGCCTTAGGTAATGCGGCGAGCGCCTTGTACGTAATGCTGGCATTAGGTACAGAACACCTGCGGAAGGGCGTGGAGAAGCAAGCAAAGGGCCAGACGCAATATGACAACAACAACAACAACAACAACAACAACAACAACAACGATCACCAGCATGCAAAAAGCCTTGACTAACAGACGAGGTTCCCCATGATTAATAACCATGCCAAGTGATTGCTTCAACAGACCAGGGACCGATGTTTCCCATTGATGTTTGCCAGGTAGCTGAACCATTACACTCAAGACAGCTTGTTGGCGTACTCGTAGACTACTCGTAGTAATAAAGCTTGATGCTACAAACACTGGGGAATCGGGCAAATAGAACTCAGCATTCTTCCATTTCTCCAGGGACCAGGATCACGGAACATGTACAGGTACATGCAGTACCTGTGTCCAAACCACCAAGGTACTTGGATAGCTCATACTAGCCGCCGGCATCCTTCCTTCAGACCAGAACTTTCTGTCTCATCCTTCACCAAGGCTGGGCGGGCAGATACTAGATCCGATCTCACCAGCAAGGTGAGATGGATTCAGCCATAGGTCCGAAAGAAGAGCCCCTCCCCGCAACGAAACCTGCGCACAGACAAGGAGACTTTTATTGGTGGCTTGCTGACAGGCCGTCAAACCGACCACAGGGAGATTTGGGCCATAAAATGGGGTTGATGGACGGTGGGTAGCACAGAATCAAGTATGTAATCTACTTGTATACTCGTATACCTGATATAATTCAAAAAGTCGATCCAATCATGAAAACAGTTGTCAAGATAAGATGAAGCAATTACAGAAACATCACATGGACATCATCTCTCTGAGCAAGTGAAACACTGCAGACAATCCCCCTCCCAACTTTCACATGAAATTTGATCCAGAAAAAAGGGCTCCTTATCTAGCTACTCCGTGCTAACCTGCCTTTGGTAGCTGCCAGTCTTACGTCGGCGGCGCCAAATCTCATCCCCATCTTTTTCTTCTGAGGAGTAAAGGAGGCCATTCTGGCAATTTTCCGTCTGTGCGTCTCGTCTTTGCTCAGGTTGGCTACTACTAGTTACACGAAGCTACCTAGTTCAAGCCCTGTCCATCCAAGGCGGGCAGCATCAGATGCAAATTTCATCAATGCCAGCATACTTGCACCCGTGATTCCGGTCCTGGCGGTGGCACACGCGAGCTCCATAGCCACAATTCTGCTAACATCAGCATCCATCAGCATCAAACCAATGGCCGGGCACTTATTCAGCAGCCATCTTCTTCATGCTAACAGCTGCTAGCTAAGCTCACTAGTGAGTATAGCTTCCATCTAAACCTACTACCTATCTAAAGAATGTTCCAAGTTTGCTGCCGAAAAGCTGCTGCCTGAATGTTTGCCATCGAATCCCCAACGGGCCCGCAGCAGCCACTTCACTTACTTGCACTCGTACCGGTGAATTGACCTTGATCCAGCAAATTCTCCTCCGCAATCCAATGCCTACGGGGTCGGCCAAGTCCCCAATAGGCCGAATATCAATCCGTGGCACCACAGGACGAATTGGTTAATTTGCTGGCTGCATGTCCCGCCCGTCCGTGCATATGTACGAGTGCGTACGACACTCACCGATCCGCAGGGGGGGGGGGGGGGATATGGATACGGACCCGGGCCAAAAGAGAGACGACTTCTGGCCAATTCTTTCTGCTGTAGCGAGATGGCCCAAATATTTACTGGCTAAGGTACATGTATGATTACAGTACCGGGCGTATGCACCCCCCTTTTTCTTCGGTCTGTCTACTCTTTTCTTGACAGTCGCATGTACTCCGTATGTGATTCCTGCTGGGGAGGGTATCATTTACAACCCGAAGAAGCCCTCGGTGTTTCCCACCGCCGTCTCACCAACGCCGTCCGCATGCTTCAAGTTGTCGAAATTCGAGGCTCTGCAACAACAAGCTAAACCAAGAATGTCACCGTCCCTGCAAGTGTCAGATTCCTCTTTCTGCCTCTGCCCGCGCTTGCTCGAGGCACTATTTCGTGCAAGAGACCGAGCTGCTGCGGCGCTAACAGCTGCCGATCTCGGGATGTTGCCAAATTATATTAAATGTTGCCGTCAGATCGGCGCGCGGCATAACACCCTGGCAGCCCTTGTTTTTGCAGTCTTTCTTTCTTGTTCCCTCTTCTTTATTTCTTGGTCTTTTCTCTCGCTGCTTCTGGTTTGCCCGCCGGCCCCCTTTCTGCCCCTGGCATTCAGGTACTCCAACTAAGTACATTCTCCGGCTGCTCCAGCCAACCGGACACACTAGCCAAATAATATGCACCAAGGAGGAAATATCTGGCGAATGGCTGCATGAAGAACATGGCTCTACAAAACATGTTACCGGTTTCATTCTAATAATGAAAAAAGACGTCGTCAAAATAATGAAAGAAATAAAGTAAAATGCATCCCGTCTTGGCTCGGGCAAGCACTGAGCAAACTGATACATCCTGGCATTGGTACGGGGCATCGACCAACACGAATAGCATCAGATACATCATCCTGCATATGACATCCATGATTCTCCTAGCTCTAGGCACCGACTTAATCAAAGCGGTAGGCAATAAAAAAAGACGGAGCCGAGGCGTGAAACCACCTGCATAGTCCCGCCAACCCTCCTCCAAAAGTCCGAGGCTTTTCCCCCTTCTTTCTGAAAAAGCTTTGATCACGTCTGGCTCGGCGGTGGTTCTAATTGCAGTAACAATACCGCTTTTACCCGTGCAAAGTGCCCTCGTCGAAACTTGCAGAATAGGGCAAACACATGTTCCGTAGATGGATGCTTTGCCCGTAAAATCCCTACCCTACTCTTTTTTTTTTTTTTCTGAGCGAGAGCCGGTAACCGATATGGCACCAATTGTTCGTATTTTGGAGCTACGGGACAATACTTAGGCAGATCCATGGTAAGCCCGGGTGATCGAGGTGATTGATGCTTATTTCTCCGTGACCCTAGGTGGGTGGTGTATCTACCCGAGCAGCGGTAGGCTATCATCCATTGATGATATTTGGCATTCAACTTCTCCTCAAAGCCTACATTTAAGTAGCTACACACACTTACAGTCCAGCACACTTAAAAGATTGCCAAGCAATTACCCCCAAACACAAAGTCCCCCACGCGACATTTCGAAACAAAAAATCCATCCTACTTTAGCACGGAACAAAAAAGTTCTTTGTTGCAACCAAACCAAACCATCCCCCCTGTTACACCTCTCGGGCGAACTAGCCCTGTATGTACCGCATTGAGACGTGCAGCAAAGAAAAAAATAGCGGGCACTTTTAAACGGTTTCGAAAATCCGACCTGATTCTAGAGTTTCCACCGTCCAACCCATTTGGTTTCCATTTGCCAGTCCCAAAAAAGTAGGCTTCCAAAAGAAGGGATACAAGTGTAATTCCGAACCCCGATTTTTTTGGCCCCTCTGTTCTTTTGAGGGGCAAAAGGAAGAAAGATGAAAAAAGGAACCTTTTATCCGAGGTAAACGGGAGGCAGAGACAGAGAGGAAGTGAGATGCCCCAATACTTTGCATCGGAGCAACCGCCCAGAACTTCTTCTAGCTCCCGCCACTTCTTACACACAGGTAGAGAGCTCAAAGTACCAAGTACACTTTAGTATTACTGGATTATACAGCCGCGGTCAAAACGCTTAGCTCCCCGAACCTCACGAAAGCTTTACTCATAATTTTTCCATCCTTGGTTACCATTAGCAAATGTTAGTATGCACGTGTATTCTCCGGTCCATTTTTCTCTTAGAATTTTTGGAGAGTCAACGTAGACTGGAATGTCAATGTCAACTATTCCCCGCCTCTAGAGAACGGGACACCTTCATAGTCTACGATAGTGTAGCCTCTAAAGCGAGCGTATTATTTACTAGACTTGGACTAGGAGGGGGTTTCGAATAGGAAATAGATCCGTTCGGAACACCTCTCTTGTCAATGATACTGGTGTCGATGAGCATTGAAGTGAGATCGAGCAACGAGACGAGCAAAACGTGCCTCTTGCCGGGTAAGAAACTAGCAGAAGCACACTCTCCTTGGTAGCTGAGTTATAATACTTGAGGTGTACTAAATAAGTCGTAGCGAGATCAGTTGGTTCATCAAATATCGTAAACACTAGAAAATAGGCCTCTTAACTGATCAATGATTCGTGGTACCTATATTTATCAAGAAATCTTGAAAACTCAACGGATATGGCCTCGAACATTCGATTCAACATTGCAAACTCCCTAGATCACCACAATGGATATCAATTGATGAATCAAGAGTGCTATCATTTCACGTCTTCAAACATACCGAGTCCGAAGAGATATGTACCTATGCTAATCCTTCAACCAAATGCCAATCATCTACCTTGTACTACACATTTTCCCACAACCCATCAAACCCAAAAAACCGCAATCCCGTGAAACTCTCCCATTCATATCCGCCCCCTTCCAAATATAACAAGTATAAACCATTTTCCATGACAACAGAATCTCAACGCCCCGCTCAGAGATCATCGTCACCACTCACCCTATTCTCTCCAACCTCCCGAATCTTCTCCCCCAAAATCGTACGCCCGTACCGCTCTGCCACTTTGTACGCCGCCTCCATCATCCGGCCAGTGCGGTCACGCATCAGCTCCACGATCTCGAGTGCACGCATGCCCCTATCCTCGCCCTCGCGACACTCCACCGCCAGAAGCTGCAGAAGCGTCTTGTCAATCTCCAGCTCGATCCGTGACAACAGAGAGCGCTGAGAATGACTTCCGCTGGTGGCATCGACAAGGTCACGGAGCTGAGCTGCCTGAACGCCCTTGAGCATGAATAGCTGCTCCAGTTTCTTCGTCTCGGCGCCTTCCTCCTCCTCCTCGTCATCATCTTCGTCCATTGCGTCATCCTCTCCATCACCTGAATTGTCCTTGCTCTTCTTCGACTTGGGCTCCTGCAGTGAGTGCAGGGGAATCGAAAAGTCAAACTCTGAGAGCAGAGGCCGAGGAAAGTATGGATACTGGTCGCCACCCTTGAGAATAATGCAGTGAAACTTGTTTTCTGCCACGGCAATGGGGAAATACGTCTCAGTCTTTCGACCAGAGGCAAGACGGGTTAGAAGCCTGGTATCCAGAAGAGGCACCCAAGAGGCTCGTGACGGCTGACGCCAGTGTAGCAATGTCAGCAGTGTCCCTGTCGAGTCATAAATGCAAGGATCCTAATAACTAGCTGTTAGAACTGCGTCATCTACATGTAGAAGATGTTGACTTCTGTTTTGACCAAGACTTACACCAATGTCAGAAAAAAAGGCGCTCTTCAAAGTCGCGCCTTCAGGAAGTGCCACAGTATCTTCGTTCTGGCAAATCTCGTCCCTCTTGACATTCTCAATGGTATATTGGAGGCGTGTGTTTCCGTCAGCCGTCACAGGGCCGTTGCCTATCGTGAGAACGTAATCTCTCCAGCTCGCACATGTGACCATGGGCGTGCTCTTGGGACGATAGACCCGGTAAGGTATTCCAAATAGTGTAAAAATGCGCACATAGTTGGCACTCGTCACAACAGTAACAAAAGACTCGCTCAGTGACATGGCTGTGACAGCCTCCCCCTTGGGAAGCTGTGTCCGCCAGTCGGATCGCTGCGTCCAGGTTTCGTGAGGACGGTAGAAAATAGTTGCTGGCTGATCATCTTTGGGGGGACACGAGAACAGAGTGCCGCGCTCATTGAGACATGCCTTGTCGTACAAAAAGGTGTCTGTGAAGTGAAAGTCTCTCTGAAACTCATGGTCGTAGAACTCAACAGTGACGGTATGATGCCCGTCTTGATCCACTGTCCAAACGAATCCAATGAGATTCAAGCAGAGGTACTTTCTGTTCCCCCTCCATGGTGTTGATCCAGGTTGAAACGCCTCGTGATACTGAGGATCAAGGAGATGCCTCCTCTTGTTGGCGTAGTCACCGGCAACTTCATCGCCCACACGGCCTCTCTTCTGGCCGGTTGTATACCCAGCACCGTCATCATCAACGACAAAGCCATCGTCATCGCCATCTGCATAGTTTTCATCCTCCAAATAAGAGTCAAGACTGCCCAAAGAGTCTCGGCGAGGACGCGTGGGAATGTCGCGCTTCTGGCCATTAACCGCTGGAGCTCTTCTGTTGGCAGATATTTCTAATAGAGGGTCGTGGATAAAGGGGGCTGGCTGCACCGGCAGCTTCAGCATCGGAGAGTACTGGTCGGAGAGAAAGTCGGGGTATATGTAAACCTCTCCCTCCGTGGTGGTGAAGGAGAGAATGTTTTTGGACGGGTGCCACGCCAGGTCGATGACATTGGAATACTCGTAACGCTGAATGACGTTTTGCGTGCTGGTCTCCCAGATCAGAACCTTTCCGCCCTTGCAGGCTGATGCTAGCATGACGCCGTTGGGTGACCAGGCGAGGGCGGTAATATCTGCCGAGTGGCCATTGGTGAAGGAGCGCTGTTTCTCCCAGTCGTTCTTGGATACGACCTGGATATCCCGCGTCGGCGTCGCGACAGCAAATGCCCTGCCATCCGGATGCCAAACTGCCTTGACCGAAGCCTCTGAATCTGTGTCCCCTGCGCCAATCACCCCGTCCACCTTGTGTATAAGCTCAGGCTGCTCCGCCGTCAGAGAGTAGATGTATATGATTCCGTCAACGCAGGATATGGCAGCAATCCGGCCATTGGGATCCAGGCTGACGTGTCGAGCGGCGCGACCATGTTCGTTGAGGTGCCGCAGCTGCTTAATGTCCTGCGTATTGACGACCTTGACGGTCAATTCGTCGCTGGCCACGGCGCACCACTGCGAGTCTGCGGAAAGCGCTACATCTCGCACCGGGAGCGACGTTCGCACGAGGAAGCGCTCAAAGTTGGACGTGGCGAGCGAGTATAGGCTGACGGTGCCGTCCTCGGAGCCGACAACGAAGAAGTCCTGGGCTGCAGCCACAGCAACGTTCTGCTCCTGGCAATCGTCAATGTTTGTCGGTTCGCCGTCCGAGCCTGTCTTGTAGAGCCGGATGGTGTTGTTGGAGCCGACGGTGACCAGCCGGCTTCCATCTTTGGTGTAGGCGCATCGAGTCGTGCCTTGAGTGTGCGCAGGCCTCGGTCGAGGACGAGGAGCAGCTGTCGAGTCCATGATTGCAGCCTGTGCTCGTCAGATTAGGTGCATGTGAGAATCTTGGAAGCTCTGGATTTTGGCTTCAGTGCAGGGAGACGCGTCTAAGCGCGTATCAATTAAAGTCTGGGCGGTGTCGCGGCCCCGCGGTTGAATTTTAGCAGCAGCTTGGCTTGCCAGTGAGCCCCGCCATTTGCTGTCATTTTGGGCCATTGGATTCAAAATTCGGGAGCCTGGCTGGCCATGCTTACATGTTTACTATTGATCCGATACTCTTGCAGCTTGATCATCACGATATATTTATTCTTTTCTCTAATTTATTCGGCAGCCTAATTCATCCCTGGACACCTTGATGAGCATATAAACCGGCGTTGTTGCCATCTCTTTCTCTTCCCCTTCATCCATCACCAGACAAGATATCCATCGCCATCCCCTTTACAAATCACACACCCCACCGCCATGGAAACCTCAGATCGAGACGCCTTCTTCCAAACCGAGTGAGTTGAAGAGAAACCTCCTTGAAACTCCTTTTGCTTGCTCATTCTAATCATTCTCACAGTGCCTCTAATGCTGAGAGAGAGCGCAAGGCTCTCAAAGCCGGCAACAAAAATGGAGACCCAATTGTCATGAAGTCCAAGATTCTGGCTGCCGTCCCTGACCCCTTTTCTCCTTCAACCGCCATTTTCATCGCGGAATCAGCAGGCTTTGTCCGCCGCATAGACCTTGCAGTAAGTATCAGTCGTGATTAATACTATATATGACACAAAAACTCATCACTCATCCACTGCTTCCAGTCTGCGTCAACAAAATCAACCTATCGAGGACCCAAAGCCCCCGTGACATGCGTCGCCATTGGAGGCAGTGGCAACAAGACCGTCTTTGCCGGCTCATGGGACAAGGACATCTGGTCTTGGGATGTCGAGACAGCCCAGCTCGGACGCAAGTTCAGCGGCCACTCAGACTTCATCAAAGTCGTCATCTGCACCAAGGTATCCGGCAAGGAGATCCTCATCAGCGGCGGCGCAGACAAGAAGATCTTGGTCTGGGACATTGAGTCCGGCAAGCGCCTCCACACGCTTCAAGACCCGACCACGACAATGATGGCCGTGCAGCACCTTGCCATTGACCCTGTCCTGAGCACGCCTGATGCCGTGGTCATCGCGAGTGCGAGCAGTGACCCTCACATCCGCCGGTGGAAAATCACAGCCACTGGCTTCGAGCAGTTGACTGAGGCGTTCCATGACCGGCCCGACGCCGAGAAGCTCACCATTGCGGAACACGAGACGAGCGTCTACAAGCTCATATACGATCTCGATAGCGAGGAAGGCGATCTCTGGACGGCTAGTGCGGACGGCACTGCCAAATGTCTCGCTCGGGCCCGCAACTTTGAGGCTGACGATGTCTTTACGCACGGGGACTACGTCCGCGCCGTGATTCCTACGGAGAGCTGGGTAGTCACTGCGGGACGAGACGAGAATGTCAAGGTCTGGGACAGGTCTTCAGGCAAGCTGTACTGCACGCTGGAGGGGCACTACGAGGAAGTGACGGATCTGATCCTGCTGCGTAACTCGCGAGGATTACCTGAAAAGGTTTGCAGCGTCAGCATCGACGGCACCATTCGTACATGGCCTCTGAGCAAGGGCGAGTTGGACGAGGTGGTCAAGAAGATTGAAGAGTCCAAGAAGCCTGTAGAACAAGAGGCCGAACCGGAGTCGGGTAACATGTTGACCGCAGAGGAGGAGGCAGAGTTAGCTGAGCTGATGGATGATTGATTAGCTGGGTACCCTTAGACAGCCAACAGAATAAGCACTTGGAAGAGTCTATTCTCTACATCTCATTTGCTGAATGCTCTTGTTCAGGGGTTGCTGATGGGCGGGTGCAGTTGGCTCAAGGTTGTTGGTGCAGAGATCCCTCGTGACGGCTACCTGCTTCTCAAATCTTCGATGAGCTAGTTGCAAACGGAAACACGTGGTTGCTGAAATAGATGACACTGCATTTAATATGAAACTGTTGACGGTATGTCATCTTCACCGACTCTTCCGGTTCTACGTGTAGCATGCTGAAAAGCAAACGCTGATTTGCCTACCTGCATATCAACTTTACCATCTTACCGGGTTCTCCCCCTATTTACAGAATTATGTTAGTTGTCTGTGCCAAATTTGGCTTCAAATCTAGTTGTGTGTTTTGTGTTTGTCAACAATTACGAAGCTAGCAGGGGCAATACATAACACATTGTTCTCGTAACGAACTGGTACTCGTATGTGAAGAAGAGCCCGTTTGCCGTGAAGCCAGTCACTTGATTCGGTTCACAGCTTCTCCTGGAGTCATACGTAGCATCATGGAGAGAGCTATGCGGCACGTTCGACCAGAGTCGTTCAAAGCGGATAGGTAGCTCAAGTGGAAAGAGTTGGCGAAGCCACAACAAAGAAGGGAGTAGCAGCATGATGGGCATCGAAGCTGAGGAGTAGTGTACGAATAGCTACCATAGCTAGTGAATCGAATACTACCTACTCCTTCAGGTTACCGGTAAGCTGCCCAACATTGACGAGACGTGATCGATGAGCCAGTTCCATGGTCTAAGACTGGGCTAGCTGAAGTTGGCCCCGAATCTCCGGTAGCACTCCGCCGCTTATTTCGTATACGACGCTGTGCTTCTATGATTAGAGCTAGTAGCAATCTCCAGGCCAGCTGTGAGGTGTAACTCAGGCCGGGATATATGCAGACACTGCAAGATGCTGCACTGGTCTCATCCGCACTGCGTTTGCTATACAAGCGGCTCTACAAGCGGCTCATGCGCCGCACAGAGCACCAAAGGGTCACCATATCACGCATGCCGCCTTGTTGTAGCGCATGGATGCACAGGTTGTTGCGGCATGTTGGTACGCAGCTCTCGGCAGCTGTGGGAGCTGTTTACTCATTTGGGTTGGTGCCTTCGGGTCCCGGCGCATAGCATTATTCTGGCTTCCAATTTTACCAGAATAGATAATCTTGTTAGCCGTCGGTCCGGCTGCCTTGAGATCCCTGCATTGTGGAGCTCCGGGGTCCTGGGCATCTCCAAGCTGGCCGGATCATCTCCCGTTGGACGATTAGCTGCAGATCCAACTGAGCAACAAGCTTCACCTGCGGCCGCGGAACGCTGGATTAGAGTTGGAATAGTGGTAAATAGAGAGAATTGCTTATCAGCCGCGGTCTACCGCCAAAATCATGCCCAGGGCTCTCGAGGAAGCGGGGAATCCCCTGTGGCATGTAATGGCCGCGGCCCGGACTGGGCTGAGAATGTAGTATTTTCTCGGTTCATTCTGAAACAACTAGAAAGCTCGCATAATCTTTCTTGGTCAATTATCCAGAGGCTATTAATGTCGACTGAGTTTATTCAAGCGAGAATGGCAATTAAAACTCCAGGCGAATTTGTTGTGAAGAGGGTCGACCAGGTCTTGAAAAGGCAAATTTCCCGGAAGAGACGTATAAAGCACGGACCCCCTTGTGTTCGTAAACATTGATCAGAAACGAAGGTTTCTAATTTATGTTGGGTTGTACATAGACGCATAGACTCATTGGTGGCGACATGGATACTCTGATGAGACAATTCTGAGATATTGTGTATGAGTACAAGGATGTACTCGAGGTGCCGGATGCCTCACGAGCGAGTCTAGCCGTAGGAGCTACTGCTATCGTAGATAAACATCTCAAGTGTAAAATAACAAGTAAACTGATCGATGAAAGAGCTGTCTGAAGTCTTTGAGCTTGGTAATATGAGATTAGAGACGAAGTTCGACGTATACTTCGTTTTCCTGAACATACCGCTCCCGGCTGGGTTTTTATGTTAGTAACTTGAGCGTCAGGAGATCAACACGGAGCTCTTGCTGCTGTTGGAAAATACAGAGAAGCTTATGACCGACATGTTGCAGCCACACTCAAACATGTCGTGGCTCCAGTCTGGGGAAGTTGCCGTGAGGGGAATGTCATGCTGGTCAAGGTCCACTGACAGTTGCCAAAATCCCTTCTCCTGAAACCTGCATGCGGTGATTACTTTTCACACAGAAAAGGTTTCTCATTTCAAATCCTCCAGCTTCTTAGGACCGCGGATTCGGCTGTTGTGGCAATATTGCGACGGGAGGAGCATATCTGTGCAGGTGAAGTACGGATGCCGGCAACAAGTCTGAGATAACGTTTCACGTCTGCCGGTGGTCGTGTATATCATGGACAAACCTCCAAGATTTGGTGACGGCAAGCCCCAATTACATGGACAGAAGCCGTAAGCTGCCCCGAGCAACTTGATAGAACTATATGCCGTTCAGTCCCCAACAGACAGAGTATGGGGATGTGATTCAAATGCCTCCCACCGTGGGTTTGGTTGGCTGGATGGTTTTGGCCAACACCAGTAGAGTACAGGTGTGGTAGATGTTGGACCACCAAATTCAGGTATGTGAGTTTCAGGTAATGTACTGGTGGCTGATGCTGAACCAAGTGCTCTGTAGACGATATGTTCCATCAACATGTTGAGTCACGTCGTTCAACGTTTACGAGGTGCTCGCAAGTCGAAACAAGCCACGTTTTGTAGTCATGTGGTACTGCTGGAACCTTTTGGTAGTGCCATCGTAATTCGACGCACCTTATCAGGGGGCATGCTTGGAGATATGCGGTAGCCTCCTTCAGATGGAATGGGGTAGAGCATATATGAGAGTTAGAGTTGGCATTCGCCTGCGGGTATATGACGGCCTTATGATATTTAAAGGCGTACCCAAATTGCCCAAGTTTGGCATGGAACTTATGAGTAAAGGTCAAGTAGACTGATTCGAAGAGTTGCACCCCTCCCCATCTGTTGCGATCTCAAGTATAAGATTCGTTTCAAGGCGTATTACCCTCATGTCCAAATATAAGGCGTGCAAGTGCATGACGGAGACGCAAACATACTTTTGTCCACTTCATACTCCTACGGACATGTTCCGGCCCTTTCCAGGGCATAAACGTCAAGATGTTGGCGATGGGCAAGGGTGATATTCAATGCGCTCTGAGATAGGAGAATAAGGATTGCCCCGGAGAAAGATGGACCGCTATCTGGTGTTAAGGTGGCGGAAGACCTCGAATGAAGCATAAGCATGCTGCGAGGAGTTCACACCTGGTTGCGAGACCAAGATTCAAGTCTCCTAAGCTTCGTTGGAATACCCGACAATTCGTACTCGTTGCATTGACCATTGTTTGGTCGGTGTTGACACTCTGGTTGTTGGATCAAACGTACGGTGCAAACGGCCGCACTACTCGATCGGGCACAACCCGACTGCTTCACATATACATGGATGGCAGCATGTGTGTTTGGATACACCCAGCTGATTCGCAGAGGATGAGATAGATACCACCACCACACAGGCCAGCACCACCGGAAATTTAGCGGCCAAATCTCGAGTTCGTGATTGGTGCCATACTCTTTGGTTCCGGTTGGTTGTTTGGGAATAACTTGTTGCTTTGAGTACACACGTCCGAAGCGCTGGTAATACGAGTACCGATGCTGGCGGCTGCATCTTGGAGGCGTAGCCAATGGAAGTAGGCGGAGCTGTGTGACGGCGATGTGGTGGTGCGTCATGATTGTCAGGCTGAGGTCAGCTGTGCTCCCCGGCTTCCAATGGTAGCTTCTTAGTGGTAGCTTTGCGCGACAAGCTATCAAGCGTGTATCACGGCGTTTTCTTTGTTTATGCCGAATGTGAAAGAGGGAAAGCCCCTTGGGTTTGCACACACTCGCACATGCATGCCACATGTACGGAGTAGTCTGGATGCTGCCTCACTGCGACACAGGTCCGCGGCGTCGTAGCAAGTCGTCTTTCTTCTGACGATCATGTCTAAGACATCGTTCGTGCCTGTGTCGCTGCTTCAGAGGACGCTAGCTTCTCCACTGAACCTTCTGTAGATATGGAGTACCGGTACCAAGACCTCTCCAATGGCCGCCAGCGAGAATGTCTTTTGAGTGCCGCTTGGTCGTGTGGGGTCCCCGGCATCAGGTTCGCCTGAACGTGGGCGAGTGGGCTGAAAGCTCTGGGCCTTAACGGGATAGGCTCCGATGGAGGCATGGGCGCATTGTGAGGCCCGGAGATGAGGTAAACTGGCAGTAGTGTCAAGACCAACATGCGACGGTCGAGGACGCTTTGCAAACCGAAGCTATGGATGGACAGATCAGCCGGGCTTGTGCTGCGGCTGTGACAGACTGTTTGGCTGCGTGTGGACTTTTTGTCAGTTGTTGGCGCCCAGAAACCTGGCCGGTTGGCAACAGGGGCGCTGTCCAATTGTCCAATTCCCATCTCGCATTGCCGTCCCCCCATGTCGTGTGCCCCTGTCAGCCACTTTTGGCGTCTTCCCACTCTAAGCCCCTTGTTTCTGCCACCGAGATCAAGCGAAGTGTAGTCAGATCCCCAAAATGGCGATGTTGAAGCCTCCTTTTCTTTGCGAAGGAACACTGTAGGATGAAGCTGGTAGGTTGGGGAGCTTAGCTTAGTGTAGTAGGGCCGAGGAGTGTGACATCTGTAGGAAGCCCGGCGGCATCAGACACACGCATTCTTTTCCCTCCAGGGAGTTGTCCGCGTAGTTGGTTGTCTGTGTCCGTCGTTGTTCGAATACGGCATCGAGAAGACGTGGAGGAGCCATTCTTGCCCATGGGTTCGGTAAATTGGACCTATACGGAGCACCACTTGTTCTCATCAGCGACTCCATAATAGGAACGGAGAAAAAGCAAAGAGAACAAAGGAAGAGAAAAAGAAAAAAAAGAACACACAGACGAAGAGGCGTATGAGCCTGACCCTTGTAAGTTGCTCGCCTGGCAAACCGTGCACTCGCGCACCCGCCGCCCCGTGAGAGCTGCTCCCGACGAACTCCAGGGTTCGGCCATTTTGGTACATAATTTTCTGGCGCATCTGACGCGGCTGTTGTGATTGACGGTGACGACCGACTTCGCCCATTGGCATGTCCGTCCAGCAAGTGACATGTGAGCACAAGGACTAACAGGATTAGCAGTGCTACCAACCATTACAAAATGAAGCTATAACCAGTTCTCCCCTGTTTCCCGGTGGGGCTCAAAGCCGAGTCGGTGATCAACTCCCGGCTTGTGCTGTACATGTACTTGTAGCTCTTAGTGCACTCGCACAAGTTCTGCGCAGTACATTAGTAGAGAAGCTTGTAGCTGGGAATTACCCGCCCTGTACTTGAATCTGCGAACGAGCAGGTACTCGGTACTGATGCAGGTACGACGTGTTACAGAGCACTAACGTGAGGCAGGTGCACGGCATCAGGCAAGTGCACAGGAAGCAGAGCTCCCCGTACTCCCGTACTCCCGTACTTGTACCTGGTAGGACGAGTACAGGTACGGGCACAGGTACGAGCACAGGTACGAGTTCAGGTACTTGCATCTGCTGGCAGCCGCCCAGAGCTCTGGATGAAGCTCGACGATTTTGTTGTGTGCCAGCTTCAGACCTCCTTCTCGATCGCTCATCTATTTTACTTTAACCATCTACACCACCTGCGAGTACTTTTACTCTGCTCCTCCTTACACCCTTCATCCTCTCTTGTCTCCTCTTGTCTCCTCTATCCTATCTTACTCTACTCTGTTCTATTCTCGTCTCATCATCCTCACCCTTCTTTCTTCCGCGAGGCTTCTCCCCATCGTACTCGGTAGTTTTCGCCCACTTCCTTGCTGCTGGTCATCCAGGCCCTGCAAGTCAACCCTTTCTTTCCTACCCCTGCTGACGTCCCCAACTGTCACTTGTCATATTCCAGAGCTTGCGCTGTCGATAGAAAAACGCAGCTATAGCTCCAGGAAACCTGTCGGGTTCTCGCAGCTTCAACTGTCCCGGCGAATCAGAAGTCTCGGCTGCGTCATTGCGGTCATGGTCTCTTCGAATACCTGCGAGTAGACTAGAAACAAACGCCAGAATAAACGACAAGAGAGACGGGCGGAAGCAGATCACTCACCCACCGCCATTCCACCTACCTCGTCCCTGTTCTCCATCACTGCCTCCGCCGTGGCCCTGGGGCCCTGCGCGCAGTCAATCAGCTGAGAAATTCATCCCAACAGTCTTCGGCTCCGCTTACATTTCTGGGCCATTTCTCTTCTTGATTCAATCCGTCTTCACCTTCATCCAGACGTCTGTTGACGTCCAATCTTCACCATGGCGGACACCAAGCTGGAGGCTTACGGAAACATTGTCGCCTTCGAAGGCCATCCTGACGTTGTGTCAACTCAACTCAGGTTGCTGCCAACCTCGCCTCAAATCCTCATTCTTCCAGCGGTTCAGTGCTACATTGCCAGTGACGATTCAGACAAGGCCTTCGAGGTACGGGCTTATATTCGAAAGGTCCATGACGCTCTCATCACTCGCCAAGAAGCTGCGCGCAGCTTCCTGCATGGCGCGACAACATCGAACAAGCGGTTGGCGTTTCTCAATGGTGGTTCACCGAGTGCCCATGCGCTCTGTATTAAGGCCATCATGAAGCACGAGACAGGCGGAGACCGGGTTGAGGCAGAAGCTGTTTACGCCCAGCTGGCGAAAGGTGGCCTGGCTGGTCTCGAGGCTAAGAGCCAGATACACAGTCGGGCAGGCTCTGTCGGCGGCGAGTCAATGTTCAACGAAGAGCTCCATGATCCCATAACACGGGCCATGAGAGCTGCTGATGCTTTGGACCGTGACACAGCTAATCTTCAACCATCTGACATGCTCGAGCTTACCATGACAACTCGACCACGCAGCCTAAGTTTGCCACTGTATGGCTACTCGGATGGCTTTGGTGACGCAGCTCCTTTTTTCCTCTTTGGCGCGCACGTTGAAGATGAGGTCGATGTGGAGGATAACTCCCCTCTAGCCCCAGGGGCGCCGACGTTTGCTGTCGTGGACTACAACCAGCCGGCGAAACGGCCAGTCTCGGTAGAACTCGCACCTGCATCGCCGAGTGGTGCTGGTAAATCCAAAGTGCAGTCGAACCTTGGAGTACACCATGAAACAATAATGCTCTCCCCGACAGCCCCGACTTTCAATGCCCGCACACGCGATACCGTCACCAGCGGAGAATCTACCACATCCGACATGCGCACATCAGTTTCGAGCTCCAAGGGAACACTACAAAGAGTCAGATCGTTGGATAGAATCTATCCGATCAGTGCCAAGTTGAGAGATCTCTGCATCACAGGAGCTTCGCAAGAGATGGGAGAAGGGTCTAGTGTTTTCCCCCGTTCACGCTCTTTCATGGTTGTTGGCGAAGAGAGACCTCCAGCTATCCGGAGGTTGAGTTACATTGACAGGCGAACGGCCTTATCCAAAGGTCGTCGCCCAACAGTCAAAGTCGAACAAACTTCTCTCGATAAAAAAACGACACAAGGTCCAAATTCTGGCGGAGCGTCTCAGCTTCACTTAGGAGCAGACATTGCTACCACTCCAGATGTTCCATTTCAGCCAATACTACCTTGGGTAGAAAACCTAGTGGTTCATTTCAGGGATGAGACACCAAATTTACTTCTCTCTTCAGTTATCAAATCGTTCAAGGCCGGCAACTATCCTATACTTTCGTCTCCGACTTCGGCGTCTGTGTACTCTGGAAATGTGTCCACCCCAACAACTCTTCTTCATCAGCCAACTACATTTGATGAAAGGGCTCATGAAAGATTCCACGATATCTCTGGATTAGGTATAGTAAATGACGATTTCGTTTTCAACACTCGGCTTCAACCGCGGCCTGCGAGAGAACGGACCGTCCCGTCCGTGAATGTTATTCGCCCCCCAACACCAGCACAGACGCCACCTCCTTGCACAGGAATGGAGGCCAAGTTTCACGAATTCGATATTGTTTCAGGACAGACTGCCGTCGCTATCCAGAACTCTCTTAGATCAGTCCTAAGCCTATACTTTCCTCCAGAAGCTGAGGGCTATCGCCAATTCCAATTCTCCCTCCTTCCTGAATTCGACGGTTTATGGAAGCCTGTATTCCGAGAAACCGAGCCCAAGGGCTCTCCGAGAGGAACTAACCGAAGAGTCGATCACATTCTGGCAATAGGGTCCCAGCAAGGTGTGGACAAAGTATACTCGTCAGGAATCATTAAGCAACTGGAGACGATTGGGACGAAATCAAGCGATCGCCAGGGTCGCAGCGGGCGGGTAGATTTCCGGTAGGTCGCTCATGCATGATATTTGCCTAGTGTAATTGGCAACAGAAGTGGCTAACTGATCTGTAGATACTTACTCGCCAATGCCATGCAAGCATTCACTGCCCTTCCCCTGACGAACCAAACATCCGATAACCCTTTCGCCAATTCCTACCTTCTGGCGACACTACTTATTCCCCATCTCGAAACATACTTGGCACTCCACTCGGAAATTCGCTATCTTCTGCTAGAGTATCCTCCTGAGCACCTAGCCACCGTACTGGCATTGCAAAAGTTGATAGGCGTGGACCTTATCAAGGTGGCCCAAATTGTTGACCCTAACAACAAAGACTGTTTGCCTTTTACCCAGATTGGGGGTCCTACCGTCAGGGCCAAGATCAATACCAAAACACCCAATTTGTCGCCACAGTCGTCAAGCTCGGATATCACGGTCTCCAACGCAAACTTCCTACTTACATGCACGGCCACTTCCAAAGATATAGCGAAATTCGTTTCTGCTGTCTGGAATATTCAGATCGAAACTTGTGACCCTGAGCCTTCACCTAAAAGGAAGAGTTTACCTGGTAAAAAGCCGAGGCCGGCACCGCTTAATGTCCTGCTCACCAAGTTTCCTCGATCGTCATTGTCGACTCGTAGTGGGCCGTCGCCTACTTCGGCTGAAGCCACTTCTAGTCCTGAATCGCTGACGCTGTCCTCTCGACGCCAGTCGTTTACGGATAATATCAAGACACCCAAGTCAGAGACCATCTACAGTCGAGCCTTCTCCCGGCGACGACTCTTCCGCAGCGACTCGGCATCGATGACTACCTTTGATCACAGTAGTGACGACAGTGAATTGGATCTAGAAGAGCGGAGGCTCATGCCCATGTTCATGAAAACCATCGAGCCTAAGGGTAATACCCGCAAAGCTCTCAAATTCTTGGGGTTGGCATAATAATCCGCAATCCGGGTCCTAAGCTTCTCTTTTTTCTTTTTCTTTTCTTTGTTTCATTATGCCGCGAAGCTTTCCTGCTTCGCCATGAAAAGTGCCAGGCTAGTCGCCAGGTACTTATCTCGTTCCAACGACTTATGACATCTACATGCCATTGCTCTCTTCTCACGTATCCCATTTTATCCAATTTAAACATTTTCTTCCTCTTCTCATTTCAGTTTGAAGCCTTGTTTCAGCTATTTCTGTTTTTTTTTTTTTTTTTTTTTGATGTCTTAGTGTTTTAAAGGGAAGCTGGAGTTGTTTGGGGCTGCACCAGAGTGCAACATACAAAATACGGAGATAGACAAGTGTACTGCAAGGTAGTGAGTGGTGGAAAATGAGGGCGCTTTAGGACGCGATTCTAGTTTTTTGTTTCTAGCTTTTTTCATTTATTGAAATGTTGCGGGGCCTGTCAGATAATACAAGACGATTCCATGTTATTGATCAAGTTTGATACCGCAGTCTCCCAGTGTTCTTGTGATGACACTCAGTAGTAAAAATCACGGGCATACTCTCCTCCAATACCCATAATCCACATCCAAGCAAAGACAGCCCCCCTTGCAAGACAAATAAACCAACTTCCTCCCCATGTCCTCCGTATTCTTTACGTGTAATATGTTGACTAGGTAAGTATTCTTCTAGAACGAACCCCCTATTAATAACTCGCTCCCAGATCCTTGTCATGATGACTGTACGAGTACACCGTCATCTTGGAATCCCGGTGCCTATTTGAGATGTGTAGGATGTATGGTCCTTGCATTTTGCACACCTGCTTCATCTTGAGAATATGAATGACTCGTTTAATCTATAATCCTTACCTTATTTATTACTAGATATTATATGATAGTACTCACGTTCATCACGGAGACAGGGACAGAGATGGAAACGGAACTGGAAATGGGAGACGGTTCGATAGTAATTACGGGTAACAAAGCGAAAGAGAAGAGAAGACATCCTTGAATCACCCCATCATGGTCAATCAACATGCGCAATTCCCCTGTGTATTAATGGTACCTCCCCATTCTCGTAAAAAGGAATGGTTGAAGAGACGAAAAAAGGTACCGGAAAGCCTTCCGGGATCAAGCACCACAAAAAGCTGTAAGCGACAAAAGGTAGGTAGTGAACAAATAATACCAACATAATAAAAAAAAACCAAAGCTTGCTGCAAAGGCCATAGTTTCCATAAGCGTCCATTGTTCTCCCACATAGAGAATCTTTGTGGGAGGGAGTCATTATGGGGAAAAAGGAAGGCGTGAAAGTACAGCTAGCGCAACCGTAAGGTCCTCATCTCTCTTGAATCTTGAATTTTGCGCCTTGTTCCCAAAGTGTATCACGTCCTTCCACCCGTATGACCGTCTCTCCCTTTCCCGTCCGACCCTAATGTGTCCTAAAAAGCAAGCGAGATTGCCACGTTGTGCGTGCGTGTGTCTGAAGGGGCGAGATCCAACGAGACATGATGTAATCTATGCGCAGAAATGGGGCAAACTGAAACCCTAGAATAATGGAGAAAAAGGTCATAACAAACATTGTTCAGTCGTTTCCCAAGGGACGTCACACTGCTCTAATCATCCTGTCACCAGACTCGGCCACGACAAAGCGAACCACACGAAACCATCAAAGAGGAATACATTTAACAGCAGCTGCTGTTGGAAGAGTTGCCGACACCCTGGCCCTGGCCAACGTGCACGCTGGGTTTCGTGTTGTTGGCAGTTGTGGTGCCCATACGCTCCTTGATCTGGCGAGCCATGGTCAGGAAAGCCTGCTCAACGTTGCTGGCGTTCTTGGCGGAAGTCTCGAGGAATGGGATGCCCAGGCTGTCAGCGAATTCCTAGAGAGGGGTCGTCAGCTTCAGCTTTACAGGGGACCTAGGGGTCCGAGACATGGCAGCCTGGAGACGGCAGCCGCCTTTCTGGTGCAGATGACGGTGCGGCCACCAGGCTGCAGTTGAGGCGCTAACTCACCTTGGCAACAGTGTACTCGACAACCTTCTTATCGGACATATCGCTCTTGTTGCCTACGAGCAACTTGTTGACGCCCTCGGTAGCATACCGGTCAATCTCCTGGAGCCACTGCTTGACGTTGTTGAAAGAGTCCATATCAGTGACATCGTAGACAACGCAGATGCCGTGAGCACCGCGGTAGTAAGACGAGGTGATGGTTCGGAAACGCTCCTGGCCGGCGGTATCCCACTGTAAAAAGCAAAAGAGTCTCAGCCAACTGCATCGCATCGCCTTGATACGAGGGTTAAATTTGGATCACTTACGATCTGCAGCTTCACGGTCTTGCCATCGAGTTCTATCGTTCGGATCTTCTGCGAGGGGGGTCAGTAACTGGCGAGCCCACAGGAGAGGAAGTCAACGTACGAAATCGACACCGATGGTGGAGATGTAAGACTCGGTGTAGGTGTCATCGGCAAATCGCAGCAGCAAGCAAGACTTTCCAACACCGGAATCACCGATGAGGAGGAGCTTGAAGAGGTAGTCGTATCTAGAATGGGGGGAAAGCGGCGTGTCAGCTCATGGCCTCTCCTCGGTAACAGGCGCCGCCAGCATCAATCAAAGCCCATCCATCAACTCAGCAGAACCAAGCATCGATGGAGACGACAAAGCCGACGAACGGAAACTGTTTTTTTGCACTGGACTGTACTCTGCGGAGTCGGTTAGCACCCGATAAGACGGACGGTTTCAGGAGATGCCATCGCAATCCAGCGACGGGGGGGCTGCGTACCACTCGGGGTTCATGATGGCGGTTGTTGGTGTTTGTGTTGGAACGGGAGAAATAGAAGCGGAAGGCTTGAAAGTTGAAAGAGGTGCAGGTTTGGTCAAAGTGGCAATCGAAGCGGATGGTTGGCTCGAGGTCAAAGGAGCGTCGGCTGGCCAAGTCTCGAGTACGTCAGGGAAAGATGACCTCGTTGGCTGGGCTTTGGGCTGGGAGGATGGGATGGGCGGTGGGAGCGCCAGTCACGTGCAAAGGACCTCACCTGTGACAGTGGTGAGTGGCTCATTTGCCTATTATTAGCCGTGGATTGGTGATGGCAGGCGCCGAGCTGCGTTAGCACGGGTACCTTGGTACGGAGGCTGTACCTCGGAGCGCGCAGTTGGACGGCCGCGCTGCTGGGATGCTGCAGTACAGGTTGAGTACCCCGTACCGCCAATGGGTTTGGAATTCAAAAGGAAAATCAAAAACCTGCTTCTCTGTGCTACTTGTGCTCCGCAGTCTGCGACAAGTGCTACCTGGGGTCAGCCTGTACGGAGCAGTGTCTTTATGTTATCTTATCTGGGGAGCCTGCCGTAGTGTATACTACAAGGATCACGACACAAAGGAGCCTCCATTCGAAATGCTAAGAATAAAATCCAGGTCCCTTTGAGCCTCCCCAGTGGGCTTGGTGCGTTTTCTGAACTCGTCAAAACTTGATTACTCACGAAGAGGCTTTCCTCAATAAATCTGTCTCTTACTTTTATTACTTCTCTCTCTCTTTTTTCACTCCACTGTATCCCCTCTTCATCGCTGCCGTGTAAGTCCTGGTACGACTCTGCACTGCATTGCCAATTCCAGGCTACCTCGTGCTGCGGCACAAATTACAGTGCACGTTAGGCCAGGCGCGCATGTGATTCGAGCTTCTTCTCGCCGGGCTTTGATCACCTGAGATTCAGCCACGCTGCCCAGTTTTCTGGCCTCTCGTTCAAAAGATGCAAGGCGAAAAAGAATGCCATTGCAGGTGTCGTGATTCCGATTCCAGCTGTTGGAATCACTCGACCAATCCCGAATCCACCCGCGTCATGTGTGCACCGTTATCTATCAAAGAGAGTCCATTTCTCTTTTATTCTTTTGGAAGCGTTCCATTCCATGGAGCCCAGCCTTTCGTCTCCGTGACCCGGAATAGCGGAACGGCCCCGCAACGATGCTCCCTAAAGCAGCCCACTGTAGCCTTGTAAGAGGAGGCGCTACGGAAGCAAGGCGAGGAAAAAATGACGGATTGTTATCCCGGCACTCTCCGTCCAATGCCGTGTGACATTTTCGCATCAAACTTGTAAAAAAATCTCTGATACAAACTTGAATTACAGCAAAACCTACGAAACAGAACACTCCTCACACGCCCCCCCCCCAATCCCATGCGGCTCCTCCCCAGGAGCGCCCACCGCAATCAATGGCCGCGCCCCTGCGCAACACTCTGACGAGCCCAGCCGGCCGCTCATCATTCCGATCTTGGCCCGGCGCTTCTTCTTCAGTTCGCGGCATCACCAGCTTCAGCCCAGCCAATGCCCCAGCACAGATTGCGGCGCGGCCGCCGCCGGAGAGTGTTCTGGAACGGCCGCCTCCTGATGCTTTATTGTTGAAGAGACCGGTGTCTGCGCCGCGAGACAGCTTGCCTCAGACGTACTTTGAGAGCTCTGGAGCTGTGTGGGTGGGAGGCCGGGGAGACCAGCCGCCGGATCCAAACAAAGCAAAGCTCGGCAAAAGTAAGTAGAAGCTTTCAAGAATTATATACCTATCTGAAAAGGAGAGAAAGAAAGAGAAGACAAGAAAGGGATATTGAAGGAAATGAAAGCTTACTTACACGCATGAACCCTCGCCAGCTCTACGAATCCTCCAAGAACGCCTCCCGACGCTCCTCCAATCTCCCCTCCCGCAAGACATCCTCGCCCCCAACATCTCGCTCCAGCTCTTCCCCTCAACGCACCCCCACCTCCCCGTCGTCTCCGGCCGAGTCGCCTACAACGCCGCCCTCTGGACCTCCCCCATCGCCTGGAACCGCGTCCCCATCATCGGCAACGTCAAGCTCGAGATCCTCGCCGAGCGCATGACCTCGGAGCCTCTGACCTTCTTGCCCCGCCGCGCCGGCGCCATCCAGGAGCAGCTCGTCGTGCGCTGGTGCGAGAAGCGCAAGGTCAAGGAAAAGGAGGACAAGCAGAAAGGCACGGGTATTTCGCTGCCCTCGTTGCGCCTGGCCCGCGGTGTCGACCCCAAGGAGGCATTTACGGGGCTCTTCATATTCGACTTCGATTCAGAGGGCAGGATCCTTACGCATACCATTGAGCAGGCTCAGGAGGGTGGTGATTGGGAGAAGGGCATGGGAGCCAAGTTCGTGGGCCTCACTGATTGGCTACTAGGCGGGCTTCAGGGTCCGGACGATAACCCGATACCCATGTTTGAGAGAAAACGAACGTTGTGATTTTTGAAATGATTCGTGGGAGAGCGTGTGTTTTGAGAATCAGAAAGTGGGAAAAGACGAGGGGTGCGTTGGCGTTGATGGCATTATCTTGATTTGGTCTCTTCACCTACCTGGTCGATCCGGAGGTAAGGTGCATGTTGTAACGATAGCTGCCCGTTTAGAAGGCATTTGTATAACTCTGTATATCCTAGCAAGACTCTCTACTACGTTAGTAATTAGCATCTCATAACCTACTCAGCAACATCATATATAAGCTTATCAAATAATGAAACAACATTCTTCAAATCAAGCCGTATCATGTCAACATCAGAAAGTACGCAGTTACGCGGAATAGACGTCTCTAGTCATTCAAGGCGTGTAGCAAAAACTACCTCTTTTGCACCAGTCAACTCTCCGGTCCGGGGGCATTTCACAATATTCTGCCGCCGAACCGCCTCTGCCGCAGCGCATAAAAAAACAATTAAAAAAAAGAGAAAATGTGGAAAACAAAAAAGATTTCCCTGCTGTCGGCTTCTCACCCCCCCTTCTCTCTTCTCGTTTATCCCTCTTCTCCAACAATGGGGCGCGCAAATATCATGCTCGTCTTTAAAAGAAGATGTCTCCCAAATTCTCCCCCTCAAAACCAATCCGGACGAGCTTTTTCAAGCGAGCCTTCTCCTTGGCTTTATCCGCCGCCTTCTTTGCCTCAGCGAGCTTCTTCACCACATCCACCTCCGCAAGCTCATATCCCGGCGGCGCATCGTCATCCTTGTCCAGGTCAATCTCCCCCAGGAGCAAGACGTTCTCGCCTCGCACGAGGAAGATGCCGTGCGTTATATCGGCAAAGTAGCCGTACGGATACTCTGATCCAGGGTTATCGGGTCTGGGAGCGAATATCCTCTCTGTCGTCGATTGGAGAACAATGTTGGCTGTTTTTGCATTATAAAGGCATTAGATGATCGAGTCTTTTTCTTCTTGTGTTCGCACAGCTCTTTTTTTCGCAGCTCTTGGTTTTTGGGGGACTACACACCGAACTGGTCCCAGCTTCGTAATACTCCAATCAGCTTTCTCCCATCACGCAGAACCACCATGAGTTTTTCTACATCCGCCCGTTAGTACAAAGCAACCCCGACTCTTCACGTCTCCCATTCTCTGATCTGACGTCGTTCCATGGGAGGCATACTATCGGTGAGATCCAACAGCTGCGCAGCAGTCGTAAACATCTGCGGCGGTAGCTGGGCAAAAGGTTGAGAGGCCGGAGCCCCAGGAGGAGGGGCGTCAGAAATAGCTAGATTTTCCATCATGATAGCATGAGGCGGCGAGAAACAAAAAGGTGTTTGTGTAAATCTGGTTCGTGTTCCGGCTCAAGGGTCCATGGGCTGTGGTGTTTCGGCGTCCTTTTTGTCTATATCAACATGGCCGCAGGAGGTTCTTGGGAGCGACGAGGCTGTAATCTGGAGAACAGCACATTGGCAGTCCAAGTGAGGTTGGCCGGCCATCGCTGTACCCGCTGTGGTTGAGCGATGCGCTGTCGGTTTATCGATAAGTGCACATCACGTGTCAGCGCCGTTTCCTCGAGGTCTGGCTTGTCTACGTCAGAGGAACGAATTAGGTTTTTTTTGAGATACCAGGTAGCTGGATGTAATGTGCACCCGCATCAGTACCCCTAAGGTGGGCATTGAAGCATCGGGTTCATTGGATTTAAAGATGACGCAAGGTACAATCTAACTTGATACGTGGCATTTGGTTCTATCAGAGATTGGATGCGCCGTCTACCTAGGTAGTAGATGCCCTCATCTGGGTGTACCGGCTGGTTCGAGCAGCCAACAGCTTGTAAGCCGTCAACGATATTACTAAGAGTTACCTACCCGTATCAGCTCATGTAGATCCCAGGGCTGGTACATACAGGACATATGGTAGATGCTACGAAGGTTTTTGAGGGTGTTCGCCTTACGTTGAAGCCTGTGTAAAATGTTAAACGCCTGCAGAGGTAGCCGCTTGCATAAATCCCGTCGCCGGCTCAAGCATCGAGATTGGCAACTCATTTTGCAGGCAGCACGCGATCTCCAATCAAAGCTACGCTCATCTCGGCGCGACAAATGACGGTTGAGTCATCAGGTCAGGTACTGTAACTGTACATGTACTTGTCAAAAGTGAGGGGTGTCTGGGGCCCAGAGCTAAGGCAGGTACTTAGCTCCAGCGCACACGACAGCTCCCCTCGTCATGTCTATGGCATCGATTTCTTCTATGCTCTCTATCATCCAGACATCCGGAACTCGCGACAGGCTGCCTCTCCGCCGTCGTTGTGTAAACAATTAATTTTGTGTATCCTATTTCAAGAGCATTGAGTCTTGTAATACACCAGATGTGCCCCGCCCCGTCTTAAGATTTTCTTTCTGCGTGGTAGCTTCTATGATAAAAAAAAAATAAAGACCTGCCGACAACGCCTGAGCCGAATTCAAAAACTCATCGCACCCCTGGATGGTTAGCGGCTTTTGTGTGAGTGTGTGTGATTGTGTGTTGAGGAAATGTTATAGAGTAGCCGCGGTGACCAAATGGACCGCCGTGATCGTCAATCAGAAAGCAAGCATCTTCCATCTTCCTTTCTCTCCGACTCTTGCTCTTGCTCTCTGGCTGTTCTGCCGTTGTTCACGGTTGCATCCAAGCTGTCCGCTGTGTGCAAGTTGCTTCCACGACCTCAAAGCACTTGCCAATCTATGGCACTCCCCGGAGATTGTGAGGGGATAATTAATAAAGTATACAAGGAGAAGGGAAAAGGGTGGGGATGGTTTTGTAGAGAACGAGGACAGCCGAAAGCACAAGCCCCAAGGCCAGCTTGCTCATGTCCTGTTCATCGAAGAGCGATTCAAGGCTTCTTGGAGCTCAGGTCTGTTGACAAGAACCTCAATTGCCTTGGTGTAGGTGAACCACTCGCGCTCTCGCTTGTCCTTTTCCGGCCACTCGTCCAGCTGGTCCAGGACGGTGCCCTGGTAAAAATAATAGCGAGACCGGTCCTTGGACGTCTTGGGCGGCCGCTTCTCCTCAAAGTTGCCCAAGTCATAGTCAATGTTGACCGTAATGCCAGCCTCCTCCCATGCCTCTCGCACCGCAGACTCCTGACATGATTCATCCGACTCCCATCCTCCTTTGGGCAGGACCCAGCCCTTCCGCCGGGTAGACTGGATCAGGATGACGTGGTTGCGGTCTGCGCTGAGCGGCACGATGCCGGCGACAAGTCGTTCTCCTTGTGAGTTGTACCCTGCAGGAGGGAGATGGGTCAGTGGGATCCCGGGCTTTGGCGTCGGCGGAGCGAAGCAAAAGCAGACAAACGAGGCGGCTGACAATGCAAGGACGGCAGAGAAGCGCGCGGGACAACAGGGGAAACAGAAGGGGAATGCAAAAGTTTTTAGAGAGAAACGGGGATAGAGGGTGCGAGATTGGAGTCTTTGGGAGGGAAAAGTAGTCAAGGTAGTTGTGTGAAACAAGGTGCAATCAATCTTCACTCGAGAGAGGACTTACGTTGTTTGCTCCGCCCGGTCCGCGACTGCATTGACCGATTGTTGGATCCCTCGGCGCTGGAAGCCGAACCCGACATTTTGGAAGCTGCCGTTGCCAACGTGCTCTGTGAAGTTTTGTGTGCGCGTGTTGAGGTTAAGCAGGATCTGGTGATGATTGGCCACTGGATTCTAGGTACGGAATAGAATTGGCCGAGGAAAGGAAGAAAAAAAAAAGAGGTGCCGGAAACGGGGGGCTTCGCCGGCGGTCGAGAGCGTCGTAAGGCGGAGAGGCAGGGCGAAAAGTCACAGTGACATGTGCTGCATCATCGTCGATTTAAGAGAGCAGGAAAATGGGATAAAGGTAAAAAGCAAAGAAAGGTAAAAGGTAAAAAGGTCTTTGTTGTGTCGTCCCCGTTGAGATAATGACGGAGGCCCGGGGGAGGGAACGAATGCAGGTCTAGGTGTATTTTTTTTCTGCGGCAAGATGGCGTTCTGGACGGGGTCCGAAAGCGATGTATAAGTAACTCGGCGCCGACTCGGGGAACCGCCAGCCCTGGATGGTGCCTTGGACTTTGGGGGAGGGACTTTCAGTTGGTACAGCAAAGTGGCCAATATTGGAATACCTGACCTGACTTTATGGATTTAGCACAGGACTGGACTGGTTTATTTCGTCCCAAGGCGGAACTACTGGTACTGGTACCGGTACTGGTACGAGTACTGTAAGCGCGGGCTTGGTGCGGTGTGATTTGACTTGGACTGTGCAAGCCTGAGCTGGTACCTGGCGCTGGTAGTGGAACCAAGGGCTTGCAAGGTTGGGTTGGCTCAAACGCGGAGATGGGGCCAAAGTTTGTCGCGCGCTGCCTGTTCTGGTACGAGTAGGTACTGTAGCCCGTGCCGTTTATTAATTGCCCCAGACGGACAAGATTCTGGTTCTGGTCTTGGTCCTGGTAGTGGTAGTGGTACTGTACGAGTATGTACCTGGTGGCCTGGATATAGTACTGCTACTGTACTGCTCAAAGTATCAAGGGTGGTGGTGGCGGTTGAGGTTACTTGTAAGTTGGGGGCCACACAAAGCTCCAACAGCTGGATGCCAATATCGTATGTACCAAGTGCTTGGTTTGGCGACGCACGCGCGCAAGCTTCAGCCGTGCTGGCCGGGTGTAAACTCCGTCAGCGCAATCTGCGGCGGTATCAGGGGCAGCAAGCCGGCCACGGCCGCATGAACTAGGCTCAGGCGACGGGGAGGCACACGTGCGTTCTGCGTACGCGGTACGGCGAGACGGCACGGGGATTGCGGTCTGGAGGATGTGTTTGATAGAGTGGCGCCGGAGCAGGGCAATAAAGGGAGTGAGTCAACGAGCGAGTAGAGGTTAGTGAGCGGGAAAAAAGGAGTTGGGAAACTCTCCGGGAGCTTGTACTCGTACTTGTTATATAACAACAACGGACAAGGACAAGGACAAGGAGGGATTCCCCAGCGGCGCAGTAACGATGGGGGTAGCAGTACGAGTAACTCGTCCAGCCAGAAACCACGGCTTCTAGGCTATCTGTTGCGTGTCTCGTGCCATGACAATAGATGGGAGGGTCCCGGCCGAGGAGGATCCGCGTTAGCTTTATAGTCAAACTAAGGTGCCATCTATGTTAGTGTCATGAGCGGGATGGAGCTCGACAAGGCCTGCCTGCCCAGTCATGTCGTGCGTCAGGGCCGGTGGCGCCGGGACGACTGTGAGCAAGGGCAGGTAAAGGACTTTTTAACGACGAGGAACGAAGCTGTCATGATGGAGGCGAAGGCGGAGGCAAAGGCGAGGCGAGGCGATTCCATGCATTGTGATGTGATGTGATGTGGTGCGGCAGGGAGGAGGAGGAGGCAGCAAGGCAGATTGTGGGATATTGATGTGCTTTGCTCTGCTCAGCTGTGCTCTGCTATACAACACGGCAACCACCAACAAGAAACAGGCAAGATAGATGAACAGACAGACAGCCCTTCGTATGTCATCCGGTCCGTACGTGCAGGTACGAGTACGTGGACGCGTGCGTTCATCAGTGGTGTATGTACGAGTAGCAGGTACCTCGTACGCCTACAGTAACAGGACACGCGGGATGAGATTTGATGGAAGAGACATGGCACGGGCCCGAGGCCGGAATAGGGACCAGGTCCAGTGGGAGAGTTTGGGGGTTTCATCCCATGAAGCCGCAGTTCGCCCTGGAGAGGAACGAGAAAAAAAGGTTGGCAAGGCCTGGAAAATCCCCAAAATAAAATAAAATAGCACCGCCAAGCACCCCTGTCCCTACATGCAGGCGACGTGCACCCGATGCGTCGTCCAATGGGCGGCGGGCCAAATGCTCCATATAACAACAATGTACGAAGCGCATGGGCAGACGACGAGCAATGGCCGGAACACTACTGGCAGTAGTACGGAGAGCTATATACGGTAGCCCTGCCAGCGAAGAGGCAGAGAGGCACCACTCAGCTGCCAAGGTGACACATAGGCCCGTGTAATGCACATTGAGCCTTTGGAAGAATAGCAGTTGAGTCAAGCCACATGAGCGCTGAGACAGACGGAGCAGAGGTGAGATTGGCGAGGTTTTACGCTCAGGTGATGGTCGACTTGCTGCCGGATAAGCTTTCACTAACTGAGAGCTGAGATGGACTGATCAATGTCCTGGGCCCTCCGTACACCATCTATCTGTCTGTATGAACACCGACCTACATAGCATATGCATGGACGAGGCGCCATCGTGGTTAGTAGCAGCATTTCCGTTAGGTACTTGCAGCATATATCGTTTAGTCAGGGCGCCCGTCTGTCCAATCATTAAATATAGATAGCCCTCGCCTCATTAGCCCGCATCGAGAAATGGTCGCATGAGGCTTCTGCTGGCTGATATTACCCGGCAAAGCTGTATGCATATTCGGCATGTCCAAACAGCATACCAAGTACTCCGTACAGGTGGGAAATACGGTGAGCAAAAGCCGTTGCCTCGCTCCCCCTTGCAGCCAGAAGATGCATCCCAACGGCCTCGCCAGGTCCAACGAGATGCTAGAGCGTCGCCACGCTCCTTGGTCTCTCGGGCAAGGGAGGGCTTCGGGGAGTTTGCGTGCATGTAGAGTTCCTGGCTTCAACCTGGCACACACGGCTACTACTGGGATATGCGTATTACCAAGGTGTATGATATAGTACGAGTAGTATCACAAGGCATCAATGCGGGCGTTTCCTTTCTACTATCAGCATGCTAGACGTCATATCGGAAGAGTCGACTAAGTGCTTAGTAGTACGGAATGATCCCATTGAGAAACAGTGGTGACTCAACGACTGCCTCCAATACCTTATACAGGCATGGGCAATTTAGTGTAAGTACGGACGACATCATGGAAACGTACGCGAGATTTACCGCCTAGCATCGGCCGCAGGACCCGAACCCTGGATGCAATGCCTATGGGTAATCCGGCAACTGGAACATTTCGGAATCGTGACAGTACCGTAAAAGACCTCAAGGGACGGTTTGATCCTCTGGCGCGTTGCTAAACCAGGCCGATGAGCTGTCATTGTCTCCATCCATCCACATGTTACCTGTATCTTCCAGGGTCCAAGCTGCCAGCTAGTACCGCCTTGAGAAATCATGCCTACACATACATACCTTGCAGTATGCTCCGCACGTTAGTACAGGCGGTTGAACCCATTACAGTACGCCGATAAGGAGCTCTGGAGGCCTTTTGGGGACTTGGTAGCATCAAGCCTGGGATGCCTGTGGCCGCTTTGAGCACCCAAGCCGCATAGTTGAAGCAACGTTGAGGTCCATGGATATGGGTTGATGCATGTACCTTAGCAAGCTTAGATACATGTACCTCGCACCTGTGGCCCTCGTGCTTAGTGAGTTTAGCGACTGGACGGACCGCTGAATCTGGCGCTGTCAACGCATCCCGTCACCCTGGCAGCCACTAACACAATCAACTCAACCCCTCACTTGCTCCCCCCTTTGCCCCGCCATGGCGATTCGAGCTTGACCTCATCAACCCATGAGAACCTCTTTTCTTACTCCGCCGAGGCGCGCTTGCGATGCTTGAATCATCTTTCTTTCTCTCCATCTCCGTTAACATGAATTCCTGCCGTCGGCAGCAAAGATAGCGGCCCTTGCCCTGCCCCCGTCCAACCAAGCAACTGCATCCTCGCCCGTGGCCAGCACCACGCCCAGCTCCGCCATAAGCCAGCCTGCTTCTACTGTATCGGCATCATGACGGCGGCTAGATCACATACATGCCACCCCACAAGTTAAATTCGTCCCGTCGTCTCTCACCCAGCTGAAGTGCCTGGGGCGGAAGTTCTGCTTGTTCCGCTTGGACTTTTTGCCGCTTCGAACTCCTTCCTGCGCTATACCCGTCCGCCTTACTGTACCTTACCTTGGGACCATCTCCATCTATATGGAAACGCTCGCATTCACTCCATCTTGACGCCTCACGCACCAACTTGCCTGTTCAGGAAAACTCGAGGTGCCAGACCAGCCATGGACTTAGACGGTGGGCAGACCCCTGAAGACGCCTCTACGAGCGAACTTATATCCCCGATCGGTGAGTCAATAAAATCACAGTCGTTTTGGTTCCTCTGCCTTTTTTCCCTTTTTTTTACAAGACACGTGCGGCGTTCAATGCTTGTCGTTGGCTCGGGGCATTTCAATCCCTTTCGGCAAAGTCTCTGCCTTAATGCCAACCCCTGTCCAGCCTTTTTTTGCCATCCCACAACACAACACGGGCACACTCTTATCACGCATTTCCATGTCAAGAAAGCGTGGGATTCGTGCTACTCCAACGGCTTTTCGAGCGGCCTAGTGGCTGCCACCCCGAGTTTTTCGCCTCTCATTTGCGTAATGGCTCCCCCATCCTGTCTCATACCCAACCCCCACTTTGCAACCTCTCGATATTGTTCATTGCAACACTACTTTCCAATGTTCTCTTTACTGGGTGCCAGTTCATCAATGCGTGTAAGCCGCCGCTACGATGTTGTGTCCAGAGAGACAATCTGTTTTGTGGCCGCCCCCATATAGCACCCTTTTTCATCCTTCGAAACAATATCACCAAAATCCATTTGTCTCCCGGCCTTGATGTCATTTAACCAAGATTCACATGTAGTAGATATTTGTCAATTTATACAAATCCCCCTTCATACGTGATTGCTCTCGATTTCATGGCTGATGTACTATTTTTCAAATCACGCTAACAAATTGCAAAGGATATTCAAACTCCTCAAAATGCGGTTACTGTGGCACTCGAGGACAGAGTTAGTGCCATCATTATTCTTCTTCATGTATCTCAAGGCATATCACCAGAGATGAGGAATCCAAACCCTACTCTCCCCAGACTTGCCGTAGTTGTTGTGCTGCTTTCAGAGAGCGACGATGGATTCCATTTTTTTAAGTCACAAGCTAACCCCTTTCCTTGAGCGTTTAGGCTTTTCGTATTATGCGAGTGCTACGTCTCTTAGCCCTCAGTTTTATCTCACATTGCTAGATCGTTGTTGGAGACGATCAGGAAAGCTCCTATATCGCCCCAATCAGCGAGCGTCCTGTTGTCCTCACTATACTATACGTCTGGATTCGGACCAATTTTACCCTACAAGGGGCCAGCGCCAAACCATTAATCGCTTCAACAAACATGTTCTCGGCGAAGCTTATGTTAAGCAAGCTGCTCGTCTATATCCAAGATCACGCGAAGAGACCAAAAAGCGTGACAATGAGTTTTGCCTAACAGAGCGTATTCATGAGACTGAGCTAAATCGAGTCAAGACCCCACCCGAGCCAGCACATAAGTGGGAGGTTACTCTTGAGGAAGACAGTTTTACAGAAGAAAAGTATCTTGTCTATGATAATTATCAGAGAGTTGTCCATGGGGATGAACCGGGTGAAAGGACGAGGCACTCGTTTGAACGCTTTCTCTGCAATTCCCCCCTGCAGCGTCAGGTCATGATTGGGCCTGATGGACGAAAGCGCCGCTTAGGTTCCTACCACCAATGCTACCGCCTAGACGGCGTTCTAGTGGCTGTTGGTGTACTTGACCTGCTGCCGCAAAGCGTCAGCTCTGTTTACTTCCTTTACCATGAAAGCGTTCATACATTTGCTCCTGGAAAACTAGGTGCCCTCTATGAAATAGCTCTTGCCGTTGAAGAGGGCTACCGATGGTGGTATCCTGGATTCTACATCCACAGCTGCCCTAAAATGAAGTACAAAATCGACTACGGCCCTCAGTATATTCTCGATCCGGATACCTTGGACTGGAGGCCTCTTGATAAGACCGTTTTGGATATTCTTGGCAGGGACACTTATACAAGTTTCTCCACGGTCTTAGGAGAAAATGCTACTAATGCATCTGAGATGCGCTCTGCAGCCTCCACAGGCATACCCTCTGGTGGAGCTCCTGAGGCGTCCATGTCTTTGGATGAGAGCCCACAGAGCCCGGAGGATGCCAACTCGGATGAAGACATTGACGAGGAGGTTGACGAAGTGTACGACTCATTGTTCCGATCCAAAATGCCAGGCATCCCTTCTGTCGCCACCATGGAAAGTTTAGATCTGGACCACATAATTCTCAGAATCTTTCCTACAGGCCCGTTGTTTGAGACTTCGGATCTAGTTGGCTGGAGGCACAGCAATATCAGACAGCCGTCGGGCATCAGGCATAGCATTGCACAGCTGATTGCAGCATTAGGACCTGATTTGATGGGTGACATATGCCTGGATCTAGTGCGCCGGCAAGTCTAGCTGGCTGCACTACGGTATTAAGATTGAATTCCCCTTTTGCTCTGCTGTTGGTTACTATATATATGTAGGATTAGTTAGGATACAATGGCTCTTGTTGCGCTAGCGGGTACGTCACTAGCGAATTACTGTAGATAGACTTTTTATCTTGCATTTCCGAATTACTAAAGCGCTTTTGAATTCTAGGCATTACATACCTATGTTTCTGTCACTATTTTATACCTATTGTTCGGTTCTCTAGGTTAAGCTGGGCGAGCTTGGGAGAGCTCCAAACAGCTGCCCCACCCCCGCATCGTATCTTATCTTATCGCTCACCTAGGTGAGCCGATACAACTTTTTGTCAAGTTCAAAAACCTTTCAGCAACAACCGTCACCAGGCCGCCATTTCACGCCCCCTTGGAGCAATTGCGCCGTAATACCCTGTCTCGGCTTCACAAACACATGGAAACACGGTGACAATGGCTCAACAAACATTATTATCCCCCGCCGAGCTTGCGTATCTCCACAGTTCCCTCACCCTCAGCCCGCCCATCCGCCCCGACGGCAGAACATCCAAGCAGTTCCGCCCCCTAACAGCAGAGACGGGCATCCTGCCCGGCACAAACGGCAGCGCGCGCGTCTGTTTATCAGACGGCACGGAGGCCATTGTCGGCGTGAAAGCGGAGATTGAGAAGACGGTCGACCCGCTGGGCGGCGAGCACTACCAGGAGTACGTCAAGAGCGCGAGCGGCGTGGGCGGCGGCGATGCGGAGGCAGACAGGAGCGCGGCGAGGGGGGAGTGGCTCGAGATGACGGTGGAGATTCCGGGCTTGAGAGATGATGATGCGGGGACGGTGTTTTTGGCGGAGTTGTTGAGGGAGGCGTTGCTTGCGGATGGGGAGTTTGCGAAGAAGTTGTGGATTAACAGACGGTTCCACTGGAGGCTATATCTTGACGTGAGTTGATTAGAGTTACCTTCTTGTTCTGCTACTTTTCTATGAGGTTTGTTGGTTTTTGTATAACATTGGGAGTGCTAATGAACTTGGGCCACAGATCCTTTTGATATCGCCGCCGCTTTCATATCCCCTGCCACTCCTCTCTCTCACAACACACCTCGCCCTCCTCGCCACAAGACTCCCGCGCCTCAAATCAGAAGGTGACGAAGATCCCATGTTCGACGACGACTGGGAAGCCGCCCCGTTCCTATACCCCCGCGAAGGCGCTACTACGGGCTCACGGCCGTCCATTACGCTGCTGGTCGTTGCCGTGGGCGACAGCATCCTGTTCGACCCTTCCAAGGAGGAGCTCGCGGTCGCTGACTCTGCGCTGGCCGTGTCGCTGTGCGAGGTTCGGACGCAGCGCGAGCAGGGCGGCATGGAGGTGGATTCTGGGCGCGAGCTGAGGCTGGTGTCGATGCGGACGATTGATCCTCCCTCGAGGCTGACGCCGCCTGGGGTGCCCAGCACGGCTAATCTGGCGGCGAGCGGGACTTCTGATACGACGCAGCAGAAGCAGCAACAGAGAACGGAGGAACATCCCCAAGAGGGCGTCTGGAAAGCACCGTTGGGCGGAACTAGGTTTGCCGTCTTGGATAGCATTATGCAGGCTGTCCTAGAAAAGGGGGGTGTTGCAGACGAAGTCTTGGATGGGCTGGAAGGAGTAGACCTGGCGTAAAAACATGTTGTCATATTCTGGATTGCGTTGATTCTTTTGTTGCTTTTTTGCTATATACTGGTACATCTACATCATGTTCGGTCTCACTGACATTGGGGGAATTTGCCTAATGCCTAATGTGCGGGGTTTTACATCCTAGTGTTACAATAGAAAAGGGCATCTCATATGGCCCTGCCGATCAATGCACATATAATGAATCGTATCATGATGCCTCTCAAAAGATGCCCAGCCACTTCTTCTTCTGCTCGGCGGGGGCCTCGGCCTCGGGCTGGGGCGGCAGCTCGCGTCCCATGGCGGCGGCCTCGAGTTGCTCCTCCGACTTTTGCTCGTCCTTTCCAAACACCATCTGCACGGGGTCCTTGGCCTCGATGCCGTGCATCTTCATAAAGTACCTGCGCTTCGCGACGTCGTCGAGGTGTCGGGTCCGGTGCTCGGTGGCCTTGAGGGCCTTGTCCTTCTCGTGCATGAGGATGACGTTTTTCCATTGGGCGAAGAAGTAAGTGGGCTGGTGCCACAGGTCAGATATCGGCGGCACGAGGTCCTTGAAGGGAGAGTTGTAGGCGTAGTTCATGAAGAAGGTGTACACGCCCATGGCCAGGAGCGCGCCCTACACATATTTAACAAAATGTCAGCCTAACACCGCACACACTACTAGTAGCAAAAACCATTTCCATTGCTCAGCCCGTACCATGGTGATAAAAGTGTGCAGCAGTCTGCTGTGCCAGAACCAGTGCGTCCAGGTCCCCTCGGGCGCCATCATGCCCGGGTAGTTCCTCTTGTTTTGGGCCGCAATCTCGTCCTCGGTCAGGGCAGGGCCGTAGTGCTTGGGGACGGAATTGCGCTTGAGCCTCGACCCGTGAGACGGCGGGTTGAACTTGGCCGGCTTCTCCAGCACGATGGGCTTCTCGGTCGAGATGAAGCGGACGTGGATGTTCTGCGAGAGGGGGATCTGGATGCCTCGCCAGAGCGGCCCCTGCAGCGGCAGCAGGAAGCGCGGGATGACTGCTCTCGTCACCATTGCGAGTTGGCTGACGATGCAGGAGATGAGTAAGTGTGTTGTAGTGATGGGATCTGGGCAAGAAACAAGGAAAAAGAAAAGAAAAAGATGAACCACCCGCCCGTCAAATGCCTTGGTGGTTCTCTTTTTTTTCACCGGCGTTGCTATGAAGCTCTGCCCATCCCACCAAAAAAAACTAGCGGATGTCGAAAAAAATGGGGACCCCCAGGAAAAGGCTGGCGGTAGAGACTCGAGAGCCTCTTCCTTTGCCGATGTTTCTCCGACCAAGAAGTGAAGCTGAGAAGAATGACAGGGAAGCTGCGGAAAGAAGGAAAATCCGGTGGAGCCGGAAGAAGAAGAGCGAGAGAAAAAAATCTGGCAGGGAACAAGGATGAGTACAAAGAGGAAAGCCCACATGCTGTGGCGCCTTCCCTTCGACGCCGCTTTGGCCGCCCGACTTTACCCGGGGAAATCGCCCGACGAGTGAGCGTGACTGTGTAATTGCGGGCGTGTGATTGGCTGCGCACCAGCCACACTTGTGGCTGATCACCGCCGGTTCTGCAGCACCATGGTGTCATAAACTTTTTTCCTTGAAATTTCTGGTTTCCTCCTGTTCCTTTCTTTTCCTCTCCTATACTTCTCTCATACCCTATTTTTCAACCTCTGAAAATTTTTGTATTCCAAAGTAGTTAACCGGTTCAGGTTTCTCTTTGGACTTTTTCGACTCTTACATCTTTCATTTCTACCTAACAACTCTTTAATACCCCATACTTCAAAATGGCTGGCGGTAAGTTTGTTTCGCTCGCAGAATCCGGTTGCCGAGACGTTTCCGAACAAGACGTGGGGAGTGCCATTGAGGCGGGCCACGACAGTTGACGACTTGGACGCTTGGTGTTTTGGACTTTTTGGTGAATGATGCATGCAAAGATTACTTTTTTGTGTGCTCATGTCGCCGCCGAGAGTGCTGAGGCTGCCTGGCGCAGTGCGTCATTTTCAAAGGCGGCTCGCATGTGCCTTACGATGACGCCCAGTGCAAAACACCAAACACACCTCGGTCCTTTGTTGTCGACTCAGTGCAACACCGATTGACTCTCTCTCACGTCCTCGACAACCAACTATTTCTTGAATCAACGAAGAAACCGGTTGCTAAGACATTTTTTCTCTCTTCAGGTGATACTAAGAAGGGTGCCAACCTCTTCAAGACCCGTTGCGCTCAGTGCCACACCGTCGAGGCCAACGGCGGTAACAAGATCGGCCCTGCCCTGCACGGCCTCTTCGGCCGCAAGACCGGCTCCGTCGACGGCTACGCCTACACCGACGCCAACAAGCAGGCCGACGTCACCTGGGACGACAAGACCCTCTTCGCCTACCTTGAGAACCCCAAGAAGTACATTCCCGGCACCAAGATGGCCTTTGGTGGCCTGAAGAAGGACAAGGATCGCAACGACCTCATTGCGTATGTTTCCCTGCTAATCTCCCCCGATCTGTTGAAACTAGTGTTGCTAACACGCTTTGTCTAGCTACCTCAAGGAGTCTACCGCTTAAGCGATGAATGAAGAAAAAGAATTGTAATGACAGAGATATCAATAGACGGGGTGCGGCGATTGTACTACTATAGATAAAGTTAGAATAGTCGAAGCACCATCACTGTGCTTGTACCATTAATATCCAACTCCGCTTTTTCAGCGACTGGACGCTGCTTTGGCCTTTTCTCTTCGCTCCATTTATGACATGGTGAATTTTCTCTCCTGTGTGTGTACGGGTAGTGGGGGTGAGCATTTTTGATAGACAAGACAGGGTTGGACGGGACTCGGTATTGGCTGACGGGATCCCGAATAGCCTTGTGCCATGTGTTACATTTGCTACCCTCCTGTTGTGGTAATGCCCGACAGGGTCTCGCTGCATTGATCGGACGATGCATGTGCTATTACCGGGGATATGTGGTAAAACACCACCGCTTCGTACTTGTGTACATAAAATCAACACCACATCTATATGCATGCGCCTGGTATATCTACATCTCCTTTGTCATTCTTTAAAAATGCCCCCTTACTCCCCCTTTCCCAGCTTCCTATCCAGCTTCCTGTACGAGTCTGGGTTCAGCACGCTACACCGCGTATTCTCCAGCGCATGCTCCCAGTCCTCCTGGTCAATCTCCCGCACCGACTTCTTGCCCAGCATAAACTTTCTCAGCGCGGCCTCGGCCGCCTTGATGTGCAATCCGCCGAGATCCGCGCCGCTAAAGTCCTTGCACCGGGGATCGAGGGCGACGGCCGGCAGCCTCGCGAGCTCGGCCTCGGAGGCGTTGGCGTGGGCCGTCTTGTAAATGGCCCGAAGAATGTCGACGCGCTCCTCGGGGGTGGGGAGATCGACAAAGAGTCGCACGCTGAGACGTCCCGGGCGGAGCATCGCTGCGTCGATCATGTCTGGTCTGTTGGTTGTGCCCATGACGTAGATGCCTGAGCGATCCTGGGCGCCGTCGAGCTCCGTGAGCAGGGCGTTTACAACTCGGACGCCGGCATCTGTAGAGGCGTTGTCTCGTCGGGGCACGAGCGAGTCGATTTCGTCGAAGAAGAGGATGCAGGGCGTGGAGGAACGGGCTCGCTGGAAGAGCTCACGGACAGCCCGTTCGGACTCACCGACGTACTTGTTCAGCAGCTCGGGGCCGTTGATGAGGATGAAAGAAGCCTGTGCCTCGTTGGCTACGGCCTGGGCGACGAGAGTTTTGCCGCATCCGGGGGGTCCCCAAAGGAGGGCGCCGGCGGGACGTCTGAGACCAAATTCCTGGTAGAGCTCTGGGTTCTTGATGGGTCCAATGATGGACATGTGTAGCTGCTCGCGCACCTTTTCCAGAGCGCCAACCTGATCCCAGGTTACACTTGGGATCACGGTGAAGCCTTCTCTCCGGAGAGATGGCGTGAAGCCCTTGATGGCAAGCCGGAAGTCATCGAGTGTCAATGGCTCCGTGGGTATCGTTGTAAATGTGGGTTGTTTTAGGTCTAATGAGATGTCTGATACATCCATCTGGTCTCTGTGGGGAGGCCGAGTAAGTATCGCCAGCTGCCGTCCATCGGGGTCTTCTGTATTGAGAATTCGCTCCTGTGCTGCTTGTTCCGCCAATGTTGTGACAATGATAATGTCTGCGCCGACGAACCCGTGCGTCATCTTTGCTACTTCTCCGAGGTCTAGGCTGTCAGATAGTATCTTCTCCCGCGTCACCACCTTGAGAATATCATGCCGAGCATCCAAGTCTGGTACCCTCATTTGAATTGTCCTTTCAAATAGGCCGGCTTCAAGCGCAACGGGGTCGACATCCGTCAGCCTTGATGTTGTTGCCATTGCCAAAACGTTGGCCTGTTCTTGTTGAAGCCTTTGCATCTGCCGTACGAAATGGTTGAGCATCTTTCGGCCGTGCTCATTGTGATTAGAGCTTCCCGGGTTAGGTATATGCCAGTCAAGATCCTCGATGAGAACGATACTCGGGGCCAGCCCGATGGCCGTATCGAAAGCCTCGGCCAGACTCTTCTCCACGCGTTCAGGGTCCTCAAAGCAGCCATTGAGAGTTATTACAGGCACCTCGAGGTTCGCTGCTACGGTACGGATAAGTGACCTCTTGCCCGTGCCCGGAGGACCGAAGAGGAGCATTCCGGGAACTCTCCTCCAACCATTTCCTTGGTAGAGTTCTGGGCACTTGAGCAGATAGCGTGTTTGGCGCAAAAGGTGGCGATGAATCTCACCAACACCTCCCAGCGGTAACGGCTCTTCCAATTGCTCGACTTTGAAGCGGGTAGACTTGGGCGACTTCTTCTGTACCGTCTTGTCTTGTCTCTCGGCCTTTGGTGCCTCTTTTAGTGCGTCGCCATTGATTGCCGCCTCGGTACCTGTATCGGGGCCACTTACTGTGCCGTCTCTCTCGTCGCCCTCGGTCTGGATGCGTCGTTTCTTGGCCGCAGGTTGTTCGGTGGTGCCCAGAGGTATAGGGTCGACTTGCCAGTGTTTTGTTAGCTGTCGGTTGAGTAGAAATCGATCGTCGTCTACTTTCTTCGACTCGGCCTCTTCTATAGCTGCCTCTGAGTCGTCTGAATCCTCGAGTTCTTCCTTGCGGAACTGTAATACCCGATCAATCGAGTCTTCGAGGGGGCGTTTCTTCTGCCTGGAGAGGCTCGAATTGGATCGTTTGATGGCATCGTATGCCGCGGTGATGGTTTTGAATGGTTTGCCATCGTTGGCCTCTTCCAGCTTTTTAATAATCTGATAGACGTCTCGATCAAGGCCCTGGCGCAGGTTGAGCCGGGACTTGAAATTGGGCGCCATGCTGGCTGTGGCGTTGTCGCAGACGCTCTTGAAAAAGATGAGTTTTGCTTCATGGCTTGCGCAAAAAATAAAAGTTGCCCTGTAAAGTTAACACGACGAAGGGATGAGATTTTGTATCAAAGCTAGCCTTGTATGGTCAATCCATCGATTTAGCGCAAGTTGTGTACATTGAAGAGTACAGGCACATGAGCACTGAAGGTAAGGCATTTAGGAGCCTTATTGCGCTACTTGGGACGAAAGAAAATGCTCGACTAAAATTACAAGTCTTTCCAATGTACATTTTCATTTCATCACAACTTTGAAAACATTTTCTTGGCTTCCACTCTCTTTCATGGGCGCTCTTGAGCTAGCCTAGTACCTGTGTAAATCTTGACCAAGTGAGGTTCCGTCTCCAAACCCCTGCTTATCGATAAAGCTTTCGGCGCCACATGATACATCGAGACAATGACGACAAGGGCCTGTCCGCCGATTCTCGTCCCGGCTTGCGTTCCCTCTCCATTCCCCGTCTACGGACTCACGGTCGAGCAAATAAACAAAAACAGCGGCCGAGTCCGTAGCGCAAACACATAATCTCTCACAATGGGTGGCAAACAGAGCAAGATCACCGACCAGGACAAGTACGAGCCCCCGAGTCCGCCGTCACGGGCCGTTATCGCTACCGCCAGACCGTTTCAACTGACAAGAGAGAACTCCAGGGCGATTCTGGACATGAAGATCCAGCGCGACAGGCTACACCAGTACCAGCGCCGCATCACCGTCCTCACGGATAAGGAAACGGACATTGCCAAGCAGATGCTGGCCAAGGGCGACAAGAAGCGGGCGCTGCTGGCGCTGCGGCGCAAGAAGTACCAGGAGTCGCTGCTGACCAAGACGGATGCGCAGCTGGAGCAGCTGGAGAGGCTGACGGCCAGCGTCGAGTTTGCGCAGATCCAGAAGGACGTCGTGTTTGGCTTGCAGCAGGGCACGAAAGTGCTGTCTGAGATTCACGCCGAGATGGGCGGCATTGAGCACGTGGAGAAGTTGATGGGGGAGACTGCGGATGCGATTGCATACCAAAATGTATTGATTGCCTTGTCTTCTTTTGCGCCTCTCATTACTTGTCAAATGCTAACTGACTATCACAGGAAATTAGCGAAATGCTCGGTTCTCGCATCACGGCAGCAGACGAGGAAGAGGTCGACGAGGAACTCGCCGCGCTGGAGGCGGAAATGTCCGGCGTGAACCAGAAGCTCCCCACGGTGCCGAGCGCTCAGCTTCCCGTTTCGGAGCGGCCGGCGGAACAAGAGGAAGCGCAAGAGAACCGGCCAGAGAGACAGGCGATGCTGGCTGCCTGATTTATTGAATGATTGACTGAATGAATGACTGATTGGTATGGGAGTATTGGCATGTTGGGGTTCCGGATGATTATTAGACATCTATTTCTTTCGTTTTTTGATTGGGTCATGTGCTTGAGTATAGATGGCAGCAACACCATGGCGAGCACGGGATGGCGTTTTTGTATTTTTCTTTGCTTTGAACTTTTTTTATACTTATACAAGATTTCCATTATTATTATTTGATTTTCATTTTGACCACTTCAGATCCATTTGTCGAACTTAGCTACCGTATTTGGATACCAGCTTCTTCATAATCGACATTGCTCCTCCACGATATCCTGTCCCAAAGATTGAGTAATGATTTAAGTGGTGATATCTGTGAATTACGGTTAGCTCTGCTTACCTCCGTCTTCACACACCATAGACTCATAATTCAACTGTATCTTAGTACTCACAATTCATAGAGCATGACACGATCATCCCACTCCTCCTTTGGCTCCGCTCTAGGCACGAGCTTCTCATACTCGCTCCAAAAAGAACCCCCATAGCCGCCAAACATCCTCATGATACCCAGCTCGTATTCCGAGTGGCCATACACGCAAGAAGGATCGAAAACAACCTCTTCGCGTCCGCCCTTTCCGGCAATCTGGCCCGCCGAATGATTCCCGCTCCAGAGATCGCCATGGATAACAACAGGTGTGATGGCGATGCGGTCATCCCCGATAAGCCGCGGGACGACGCTGCTGGCGATCCTCTCCACCATGTCGGCGGCCTGGTCGTCTGGCCCGTGATTCTCGACGATGCGCCTCATGATGAAGCGTAGTCTGTTCTCGGCGTAGAAGTCGGCCCAGGAGGCGCGCCACGAATTGTCCTGCTCCGTGTCGCCGCAGCACGTCGGCACGGGGAAGCCGAACATGGCTCTGTCGAAACCCTCCGGAATGTTTGGCGCGGGAGTCGTATGCAGCTTGGCTAGCTTTGCGGCGAAGGAAATGCCGGAGCCTTTTGACGCGGAGTAGCCAAGGTTGAGGAAATCGGTGGCGAGGAAGTACTTGTTGGAGTTTTGCATGGGGCCGTGGCAGTATGATTTAGGGCAGAAGTTGGGGACGGCATCGTGGATTGCGTTGAGGGAGGCGTGTTCGCCTGTAAGTGAGAACGGGGATGTTAGCTTTGAGAGATGGAAAAGACGAAAGGGAAGAGGATGATGAGGGACTGGACCTTGGAACATTATTTTTGCTCCCTCGCCGGAGGCTGTCTTGACGAAGTAGTCGAATGGTTGGCCATCTTTTGTGGTGGAGAGCTTGAATGTTGATGAGAAGCCTGAGCCTCCGACGGATGAGATTGTGGTGTTGTCTTTGTCTAGGTCTAAGGCAGAGAGGATGGCAGGGTCGATTGTGTGGGACATAATTAATGCGAAATCTTTGAAATCAGCGATTACAAATTTAATATATTAGTTCTAAAGGTGAGCTGTGATGTGTTTGATGTTGCATTATAGAAATGAGATGTTTTGTAATATGTGAGTATGTACACTGGATGAGTTATGTGGGTGACGTCAAGATGCTGCATGAATGGTCCCATGAAAATCACACTCAGCACTCCCAACACAGGCAAAAGCATTCACAATAAGAGCATCAAGTCATGTTTAGATAAAGAATAGGGTATTGCTTTAAAGTAAAAATAAAATTAAACATATGAAAGGCTCTAAATTCCATCAAGGGGGGTATTCCAACAAAAATTCCATCGCTAAGACCCAATATCCGCTCGTATTATGTATCCTCCCTCCTTTGCCAAATCCTTCCCATCCCTTTCCTTAATGTGTGTGTCTGTGTGTGTGTGTGTATTTTGTCCGGCCTGGCCGCTCCAAGTGGGGCCGGACGCCGAACCCGAACTGATCGGGAGAAGCGCCGTTGGTGCTTTTTCGCGCCCGTTTTATATTGTATTCAATCTCAGTAGAGAGAGAAATAAACAAAAGAAAATGTTGAAACCGAAAGTGTATAGATCCTATAGTATCTAAAAGATCTTCAAAGACGTATTCGCTTTTTGTGATTTGAATGATATCGGTGATCGAGTGTGTCGTTTACTGCTTCTCGGCCTTCTCAACGTGAAAAGACGAAGACGAGCTGGTGCGGCCTCGGGGGCTGACGGGTCTCGACTGAGCAGGGGTGTTCGTCTCGGAGCAGTTGGACGACTCGGGGTAGTCGAGCTCACAGGCGGGCTTGTTGTAGCAGTAGTGGCAGGGGCAGGCGACGACCCTGTTGATGGGAGGTCGGGGGGTGCAGTGGCGGGCCCACCAGCTTTGTCCTTGAGAAGAAGGCATAGTGATTGTGAGTGAGTTTGTTGATGAGAGAAAGAGTTGAGTGAAACCGGTTTAGGGTTTGTGATGTGTTGACAACAGTTGTTGTGTGTTGTTGTGTAAGAGCTCGATGCTTTTAGTGGAGAGCTGTGTGTAATAGACAGTTGAGTCAAGTCAAGTCAAATTCGAGTTCTCTTCTCAAGGAGTCTGAAAAGATGGAGAAGCTTGTTTGTTTGTGAGTGTGGATAGCAAGACATCAAAAGCAACGGGGAGGACCCAGATGAGTTTATATACAACTCATCCTCGCCCCCCCCCCATCAAGGGTGACTCCGATATCAAGAATTTCATTTCGCCATAATTGGAAAAAAATAGAAAATACCCACTAGCTGATGCACAGAAGATGACTGGGCGCCACATACCCGAACAATGCCGAGACAGTCACACACCTCCCCTGCAATCTGCAACTATACCAGAAACGTACAGATTACGGTCTCGGCGCTTGGTCGGTATTTCGCAATTGGCCTTCTTTTTTCTCCGATGCTTGGCTTATCAGGATCGGGTGGACCAAAACACGCGCCGTCTGGATCACATTACTGACTCTAGTACTATCATGGGAAAAAGACAAAGGCAAAAACAGAAGGACCTAGATAGTCATGATGACCAAAAATTGGGCCGCGTTCGTGCGAAGCTCAAAGTCTCTCTCAATCAATCAACTTTCTCAACTTCACTCATACTTGGTGTTGTGTGATCCACTGCGGCAACTAATCCTAACACAGCCAATGCTGCCTCAATAGGCCCTGTGTCGATCTGCCCGGCTACAAGTTGAAGTCAGTGACTAAGCCCTGCAAAACTTACAAATTGCGCTGCTGCTATGAAGTAATAGTGCATGAGTTGCATAAGCAATTCCGCCTGGTTCATTCCAAATCAATCAAGCAAGACACGGCAAAATCCGTGAAGTCGCAGAATTTCCAGAAAGCAGCAGAAAACTCAAGAAATCAAGGAAATTTCAAGAAAGTAACCCAACTGCCGCCCGTGCAGGATACGAGTATATTCTCTCAGGCACCAAAGATCTCCATCTTCGGCATTGTTTTTCCACTACGCTCCATGCCACACCCCTGCTCTAAAAAAAAAATCTCAGACGTTGCCGCTGTGCCATTCATCCGAACCAGCAAACATCGAGCAATAACCGAACGACTTCCGAACCACCGCCTTCAAAAATCAAAATTGGCGGCCCGCCCTTCAGCTCCCAGCTCCCAAGCTTCCCAACATGGTGGCGGCTATGCATGAATAAGGTACCTAGTTTCATAGTTAACACGATACGAGTACGCGTGTAACAGTAGAAGACTCCTCTCATGAGTCCACAATCACCCGATTTCTTTGCCTCTCTGGTCGGTAAATCGATGCACTTCCCTCCCGTCATCTTCCGTAGACATGGGCACTTATAACGGACGGGATGCCTGCCCTGAAAAGACCAGACCCAGCACAGACAAAAAGACAGCCCTTTCCAAGCAAATCTTGCTGTTATCGTCGTGAAACTCCACTAGGTACCTTTAGGTGCTGACATGGCGACTCCCTTCTCCTGACTCTCGCTCGCTCGGGATCCGAATGTCCTCCCCTAATCGAATCAGATCATCCTCGTCCAATCTTCATCTCATCTGCCCGGAAGCCATCCCCAACAAACGAACACACGCGAACCCGCACAATGCTTGCGCCATAGTCATGGTGTGGTGTGGCAGAATTAAATAAGGCTTTGATTTTTTTTCTCTTTACCTCCTCCTGGTTTCTCACCTACAACGTAAAAAAGATAACGTCGATACATGCTATGAACAAGCAAGAGCAACAAAATGCCTTGACCGCCGCATCATTCCCGAGCCCCTGCTCATTGGTTGATTTGCTCCCCTGCCACCCAAAAACAGATATTACAAGGAATCCATGCCATCCAGTCTTACGACTCTGTTGTTACCGTCTAGATACCCAGGGTGAACTCAACACCAACGTCAATGTCGCGGGCTATATGTTTTTAAAAGGTTTATATCGTCAGCAGGTGATTCTTCTCTTTCTTCTTCTTTTTTTATATTTCTTTTTCTTTATTGTTCGTCATAGAGTTGGGTCGAAAACTTACCCAGCTTGACAACCTTGGACAGCTGCACAGCCTTCTCGGCGGCGCTCTGCAGGTCATCAATAGAAAAGATCTTCAGACCAGACTCGTTGATGATCTGGTGGGCAAGCTCGACGTTGGTACCCTGCAGACGGGCAATGATGGGGATCTTGAGGTTGAGGGCCTCGACGGTGCGGATCAGGCCAGTGGCGATGGCGTCACAGCGGACGATACCACCAAAGATGTTGACGAAGATGGCGCTGACCTTGGGGTCGCTGGTGATGAGCTCAAAGGCCTCTCGGATGGCGGCGGGAGTGGCACCACCACCGACGTCGAGGAAGTTGGCGGGCTGGCCGCCGTTGAGCTTGATGATGTCCATGGTGGCCATGGCAAGACCGGCACCGTTGACGAGGCAGCCAATGTCACCGTCCAGCTTGATGAAGTTGAGGTTGGACTGGGCGGCACGGACCTCATCAGGGTCCTCCTGGGTGGTGTCGCGCCACTCGAAAACCTCTTGCTGGCGGTAGTTGGCGTTGTCGTCGAAGCCAAACTTGGCGTCCATGCAGAGGACCTGGTGGTCGGAGGTCTCGGACAGGGGGTTGATCTCGATCTGGGTGGCGTCACGCTCGAGGAAGATCTTGTAGAGCTTCTGGATGGTGTCCTTGGCGTCCTCGACGCACTGCTCGCTGAAGCCCAGGCCGGTGGCGATGCCGCGAGCAATCTCGTCGGTAACGCCGGTGTTGATGTCGATGTAGGTCGTAGTGATGGCATCGGGCTGCTCCTTGGCAACGGTCTCAATGTCGACACCTCCCTGGGACGACGAGACGATGACGGGGGTCTGGGAAGCACGGTCCATCAGGATAGCCAGGTAGAACTCGCGGCGGGCAAACTTGCGCTCGCAAATGTAGACGGCATTGCACAGACGGCCGCCGGCGCCCGTCTGCTTGGTGATGAGCTTGTGGCCAATCATCTGCTGGGCAAACATCTCGGCCTCGTGGGGGGAGTAGATGACACGGACACCGCCCTTGAGGCCGTTGTCGAAAGTTCCCTTTCCTCGTCCACCGGCGAGGACCTGGGCCTTGATGACCAGGTCGCCGGTACCAATCTCCTTGGCCACAGACTTGGCCTCGGCGGCCGTCTTGGCCACGGCGCCCTTGGGAACGCCAACGCCATACTATTGTTGTAGAAAAAATAGAGTGCCGTGTCAGCCGAATGCTGCCGCGGGAGATGCCCCCCGATATGGAGGGGGGGTATTATATTAGAATGAGGTGATTTGCTTTACCTTTCTCAGGAGGTCGGCGGACAGGTACTCGTGGATGCTGAGGGCTCGTCGCTGCTGAGCGATGCCGGGCAGTCGGACAGAGGGGGTGGCGTTGCGCTGCAAAGGGAGAGCAGAAGCTCAAGCGTTAGAAGCTGCTGTCAAGATGCAACATCAAGGAGGGGCGGGTTTTTTTATATCGGCCAAGGGGGGGTAAAAAGAGAGCAACTTTTGCGACGTTTTGCGTACCTTTGCGGCACTGAGCGCCGACGCCGCCGCGCGGCTACGGCCAATGTTGAACATTGCGATGAAGGGGCTGGCGGCTGCCAAATTGAGTGGAGAGAGACGGTGAGGAGGGAGATGGAGGGAGTTCGTGATGAGTTGTAGTTTTTTTTTTTTTTGGCGGTTTGATATGCTCAAAGACGCACAGCTCTCAATGCGGAAACCGATTTCCTGGCTTGTTCGGCCTAAGCTGTGACGGGGGTACCCGAGTTTCGCCGACTGGTGCGGAAAATCGTTGCGCCGGGGCGAGACAGCTGCCGAAGAGCCCTGTCAAGCGCTGTCAGGTGCCAGCGATGTACCGGAGTACGTTGATATAGTATGGGAGGGCGCGGGGCCAGCTTAGTAGCGGTACTTGTTCCTCGTGAGCCAATTGGCGGTGCGTGGGGGGGCCATGCGTGAGGCTTTTGATCTTTTGACTGCCGCATCATGTGGCTGTTCCGCCGCCCTCCGAGCCGAATTGAGGCGCAACTTTGTATCATAGCCAGGATCCGGGACGCTGTTTTGCAGCTGTTTTGCACTCAATGCTTCTACTTGCTGTCTGATCCACTAAATGGCCTCTCCGGAAGACTTGTGCTCTTTACGAATTACGTGGGAGTTGGGACTGTATAACTTATATCGACTGCCCAGCAAGAGACGGGCCTCTTTCTGTCCGTCAATCCACATCACATCTCTCACCGTATCTCTCTTCACCTCGTGCATTGATCCATCCAATCCATGCAAGGCTTCAAGATCTCATGCACGGACGCCCATCACACACATACCGGCATCTCATTGCATCGCATCGCAGCTGACATCCAACACATCTACCTAATCTATACACCCACTGCTGCCCATGCACCCAACTTCCATTCCAAGTCACAGTTTAAATCCTCCCAACATTGATATCACTTTAACAATTCCCCAACACTAATAATAATAAATGAATACTACACACACTCCGGACTTTGATGCACTGCAGGTAATCAATAAACATTCCCAATCTAGATTCAATACTTCCTCCCCAGCCCCCTCCCTTACACTGTGCTCGTAAGCCAGCCATTCGCAGTCGAGCCTCAACCAAATGGCTTGCAGCTGCTAGTCTAGTTCACACTCCAATTCGGGCAATTTCGCCCAGCCCAGCTAATAAAGTCCGCCCTCTCCTTTTTTTATGTACCTTCTTTTCCTTTTCCCCTGCTCCCAGCTGGGCCTCGTTTGTCGTATTTCCCCGTATCATCGCTCGCCATTTGCTACAAGGGTCGTGATTCCTGCATTTGCTGCTAGTTTCTTTCTGTTCTTTTCAGCGCGCCACCGTGTTAAAATGGCTGCCTTTTTGGATCGATGCGGCCCGGCTCGCTCTGTGACCTATCGCGTCAAAGTCCGTGGATTTTTCACTAAACAAGGTTGCGGATGTAGATCTAGAATAGTATGCTCGGGTTACAAGTAGAATGCGGTTTCTCGTGGGACTTGGAATAAGAAGCAGCCGAGCCCGCTTCCGTTGCAAGTAAAGCGGCTCTCTCACCTGTTAGCCGCGACTCTCGATTTCGTTCTTGTGTTGTTTGTTTGCTGCTTTGCTTCAAGCTGGCATGTGGCTGTTGCTTGCCGCCCTCTACGGCATTTGGCATTAAGATCCTTCCCATCCAACGGCATTAAAACTGCTAGGTTAAAAGCAAGAGGCCGTCACTTCCCACGTCACAGCTTTCGCCTTATTGGCCATAGCTCGTCTCATCTGCCCTGTTGAATCCTGCGTTGGGATCAAGTTCGCGGCTTCCTGCATATAGGGCCAATTTCGGTGTAATCCCGCCTTGTCTTCTCTGTCTACTTTACCATCGTCGCCCCAGTTACACGCTCAGCCATGTTGCTCTCAAGTCTACAGTCCGCGAGTTTCACCATGGTGGTCAGCTTCGGGCTTGCTTTTGTAACGATCCTCACTGTGCTCGTGTGGCTCCGGCATCTTGCTTCGGATATCAGAATCAGGAAACTCGGCGGTGTGAGGGCACCGATCCTGGCGGGGAACTTGCTATCAGGTAATTAATTGGCCTCCGTAACATTTATTTTGTTCTCCACCTGATCATCAGCACAGCTTCCAAGTTATACTACGAGATTGGTAGGAATCAATACAATAACAACCTTGTCGCTTGGTGTACAGCGCAGCTGGATAACCTGCCCCCCGGAAAGAGAACATTTGCCGAGTTCAGCTTGACCGGATCCAAGAGGGTCCTCATCACAAGGGATCCGGAGCAGATCAAGGCGATTTTAGCCACGAATATCTCCAGCTTCGGCCATGGGCCCATGTGGCATAAGCTATGGCGCCCCTTTCTGGGAGACGGCATCTTTGCTGTAGACGGACAGCTTTGGCACGACAGCCGCGCCATGATCAAGCCCATGTTTGTCAGGGACAGGCTGCGCAATCTCGCCATTTTTGATGCCTGCACCAACAAGCTGCTATCAAAGATTCCCTCTGCGGGAGTCACTGTCGACCTTAAGGACCTCTTCTACCGTTGGTCGATGGACACGACGACGGAATTTCTGCTTGGGGAGAATGTCAACAGCTTGGATTTGTAAGAATTGTTGATTCCTTATTTGGTGTATAAAGTAGAATACTAATATCAGCTTCTCCAGCCCCGACAACGACGTCTTGAATGCCATGCATGTTGCACAGCGGATCCAAATGTTTATCTTTGTTCTCAAGTGAGTATATCCATCAGTCTTGCGCCAAATAGGATTTGAACTGTGTGCTGAAAAGCTGTTTCCAGCCCCATCACGCCGTTGATCCCAAAAGGTGACTATCACCGAGCCATTAGGAAGTTAGAAGAGTTCATTGAGCCGGCCATTGCTCGAACCCTGGCCATCCCTCAAGCTCGACTTGAAGAGCTCTCCAAACTGGACATGGAATTTTCATTTTTGCATAGCATCGCACGCTACACCAGGGATCCCAAAGTCATCCGAGATCAAATCATGTCCGTACTCCTGGCCGGAAGAGACACCACGGCGGCAACTATGTCGTGGGCAATGTACGAGCTGTCCAACTATCCTAAGCTTTGGGCTAGGTTGCGCAGAGAGGTCCTCAACGAGCTAGGGAGCTATGGAACGCCAACATACGAGGCACTCAAAGATCTAACATATGTCAAAAACATCCTCAACGAGACCCTTCGGCTTCATCCGGCCGCTCCTCTCAACATGCGCTCAGTACTGGAGACGACAACCATCCCGGGCCGACCAGGCGAGCCGGGCGTTGTGCTGCTCAAGGGAGACAGTGTAACGATAAACACGCTTGGGATGCACATGTACGCAGACTTGTACCCTCCTGTGTCTGATACGTTTGCAGATCCCAGGATATTCAGCCCCGAGAGATGGGAGCACTGGACGCCCAAGCCCTGGACGTATGCTCCGTTTTCTGGCGGGCCAAGGATATGCGCCGGGCAGAACTTTGCTCTGACGGAAATGGCGTTTTGCTGTGAGTTGCAGAAGATGATTATGATAACCAATACCTCTCTTGTATGTATGCATCCACTGACTGTTTATCTGTTCTAGTGGTCCGCCTGGCTCAGCGATTCGAGAGCATCGAGTATCGTGGTGATTGGGCGGCTCAGAGGCTGCGGGCAGACATCATCGGGACGCCAGCATTGGGAGTTCACGTGGCTTTGTATGAGCCCGGTGAGAGGCCAGATTTGCGGTTCAAACATTAAACGTTATGCCAATTAAGAGGTTTATGCTATATACCACTGCAGTTTATATTTTCTATACCCATACCCATATATTAGTTACGCCATGAAGAGCAATACAATACAAAAAATACCATATAACGCCTTTAGCAGTGCCATGTACCCATATGTTACTCAAACCCAGACCACACCGTCCCTAGCACCCTTCCCTTATCGTCGAGCCTCACTCCTTCGCCTCTCAACAAGCTCTTCTTCTCCGTAATCGTAATCCCTTCCCCATCCTTGGGCCAGCTCCCCTTGAACCCGCCCAGCGTCCCTCCCGTCGCCACCACGCGATGACACGGCACGTCTGGCGCGAACGGGTTCCTCCGCAGCGCATTGCCCACGGCCCGCGGCGACGTGCCCAAGTGCGCCGACAGCAGGCCGTACGTGGTCACTCTGCCGCGCGGGATCTGGCAGAGGGCTGTCCAGACGCGCTTCTCGAAGGGGGTGCGTTGGCTTTGGGCGATGCGGAGAAGTTGGGGCTGCATTTCTGCTGGGACGTGGATGGTGGTGGATGTGGATGTGCTCTTGGGTTGCTTTGTGGGTTTTCGGACTTTGTTGATTGAAGATTTCATTGTTGTGGTTTTTGTTGGTTTGCTGAGTTTTTGGATGGTGGGTGCCATGGGAAGAGTGTTGATGGTTTGTGTTGTGTGTGCGTGTAAGTGATGAATGGTGATGATGAGTGTCTGTAAGTCGTGCGTAGTTGTGCGTGTAAGTCTTGGTGTAGTAGAAACAGTACTTTGTTTGTTCTAATGTTTTATTCTTCAAATACGAATGATTGATGTTTGAAATGAGATGAATCCGAGTCAGGGTGGTTTTCAAGGGAATTTATATACGTCCACGGGCGAATTCGGTATTTCTAATTAACTGTTGTCGCAACACGCAATAGTTTGTTGGCGTCGCGATATTGAAAGCAACACTCGGCGCCAGGTCACGTGGCGTTGCTTAGGAAGTGCGATGACATCAGCGGAAGGGCGCTCAGTACATGAGTGGAATCAAAATTAGCAAAATTATGTTGCGATGAATATGGCGTAAAGGTTCTCACAATGGAATTCTTGTAATGTAATTCAATTTGACATTATAAATTCACATTGAATCTACTAGGCTTTTTATTGCATAGTATGCAGCCAAAAGCCTAATCTGCGTCCACGAGCTTAATAACAGGTATTGTCTATTTCAGTTCCATCACCACGAGGGCTAAAATTATTCAGAGTAGTAAAATCAACATTTATACGATCAATGGCCGCATGTGCCTCTAACCTAACGCCGGTGTCATGCCCCTATAGTGCTATTGCCTCTTTGCTCCGTGCTCGTAACGTACTTGTATCGGCACCATTATAATCAAACCCTTTCGTGGATTGGGCTGGGGCAAATCTAATTCAGAGACTTGCCTCGCCCTGATATTCTTTCTCTCTAGTCGTCATCGTACAATCTCTTCGTATATCGGCCTTGGTGGTATTCTCATGAGCCGTGGCCTTTGTCTTGTTCCTTTGTAGCTTAACAAGCGTCTTAGACCATAAATGACTCTCCGCAGCCGCATTGCTCCTCTGCTGCTGGTTAGTCCCTGAATTTCGTAGAAATATACAGTCAATGAATCGACATGACGGGATAGCACGTACTGATATTGGGGTTCTTAAACACAAACTTCTGGCTCAGTTTATCTTCCGCCCAGTCCATTTCGCTGCCGATGATGCTGAAGAGCGCCTTGCTGTCAATCAAGACCTTGACGCCGTCTTGCTCTACCAGTTCATCGAAAGCGCCTGGCTTGTCGACGTATTCCAGCTGGTATGCCAGCCCACTGCAGCCTCGGTTCCGTACACCGACCTTGATGAGCTTCGGGTCGGGCTGGTTGAGCAGGGCGCGCAGCTGCTCCACAGCGGCGGGTGTGAGCTTCATGGCTGCCTTGCGCGCGCGGAGCTTGGAACGAGGTCGAGCAGAGGGAGCGGGTTGTGTCTTTGGCGCATCGGTCTCGGTGGCTTTGGGAGATGGAGGGACTGAGGAGGTCGTTGGAGAAGGCGACTGAGCTTCAACCTGCGGTGGGGCCATCGGCTTGGGTACGGCATCATGTTGAGGCGGCGGCCGTGTCTCGTGGACGCGAGGAAGGGCCTCTGGCTGGGCAAGGGATGACTTGGAGAGGCTGTCGCTTGTGGGAGGCTCGGGGATTTTGGACGGCAGCGGATAGGAGTGGTAAGCAAAGCCGGCCACTCTGGATGCGCACAGGTGGCGGAATGACGAGCGGCTGAGGCGCAGCGCAGCGCGGCCGGTAGAGAAGGAGACATTCATCATTGTATCATAAAGATGCTGCCCGAATGTGCATGCTTGGGCTTGGGGAGTTGTGGAAAAGGATTGGGATCCGGAGGTTTCAAGGTGGGGAGGGTAGATGCGGATGTTTGAAATCAATTTCTCGGCTCAGCTCAGGAACCCTGAACGATTATGACATGATCTTTTTGCCGTCGTGTACCGCCATGCTTTGTGCCCGCAGAGCGTCGGCCGAGCCAATCGGCGTCCGAGAATTAGTCAGTGGCTGAGGGAAAATGTCGGAATAGCCATTTTTGGTTTGCCGCTACGTACCTTTGCGTGGCAAATGACTAAGGCACTAACAGAGCTTTGACAGCTACAAGCTACGAGGCAGGATTGCTATGTGATAGAAGCGCATCTAAATTGAAGCATTGAAGTTGCAGTTGACTCTATTAAATAGGTTTCTAGGTGTGAGGCATCACCGAAATTATTGGATGTCTTTGTAGACGTGATTCGGCTGTTTCAAAACGGGTTGAGTTCATTTTCTCATAAACCCTTTGGGGTGTTCTCCTTAACATGTCCAAATCTACCAACTGCAAGCGACAAGATCGAGCTGAGATACAGTATATGCTTGATAACCTTAAAAAGCAGATGGAGTGGGTGGAGCGTACAAATCCAGCGAGCAACCTAGGTCTTTTGATTGGAAAGGATCACTATCAAGACCGCTGCTTGAACTCAATTGTCTATTATTATCACCCATTGCCGGGTAGGAGAAAGCAAGTAGACGAAACCTCCAAGACAGAGGCTCGAAGCAAACTACATGCGTCTGTATCTGATATTACCCCAGAGTAATCCATAATAGAGAGTCTATAGGTGTGCTATTGTTGCCCTGGAAATCGAGTATAACATAGGCTCAATGGGTTGAACCGGTGAGCAATTGTGGAAATTGCTCACTGCCACTAAATGCTGCAAGGGCGCCGAAAGGAGTATTTCCCGACGACATGCAGGTGCAAGAGGCTGGCTGAAAATGAACAAGCACAACCAAAAAGCACAACAAAAGACGCCCAAACGCCCTGCGATGAGCCCGAGAAAAATAAGCTGCATATAGTCTAATATCCACCTCGATCTCATTCAGTCATGATCGACACGCCCCAGCCACGTCATATGCAGCTGCATTGGCAATTGCATGGATACGAAAGTAACCATCACGATGCCATCAATGGCCTAAACACCGAGATGGCCGGGGAGAGATTGAGTTTATCCTCTTTCAACTGTGAATACGACGCTGTCATGTACTTACCCCTGCCGCTAGCTCTGCCCAGGTGCATTTCAGCTTTGTAGCTCCCAACGGTAATGCTGGTTAGCGGTGCTTTTTTGTTGTCTCTGCCTGCGACTCAGCTGGTTTATTGCATGGCAGCTTTGCCCTTTTCCATCTTGAGACATAGGACGAGTGGAAATTACGGTGGGAAAATCGGCAAATGAGGTCTTCGTAATGAGATCATGGCCACATAGACTACAGTTTGGTCTTCTACAGTCCCAGTACTATCATACAGGTAACAGTGCTGCGATGAGAGTATAAATAGAGATGTAATAGTTGGTAGAACAATTCTTGTCAACTCTGTCTTCACTTTCAGTTCATCAGTCTACTAGCTCTATCAACCAACAGCTTTCACAATTGCCATGTCTGTACACAAGACACTGGTTCAGGCCCTCGTGGCATCAGCCGCGATGGCTGGTGTTGGCAACGCTCATGCCATCGCCGTCCCTGCCGGCCAGCTAGATGCCCGCACATATCCGACTCCCACCTGTGACCCAAGCCAAACAGTAACACAGACAGAGACCAAGACAGTCACATCGTGGAAGGCCCTGTTGACGATTACTCTGGGCGGAGGCACCAAGACGGAGACCAAGACAGAGATCTGTACAGTCACCGACACGGAGACGGTCACCCAGACAGAAACGTCTACCACTACCACCACTGTCACTCCCACAATTACACCCCCAAGCTGCCCGACACAGTGTCCACCTCCCCCATCGTGTAACAACCTTGGGTTTGACTGGGCGTACTACAATAACTCGGCTCGTAATACCGACACGACATACTCTACCTTCCATCCAGACTCTTACAAGAAGACAACCCCCATTTATGTCGGCACAACTTCATATGTTGGCGGTCTTTATCAGGACACTGGGACAGCTGGCCCCATCTACGATTCCAGCAGAAACTTTAATCTTGACTTCTTTGCCCTGAACCACCACGCCTACATCTACGCCTGCGAGGCCGGCACATATAGCGTCGACATCCCCTATGCAAACGACGCTGTTTATCTATGGACCGGTGCAAACGCCTACTCTGGCTGGACAGACGATAATGCTGTTGCAAAGGCCCGTTACGATCAACCAGACCATATCGCCGGCAAAGCTAGCTACAAATTCGACATCCCGGCCAATACGTATGTGCCCATCCGCTTCTTCTATGGACAGGCGCAGTATGGCGGAGGTTTCAACTTCAACATTACGGCTCCGAGCGGACAAGTCATTGTGAGCAATCAGGAAACGTTTAGCCCGTATGTTGTGCGATATTCGTGTGATGGGACTACGGCGCCCCCGTTTCCGGCATTTGGAAAGGAAACTTGATTAAGTCTGTCACATCTTTAGGGGAAGGTATCACGGGATATACTGGACGTATTATGTCGAGTCTATACCTTAAATAAAATATTATCACGTATTCACTGAGTATACACTTTGCTTCTAATGTCTATGTAATAAATTTACGGATCATCTATAGGCTGTGAAATATATGTAAATGAGTTTCTTGAGCCAGAATACTCAATGTTGTATGTTAGGTACTTGGTCAATTGGCGGTCAATTCTTTAAATCTACAATCTTTTTCCAAATACAGCTACAATTACTAATTACCTTGCTGAGCACCGCGCCGGAAAGGATCTCGGTACATAAAACTTTCCGACGTATATATGTATATATAACAACATAAAAGATCAGCTGGAGCGAGGAGGCTCGAATACCTGCTAAACTTTACGCTACATGCCCCTACGTCATTGCTGTACTACGACGTGGAGTGAGTTGTTAAATTGCTACTTACTAAATGTCTTGCTCCTTCTAACTGTCTGGTCAATTGCGGGAAAGTATGAAAAGTCTTCCCATAACAGGGAGCCTCGACAAGTCTGCACCGGAACATGCCTCCAAGAGACCAGTCAAAGATTTTTACTTGGGAATTCCCGCTTTTCAGACGGGCATCATGCAACACATACTGTCGATCTGGTCCATCAATATGTCGGAAGTGAAAGCCAATCGCATCCTCCTTGAAGTCACGATTGAAGTGACATAGCATCCCCACCCTGCAGCTCATTTCAAACTGCTTAAAGGTCGGTCAATAACTGCATTAGGTACCTACAGTGGTCGACCACCGTCTGTGGCTGAGTCATCGGAAGAGGAGGGACCGCGTCACCACTCTTTCTCTTCTTGGTCGACTTGGTGAGTGGGCGATACTCGCGGTATCTTTGGGTGAAGTCGGCGACCCCCAGCGAAATGAACTCTTTCTGGAGGCGGCCTTGGAGGACCTTCGGTTCCTTGTTTTCGTAGAGAGCCATGAGGAAGATGTATTTTTGCCCAGCTGGCTTGGACGTCACAATCCTTGTAGACTTGGTGGTTGCTTGGGGCTTTGAGAGCTGCTCCTTTGACGATGAAAGATTCGCTCTGGAGCAGATCGTTGTATTCCTCCTGATCTGCGGCAGTCATATTGGTCGCCTGCTTCCAGTAGGTAGATGTTGGTAGTATATGCCCGTTGAGGCTTCTTCCCCCGTGGCTGTGGCTGTGGCTGTGGCTGTAGCTCTGATGGTACCAGCCGGACATGTCGCGTGGCGGGCGGTGATGGCTGTGATGGCTGATCCAGCCACACAAAGACACTGTCACTGAAAGCATTCATTTTAGTTTCACATTAGTATATCGAGTCTTTTCTTCTCTTGCTAAGGTAGTAGATGCCCGGTTCCTGGAGCATCTGCTACTATGGCCATCTTTCTCTAGTATCTGCCATTATCGCTATATTTTTCTAGTACCTGCTACATCCTATCCCTGCATTACTTTACATGTGGTATCTGCCACTATGTACATTGAGAGGGCCTTCAGAGTTTCGACGGACTGCCTGCGTATCTCTTCCAGGGTATAGTGCCCACCTCTAAACAGCTCGGAGAAGGTGCCATTATTGTTGACAAACATCTTTAGGGGGATCAGATTGCCGCGGACTAAGAGAGAATGGTGCAGGATAGTCTGCCGGCCTGTGACGCTTCCCAAAGGTTCCATCTTGAATTCATTGCCTTCGAATGAGGCGCTGGCAACGTGAGCGAGGGTGTTGGGGTTGTCTCCTCTTCGTGCAGGCTTTAGGAAGGCAGCTCCATGCATGTATGAGGACCAGCCAACATACGCGCCCTCGACCACCGGGTCAGGTCTGATTGTCGGGCGGGGTCCCTCACGCTCGTCTTCCCTCTGTGAGTCCCATTCGGATGTAGCTTAGGACCATATGCTCCTCTAGTGTCTGGTAGTTTTCACTAGGCAGCTCCAAGTTTGAGACCCGATCGCTGAATAGCCGCTCCCTATATTAGTCGATGGATAGTAAGAACTCCAGTTCCCTACGTAATATTTCTGATGGATGCACTCTGCCCTGTCAGACAAGCTTTGATGCCCTGTCAGATCCAGATCTCGAGTGGGCTTCAGGCACCAATTTGCCCGATACAGCAAACCACGTTGCGGGCGGCGTCTTATTCAGTGGAGCGCACTACGTCGGATCCAGCAACATAAGCCTCTGGAACCGCCTAGCGCAGCCCTTGGCCAGGCACCCGGTCCCTTAAGTTTCCATCCTTCATCCATCCTCGATCAGCAGAGGCATCAAGGCATCGGCGCCATCAAGCATTGCATCTCCACAAAGTCTCGGCAGTCATGGATGAGGAGGACTTTAACATAGACGACTGGGAGTTCGCACGTCCCCTCCCCGCATCCCCGGGGGGCACCGTCCCCAGTATTAGTATTCCACCGGAATTGAGACCGGGTGCGTGCGTCGTCAGTCTGGAGAAATGGTGCAGAGCTTGTGGGGAGCCGATGAACAGTGGAGAGTCGTTTGTATCTGGTAAGTTGAACCAACTGTTCTGTTCCCCTCTCCCATGTCCGTTGGTTGGTGGGGGTTTTTCGCTGATCGGCTGAATGCAGTCTTCCTGGATGAGAAAGATGGCGACGTCAGAGTCGTTTCCTCGCAAGAATATCCGGCTCATGAAGACGAAGACGAAGACGAAGATGATGGGTCTGACATGCGGGCGGTTCGTAGACCTTTCTTCAACTGGGATCCCTTTGGTACGCGTGTTAAGCCCAACCACCTCGAGAGTGCCACGCTACACACTGAGTGTTTTAATCTGTTCCGACGCAACTGCCCAGATGACCAGGTGGCGCCCCGGCTGTTGCTTGCGGGACGCTGGAGAAGCCCTTGGGAGGGTGCGCCGAAATTCATATTGACCGTCAAATCTGATGTTACTAGTTTGATACGGCTGGCGGCGATAGCATGCAATCTACCGCAGTTGGAACTGATGCCGATGGAGCTCAAGCGCCTGGTGTTTGAAGAGTTGATCACCCAGCCATGCGCTCTTACTCGCTATTACTCTGTTGTATCGCTAGCTTCTGATTCGAGCCGCCGGCCTTTGGATGAGCAATTCACAATGCCCATTGCCAAGGTTGCTCATTGGGAGCGAGGCCAAGGCCCGGCGAAGGAGGAGGAAGTTCTTCCGCCTGTCATTCGAATCATCATTGACTCTCAGGGAATCAGTCGCATCGAGAGGCTTGCGAAAAGGCCCGAAGCGCTTTCACAGCCATCGGATACTGAATTGTATATTGTGGAGAGTCAAGAAACGCTAAAGCACGTTCAGGTGCAATTTCAGGTAACTCACTAATAACCGCCCCAGATCAACTATGCTTGTCACCTTTCAGGCTAACGACCATACAATATAGTCAGGATTAGCGCGCCTAAGACACTGGGGAGATGGAAAAGCATTATCTCTTCTTCCCTGGGATACACCCTCACCTCCGGTTGTAGAGCATTTGCTAAGCCCAACAGCCGGGCGGCCCAGTCATGCCAGTGTCATGCAATTTGCAACCATTGACGGGTCAAAGATATCAGGAATTACATTTTTCTTGACCTGGGCAAATCACTATGCTTCACCTAGGCCGGCAGGGCCCCAGTTCTTTATGCATGCGCACACACCCAAGGAACCTTCTGCCAGGTCAACATTCGATAAGCTCCTCTACCCACAAGACTGGGCTGGGGTTTGGAACTATGTGCCGTTTTCACATAACGACCGATTGATTTGTTTTGGGATTGAACACGAATCCGACACGAATCTCAAGGTCTTGGTACGGATCTATGCTTCTATTAGCGTCTTATTGTCTAGTCTAACTTGTTGCAGTTTCGATTTGAGAAGGCCGGCGATGTTATGGTTGGCATCCAGTATGACCGGTATCCCAACCGCACCCAGACGGTGTGGGCGGCAAGCACCAAACTGCAGCTTATTTGCGGTCTATCACAGTCCGGCAGCGTTATCACACTGGACGCAGAAGCCGATGGGAACCAAACACCAGACCGGCCTTTCAGACTGCCCTTTAGGCAGACTGTGGTGCCATATAGTCACGGAGGATGCTTGTCGTGGGCACCGCTGGAGCACGTTGCACGTCTTCGACTTTTCACGGACGAAGATGCTGGCATCTGCCGAGGCCTTTTGCTAGAATATGAAGACGGTGGGCAAAGAGCTGTTGGAGAGTGCCGAGTTGGCCTTGATGTAGAGCGGGCCTATGAGAGGCCCGTAGGCCTTTGCATTGGGCGGAAGTCGGGCTTTTCCCGCTGGAGTATTAGAGTCAGAGTTGATGGGCAAGCGGAGCACATGCACTCGGAAAGGAATTGGCAATGTTACCCAATGCGCGGCACGCTTGTTTCTTGGCAGAAGCGAGGGTTTTCTACGCTCAAAGTTGTTGTTGATGATGATGATGCCGGTGTTGGTGGCGGTGGCGCTGCTGCTGCTGCTGCTGACGATGGTGTTGATGATGATGATATGACATTTTAGAATCATTTGTTTGGTTTTGTATGTGAATGGCACAAGATTGGCATGTCACAATGTTGGATTATAGATGGATATTGGCAACAGGATAAATTGACATTTCTTTGATGGACAATGTATTGCTTGATTACTATTAAGTCGAATAGTAGATGTTCATTTGCAAGTAAAACAGAGTTACACGGCAACTTACAAACTCAGTACCTGATGCATACCCAAGTTGTTTGCGTCACAACTCTCAACATGGTCGACATCCAAAGGTCTCAACTCTGTACTTACATGTCCGCCACTACGGCATTCAGCAACAGAAACAGGCACTTTGGCCGAGTGTAAATAACCAGGATAACATACAAATTCTGTGTCCCGCAGCCCTTCCTACAACAATAATTGGACTTGGATATGTCAAGGCTTCCAAACTCTGTACTTGGTACGTACCCGCCTACCCGCGTACCTGCCTCTTGTACTGCCACAACTCAACACCAACAGTTGGTCAACCCTGTATGTAGACAACTAACATCACCACACTTCAACAACAAACAACAAGAAAAAGGCACTTTGGCCGAGTGGTCTAAGGCGCCGTGTTCAGGATTTATCTTGCTTCGCGGTCTAGTAATAGGCGAGGGTTCGAATCCCTCAGGTGTCATTCTTTTTGCTGGTTTCTCTTGTTGTCCAACCCCCTTTACCGAACAGAGTACAAGTTGCGAATGGCGGAGCAGAAGTTTTTCTGTTTTGGCGTCGGGTGTTTTTCTTGTCTCGTCTTTTTTGTGGTTGACATTCTTGCGCCCACTCTCTGCTTACATTCCCCTTGCTTGGTGGGGGGTTCGTGGGACGCTGGAAATTGCGAGTAATTGTTTTTGTCACACTGTCTCCTTTTTTGCTATCCTGCGAAACATTCTTTTTTGCACGTTATCAATGGACAGTCGAGTCACTTTGCAATATTACAACTTTCATAGATAGAGGCGAAAAACAAAATGGCACGAAAGCGGCGAACTTTGCACATCTTCCCACAGGAACCCCCAAAAAATCCAACGTCCCTAATACGGAGTGAGCACGGAGTACGGAGTAAANAAAAAAAAAAAAAAAAAAAAAAAAAAAAAAAAAGAAATCCCACAAAAGATGACCGCTACCGTAGAAAGTACCAAGGTACCTCGCTATATCCGACAGTGCGGCCGGGCGGTGCCGTCTTGGCCACGTTCCCATCGGCACCTCGCCGGCAATTCCTCCTTGGCTTACGCACAAGTTTGATTTTTTGGCGCGGATTTTCGGACAATTTTCTCGATTTTTTTTTTCTTTGGCGCTACGGAGATAAAACTGGGTATAAAACCTTAGCACGCTCGGGTATTTCGATCTACGGCGTGTGAAAACACAGGCACAATTCTAGGCCCTTTTTTTTTTCAGTTTCTCAAAGAATAAAAAGGCTACTATAGTTCTCCGTAATCGGCTGCCTACGAGTGGTAGAATGAATCATCTCTTCCCGAGAAAAAAAAGAGTCCAGAATCGTCGTCTGATGATCCGAGTGGACCCCCAGCCCGTGAAAGTGGCGTGGCGCTATTTTATACGACAACGTTAACAAGAAGAGAAAAATTATGCATGGAAGAATTCGAGAAAGGCTAGCACACTGGCGTCGAGCTAGGAGAAACCCATGAGCTAATAGGTTTCCACCCAGACAGGAGCAAGAGTCAGGTCATCACAGCTCTCTCTCTCTTATCAGTGGGTATGAACAATGCTTGTAAACATGCTGTGAATATTGATATTTTTGTTTGTAAAAAGTCATTAGAATACATTAAACGCGTGGTATCTACATCCGCTCCATTACTGTACACTATACACAAAACTCCGCCTCTCCGCAATTAGTTAGCATCAGCCTCGGCCTCAACCTCCTTGGTGGGAGGAAGGACGGGCGCCTCGCGGTCGAGCTCGAATGACTCGTCCTCAATCTTGTCGTAGTGGTGGAACAAGGCGAAGAAGACAAAGGCAGTGACGATACTGGCTCCGGCAACACCAGTGTACATCCAGATGAACTCAGGGTCCTTGGACACGGACACCAGGGCCTCGGAGATGGCAGAGCCAAAGGCGTTGGTGAAGAGGTACAAACTCTGGACAAACGACTTCATGCTGGGGGGAGCCTTGGTGTAGGCGTACTCGAGACCGGTGACGGAAATGAAGATTTCAGCCAGACCGACAAAGACGTAGGCAGGAGCCTGAACGGCAATGTGCACGTTGTTGGGCAGAGTCTTGCCATCGACGTTGGCGGCGTCACACTCAAGGGGGCTCTTGTAGCAAGGGCCGGCGTTGTAGATGAGGTGCTGGACAATGGCAGCATAGCCAAGGCACATGGAGATCCAGACGAAACCGAGGGTTATACGGGCAATAGGTCGGATCTTGATGCCAGCCTTGCGCAGGGCGGGGTACACGAGCATCTCGAGGAGGGGGGTGAAGATGAGAATCGAGATGGAATCAAAGTTCTGCATAAAGTCGTTGGGCATGCCGTGGCCGTTCATCTGGCCGGCCTGGGTGACAAAGTTTGTGGAGAATTGACCGTAGCCAACCCAGAAGATGGGGTAAAAGACAAAGACCTTGCAGGCACGGATGGCACGCTTCAGCTCCTCGACGAAGTGGTCGTTCCAGACAACAGGCTTGGTCTTGCCGTGGGCAGCGCGCCATGAAGGCTTGGCGGCATCCATGTTGCGGCTGGCAATCATCATGCCGAGGGCCTTGAAGGCGTCGGTGATGATGGAGCCCTGCGGGGGGTGGATAATGTATGACTTGCGGCGGATGACGAGGATGAAGATGCCCACGTTGAACATGAGGAAGCACATGAGGAAGGCAGTCCAGAAGCCGCAGTACTTTTCCATGAAGGGGGTGGCGATGAGGGAGAGAGAACCTAGGTTGATGCACCAGTAGAAAATCATATAGATGCGCTGGTAGGTAATGGCAGGGTCGATGATGATTCGCTCGCCAGACTTTTCTGTTCGGATAGCCATGGTTCGGCGCTGGTACTGGTCGGCAATCAGGGGGGCGATGTTGGACTTGATACCGCCGGTACCGAAACCAATAATGATAATAGCAACAATGTATCCAGGCAGACCGGCATTGGCAGCGTGCGCCGCAGGCAGAGAAGTCGTCCACAGGATGACGAGACCGACCCAGTAGACACCGCAGAAGAGCATGATGGCCTTGTACTTGCCCAAGTACTGATCAGAGATGATGGCACCGAGAATAGGAGTCACTACACAAGAAAAAATCCTAAGTTAGCAAACGCTCCTCCTCGATGTAGCTGATGGAGGCTCATTGTTTGACATACCATAGCAAAACCATTGGAAGAACAGGTTCAGACCAGTGGCGGCCTGGCCACCCATACCCAGTCCAGGAGCATCGGTGGTGTCGCTCTTGTCGTTGCTAATGTAGTTTTGGAAAAGACCCGAGGCACCGTAGTAGGTGAAACGCTCCATAAGCTCGACAATGGCGATGAGGAAAGCAGAGGCAGGCAGGTTCTCGCCAACACGGCGCAGCGTCCGCTTCTCAAAGTCATTGGGCTCCTCGCCATCGGCGGTGTTGCCCTCCTCGGCACTCTCCGGTGAGGAGCTAAAGTCCTTCTTCTCATCAGGGTCGGAAGCAATGAAGCCTCCGGCGAGATCGCGAGTCTCGCCGTGGGGGACACGCTCGTTGAACTCCTCGTGGAGCCTGTCAAGGAAAGATGTGTAAGTACAAGGCTAGACGGTGAGAAATAGGAGAAGAAGATGAAGAAGAAAGAATCTTCAGTCCCTCCATAGAGACATACTCAGCAACGGTATCTTCGTGGTTGTTGGCCATGATTGCAATCTGACTATTCGTCTGCACCTCTACTGTTCCAAACCCAAGGCAGGCCCTTTCAAGAAACGACAAGACCAGCCAGGAAGTGAGCAAAGGAAGAACAAGAGGAGAAGGAGAAGAGTAAACCGCGCAGACGAGGGTGGGATGCCACGATTTAAAGGATTTTGGGGCACTCCAGTCTCCAACAGTCCACTCTCTCCAGTCTCCAGTCTTCAGATACAACGTTGTCCGCCACCCAGCTTTCGCAGTCTCAGGACGGGGACGAGAGAGATACAGAGCTGCCCCCCAACTTCTTTTGGCCCTAGCCAGGCCGCGGTCGTCTCGCTTCGTGCTTCTTCCCCACGGGCCAGTCCATGTAGTTTTAATTTCCAGCAAGCCTGTACACCCACGCGGCGAGGGCGCTGACTTTGGCAGTTATCCGAGACCGTCAATCGTCATAGGAAGAGACAGAGGCTGTGATTCGTGTAACTGAGATGCGGTCCCTCGCCATCAGCCCCATTGAACGGCAAAGACCTGGTTGAGCTAGGCCACAAGCAGCCGGCTGGTGGTCAGGGGCCTCCCTTGCTCCGTTTGTCTTTTGCCTTTTTCCTTGTCTGTGGTTGATTCTCTCTCAGATCGAGGTCCACAGCCTAAAGGCCCGAAACGAGCAGGAGGGCCACGCGAGTTGCCCGCCAAGAAAAAAAGCCATGCCTGGCAACTCCGTGGCCGCCGCTGCTTCCAAGCCACCGGCATGTGGCGTGCCGATTAGTTAGAAGTTAGGAACATTTGCGGGTCGGGGTTCATCGTCGCTGCTTGTTGGATGGAAATTGGCCGGAGATGCAGTTGAACGGTTCGTTGTGTGTTCTAGCAGTCTAAGGATAGCGGCTTGTAGGGCCTGATGCACCGACGCAAAGGCTTGCAGATAGTGGCCCAGGGCATTTGCCTAGCGCCGCCAGGGGCCACTTGCCTGGGGCGAATCAGCGCGCGGAGGGGGCGACCGAGATGCGCGTTTTTGGAAGAGCGCAGCCACTGGCCTGGGAAGGTGCCGGCAAGGGAATAAAAGAACCGAACCTTGAAGCATGCACAAAACTCAATCCTCAATAAGCGTAACCGCGATGCCGAGTTCGCAGCAAGCAGGTTTTTTCTTTTTTCCCCGGCCGTGGCATGATTCGTGGACCTTTGACGACTCGCCAGGGCTCTCACGTGTCAACCTGGTGCTTGTCTTGACCACAGACGGGAGGTGGGAAGTTGATGTCGCACGACCAGCGACTCGAATGGACTTGAATGGACTGGTACTTGTGTGTCGACAGGTTGCATTCGATTCGGGGCCGGCAAATGGTACAGTAGGTCAGGTCAGGGGACGGGAGTATTTACAAGTACCGTCGGGCTAGCACCAGCACTGCCGGTACGAGCCATGCGCTCAAACAGCGCTATAGAAGGCGCCAGGCGCTACTGTACGGAAGCATGTGCGAGTACATACGAGTACAGCAGAAACAATTTGGATCAATCCATGGAAGACGGAATCGGAAAAGAATCCATTTGATTCATTGTGCACTATGCCCTTCGTGGCCGCCTCAGCACCTCTGTCGGGCAAGGAAGCCGAAGGGCGATTAACCTGATCAGTTCAGGCCATGCAAATCGTCATCAGCAATGACCATAATACGAGCACTGCGGGCATAAACGGCTCGAAATGAGGCTCAAGATGAGACACCCGACGTCGACTGCACTGCAATGTCCGGCCTTCAGCTCAGCTCAGGCGGCAACCTAGGCATTGAGGCGCCATGCTATGCGCTTTGACGCGCGCAGACCGCCAGAGTCCTCGAGTCATTCATTTGGCGATGCCTCGGGCGGCGATGTGCCGACCATGTAGGGAGTACCACAAGCGTCGTGTGTGTTTAGCGTGCTATGCAGGTACCGTGTACGTACGACAAGCCCGTGCTAGGGCAGGCTGACTGCCAGCTCAGCCGTCTCGTCAACTCCGTTCCGCCTGTGACTGACACAATGCCTCTCACTCTTGCTCTTAGCCTTCCTCACCATCCAACCGCACCACCATTGCTAATCCCTCAGTTCAGGCGCCTATTTCTGTCTTGGTGGCGCGAGCACGAGCATTTACCTGCTACGGATTGCCTAGCGTCAGGTACAAGTGCCTGCCATTATGCAAGCTGCATGTGAAGAATCTGATGATGTGCCAACTTGGATTGTTTAACAGCGGCACATCTACTGCACGAAATACCAATGCTTGCAATCATTCTTCTAGAACACAGTGGCAAATTGACTACATACATTCTTGTACAGCAGTGTGCGATTGCGGCTGATTATCAGTAGGTGGTCGTCCTTTCGACATCTATACACCAAATCTACACTTCGTATTCAGCGTATCTGCGGCATCAATGGCACCACCTCACACCTGTTGTCATCGAACGGCTAATCGGCGCCCTCGCCAAGGGGCTTGCGGAGAGGCTTGGGGAACTTTTTGACTGACTCCTCCATCTGTGCGCACCCTTCATCACGGCCTCCACACGCGTTGTGCGATGGTGCGGAGGATGGAATTAAGGGTTCTGGGGTTGAATCGCATTATGTACAAGAAACCTCAAGAGAGGGTGAGCTGAGGCTGTATTGGTCAGTTCCCGCAACCCATGTGGGGTGATGTCCTTGCCTCCAGTTGTTTACTTCTGCTACCCTGCCATTGGTGAGAGATGGATTCTCCGTACAGTGGCAGGAAATTGTGGTTCGGAAAACGAAGGGAAGAGTTTTGGCTGAGCTGAGCAGAAGCCAGCGACTTGGAAATGACTGGAGGCGGCATCAATGCTTGCACTCACTAATGTAAGTTTGCACGGACAATTCGGAGATATCCTTCTTCTGGCGCCGAGTTAGCGTCCCGGTCTGAACACTCCGAGACTCCAAACCCTCGACGCAAACTCGCTTTGTCCGACTATCTGGGTGGAACAGGAATATAGTCTAAGAGGACGGGGAGACGGGGAAAAGGGGGTCATGATGGGGTCGAGTGTCATGCTCGGTGCCACTCTGCTGTTAGCTTTATCAACGATTCTTCAATTTTATTACACGTAGTATTGCCTCATCGCAATATTGTAGATATAGTTGGACGATATGACTTGCCGACTGCTGAGACTCATGAGAAAGCCGCAACCAAGTCTCACGAGTGTATCGAAAACATCACGGCGGATGTTAGACGCCGGAGAAAATCCTTTCAATGCCTTCAGCTACGTGCTACGTTACTAGCGACCCTCTGGAAACAAAGTGGCTGAAAAGTTTTCATGCATTGAGCTCAAGTCAAACAGACACTATGCCCCAATAACGAGGAGCTCAATGCTAGAATGGCGCTCAAGACCTGGCTCCCAATTCTGCTACAATCGAGACTTTTACCGAGACATGCTAAGGTTATATTCAACGAGAGTCTCTCCCAAAACGATACTATCAGTATGAGTCAAAACAATTAAGATAAATGGCAAAAGATAGCCTCTTGTTGAATGCCACCTTCGAAACTAATACCGGTATTAGTTTCGTTATTACGGTTACCGAACGGAATACACGGTAGATACTAGACAGACAGCGATGACAATTGCTCTGGATCGAAAATTGATGGCAAAGCAAGAACTTGCCCAGCAGGTACCGAATGACTTGGTTGTTACGAATTGCTTTAATGGGAGACTGAAATGAATCTTGGGAAAGTGGACAAAGCGCAAGGCAGGATCAGACCCCCTTTTCATTTGTCCACCATGATATTTTTGATAAGTCCTTAAACTTGATCTATTACTTTCTAGCTTTTGATCGTTCATCCATCAAGTGAGTGATTCTGCTTCTTGGTCCGTCTTCTTCCGTTCCGTCTCAGATTGTACGGCCTGAGACGGGTAGCTGAAAGAGTTATGGGAGTAGCTCACAAGTCGGTATCACATTTTCAACACCAACGTTTCCGACATGATAGGCTTCGGCATAATACAATCTCGAATGACGAAAGGCGAAAATTGACGACGGCAAAGACACCAGTGCCGGAGCTAGGACAAGCAACAAGGCGCGAGCCACAAGGAGGAGAAGCATCCAGAGTTGGAAAATGAAACTCAGAAGACGACGGCGGCGGCGGCGCTAAATGTGATGAAAAGGATATCAAAAAGGTACAGACTGAGAATTGTCTCGTGTTATTCGACGCTTGACGAAGAAAAGCCTTAATGCTATTCATGAAGCTATAAGAAATCTAGCGTGTATATATTTCACGTGTTCCGTCATTCAGGGAGTTAGACATGAAGTTTCACGAGTACAGTACCCTGATTCGATGTCAGATGTGTGCCTTGAATGTGTAATGATCACTGCCCTTGCATTGGACAGCACTAGACATCTTGGTCGCATAATATTTACGTATCAAGTGCGTCTCATCAAGGAGCCCACTCGCCATTACAACGACTGCCCTACGAACCATAATATTGCAGCGACGGAAATTCTCCATCTCTGGTGAGGGTGCAAAGCCTTCAGAGAAGCCTAAAATTGCTGTGAAGCTCATATCCACGTGGAGGTGGGAACGCAAAGCCTCGAGTGAGGTTGAAAGTGCTGTGAAATGTCGGTTTGGCCTGTCAGAGCCTTCCAGTATAATGTGGGTGGAGTGGGTGTTAATCCAGTTGTACACTTGTTATCTGCCGTAGGAGCTGAGATGCCTTTCACTCGAAGCCACATATCATAAGAAAGCGCGAAAGGAGTAAGGCACATTTGAACTACGCCCACGGTGTGAAAGCTGGCATCATTTCTTCTAAGCGCTTTTGGCCAAGCACAGCTTAAAATTGCATCTTGTCCTGTGGTAATTAGAGGATTATACGGAATGTGTTTACCCCGAGAGAACTTAGGAGATGGAGGACGACATAAGGAGTGCTCTTTATTAGCTAAACGGGTTTGCTTATGATTGCGTTGGCACAACTCAGGTTGCGAAGAGCCTAAAGGGGCCTAGAATTGCTATGAAGGGTGTCTTTGAAGAGTAGCTGCATGCATACCTGTACCTACACCCCTCACAAGCTATTGCAGCAGAGCCGCACAGCCAAGTGGAGGGAATAAGGCCAAGGCCTCAGCAAGCTGAAAAAGGTTGTGAAGAAGTTTGCACCAATTAAATGCCTACTACCGCGACTATTTCTTTTGGCCAGTTTGAGGACACGCTAGGAAGATACTAATCCACAGCCACATGGGAAATATGGAGATCAATCTGAAGCCTTTACTTTGGTGAGGCTAAAAATGCTGTTTATATGCTCCGTCTTCCGATATGCTCCAGGCCGTAAACCTGGCTTACGGATGACCGTTGATGCAGGGCTGAAACACAAGATAGCTAGTAGCATGGAGAGAACGGTATATCTTTATCAATGTCAAAATCGGTATGCTGTATCTTCAGATCTTCGTATTGCCTTATTCGCCTATCCATCCACTTCTCATCAACTCCGATCCCCAGCATCACGCGCCTGGCAAGTAAATGCATTTATAGTACTGTGGCTACAAGGAATCTCGCCAATTAAAGGTCACATCTTTACGCCCACTAAACATCCAGTAGTTTTGAAAGAAAGGGGGAGGTACTTGCCGACCAATTCCCTTCCCCATGATACGCAGTGTGACCTCATTGCGACACAGGGGCAAGGAAGTCACTCGTTGAGGGAGACAAAGAAATGCTCAATGCTGCTGAGAAGAATACCCCCGAGTTTGTTGGTTGCAAGCTCGCTAGTCAAGTTTATGATAGTGTGAAGCACTTGAGAGAGGTTAAGAATGCTGTGAAGGCCGGACGCATGCCACCTGGCAAAAACCCATAGGTCCGCTAAGTATATGTACCGTAGACTACCAATCAAAGTAGCAAGATCAAGGCTTCGGGTGGGCTTAAAAATGCTGTGATGGAAATGGGAGGGCGAGACATGCAGCCATCTCAAGGCTTCACGTGAGTTTAAAAATGCTGTGAAGAGGGTATAAGACACGTCACATATAGCCATCTCTTACAGGACACGCTAAACACACAACCAATCAAAGAAAGCAAGACCGTAATAGTAACAGAGAGCACTATTATTAGACCCCTGAAATAGATCTAAGCCTGCCATACATACTACCCAAATATGTTTAGTAATGGAAATCTAACCTCGCATGAGTTTCCGAAACAGCGCCTAGCATCATACACTGACAGAGGATGAGCTTGTCAGAGCGAATAGATGGGTTTCCAACATCCTGACTGGCTGAGATACTTGCGAGAAAAGTTACGTGTTACATGTAATATGAGTGGAGAAGAGGGGACTTGTGAAACCATATCCCGAGCATGTTTTCTACCTTCGAACCGGATTATTATAAATCGCCTCATAACGCGCTATATCTTCATAACTAAATGAAAATAAATGACACTCGTTGAGATAGACGAGGAGATCTTAGGTGATGTGGAGATGTCACTTAAGCAACTTATCGTATGGCTTATGAATTGGACAGATAATTTACGACGACTCTCTTAATGAGTTGCCTCGCATTACTGAATGTCAGCACCTGAGGCAATATGGCAAAATCTCACGCCTATTGACAAGTCTTGTTGAAAATATCATATAATCATATATTTAACTATTCTTGGGTATCATTATTTTTACGACCTTTTTGATCAAACGTGCATCCCCCCTCTTTGCAACGCCCATGACAAAAACCTAGCTGGGGCTCCTATATTGTTGAAATAGAGCTCACCAGCCTCGCCCAGACACAGTCTTATGAGCTGCGTCGTCCATATGGCTCATAGGGGAAAACTGCTGAAATACCAGCAGCAAGAATGAAGAGAGCCGCGCAGATATACAGAGGCGCCGACGTCTGAGTGTTTGCAAAAGTCGCCACAATAGCTGAGACAATACCCATGATGCGGTTAAAGGCCACGGCAACACCGTTGCCGGTGCCACGGTGGGCACTGGGAAGCACCTCCGGAGTGTAGGCGTACAGCGTGCCATAGTAGATGTTCAGGAAACACGCAATCAAGCAGGTAAAGGCCGTATCCTGAGCTGCGGTCTTGACTGCGGTGTAGGCAAAGAAGAAAGCACAGGTAATCAAAGCGCCGATAGACATGGTGTATTTGCGGCCAAGCAGCTTTGTGTTGCACATGTATCCTGCAATAATCGGACCGGGAATACCGCAAATGTTGGTAATGCAGTAGTTGCGCCACGTTTCGAAGGTGGTTCGATCAAAGACTCTGCCGTGGTTGGCAAGGTAGGTACTGAGATATTGGTCAGCAAGAGTTTCGTGGCACAATGGACTTATGGGGAACATACGGAAGGAACACGTAGAAGAGCGGGTAGATAAGGCCGATCAAAGCCCACGAAAGCCAAACCAGGATGGTGGAGATGGTCATCTTCTTGTTGATAAAGAGTCCACGGAAATGAATGCGGGTTTCGGAGAAGGAAAACAGCTTCTTGCCGTGGGCCGATTGAATCTGCCCACAGGCCTCGAGCTTCTCAAGAGTCAGGGAGCATGGGCGGTTGTACTTGGTAGCCAAGAATTGGAATGTTTCCACCACCTTGGCATCCTCACCAAGGCCGAGGAGATACTTGGGCGTCTCGCGCAGTCTGACCACTGTGATTCGGAGAACCGACATGACAAACACAATGGCACCACCGGTGAAGAGCATATATCGCCAGCCCCAGTTGTTGGCCTTGGTACAAGTGTCAACATCGGTACAGTTCCATTTTCCAGGAACCATGAAACCCCAGGCAATGAAACCAGTGATGGCCTGTCCAAGGCCCCACCATGCTGCCAGGAAGGTCAAGAGCCACTGCTTATTGCTAGGAAGATACTCGAGGAAGACGGTTGTGTCCAGGATGAGGTTGCCGCCTCCACCGAAGCCGAGAAGGGCGATGAAGAATGCGAGAGATGGCCAGTTGGGCATGGCACCAGCGATCACGCAGCTTGCAGAGCAGATGAAGAGGGTAATGTTGAAAGCCCATTTGCGACCAATGACATCGGCGCTGAAACCCCAGAAAATGGCGCCCGTCAGCATACCGACGTACACGGCGATGGTAAGCGCATTGGCGTATCCGTGCTGGCCAAATTCGCGGAAAGCAGACGGGGCAACAATGGATTGGAAAAGGAGGATCAAGGAATCGACGGCATAGCTACGAGGCACCGTCGGTTAGCACACCAAATCATCGTTTGCCACATCATACATGAGACCAGCGGATGGGAAGAGACGAGGGTAGTATTAAATGATGAGGTCACCGCGCAATGGCAACTTACCCGAATCCATTGAGGAAGAAGAGTTTCCAGTGGTAGCCAGTCCAGCCAATCTCATCAATTGCCTTTAATCCACTGTTAGTGCTGAAGCGTTTCGAAGACGAGATTTGGAGCTTGGGAAGAGACAAGTGTTCTCGCAGTTCACCGTCACAGGGACTATGGCCTGGATCATATTTAGGCTCTAGTATCACTCACGTTGTTCACAAGATGCATCTTCATGTTCAGCGCGGGGTCGAGATCCTGCAGGGAGAGGATATCTTCGCCGCTGCGCAGCGACGACCCGTCGGCGTTTCTGAGATCGCCAAACATGGGGTCATTATTACCACCTGTGACATTCTTCTCCATTGAGCTGGTGTCAATGGCTGACTTCTCCGGGTTTTCAACAGCAGCCATGGTTGCGGATTGTTTGGGCGTAACTGAAGATTCTCGCTCAATTATCACAAAGGATACCAAGATGGAGCAAAACCGGGCTCACAGAAGCACAAGGGAGCTTCGTTGCTTGGGCTAGGTATTTCAATCGAGTCAAGCTCTGCGGGAGAGCTTGTTGTGGTACCCGAGGAATTGGACGCAGCGTCACACGCAAAGTCAATTGAACTTGCTTTCGGCTTGTTCCACCCGAAACGGACTTTGCCGAAGAGGAGAATGGAGGGGCAAGTTTTGTAGGTAATTGTCGATTCCGGTTTCTGAGCGCGGTCTGGACCTCGACAGAGGGTTTATCAGGCCGGTGGGGGAAGACAAAACAAAAAGGAAGCAACCAGAGGAGAAACAGCTGTGGTCACTAGAGAAACCACAACAGAAGAAAAAAAGAGCTGTCCTGCCAAGTACAGTAGGACCAACCCAGTGACGATTGCGAGAATGGGGAAGAGAAATGGGGAAAAAAGTGCGGGCGAGGATGTATTAAATGGACTCTCAATGCAGCAGAACCACCACGCGACGTAACCATCAAAGGCACACGACCAAGGCTAAGGAACCATGACATGCAAGGGCCCTATGTGGTAAAAGGCCACGCGAAGATCCCATCTCCAAGCTGGGCTTTTGCATGTGTTGCTCGTGCTTGTGATTGAGAGGCCATCTGGCGCTCTAGTGCGCAGTAGCTTTCCAAGAAGACGGCTCTATCGCCGACTCGGTCCAATCAGCGCAGCCGGCTCCGTGAGAGGCCCCGTCCGGTGGAGATGCAGCCAGCCCGGGGCTTTGGAGGTTTGTAGGCTTTGCAGGTTGGGGGTTTTTGCTTTGCGCGCAGTGAGACTCGAGTGTGGGGGGCCGGCCGGTAGCGTCTCGCTGGTGGTGCGGCAAAGCGTCTCCCCGTGCTCTCAAAGAATGGCGCTGATAGGTGCGAGCAGCGTCGACATCGTGAGCGTTCGAACGGGCTTGCTTGGACGGGCAAGGCGTGGTGGAGATGTTGGCTCGGCCAGACTCAGCAGCACGAACTGCTCGGCGGCGTGCTGGTGCAGTCGCGGGCATCGTGGCATCGCGGCCTCGATTCGTTGGCTGCTTCAATCGACGCCTTTGAGGGTTGCGAGATATAATTGACGAGCGACAGGCCTGGTCTCACTTTGTTTGCGGAGAGTCATGGTCAAGGTCATGGTCCAGGTCACGGTCCAGATTCCAAATCCAGGTCTGTTGAGATTTTTTTTTATCTCCTTCTCTTTTTTCCTTCTCATTCTCTGTCCCTCCTTCCGTCTACTTCCTTGCTCCTCCTCTTCTTTCCGCGTTTCTTCGTTCATCCGCAACGCATGCGGGAGGCGCTATCCATCGCCTTTTACAACGACAACTGCCGCAAAGGGAACTGCTACCTGAAGTATACGAGGACTCCGTACCCCATACTCGCTGTACTTCGGAATTGGTACAACTCCTCCATTTGTCTGGAGCATGACTTGATTCTTCACCCTCCAGCTACTCCTACGAATGAACATGGGCTTGATTGGTTAGCCTGCAAACCGAAAGCTGAGCGACGGCCCGCCATCGTGATTCGAGCTTTTCGTTTTACCCGAAGGAAAATGTAAAATGCATGTACTAATGCGGAGAAGATTGTCGAATGACACACATAATGGCTGCACAGATGCGTGCGTCAATTACCGAACGCATGCATCATAGTCTCAGCCCTTACAAAAGGATGGCCATGGCGCCGGTTTCTGGAATCGCAGCCTGGTGTTTAAACCTTTTGCAGGTGGCTTGCACTGGATTAATATGTCGGTGTTGGAGAAGGGGTGTCGTCATTTACGAGAAGATTCCCCTTCTATGCTCGTGTTCTTGTCTCTCTTCACCATGTGTAGCCTGATGTCTTGGCATTGGATTCCGTTCACTCCAAAGGTAAATATCTACTGAATGATAAGTGCAGTAATCGATACGTGTATGACCTTGGACGCAATTCTACCCAGACCCACGCCGAAACTGTCTTTCTGGCCGCTCTCAAAAGTTCTTTTCTTTTCATCCGAAGCCTTGGAATGGATTTACAGTGCGGCTTGGACTAGAAAACGCCCCCAGCACCAGCTAGCTATTGTGAGGTAGTAGAGAATATCTCCCGCCCCGCCTGCAGCCAGCATAGCCTAAACACGCCTTCTCATTGGCTCTGCTTCCGCCTCTTGAGCCATGACGAGGGCTTACCTGCTAGGTCTTGGCGTTCGTCATCGGGGACAGACCACAATAGCAGTTAGTCTTTCTTTTTTTTGCAAGGCTGTTGCTTGGCTTCAAATCGTATCAGTTATCTGCTGCCTTGCCATTTTTTCCCCCAACAAATTTTCTGTCCACAGTTATTGATCGGCTAGCGTCGGGCTCACCGCCTTTATCACAATCTGGAGAAAACGTTAGTGTGCTTTCTGGCACGCATTGTCACGATTATCATGTGATTCTGCCGTCGAATCAAAGGCGGAGAAGATAATTAAGAGGCACCCTCGTATACTCGTACATCGTACATGCCTCCATGGAGCAAGATTGGATTTTTGCGACTTCAGATCGATTTGTACAGCCTCATTCCCGGGTAAGATCATATTTATTGAATAGTAGACCAGGGCCATTTCTTTTATACGGGTCTCCTCGTATACGGAGTGCGAAGAGTTGAATAGGTACCGTTGCTGCGATTTGCCTCATTGACTTCTTCTTTGCCTTCTTATCTCGCATCTTTTCTTTTTATTTTCGCTACAAATCTATTATATATCATATTTCAATTCTGGATGTTGTGGTGATGTTGCTCCTTTGGAGGATGTGTTCAATGTGCTCTCGTTGGCACTATGAGCCGTTGGCTGACTAATACTCACTCATGATTTCATACACGGGATTTTCAGGCATCAAGGTTGCATCAAATCGCCATCCGCATCAACTGCCATCAAATAGCTACAGAACATTTCGATTGGGTAGTTTCCAACCCGAATTAACTGTTTCTCTTGCCATGATACCTCGAGTTTCATCATCCTTGTGTCAGAAATGTCTCCAGGCTTCAGCTCGCTTCGGCCCGCAGGGAGCACGCCGATATACTTCACCAGCAAATCAGTTGACCGGCGATGAGTCAAAGACAGACCAGGAAAACACGTCTAAGCCAGATAATGATGGCAATTCACAAGAATCAGAGCCCGGGGCAATGACGCGGAGACTACAAGAAGCAACTGAAGAGGCGCTATTCTCTGGCGGCTCAGCCGGCAGACGAGCCGTGCAGGATGCGGGATTCTCTGACGACCTGAAAGAGAAGCTTCTGAATAAGATTGCAGACGCAAATTTTCGGCAAGAGTTTTCCAGCGCATTCGCAGAAAAGGATCTTACATCCGCGGCTGGTGAAGGCACTAGACACATCGCCACCTCGGAACCATGGACCGGGGAGGAATCCACCGCAGACGCAGTATTGAGGATGCTGGATGACGCCAAAAAGCCCCTAAAACCAGAACTCAGAGGCAAGTTCCAACCGCCTGTTGTTGATCCCCGGGTGAAGCGGACCCCGGCGGTGCCTCCTCGCCTAAGGGCGGTAAATGCTCGTGATAGAGCATCCTTATACGCCGGCTTGGGATTGAAAGAAGACAAAGGCTTGAGTGATAAAGAGCGGGAAGAAATGAGAAAGGAGTTTCGGGCACGATTTGAGCCGGTTGCGCGAGTAATGCCGTCAACACCATCAGGTCTTGCTGCGCTAGCGAATGACCACATCGAAAACGCCATTGCCAGGGGCCAGTTCAAGAATATTGCGCGCGGCAAAGGCGTAGAGATTGATCTTACTCGAAGTAATCCATTCGTTGATACCACGGAGTATCTAATGAACAGGATCATTCAGCGTCAAGATATTGTGCCTCCCTGGATTGAGAAGCAACAGGAGCTCTCAAAGGCCGCAGACTCTTTTCGTTCCAGGCTGCGAGCCGATTGGAAGCGCCATGCTTCAAGGATGATTGCTTCCAAGGGGGGTTCTCTAGAAGAGCAGATGGCTAGAGCAGATCAATATGCCGTGGCAGAAAGGCTGCACAATCCTCGACAGTCGACCGAGAAATCGGTAAGCACAACGGAGCAAGAATCCGGAGAGAGCAGCGAACCAGACATTGTTCCCCTCTCACGGCCATTCCGGGACCCGGATTGGGAAAGGGCAGAGCATGCCTACTTGAAGCTATCCATAGAACAACTCAACGGCATCGCAAGAAGTTATAACCTTATGGCCCCGGAACTTGCCAAAAAGCCGTATTACAATCTACAGCGAGAACTAGACGCCTGCTTCGCGGATGTCGCACCTTTGATTGCTAAGGAGATTAAAGACAGGGCCACAAGGCCACGCGTTACGTCGAATCTGACATCGAAGCCTTCTCCATTCAAAGGTGACATAATGGGTAACTTGGTGGGTAAGGATGCCGTAAAGATTTACGAAAGGAGGGCGGAGCCATATGGGTTCAAGGAGTGGTGGAAGGATGTATGGAAGAAGGAATAAGGCTCAGATGGAATATCCTCTGAGAGAGCATGATGCCCTCAATTGATGTTTTGGTCTACTGGAGCTGAGTTTGGGATACTTTGCCCTGAACTTGGACATGGTTTGTGTGTATACAATATTTCGCCATTAGTCTCAACTTGAACGAATTCCTTAGCATTGAGTCAGTTTTGCCAAAGCGACAAATCCTGAATGAGGAAACAGTGGTATTCTCCACGTCATCATATTGTTCCATGGCACCACAGAGCTTTGGCGTTGGTATAAATTTATTGATATCGACCTGACTTAGGTGATCGTATGATAAATTCCCTTATGAAGAGTATTGACGTGGATCCAGCCTCGAAGATTGGCTGAGGCAAGTCTGTCACGCCCCCCAGAGTCCCAAAATTTGACACCTCACTTTTGACAATTTTCTTAATTTTCATTAATATTCATGACGCAAAGATTCACAGCAATTTTAAACTCCTCCGAGGCCTTCTCTTCACCTCCAACCCTGTAATTGGCTGTACTCGCATGCAAGTTGTGCACGCTTATGCAGCTGGGAAAAGTTGGGACCATGTCACTTCACAGCAATCTTAGCCTTTCCCAAAGGCTTTGGATTCCCTTTTCCCGCTGGTACTGGTAGTATGCGCTTTCTCGCCGAATGTGGTTAATCTACTTGATTGCCTTTCGTGCAGTCCCAGTGCGTAAATTCAATCTAAGGAAAGCAACATCCATTCAGATATACAGAGCTCACAGGTATCAACCGTAATCCCTCCATCCTATGTAAGTACAGGTAGGTGTATACTGACCTCGTATCTCGACGTCATGAATACAGGTCGCCGAAAGTTTACAGATTTCAAGATCGTTTTCTATACTAATGAGATTCTAAACATTCAAGATAAAACTTGTTTATGCTTCATAACATGTATGGCTTTTGTAAATATATTGGTGACAAATCTTAACATGAAAACAAATAGGGAATGCAATTCACAGAATTCCGCCGGCCTTCGATCCCAACCCAATATTTTCGTACCTGTTTGCAGGTCCTGTTTTTATAATACACTCTCGCTCTACCACCAACCTTGGTATTTTTATACGCCTCAATCCTTTTTAAATACTAAACCTCCAGTCTGCATATCTCAACAGTTCGCTCATGCCCATGACTCCAGGTTCTGAACAACACATCCAGCCTGGCCCTCTTGTCTACGGACCAGCTTACCGATGGTGTAAACCCGCTCATCGCCACTACGGAGAGCCGCTACAACAGCCTCAACCTGGCTTGCCTCCACTGCCACAACCATGCCGATACCCGAGTTGAATGTTCGGCACATTTCGGTAGGAGCTACGTTGCCAGCCTTCTTGAGCCACTGGAAGACGGGAGGCATTTCCCAAGTTCCATAGGCAATCTCTGCGGCCAGAGAGTCGGGGAGCATACGGGGCACATTCTCAAGCAATCCACCTCCAGTGATGTGTGCGAGACCCTTGATGCTGCTGAGGACGGGCAGCAGGCTCTTGACGTAAATCTTGGTAGGAGTCAAGAGGGACTCTCCAACAGTCTTGGAAGCATCCCAAGGCGCGGGAGCTGAGTAGTCCAGGCCGGCAGCCTGCACAATCCTTCGCACAAGAGAGAAACCGTTGGAGTGAACGCCATTGGATCCAAGACCCAGGAGGATATCGCCCTCAGCCATGGCATCTTTTCGGGGGAGCATACCTCCGCTGGTAACGGCACCCACGGCACATCCGGCAGCATCGTAGTCCTCATCCTTGTACATGCCTGGCATTTCGGCCGTCTCGCCGCCAACCAAAGCACAGCCAGCCTGGATACAGCCATCAGCGACACCTTGCACAAAGTCAGCGGCGGAAGCAAGATCCAGCTTGCTGCAGCCGTAGTAATCGAGGAACATCAGGGGTGTGGCTCCCTGAACGACCAGGTCGTTGACGTTCATGGCAACCAGATCAATGCCCACTGTGTCGTGCTTCTTCATGGCTTGCGCAATCATAAGCTTGGTGCCAACACCATCAATGGCACCGACCAAGATGGGAGCATTGGGATATCCGCACTGAGAGAGATCGACTTCGCCGCCGAAGCCGCCAATCTCGGCACTGGCACCGGCTCTCTTTGTGCTGGCAACAGCCTTCTTGATCTTCTCCACAAAGTCGTTGCCGGCTTGGATATCAACACCAGCCTGAGCATAAGTCATCGAAACCTTGCTTGCATCTCTAAAAGCACGGTGAGCGATGTCCTTGCGGAAGAACTTGCCCTCGAAATCAATGACGTTGGAAGCCAAAGCGGCATATGAAGCATCGACAGCGGCTCTGAGTGACTCGCCAACAGAGTTGATGGCGATCACGCGACCACCAGACGTCTTGAGCTGCTGTCCATCAAGCTTTGTACCGGCGTGGAAAATGGTGCTTCCAGCAGGAGGAGCTTGAACAGTCATCGGGGTGCCCTTGGCATAAGAACCAGGATAGCCGCCAGCAGCGAGAACGACTGTAGCACTGAACTTCTTCTCAACGGTCAGATGGCAGTTGTCCAGGTAGCCACCAGTACAGGCCAGCATGATCTCGGCCAAGTCAGTATCGGCTGAGAGCAGAGGCAGCACCGTCTGAGTCTCGGGGTCGCCGAATCGCACATTGTACTCGAGAACCTTGGGGCCGGCTGGGGTAATCATAAGACCCGTAAACAGAACACCGCGGAAGGGCTGCTTCTCCTGTCGCATACCGGAAATGGTAGGTACCAAGATGTCTCTGTCGATTTGCTGGACGAGCTCGGCGGTAGCAATGTTTGTAGGAGCGTAGCAGCCCATGCCACCGGTGTTGGGGCCCTGGTCGCCGTCGAATATCCGCTTGTGGTCCTGAGCCAGAGGTAGAGATCGGATAGAGTAGCCATCGCAAAAGGTGAGGACGCTGAGCTCGTCACCCTGAAGGAACTCTTCAATGACGACCTCGTCTCCGGCGTCGCCAAAAGCCTTGTCGACCATGATTTCCTTGAGCGCATCCTTGGCCTCCTGCTTGGTTTGGGGGATAATAACACCCTTACCAGCGGCCAAACCCGTAGCCTTGATGACGACATCGTGGCTAATGGTGTCAAGATATGCAACGGCCTTGTTATAATCGGAAAAGTTCTCGTAGGCGGCGGTGGGGATGTTGTATTTCTTCATAAAGTCCTTGGAGTAAGTCTTGCTGCCTTCCAAGCGAGCAGCCTCCTTAGAGGGGCCGAAGCAAGGAATGCCGGCATTGCGAAAGAAGCCCTCGACGCCGTCAACGAGGGGAGCCTCAGGTCCAGGAACAGCCAGGTTGATGCCATTGGACTGGGCGAATTGGACGAGGGCAGGGAAGTCCTCTGCGGAAACGGAAGAGACGTTGGTGACCTTGGGGCAAGTAGCAGTGCCGCCGTTGCCAGGGACCGCGAAGATGGCCTCAACTCGAGGAGACTGGCTCAGCTTCCAGGCCAAGGCATGCTCGCGGCCGCCATTGCCAATGAGAAGGATTCGAAGGTCGGCCATTGTGGATTGTGGATGTGACGAGCTGAAACGGAGTCTCCAGGATATCTATCCAGATCCACGTCTCTCCCTTTTCGAAGGAATCGAAGCAAAGATGAGAACAAAGGTCTGTCCAGCACTTGGAGGAGCCAATGCCAGAGGTCACTCGAGAGAGGAAAAAACTTCGAGCTCGAATGTCTGCTTTTTTTCCCTCTAATTTCTCTCCTGCCTATCAAAAGCAGCCAATAGGGCTGTAGATCATGTTGCGCAGCTCATTTTTTTCTTGGACTTTTTAGGTGGGGTGAAGGCGGGGCAGCCAAAGTGATGGCAACGATAGCGCTACGATAACGGATTATCGGCGCCCACGGGTACTCATACGAGCGTGCCGCAGGGCCACTCCGGCAATGTAACGGTACCAGTACATGTTTGCTCCCTGCTAGCTTATCAGTCCTGTAAGAGATTTTTTTTTTTCGCGGGGTCCTGCCAACAGCAAAATGCCCCTCCATGGCCGATCGGAGGGAAATCAATCAGTCACTGTTGACAGTCAGGGCTCCACCACAAGCATTTACATACGAGTACCTTATTAATGATCAAGATGGCTTCAGACTCTATCTGTCAGTTGCCTGCTCTGTCCATCAATATGATGTGAGAATAAGTTAACCTGCTATGCTATAATCTAGGCAGCCTGGACCCGTTGATGATCAATTACACACGAAAGTAACTCTTTTAACTGAATTCTCTAAAGGTAGGATATCATAGAGAGCATTGCATTTACCAGGTCAAACGCAAAAGTTGATATAATTACTTATTAGGAGCTTGAGAAGCTCAAGGCGGGCCTCCATGAGATCGAAAAAAGGTTGGGAGCTGGCTCATTCATCATCGTTCTTGACGTCGAGTCTAGCCTCATGGAGCCATTAGATGCTTTCATACGGATTCACCTTTGTTAGTGACTTGGAAAGGTTATCAAGAGCGTCAACAGAATCTTCTAGGCTGTGGTATCCTTGCCGGCAAACCACTTGGAATCGACAGTGACATGATCACCAAGAGGCTTGGCTTTGTCGGCCTGACCTGAACAATGACTGGCCTGTCTGATCGTGATTTCCTCTTAGAGTCTCTGCAATGGGTTTCCATGTTCATGCAATACATATCCCGCTGGGTTGAGGACTTGATCAATATTCCCTGGATGAGTTTGGCTTCATCCGTCTCTCGGATGCTTACTCTACCGGCAGATCCCTGATTCCACGAGCTCGAGATATTACGAAGTAAGAGTGGCCGTGCCTTTGGTCATATGGCTGGCTTGATTATACCCAAAACGGCCTCTTCAGCACCTACAACAAGAGAGTTCCTTGCTGAAAGACTGAAAGATGCACTTTATCTCTGGTCAATGTGTTGCCAGGTCGGAGGAGACTGAGATCCTCATGGATGACATCTCGTTTGAGCAGCCGAAGGCTATTGGTAACCGCTTCGAAGAGGATATTGAAGAGGCACTCGTCTATGAGACCGGCGTGGGTTGAGTCGGCCAAGGGCGGCACCAGCAAGTCGTCGGTGCTAGAATAGATCCAGGTGATCAAGGCAACACTAAGCGGAACCCGAGTTTGAGAATGGCAATAAAGAAATGTCCGTATAAATGTGTAAAAATAGTAAAATTGTAATCAAAATTGGATAACCTGCGCAGGTTGCTTATATGATGCAAGTTTGAAATCATCGAATGTGGGTGAAGCTGTGCCGTGCCATTCCGTGCCGAGCAGTGTCCATAGCCGTTTGGGCTACCTCTCTAAGGACGGTTTTGACGATCTTTCGCCATCAAGTGCAATACCATCTTGTGCTGTCATACTGATTCGATTGCTCGTCATCTGCTGATCGCAAGGCAAATCCCACAAGGCTGCCTCTTTGCCTGCATGCGCCCCCCTCTTCTCTCCAGTACCTGAATGAGGCAGCTGACCCGAATCAGCAGCACGCGGCGACCACGGGAAACATTCAAGCTACTGCAAGGCATCCTTCAGCCTGAAGCGAAACCTGGCCAATGAAGCCATGAGCATGAGACCCCGGTTTTGGGCCTGTCGCTGTTATTTTCTCACCATGCCGAAGTCTCGATATTGATAGGAGAATTACGGAAGTAGACTATTGATCTTCGCTATGTATGATGATGAGCCACGGCTGCGGTCCCGGGTTCAGCTACCCCACACCCCAGCCTTCTCAATCCCATGGTGATGGCTCAGTTTGGTCATAAGAATGGCTCCAAATCACTGTCCATCACTTTTCCCTTTTTTTTATCTGCAAAACCCCCTGCGTCTCATCTCACTCCATTTCGCATGCGACTTGCGTTTCTAAATCGGAACCATCTGAATTGCTGACCACGGGTTCTGCTCCTATTGGCCACCCCCTCTCTCCTTTTGCTTCACGGATCAAGGCGCAGAGTTTCATCGGGATTCTATTTAAATCGTTGTTTAAAAGTAGATTACGAGGATTCGGATCGTGTTCTTGGCTTTTTACTCCTTATTTCTTCGTTTTGGTCATCAGCGAATTCTTGTGCCGCCTTCTTTTCACCCTCCCGTCTGACAACTCTTGAGCGTGTGTGCACGAGGCCGACGAGTTGTGTACCTGCTGACACAGGCTGAGTTTTGACTCAAAAGGCTGAATATAGTAATTCTTGCTACTTGGGCCGTCTAGAGATTTTCAAAGCCCGTTCCATCATCAGTCATCACCCGTTTAATCGGTATTTGTAAATAGAATTGTCCTCCTCCTCCCCATCTTTCAACAATGGACAACCAAGATTTGGACTTTGAACCTTCCGAGGTCGCCAACGCCATGCAGCTGCGAACCAGAAAACACCAGAAATTCGACGACGTCGAGAACCAGCTCGTCAACCCCAAAGTATCCGCCCCGTACCAATTCTCCGTCAGCAATGTCCTCAACGAGATAAGCACCTGGAACCCCTTCGCCAAGGCCATCGTCAAGGGCGACGTCGTCTGGCTCTTTGACAACACCGCCTTCAAGGCCGCCGAGCACGAGCCGTGGCAGGCAGAGTTCATCATGGCCGTGTTTGAGAACGAGCCCAAGTGCGCAGTCGCCGACATCGTCGCGGGCATTGCGGGCGCCATTGGATTGGCTGACGATGCGGAGGAGCGCAAGACGATTGAGGAGAGGCTGTTGCCGTTCTTGTGGGACATTCAGGCGGCGAGGACGACGACGGTGTCGCAGGGGGATTTGGAGCTGAAGCTGGGGCCGAGTGGATTTAATGGCATTTCGACGAATGTTTTGAAGTTGCTGCATAACAGCAAGGCGTCGTTTACTACCAAGAAGACCACATTAGATATTGAGGGTGTGAGCGGTGTTTTGAGCATGGAGACTCATTTTGCGGCTCCTGAAGGTTGGGGCATCATATCTGGTGAGAGCTCGCTACTTTGATCTCGATCGGCTCATATGAAAAGACTAAGACTGACATGGAAATTGTTAGATATTGACGACACAATCAAAATCACAACAACCAGTGACCCCGTCGGCATCCTCAAAGAAACATTCATCAACGCCCCATCCCCAGTCCCAGGAATGCCCGAGCTCTACGCAGGCATCAAGTCGTTTCTCCCCCACAACACGCCGTGGTTCTACCTCTCCGCATCTCCTTACAACCTGTATCCTTTCCTCAAGGGCTTCCGGGACACGTACTACCCCCCAGGAACCTTTATCCTGCGGGATTCCAGCTGGAAGACCGTGTCCGGACTTTTGTCTTCGCTGACGGTCGGCACGGAGGAGTACAAGGTGGACCGCATGAAGAAGATCAATTCGTGGCTGCCGAAGCGGAAGCTCATCGTTTTTGGAGACTCTACGCAGTCTGATCCCGAGGCATATGGCGAGATGTAAGAACAAAACCCCGTCTTTTCTCTTGTACGAAGTGAAGCTAACGCTGTCTGCTACTCAGTTATCGAACGTTCCCTGGCTGGATCAGGATGATTTTCATCCGCAAGGATACCAATTCGGCTTCCTTTGGTCTCGCGGAGAAGAATGAGCCGCAGAGGTTCGAAAAGGCATTTACGGGTATCCCCAGAGATTCCTGGCACGTCTTTGAGAATCCTGATGAGTGTTTGGATCTGGTGAAGAAGGCCGTCCAGAGAAATTCATAATGTTGGGGTAGCGTTTGTTCTGGTATCATTTGTATTTTTATTGTTTTTGAGCGGCGCTTGGATTGCAATCTGACTGGATATGCTTTCATGATTTCGGAGGATATAATTGCTACCTATTCGAGGGTACCTCAAGATGTATAGGAACGATTCATCACATTTTCGTTGGCCGTGTTCTTCCATGTTATTCGTAGTATTGAAGTGCATGGTTGGCGTATCCATATAATAACAGCCCTCGTGATTGTTTCCTTTCTCATCATGCAAAGGACCATCATCTCTTATTCAAGGCCTAATAGAGGCTTTTCAGATACAGTCAATCCAAGTATGTATTCTGACAACTCCCAACCTATTGTTTCCATCTCCCCTGTGTACCGACAGTTAAGATTTCCAAAAAACGCCTTTCGCCTATACCCATCCCTATGCTTTGATCATGCCCACCAAGCTATTATATCATCGCGTTTCCAAAAGCCGCTCCCCAAGATAATTCCCAGCACTAATCCAATATGTATGCAACTCTACTCTTAGTCGCGTAATATTGACACCTCTATGAAACGAACAAGTACTCTCGAATCTGAGCAGCAGTCTGCTTCGCCAATTCCTCCTTGGCACGTTCTCCAAAAGTAAATTCGTCATAGAATAAATGGTCGTTCGGAGCTTCACACTCCTGGCTGGGCTGCGATGTACTTATGCCAGTAACGGATCGGGCATCGGCGATACAAGGTGTCCAGACGTCAAAAAATCGCATCGCATCATTTGCAGGTCTGCTGCCTCGGCCTCTGCTATCCCGGAGGCCGGATCGCTGCATTTCTTCTTCCGTCATGGCATCCAAGACACTCTTGACCAAAGACGATTGCAAGCCCAATCGTCGTGGGTAAGGCGCGTAAATGACATCTTCACTGATCTCTTCTCCATTGTTGTCCTTCTCCTTAGGCTGAAGTGATTCCGGGAGATATCGCAGCAAAGATGCCATTGTCGGAACTGATGAAGCCGTTTCAATGCCCTCATCTTCGACCCCCTCAGGCTTAGAGTTGCCCTTCCTTCTCCAATCCTCCAGCTGCCTAGACACTTGATCATTCCACCTTGCGTTGAGATATGCAGCGTTACGCATCTGAACGCCCCTCGACTGCGATTCAGATGGAAGGGGCCGCTTCTGCCAACCTGGGGCCAGGGTAATGTCAAAGAGTTGCGGGATCACGACGCGGAAGCTCTCCGTTTTGCGCTCGTCGGGCTTGTTCTCGGGGTCGGGGTGCGTAAGAGCCTGGACTTCTTCCTTGGTTACATTCGACCAGAAGTCAGAAAACGCAGGAGACGCTGGGTTCAACGACTTTCGGTAGAGCAATTCGACCTGAGTGAAAATATCGGTGACCGAGGCGTCAATGAGTCTTTCGCCTGTTTCCCGCGGCAGCGAGGCCATGTTCCACGTCTCCCAGGTGCCAAATGTGAAAACCCACAGCGTCTCTCGAGGCGGTATCTTTGGCGGAGCCATGGTAAGAAACTTTTGAACCTGCGCTGCCAGATCCGGGGTCTTTGTTGGCACCGGATACTGTTCGGGGATGTATAAGTTGTCGAGGGCAGGCTTTCCTGTGAGATTTGCTTGCTCATTAAACATTTCCAAGGCTCGTATCTCTGTGCCATAGATGCTGTTGGAGGTTAGGCCGGGCTGTGATTCGATCGGAGGGATGAAAGAAAGAACAGAGTGACATTTGAGCTGGTAGAGTAGTAAGTTAGCATTGTCGAGTGTAGGTATTTGTACATACAAGATGTAAGTGTATATCTGGGGTTAGCTCTCCCTCTTACCTGTTTGCAGAGGTGCTCTGGCCAAGATGTGTGTGTGTGCTTGGCATCAGGTGCACTTCCCATCAAGTCCTGCGATCCAAATACGACAATTCGAAGGTCACCAGAGCCTCCTGATTCGGGCGTTGACCAGCTCAGGATTTGCTGGTAACGGTCGTCGAGCTGCAGCGTGACAAAGTAGAAGAGCATGAGCAGACCAAAGGCAGCGGCGGCGATCTGCAGGATGGATCGCGGACCGCCCCGCCACATGCGATGTGAGCAGACGACGAGAAATGCCTTTGCATGGAGACTCCAGTTCGACGAGCCATCGCTTGGGAGTTGTTCTTTGGCGAAGCCGCTCATGCTGCCACAAGCTCGCGTGGCGAGGGTTAGGGTTGGAGGAAGCAGAACGAAATAGAGGCAAAAGGAAACGGCGGCTTCAGCGAACAAACATGAGATGAGATTGATATAATGAAATCGGGCGCCGGTGCTAGGCCTGGGCGTGTATTAAAGCAGTATCGAAGGATGGGGTTAAGACGGCGTGAGACCCAGGGGGGATCCGCATGGGCCTGTCCAGAAGCGCTAAGCAGACCCCTAAAACTGATCACCAGGGGCCCGAAAGAAGAAGAATTACGAGTACAGGTGCGATGTATAAGCGGCGATGAGGAGGACAAGGGAGAAGAGGGTGCGGGGAAGTGGTAGATATGAGTAAGAGTGAGTGAGTGAGGTTATCGCGTTGAGGATGGAGAGAGAAGCAAGCGTCAATAGCTTCCAGGAGGCTAACAGTACAGACAGTAATAATGGAGGATCGTCAACCGTTTACCCAGTACGGAGAACGCGCACGCGAGCAGCAGATGTATTAACATTGACATCCATGGAGGTACGAAGTATTAAGAAGGACCAGGTGACGGCACTTCAACTGCTAGCAGCGAACTAGGTTGATTATACCGGAGAATCCTTGCCACTGAATCCTGACACAATGCCGTGCGAACAAGGTGGTACGTACGCCCGTACACGTAAGTCGCTGATAATAAACGGCGATGCAACTGGAGACTGTACAAGTACCGAAGTGTACTTCCATCAGTAAGAGTTGTAACAACCATCTTGAAACTCTGTTGGAAATGCCTATAATCAAACGCCTATAATCATGGACTCTTGCGCGTATTACTGAGGCATACGTGTACAAAACTCACATCAGCCGCTTTTAATATGCCCTACACCGGTTTTTTTTTACGCAAAATGCAATGTCGTTTTAATATACCCGGCAACCGGAATGGCTGAAACGCAGCTTCGATGCCGCATTGCCGTGGTGCCCATTTGGCGATGCCACAAAGCCACCGCTTTCGGGGGAGTGGAGACACAGACGCTGTTCCAAGTACTGACTTGTGCGTCTCTCGTGCAGATGCTACTAGATGTAATGCAGCAGGTCGGTCGAATCTCCTGGTTAAAGAGGAATTAGAGAGGAATACCCGGCCGACATATATATTGTAGATGAGAGAGACTAGCCCCCAAAGCACGTCGAGGGCAGTGATCCGCAGGCCGTTTGTCCGATCAAGTCCGGAGTATGTAACAAAGAAAAGACAAACTATGTACTTTTGAGTCTTGGCCTACGTGAGACGAGACCGAGCGAACCAGAAATGGGCGAATGAAAGCCGGAATCAATGCAGTAGTTTTGATGCTGAGGGCGCCTAATTTGCTTGGACACTCCATCTGGAAAAGGGGCACGCGACAGGATCTCTCATCTTTTGGACGAGGCCAAGACCCCGACGCGACTCCTTGGCTTGGAGAGTACCTGTCCTTTATAGCTACAAGCCATCACCGGCTGCTGCTAAGGAAAGGCGTGGAATAACACTGCATATAAGGCAAAAATGTCTTTAGCAGACAAATGATAATAAGCATAGCAGCAAAGTTGGCTAAAGACGTCTATCCTGGAAGTAGTAGATGCATGTAGTAGTGGTAGCATCTCGGAGTGGGAGACGTTCAAGGGTTGGGTACCTGCATTTACCATATCGATAACGGTTCCAACGAGAATATCTGGCCTAGGCTCTTCCTGCGACACCATTTTCTACCTATTAATAAGGAGCAAGCTGGGGAAAAGCTGGAATTATTATTAGAAGAGGGGCGTAAAGCACACCACTAGAGAATTCCACCATCGCTAGCTGTTGATGGCCGTCGATCAAACAGCTAACGATGATGCGTTATGAAGCATGTGGCTTTCCTGCCAATGCGCTACCACTTCTCACCCAAGGCTAAAGAAGCGAAGCTAAGGTGGTTGATTTCACGATGCGCTTACCTAGGTAACATCACCTGTTGGGAATTGTAGAGCAGAGAGCACTTTGTCGCATCTTCTCTAGGAGCGATCAGTGCGTCTAAAGCATAAGCAATTATATCATTATATCAAATCGTGGAAGGCTGAGAACAGCCTGAGAGACACGGATGTATGTGCTCCCGCTTCAAGAGCCGTAAATGCTGACACACTTATAAGCCACCACCACGAAACAGCCCATTTTATACTCTGTCAGTCCAACAACGTGCTCAGATTTCTCCGAGACCCAGATTTCGTCCCAGCTTTCCCGTCGGCAGTGTCTGCCGGTGAGGCGGTGCCCGTCAGCTACACCAGAGTTGCCGAACCCGGCCCCGAAGCTTCACTCAACATGCTGTAATACGTGTAAAGAGACTGGAGCTTACGTGTTGCGCACTTATTAGCTAGATGTACGCGCCCAAGGGATGAAAATTTTCTCTTTGTTCGATAGCGTTACTTTGTATGCCGTGTGTTTTGATAGGTTGTTTGAGGGAGGGTAATTAGCTGGTGATCACATTCCAGTGCGCCAGAATGCCAGGCAAATGCCTTGCAAGAGGGGTGCCAGCGACGTGTGATCTGCTGCACAAGCTCGATGATGGATGGAGTCCATATCTTCTGCAAATGATAAGAACGGGCCCATCACCAAAGCAACGGTGAAGAAGAGCTCACCTCGATTTTTCTTCCGGTAGGCTCACATGTAAGCGCCCTACCTGGAAGCCTATAGCCTCAACCGTGACCGACATCCAGTCACAATCTAGGACTTGATAGGGCTCACTCGGGTCCTATTCTGGAAGCCACTGGTTTTTCTTCAACAGGCGATGAATTACCACGCATCGGCAATCTCCTCCCTTGCATGGCCTTGCAGCGCTCAATCAATTCGATTCAGCTTCTTGTGAAAACACCGCAGCCGCTGCTGACATCACCTTCCTTGAATTTCGGTTCCCCCGTAATTTCAAGGGCACAGCGCACGTGGCGGGACTGGCATTTGCCAACGTGAGTTTTGCAGCTGAGGTGTTTACCAACAAAGGGCTGGACTGGACGGGATGATATTTTAGGATTGAATCAACCTTGAAGGGCTCTTGTTAGGACCTGCTGTATCTGTACCTAGCCACTGTCGAAATTCGCTGCGAGAGGGGCTTTAACCCGGCGGTACTCAGTACCTGTGCATGGCATGCCCTCCATTTTATTAGCGGCTCCCCTGCTTACCCGTTCTGCCTCGATTTTGTATTTATGGAACCGCCCGTTGTCGATCGCGCCTAGAACGTCACACACACACAGACACAGACACCAGCGTCTCTGCCCGTCTGAACCATCGGCTGTTTGCGCCGCAGCTTCGTCCGAGAGCGTGTATCGAGCAGTTGATTTCAATCAAGCACCAGAGCGCGATAACTTCGGGACGCAGAGCTTCAGCCACCTCGACGGACGCTTGCAGCGCCTTCCAACCGCCCCGTTCAGTTGCTGCCTTCGGACCCCTCTCAAAGCGACATCGAATCAACAATGCACAAGGTCCGAATCCGCGAGCTATGATCGCGCCCGCATTGCGACCCTTCTTCTGCGTCTAGGCCTCGGACGTCTTGTGCAACATTCGACACAACGCACGACATGCTTTCCCACCTGCGATTCCACCGGCGGGGGCCCTCAAACCCGACCTCGCCGGCTCCGGATCAATCCTCGCCTTCGTCTCTCAACAGCCATCAACAGTCGCCCTTGAACCCTGACTCAGCATCTCCTCTCGACGCACAGCTGTCATCTTCTGCTTCCAACTCATTACCGTATACCCTGCCGCCGATAAACCGCGTGACGTCAAACGAATTTAATCTAGAACCTCTTGGGGAGAAGCGGGATGTCGAGAAACAACCGCAAACTGCCGGCCGGCCTCCACAGGTCCAGAGATCGGGTTACAGCACCGGCTCTGGATTTATCGGCGGCGTTGCCCTCCGGAACTACCAGCGGAATGTGGAAGCACAGCAAGTGGACGGCCATGCTCAAACTTCTCACCCGACGCCCATGTCAAACAATGCCGACCTATCAAGGCCACCGCTGCAGGCATCCAGTAGTTCAAAGGGCAATCTTCCCTACTCCTCATCATCTAACCAGCGGCTGTCTGGTTCTCGACTGGCGGGCGAATCTTTGTCTTCGAGTAGTGTATTAAACATTGAGCCCCAGAAGGGGAAGAAGGGATTGCCGTTTCTCAAGAACCCCATGTCAACGTTACTGTTGAGGAGGAGAAACAACCAAAACCTTACAAATACCTTGCCTCTTCCCCTAGACAGTCGTCTAGACGAGCCTACATATGACCCTCGTATTAAAGGTACTAGGGTTCATGATTTTAGCGCACCAAGACGAAGGACAAATGCTCCTACTAATGATACCGTGGCCATCCGCTCTGCATCTTTGGCCAATATCGCCCTGGAGTCGGGCGTGGGCCCTCATGATGGGGCGGAGACGCGTGGCCCAGTAGTGTTAGACGGGCAGCTACAACGCCGCATGATGAGCAGTGCGTCGGATCCTGCCCGCCCAGAATCCGGGAGCACAAATTCGCACACCATTGCCCAATCATCTAGTGTATCTTCTGTTAGAACAGGTTCCTCCACTGCAGAGCAAGCCTTTCCGTTGGACGACCATGTCGTTACTGGACTAACCATGAAGGGCAATGACCCAGCTCTTCAATCGACCCCTTCAACAATTTCTCAGGCCACTACTCAGGAGATGGGTGATTCAGCCAGAAATACCGGCTCTATACGAACGACCAGGTCGAGAAACGTCTCCCTCTCGTCTATACCGAGACATATGAAGAGTACGTCCTCACGATTTAGTTTCGACATGATTGGAGCCGCCAAGCAGGAAAAACTCCTGGAAGAACGGCACCGACAGCGGGAGTTGGATAAGAAAGCTGCACAAGGCGAGGAGCCAAGAGACTCTCGCTTTGATGACTTTGATGAAGATGCCTTTGATTACGACGCCATGATGGACGATGACGGATTGGAAGAGAAAATTCCTGGAATTAATGCGGATTACGAGGATGAAGAAGAGCCTTATCTTGATGATCAGTACTATGAAGAAGAGGCTCAGTATATTGAGGATGAAGTCGATCCAGATGATGATCAAGAAAACTTTGCCGGTTTCAGTTTTCAGCGATCCAATCCAACATCGTCTCTGGCGACTCCACAGAGCGGAGGCATGATGCCAACCCCTAGAGATGCCGATGGCGAGGTTATTGGTTGTGCCATGACAAAGGACACGCCAGGGCTCTCGAACCTCCCTCTATCGCCCGAGCCGGGTTCAGTTCCAGACCAGGAGGCCGATGCTGAGGTGTCCGGTCTGGGGATCCATGGAGTTGATACTGTTTCAGCCCCTTTCCAAGCATTGGGTTTGGAAGCAGGCTCTGTCCCTACCCCTATTGGTATGCCTCCGCCACCGGGCGCGCGGCGCAGGATCAGTGAGGACGAGCTATATTTTGATGCAGGCATGACTGGCTTCGGAGGTGTGTTTGCCGAAGATTTAGCCGGATCACCTGTAGATGATGGGGTGCCTTTTGATGAGTCAATATTTGACAATGATGATACTGATCAATACGGCCGACCTCTACCTGGAGCTTTCGCACAAGCAAAGTCAGCGCGGGAGAAGAACAACCAAGAGTCCCCGAAGGAGGAGACGGAGACGCCAGAGGGTGAGGTGGCATCCCAGCAGACTTCAGAGCAGCTGGAGGATGCTCAGTCAGCGATACACGCCTCTACGAGCATCAGCACGGAGCACTCGGTTGAGAATGCTGCTGCTGAAATCCCGAGCGACTTACCTCCGAGCGACTTACCCCCGTTATCTGAGACTACCATTGTTGCTCCTCAGCCGTACAGCCCAAATCCTATTGCTGCCTATCAGGCGGCTTTGGCTGCAGCCGCCCAGAGAGCAGCAGAGGCTGGCCAGTTCGAACGCGCAGCAGCGCGGTCTCCTACCGATGCAGATAATAATGGCCAAGTGCCCACAAGTTTTGATGATTCAGATGCGCTCCGTGACTACGAGTACGACGACTATGGCTATTCTTACGATGATATGGATGATTTTGAAATGGACGACGATGCCATCATTGCCGAAGCCAATGCTAGTGCTCTGGCTAACGATTCTGATGGGTGGTATGGACAAGAGTTTGGCTTTTATGCTGCTCCAGTCAACAACCACGGCTCAGGTTCCAACGTGGAGGGCAGCGGATATGTCGCTGGTGGATTTTTCGGCCCCAAAGGCGCAAGCAATCTAAATCGCAGCGTAAGCGGGCGTGTAGTTTCGAGGGAGCCGAATCTAACTCCTATCACTGAGCGCTCCGAGTATTCCAATAGAAACTCCCTCATGAGCCTCGGAATGCCGCCTATTAGTGGCACTCCAATCGTCCAGAGCCCCGGACTGGCCCAGCTAGCCATGATGGCGGACCGAGGCGACGACCAGATGAATCTCACGGCACTCCTCCGACTGCGGTCAAAGGCATGGGGCGGCTCGCAAGCCAGCCTGGCTTCCAGTAAAGATGGTTCCCCAAGGTCAGAAAGGGGAGAGGGTCCAGGTTCGCCGAGAGGACCCAGCTTTCCGACCGGGTTCCCCCCTTCCACAGCTCATACACGAAAGAACTCTGTCTTCTCCATCGTGAGTCGCGATTCGGATGGCAGTGTTCCTGCCAGTCCTACGCTTACAATGCCCACGTCGGCCCTTGCCAATAGATCGTCAATTGGGCCCGAATTCATGAACCGAGAGGCAGACATGGCTTCAGCTTGGGGAGCGATCTCAACATCGCCGATCCAAATGGGATCGAACATCTTTCAAGATGGCATTTCTCCGCTCAGCGATCCTCCTCATCCTTCTGCCTTCACAGCATCCAATGCACACCCTCATGCTATGTGTAGCAGTCAAGACGCGTCAAGTCCGGAGAGAGGACATCAGCGGCAGAAGGGATCAACAGATAGTATATCTTATATGATGGAAGAAGAAAGCGGGGAAAAGCGGTGGGTTATGGAACGCCGGCGAACAGGGGAGTTTGGGCAAGTAGAGATTTTGGAACGAGAGGTCGTCGAGGGAGGACGTATATAAGGATTCGGCGGCTGGACTTTGAGGACACGGTGTCAACTCACATGGAGAACGAGGACGAAGCGAGCAGAATGCTGTCGACAAGCTTAAAAGGATAAAGTTGTACGATACGAGGGATTTGTGACGCGATTCAGCACGCGGCGTCTTCCGAGAGGAATCTTCTCTGAGTACTTTGGATGTATATAAAAGGATATTTTTTGGGTCGGGTCGATATTTTGGATTTGTTGTGGAGAATGGTGTTTTGGGAGTGTCTTGCAGCGGCGGCTCTGTCCCGCCGCAAAAGGTCGAAGAACGTTTATAGACGTGTCTATTCCTTTTGAATTTGCTGCTCAGTAACTTTTTTGGGGGCGACTACATGAGGCGCCTCTTATCATTAGGATACCCTCACTCCTATTGGCTATGGAGTGGCGAAGGTAGATTCTTGGGGATTTTGGAATACTTTCTTTTCTTCTTCTTTCTATTTTTATTCTTCTTCTAATTGTTGGGGATGGGGGATGATGTTAGGGTAATTTCTGGGTGTTGAATTTAGAGAGTGGCTACCTAGTATTCCAGGTTGGCTATTGGGCATTTTGTGTATCGAGTTCAAAGAGTGATATGTTGTTGAGTAGCTGACTTGGGATGCTAAATGGCCATTCTCTTCATTTAATTCACGGCGGTGTGTTTAGTTTGACTGGAATTACCAAGTATACGCATGGGCTGCCGTTAGAGAGAGGTAGCATTCGACGACACAATCAGAGGAGCCAATATCGGTAGTGTAAATCAGATGAGTGGTGGATTCAATTCTAAATGACACAGTACAAGATCCATGATCAACATAGGGGAAGAGAGGGAGGGGACAAAATAGAAAGATGCGTAACGTGTTGGGTGGGATTTACTGAATGCAAAGTTTAGATAAGATGTCGAGCTTCATTGGAAGCTTTTCATCAATGTTGGGTGTGAGGGCTCCTTATCACGAGAGAAGATGTTACAAAACCTAATATCCGAAACGATTTGTAAAGCTACCGGTAGTGGATCGTAATGGAAAGTTACCAACACGTTCCTAGGAGGCGTAGTCAAGGTTTGGGTCCCGGGCTCGTACAAGCATTGTCAAGGTTCCGGTTCCCGGTCCGGGCCGGTTGAATGTCTCCAGAATAGCCCCAGAAAAAGTATGCGGTAGTGGTAGTGGCGTATTTGCATGGGCCGATTCAGGAAGCAAAGCGATGCCTGCCCGCATACGGAGTATCTGTAATTGCGAGCCTATTAGAGAGCGATCTTTACGAGATAAGGCAAAAGAAGCTTCGGACAAATGCAACGGCTGTGGTGGAATTAAGGCAACGGAGTAAAGATACAGGTCCAAGTTTCATAACGCCGTTTTACCTACATGCATGTCGCCATAACAAGAGCTTGTTCGACGCAGAAATGGAGGCCGAAGGGTTCCAGGGGGGGCTGTGCCGTGCCATGCAGTTTAGATTGCGCCATATCTTGGAGCAAAGCCGGGGGCCGATCGGGTCTCGGTGATTCGTCCGCTGTTTTTCTGGACAAATAAATAATACAGCAACTTATAAAGCAACGGAAGACTACATTGGGCAATAACTGTTACTATCAATATCAGATGTGTCATGGAAGTAGGTATTAGTAAATGCGGCTGTTCGAGCAAAGACCGCCGGTGACGCCGTTGCTCTGATTGCTCAGCACTTCGGACGGCAGTGGCAGAAGTTGGACGCCGCCATGGAATCTGGGGAGAAGATGGCTTTGGATAAATTGCAAAGAGTTAGAGTGCACTACACACAAAAGTGGGAATTCGTTCCGTACCGGCTCCGGCTACAGGTTGATGTGATGGCCTGTTTGGGTAGCCCGCAGCGAGAGAGCCGTTGATGCGACAGAGCAAAAGCACATGTAATTTCGTCTGCAGTGACATGGCCCTTGTCTGGTCTGGAAAAAGCCCACTCACACTTTTGACACAGCACGCATTGTAAGCGCGAACCTGGCTCGGGAAGCAGCTCGGAGGCACATGAAAGAGAAAACGAACCGCGGGGGTTCACAGGCATGGCCAGGGCTGACAGCATCGCGATGTGTGGAGGTGGAGAAGCGTGGTTGGGGAGACCAGTGTGCATATGCATGCAGGATGACGGGACTGGGATTGGCCAAAGTGATGTGTGATATCAATGAGATGATTCTTCTTTTCGTTTCCTTTCTTTTCTCTTCTCTTTGATACCGGGTTTGTTTGGAGAATAAACCTTAAGCTTTTGACAACCTGATATCTGCTGCCGGTACTCCGTAGAGCTGACGGTGTTGTTGCTGTAGAATAGAAAGAGAGGCAACATGGATGGAGCTTGCAACAGGTGATTTCGCGGCAGCTAGTCCGTAGTCAAGTCGACGATGCGTGAAGCCCGCCCCTGCTCCGATTCTCTCCGTAAGACCCTCCCGCATGCCCGTATTTGAGCGTTGCGCGAGTGGGGCATCGAGGAGCAGATTTGATGTTGATGTTGTATCGGCTCGGCGGGCTTGCTGAGATGCTCCAAGCCACCTGTAATACAGCAGATGCCCCCCGGGATTGTCATGTGCAGGCATTGAATTCGCAATGTTTCGGCCACTGGCTCCCCCGCTGAGATCAGGAGATGCGTGGCACGATGGCTGCTGGCGATAAGACCGGAAGCTTTTGGTGTGGGTGATGTGAGACGCTTGGTGGACGCCTGGTGGACTCTCCGAGATCCCGAATTCGGACAAAGGCAGCGCCCCCGGTTCTCGGGCCAGCAACTTTTGAACTCTGAGCGCTGTGCATTCGGTGCTTTTAGGTGTCTTTTAGGTGCTCCGGGTGCCCAAAGGGCGCGCTAGGCTGCCTAAACGTGGGCGGGACTTCCCAAACGAGCTGCGCGGCTGGGAAGTGTCAAGTCATTACGCACCAATGGATTTTTAATTTTTTTTTGTGCTGGGCCTGGGTTGCTTTTATCGCACTCCGGACCTCCGGCGTGTTTTATTAATTCGCGAACCTCCACTCTTTCGCGCCTCCATCTCGACGTCGTTTCTCCTCCATCCATCAGCTTGCTTTCTAATTGAACTCTTGAAGCTTCTTATATACACGTCTCCCCCCGCTGTTCCCCAGACTTGAACTTCAATTCACGTTCTACCTCCAAGTCCCCCTCCAACAGTCTAATATCAAGACAACCCCGCTATCAACTATCGACTTTCCCAACCTCTCTTCTACCAACAGCCCCCTTCCACATCAACCATGTTCGCCACGAGAGCTCTTCGACAGGCCGCTGTCCATGCGGAACGAACTCCTCTGATTCGATTCCTTGGACCCCGAGCCACTCCTAGTAAGTACAATCGCTCTCATCCTACCTACTTCTCCCCATAACAAGGGACGTTATATACTAACGAGTCTTTTTTTCCCTCAGCTTCAATCGACCACACTCCTCAGCCTCACCCCGCATCTCCCTCAGGAAAGCTCCCCGAGGGTTTCACCGCATACTACGGCAACGGAGATGCCGCCGCCCGACACAACTCTTTCGGCGCCTACCGTGACCACGCCCAGCAGCACGGCCCTCTTCAGAGGACCATCGGCAGTGTTGAGGCCGGCATTGGTGGCTCCTCTGGCTACCAGCTCGGCTCCATTAACCCTCCCAAGGGTGTTGCCTTTGACGTCTCTGAGCTCCCTACCCGCTTCCATCGCCAGCCCATCGACCTGAGCGAGATCGAAGCCATCGAATCCGGTGGCGCAGCTTTTGCTTAATGAATGACGGCGGCAGATGGTGGACGAGAAAGAAGGAATCCCATCATACATAATGGGATTGAGAGGAGAAAATATTACCTTGTTTAACGGCGGTTTCTACAACAAAAACGGCGTACCTCGGCACTGACATCTGATCAGAAGCGAGGAGTTTTGTACGATGATATTGTATGATTGGGGCGTGATGTTGAAAAGGGACAAGCAGAAGCCTGCTAATGGAGAAGTCGTCAAGACTGGACCGAGACGATAAACCATGCAGGCTGCTTCACATATGGGGGGTTCAATCGGCCAGATATGGGCTACACTTGTGTAGCTGGCTGTTTCTTCACTTATTGATTCGAAGATGCTTTACGACTTGACGATGAAGGATATACCTCGCCGAACGGACACGATGCTAGCCGTGCTGTGCCGCTTCGCGTCTGGCGGGTCTTCTGGGCAAGGTTTTCGGCTATCTCTTATATCCCTCAACAACGCTGTTGTTGGCCGAGTTGCTGTACAGAGGTGGATTAGTGCCACAAGGCGCAAACTTTTATTTATACACAAAAACCCCCTTTGAGAAAATTTTAAAACTTGATACAAAAAAAAAATACCAAATATCATTTCAATCAGTTACATGATGACAATATCCGATTACGTGTGAACAGTAGCTCGCTGAACAGCTGCCTATCCGCAGTAGTGCATGTAATGTGAAACATGCAGTGCCTAGCTTTATTTAGTATATTAATGAGAAGCTATGCTCAACTAGCAGGATGGAGCTCTTTTTCCCTGCTGCGAAGGGCGTGGAGTATATACATGTGTATATTGTCCTATATTTCGGCTGGGCAAATATGGTAATACAAAATATCTTGGAAGTCAATTAAAGAGCGTGATTGGCTTGAGGGCTTGTATGGCATGTATACAGTGACTTATTCATCAAAGCACTGTCCGTATATCCATTTAACGTGAGCTCATACAGTGCGTGATTTCAACTCTTATTATCTACTATCGCTGCCCCACTGTCCAGGGTCGCGATAATGACATCCACGTCGTCTCTTTATCGCTGGCCATGACAGGAGCTTGCAGCTCCCCGTTTCGCCAACTTCGCATCCCATGGAGGCGTCACCACTGACACGCCAGCCTCAGCCAGAGGTCTTTGTTCCCAAGATCATCGAGCTCTACTCTGTCCTTTTCAAGGTTTGCCCACAACTGCCTACCCCCTTGGTTGCGAGAACAATCTAGCTAAATCGGCCACCAAGGTATTAGCATCCGGCTCTCGCTTCTTCTCTCTCATTGGCATGCGCCCGAGCTGATCGACGACGACGTACTAGGAGGAGGACGATGGCGACAAATCAGAGGGCTTCTGGAGGGAGTTCTTCCTGTTGCGACCCGACCGGCCGACGCTGAGGAGGATTCTAAACGACATCCACCCGGCCGATTTACTGCTCCTGGAGGGGCGGACGAGAGAGCTCTTTAGCCAGGCCATCGCGGCGGTTAAGAATGGCAAAGGCTCGGCCCCCTTATATGCTCTTGATGTGCGCAGTGCTACGGAAATCCATTGAGTTGCTTGTTTTTGGCTTGGACCATTTTCATGGCTGACATCTTCACGTAGACCTTGAGCGTCTTTCTCGCCTGCGTATTGACCAAGAAGCACTCGCATCCGAGCTCCGACATCATCACCATACTGGCCGGTCTAGATCACGTTGATACTGTGTTTACAGATTTCGTGAGCACGCTTGATGGGATCATTCGCAATGGGACAAACTGTGTGTACACCTGTCAACATCTGCTGGATGCTGTACGAGTAAGCTGACGGATGGAACGATGCTAGTGGAGCTGAGCCACAAGGCTATCGAGGTGCTACTAGCCGTCTCAGCGGGCGCATATCAGACGACGCTTCTTACGTACATGATACAGAGGGACCTCTTTCCCTCCATTATGAAGGTAATGCTGTAGTGATGATGGGCCAACAGTAGGATGGTTATTGACCATTGATTCATGTGTTAGTTTATTCAAAGCTCGGAGCAACCTGAGCAAGGCCTAGAACCGTTTACACTGTTGGGGATACTCGCCAACTATAACAAGTTTGAGTTCCAAAACCCATATCAACTACGGTTGAACGATTTCGTCAACGAGGCCGTCATTCAAAAAGTCGTCCGCTGCATTGGAGATGCATGCCAGGCGTTACGAAATGATTACATTGACATTCAAGAGGACTTGCCGGAGGGCTGGACGTTGAGTAGCACTCTAAACATGTTTGGACTTGGAGCCATCACGCCCGGTCCAAAGCCTGAGAAGAAGCCCGTGTACGACGCTGCAACGCAGAAGCAGCTGTTTACGAAACTGTAAGTGATTTTAAAATCCTATGAGATGCAGCGTCGATGGATATAGACTAATGTGCTGCAGACCTGGCCAAAATGCGGCCGTTTTGTTGGCAACATATGATTTCTCTCATGCGAACAAATTGTTTTGCTTTCATCTCGTAACCTTGCCCAGTGAAAGGGGGAAGGAGCGTCCCATGGCCAACTACCTGTCACTCACCTCTTATCTTCTGCAGCACTCTCACCTGTCGTCTCGAGCAACATATTATGCGCATCTCAACCTGATGGTGTTTCGTCTGCTGATTGAGGACCCGGCCATCTGCAAAAAGATTTGCAGTGACGAGTCCAAGACGTCTGTGCGGCTCTGTCGACAACGGCAGCCATTCCTGCCCCTGGTCAAGGGGGAGCGAGTTCTTGCAGCATGCGTTCTTGATACTATGCTGGACGGTATTAACCACAACCTAAAACGGCGGTTGGACGTAAGCCTCTATGTTCTCTGCCTAGGCATCATGCTCCGAATCATCTCCTATCTCTCGCGGTCCCGAACAAGACTGAGTTATCATTGGTCGGAGTTTTTCCGTTCTTTGCTGTCGCTCATCCGATTCCTCAATACGTATGCTTCAGATTTGAAAGATTTACAGCACATCGACACAGTCCTCGACCACGTCGTGAATTTGGTAGCATTGTCGCTGTCTGCCGGCGAGGCCTTTTTGCCAACTCCAGCAGCATACGACGACCTCTTTTACAAAGTGTTTGAATCGGGCGAAGTACTAGCTTCTTTTAAGGAAAGCTACCGGCTAGGAAATCGCAACAGCAATTCCATTGACACGCTGATCAACGTCAGCGCACACTACAAGCAAATGCTCACCGAGAGAGGCAACTCGGAGAAGAAGTTGCCCAGCAACCTGACGACGCATCAGGTCGCCGAGGTGATTAAGCAGGGCTACGAGACCCTCAGCATTCAGGCGAAGGAGGGACTGGATGGGTGGGAGAGATACCGGGAGGCGGACGAGAAGATTTTGCTCAAGAAGCTGGCGAGGACGGCGGTGGGAGATGTGATGGGTATGGTGGAGCGGCAAAACTAACGTATTTAATATACTGGGATCATCTTTTACTTTTCTCGGCTTCTTATTCTTCTCCTTTTCTGCTATTGTTTTTGTATTTGTGTTACTTTTTTTTTAATCAAGCCAGCATCTTCGATTCGTCTTCGATTCGTTTTTGATTCGTCTTTGAGGGGACTGTTGGCAGGCCTATAGAGTGAGTGGTGAAAAGAAAGGAAAGGCTACTCAAGACACGGCAAGTAGCCTATATGAATTTCTCATCAAGGCTGTATAGCAAGGCACAGGGTCAAGGTCAAGCCTCTTATGTGTATTAACAGCATATTCCATCCGTCAACTTAGCTCCTGTCATGCGTAATATCAAAAACAACAACAGGGCGCTTTATATATTACAGACCCTCACTCACCGGCGTACTGTGGATAAACCTTGCAAAAGTACTCTCCGTTACCATCAGTCTATAGATACATATCATGAGTCATCCTGCTTAGTCGAAAAAGTTAATAAAAGGATTCTCTTTCTCATCTCCATCAGCTGATACCCACATCTCTCCGCAAATCCTCGTACACGGCAGAAGCATGTAAGCTGGCCCCCTTTCCGGTCCATAAACGTGATCATTCCATTACTCAACAGCGAATATACATAAAAAACGCCGACCGCCAAACAAAAAGCATCACATGCGTTCTCCTGTCTCACCCCCTAGTAGGGGAGCAATCCCACAGTGAATCATGAATCATCATCAGCCACCGATATCGCCTTCGGAGCAAACAACGTTATGACGGGCTTCTTCCTCCGTTTGTACTGTAAACGACTAGGAAATACGCAAACGCTTCTGTAATCATCTCCGTTATTTTTCTTTTCTTGGGGGGAGTAAGACCCGCAAATTCATGTAAAGTTCGTTTGTTTGGGCGCCCGCTAAGCCCCATACAGTTATTGCGCTGTAGCTCCCGATGCAGCTAGTTTGCGCGGAAGAGCAACAGCGAAGCGCAAGTACATGTTTTTCTTCGTCTTGGACTTCCTCTTCCGTTTTTCTTGTATGGGGATGTCAAGAACAACCAGGTATGATATTTACGTTTCTATCATAAATGTATAAAAAGAATCTATCTCATCCTTCTCCCCTCCTTCAAACAAAGACCTCGTATCATTTTCATCTCTCAGCTCAGCCGCCACGCCGCATCTCTCGGCTCGATTTCCAGTCCTCTCCACATCCAAAAGATCCTAGTCCACAAGTCCGGCATAGGGCGCGCGAACCGAAAGCCTGTCAAAAAGCTTACTCAATACTACATACATAATCAACATTTAACAAGCACAGCTCCCAGGGCGCGCAAATGACAACCAAACGACATGTGAGATCCAATATTTTTTTCTACATGGCTCCACTCCCCATCCGATAGATATATATGGACGGTGCCCACACACCGCTGGTGTCGTCACTTTGAGACGAGCTGAGGGAATGGTCTTTTTGTGATTAGTCTGCTCTACACTCTACTCTACTGCGGGTGCAGCTTTCTTTTCCTTCTTCCAAACCCCTTTCTTCTTCTTCTCTTCTCTTTCCTTCCTTTTCTGTATATTGCGCTTTTGTTTTATTTCATTCTTTATTCATTCCGTTTTTTATTTTCACGAAATCGGAATAGAAGAGAAAGGGAAGCTCATACCATGGACCGGATACTCTTACTGCACGACGCCCTTTGCGGCAACTCGACGACAACATAGCCAACTTCCCCTCGACGTCGGCAACTCGACATCGATATGACAGTCCAACGATGTCGACGTCTTATACAACGCCTTCAGCAATCATGACACATGTTACGAACCACTGCCGAAACTTGCACCATCCAAGCCACTGAGTAACGAACTTCCAACCAACAACTGCGTCTTCGCTCAATGCGGAAAATCTCTCCGACTTATACTTTGGGCTTTACAACTCAACAAAGACGTCACATATTTCAAAGACAATGCATCATATGAACAGGTATTTATTCGTTTAATTCCCATCCCCTTTGGAGCCTTACTTCCAGCCCCCATGGTATCTTGTAGTATAATAGAAAGACGAGTTAATTGTTTACAGGAAGATTTCGTGCCACGACATCAAGGGTATGGTCGCATGCGCAGCGTTACATGATCGTCATTTGGGCTCACTCAGTCGCCCACTCCAGCTCTGCATCTCACAAGTTCTGTACCGTCTAACGGAGAGGCAACTTGTATGCATTAAAAAAAGAAAAGAAAAGAAAAGAAAGAGATCGCCCTCTAACCGCAGTGTTCTTTAAAAGAAGTGGTCGAGGAGACGTCTCCAGGCGGGCAAGGCAGCGAGTGCCTCGCGATCGGCGCGGATCTGATCCCAGTCGAACTCACGGAGGCCGGTGTCGACGTCAATGTTCTTGGTTCTCAGGAGAGGCTCACGCTTCCAGACCCAAGCGAAGATCCAGAAGCCCAGGACGACGGGAGCAGCGAGGAACTGCTTGAAGAAGCCCTCCGCAGTACCCATACCCTTGACATCGGGGCCAGCAATGATGGCAGTGTAGAACTAAAGGCAGGCAGGTCAGCAAAATGTTTCTGGGGAGACAAGGGGTAAACAAGGGGTTCATTCTTACCTGGGCCATGAGGACAATGACGCAAAGGAAAAGGCCGAGCCAAGAGCCATAGACACCACCGACAGCCTTGAATGGAATCTCATCCAGGCTGTGTCCGTGGTACTTCCAGGCCTTGCGGAATCGGATGTGAGCAACGCAGACGGAGCCCCAAGTGAAGAGAGCGGCCAGACCGGAGATGGCAAGAAGCCAGTCAAAGACAACGGGACCGGTAGCGTCCAAGCTGACGTAGGCGATGAAGCCGAACAGGATGAGGGCAATGACAGAAGGCAGGGGACGGCCTGACTTGTCAATGTAGGTGAAGAGCTTGGGAGCATAGCCCTGCTGAGCGAGAGCAGTCAAGGTTCGGGATCCACCGTAAACACCAGACACACCGATGGACAGGACGGACACGAGAATGACGAGGTTCATGAAGTGGTCGAAACCCTTGAGGCCAGCATACTTGCCGACAAGCACAAAGGGAGAGGCCTTGGAATCGGAATAGGCGGCAGAAGAGAGCAGAGCGGGATCATCGCTGTCGATCAGGACTCCAACGAAGAAGAGGCCGAGGATGTAGAAGACGGTGATACGCCAGAAGACCTGCTTGATAGCACCGGGCATGTTCTTGGTGGGGTTGTCAGACTCAGCAGCGGCGAGACCAACCAACTCAGTACCGGAGAAGGAGAAGGCGGCAGTGACGAAGACGGAGCAGAAGCCCTTGAAGCCGTTCTTGAACGCACCGGGGTTGTACCAGTAACGAGCACCCCAGTATTCGTCGTAGCGACCGCTGCTGGGGCCGCCACCGCAGACGAGGACAAGAGCAATGATCATGAAGATGACAGTTGCCGCGAGCTTGAAGCAAGATGCCCAAAACTCCTCTTCAGCGTAACCCAGAGCACCAAACAGGTTGATGATGATGATGGCGACGAGGAAGATGGTGATCCACACAGCAGTCGAGATGTTGGCATTCCAATACGAAATCGTAATACCACAGACGGTCAACTCAAGCGGAAGAACGGCAGCCCACTGAAGAACATAGTTCCAGCCCATGGCGAAACCCCAGGCAGGATCGATGAAACGAGCAGAGTATGTGTAGAAAGAACCAGAGACGGGATACATGATGGCGAGTTCACCGAGAGCATACACGACGTTGAACATCATGATACCGATGATGAGGAAATCAATGAAGAGAGAACCAGGGCCCTACAATTTTCAATCGCGTTAGCAAAATCGAACACGCTCGAGTCGACACGAAACGGAGCGGTAAAAAGAACTTACACCTCTGCTGAGAGCACCACCCGAACCGACGAAGAAACCAGCACCAATGGAACCACCAATGGCAATCATGTGCAGATGGCGAGCCTTCATGGGACGCTCAAGCTCCACCATGCCTTTGCCATAGTGCTTCTTCTTGAAGGAGTCGGCATTGAGACCGTTGCGGGTGAACCAGTTGGAGTCGCGCTCGGGGCCCTCCTTGGGGATGACCACGGTGCTGGCCTGGTAGTCGACGACATTGTCGCCCTTCTCCGTGGGAGTGACGACGCCGGATTCCTTGGACATGATGGATGTGTCTCTCTGTGTCTTTGTCTAAGCGTGAGACAGTTAGACTTGAGGATGAAGAAGAGAAAAGAGAAGGAAGAAGAGGCAGAAGGTGGAGGGACAATCGGCCTAATAAATGAAGACGGTCGACCCTTTGGAAACAGGGATACCGATTAAGAGGGCGGTGTCGACTAGGAGGGCCGGCAAGGACAATTTATGCATGGAAGCCTTCACGGGAACCAAAAGGCCCAAAAGGACGTTGCACCGGAGGCTGTCTGGGGTGGAGGGGGCGAGTTTGGGGAGGCTTGCCTTGGTGTGAGGCTAATGAAGTTCGAGACTTTTAGCTTCGCAGCTCTTTTTTCGCGGGTGCCGGGGGGTGTGAGGCGAGAGAAGTGGGAATTTTGGGATCAGATGGAGATGGAGGGAAGAGGAGGGGGGGAAGCGAAGGATGCGGAAGAAAAGAGCCAAGTTCTGAACCGAGGCGGGAACGTACCTTGACTTGCAAATCAGATGCAAACGATTTGAGTCTTTTTGCTTTGGGGGGTGGGAGGCACAGTGAGGCACAGCTTGCAGCACATGCAAGCCAAGAGCAGAGCAGAGACAAAAAGGCCCTTGAATCGGGTGGTGAGGTCCTGATCAGGCTACGGGTTGCATGGGTGGGAAGAGAGAGAATTGAGAGGATGAGAGGATGATGGAGGAGTTGCACGGGGACTGTTAAGGCTGGAGGTACGGGTACATGGGTTGCTGCAGTGCTGTTGCTCGGATAATACAGCGCTCTCTCACCTGAACGCAACTCAGCTCGATCACGACAACACGACACCTCGCCAAATACGACATTGAGAGCAATCCATCCCTACTGTACCTGCTACAAGCACACAACATGCATCTGCATGCTGGTAACCCACCCGGGCCTGGTACAAGTACTGTACTCCGTACACTCCCAAGCGATCAAATTGATCCATTGAAGCAAAGAGCGCGGCCTTTGGTGACACGGCGTTGCCAGTCCCAGGTACGAGCGCTACACCATCCAGTATGGCGCATATCTCCAAAACGCTCCAAATCCCCGGCCCTCCAACGCTCTCTGCTCTACTCGACGGGGCTACTTACTTCAATTGCTTAACTCTGCTCCGGTCCCGTCCCCACACAGGCCTTGCGATAACCCATTACGCGCGTGCTGGATCCTGGTCCTGGTCCAAGGGAGGGCCCCTCACCCCCCCCTTGCTTCCCCAATCCCAGACCCAGACCCAGAGCATCAATGGCTGCATTGAGCATCTGGTGGTGCAGATCTTGGCGGCCCTTTGGTTTCTTTGGTTTTGCCCGAAACAACTGGCCACTTGTGGTGCTTTGTGCTTGTACTCGTGGTAGTACTGCCTGCAGTGCTGTGTCGTGGACGATGCTTGCTAGGTTCATGTTGCTTGCTGCAGGCTCGCACAGAACAAGGCAGCCCCGGTGGTGTAGAGAGAGACAAGACGAGACGAGACAAAGAAAAAAGCCGAAGCCATCCAATCCATGCTTGTCTGTCTCCGGTGAGCGATATTGCCTGCTGCCTGTGCAATCCTTGAAGGTTGGATTCTGCGAGAGCCATGGATGTTTATCATCGTCCCCGCATTGCTCTATCGCTGATGGCAGCCATTCGGATTATCAAATCGTTTCGCTGCCGCTATCAGTGGATGCCGCGTGATGCCTCCAGCGAACCAGACAGTGGCCCACTGCCCCTACGGGGAAGTTGGGGGTTGCTTGGGCTGCTGGCGTTTTAGTGGACTCTGCTCGCGGATTACAGGGGACGACAGGCAGAGTGCGTGGAGATGCTAGCGCAACGGGGCAGGTGGCGCAAGCGAAATCGAAAAGCAGGCCGCCCATTGGCTGGTGCGACTGCCCACCTCGTAACATGCAAAAGGTACATTGGATACTGCACATGGACTGTTGCAGCGAGCGACGGCTGGTGATGCACCGAACGATACAGTTCTGTTCCATTAGCATTGATGGACATGGACCTGCACGTCCAGCCTCATGGCGAGCAAGGAAGAACACGGTAGCGCTGATCACTGCTACACCAGGTCTAGATGCCTCGACCCGGGATCGCTGGGACTGTATTGGCGCTGCTCGCTCTTCACCAGTCGGAATACATGGACGAATCGAGGTGGCATCGGTCCTTCGCTGCATCCAAGGGATCTCGCTCCAAATCCAAAGGACCCAGCAGGGGAGGGAGCCTTGCCTTGCCTTGCCTTGGTACTCGTGTCAGCACCATCACACCGCTGGCACTTTGGGTACCTGTACTTGTTCCTGTACCTACTCAACTCGTACTCTCTTTCGTCTTGGTGCGGGCACTTGGAAGCATGCAGTCGAGCAAGGGACTGGATTCCTAGTACCTGCCCGCCTCGCCTCGCCAAACTGTTTGGCATCCCCAGCTAAAAGTACTAGCGACGATCTACTGGACAGGCTTCCCACGGCTTGTTCAACGATCCGTATTGCATCATCGCATCGTGTTCGTTATACTGTAACATCTGATGGCATTGTTTTACAGACAGACAGACGACTTGAGAAGCTACATGCATGAACCACTTGTAAATTCAACTGAACTGATACATAATAGCCAGACCTGCTCAGGCTTGCCTGACTGGCCATCTCCATCCCACGATGAACCCTTACTCGTGTCAGGCCGACAATATTGGATGTGATTCAGCTCGCTCGGCCATCTGAAGCAGTCCGTCGCACTCACAAACGCTCGCAATCTGCCCAGACATCACCAGACTCGACTCCGCAATGGTTCCATTTCTCTCTTGCTTGGTCGCCGTCTTTGCTGCACTCCCTCTCGCACCTCCTTTGCACGCCACATGGCCCAAGTTTCGCCTCGATCATGCCGGCTGCTTGCCTCCGATAGCTCTTCTAGCCTTGCTAACGAACGACGAGACAATGTTTGATCCACATCATCCCTATCAGCTCGTTGAACGGCTGAGCCGACACATGGCCCAAGCTGAGCTGCCTCGCGGCATCTCCTCGCGGCATCTCCTCACGCCCAACACACCGGCCACACACCGGTTGGCATCATTCCGAAGATCTCGTCCAACTCCGAAGTTACTGTCTCTCCGAAGTTACTGCATTCTATAGCCTCGTTTTCCAACAACGCCAAGAACAGATATCCCCCGCCACTAGGCCTCCACCACCACGATAGCACGACAGCCTGTGGTTGGTGGCTGCATCCCCGCGCAGCCGGTTTATCTCTTCAAGCTTAGCACTAAAGGCACTTGCGCTTCGTCCATTGGATCTGGTGCCTCCCGGTGGCGACGTGCGTCTTCCATGAAGCATTCTAGCAAGCTTCTGCCCTGCTGACCTGCCCTTCCTGGCCCAAAGCTGTCCTCTTGGCCCGAGGCGCCGGCGGGTCGCATCTACCGCACACATCACTTCTGGTATCATCCCCGATTGTCCAATTTCACAAGCCGCGGGGGCGAACACGAGTCGTGAGCCAACAGATGGCCACTGGCTGGGAGGACAAGAAAAGCGGTCATTTTGACTCGCAGTCCATCTACCCCAAACACAGCAAGCGCCGCTTTTACCTCTCTAAATGACACAGCAGAGGAAGAGGCAACCTTCACCATCTCCAAAGCATTACACAATGCTTCATGTAAGCGGCCGAATACGCTGCTGGTCCCAGCGTTTCCAGGGGTTACTGTCATCATTGAGACTATCACTACTGCTACTGCTACTGCTTGCAGGACTCCGTACGTCTGCAGCACTCGGCCACCTTGATACCCTGGTCATGGTTGCTGGAAATGTCACCGCGTGCAGGTTCCCTTGTGTTCCTGGCCACACCAATACCGCACAGACGGTGTAGAGCTACGAGTACCTAATCCCACGGCTCCTTGCATGATCAACACCAAGCGCCAGAGACGCGAAGCCAGCCACGACGCTACCCTCGGGGACCTCGTCAGCCTCAACAGGGCTATTGGCAACACAATGACCATCTCGCCTCCCCCGTGACAAGATGAGAACGGCCTAGCACAACCACTAATACCGCCCAGGGCTGTCTGTATCCAGGTCCCTAGAATTACAGATACGGCACAGAGTGTGCAAGTAGTTCTATTCGTAGTATCGATTGCTAGTGGCATGATGTGCTTGGGCTAGCCCACCCCGAGTCTGCGAACTGGGCTATCTGACTAGTATATCGCCAGGTAGGTTGTGATAACATGGCCATTATCTCCTAGCCCATCCCAGCTGGATTTGAATTACGCTTCGTCTGCCATTCTCTTGACAAGTGCCATCTTAGATGGGCAACGCTTGAACCTTGAATGCCTTTAGCGCACCCTGACTAGCCCGTGGCGCTATGCTTGTGCTTGATTGTGCCTCGTTCGGCTAATCTCTTCCCCTCCTGTGTGATAGCTGAGGGCAATTATGCATCCTTGACACCAGAAACCTGGCCGCCACAAGACCGTATCTCAACACTAGAATGCGACATTTTCTTTCTAGAAGCCGCTCACTCAGCTCGATGGCGCTACAAGCGTGACTTTTCTGGCCACCAACTCGTCGGCTCGTACTTTGTACTGTCAGCCCGGTTTGCGAACCCAGCGGCACTGATTGGCTGGCGTCGTGATGGCCTCTACCTTCTACTCGTACGCCTGTGCCATATTTGGAGCGGATGAACTAGTTTGCCCTTGTTGCTAGCGCCGCCTTTTGTCTCCTCACCAGATATCAATCTAACTGTGCGTTTGCCCGTTTATAGAGACCAGACTCGAAACCTGGCGGTACACACGGACCACGAACAGCTCATAGACCACGACTAGCAGCAGTACGGGGTATCGCTAGCACGAAAGAAAAAGAGTCACAGCTTGATGATAAGCACATGCCAGGTGGAGAGGAGAAGAATCTCGGCACCGCAGCAGCATCGACGCACGTGCGCTCTATCCATTTGCAATGACACGGTCCCTCCCCCATCGCCATCCGCCCACGCGTCTCGTCTCGTCTCGATTTCGTCCCTCTCGACGGTTGCATAATCAGAGAGGCCCTGATGCTACACCAACACGATTCGACTACTGGAACGTTGGCGTAGATCGCATGTGCGGTGCCCCTACACTCCCTACTTAACCTACTGGCCTAGTCAGCAACCGCCCGCAGGAACAGCCTTCTTTTGGTGCGAAGGTGGCTGCAGCAGTGCCTTGTCTACCCAGCTAGCCCATCTGTCTGCCGCTCTATCCAAGGCTTCTCTTGTCACCCCGCAAACCGCCCAAATTCTCCGTACGGCAAGGCGGCGCGGAGGGCGCATCTTAAAATGGCCCGTATGTACTTGTAAACGAGTGAGACGGCTTCTTTGTTCTAGAATCGCTGGAAGCGCTAGATTGGCACATCTAGCACAGGGTCCCAAAGATAGAGAGCTGAGACAAGACAAGACGTTGGTGAGCTGCTTTGACACCACCATGCATCACTAACACGAGACGACCACGAGGTAGTCCTACTACTAGTATTACTACTCATACGGCACCGCGGAATACTACTTTGACTCTACTGCTACGATGGAGTCTCTGTACATACGACCAAATACCACCTTGGCAGTAGTATTCGCATCTCCAGCTAGCACCCAGCAATGGCCCTTGCAATCTCATGCCACCTCTCCTACACGCTATTGGGGATGTCGGGTGCCAATTGTAATGCCTGCTTCAACCTGTTGCTCCGGCCATGGTTAGCCACACATGGCTAGGTCAAGCTGCCTGGTGCTGCAGATGGGCGAATGACACTGTTCCCAGGGATCGGCGACGCCGTTTCCTCCACTAGGATGCGATTTGGTATGCATGGAATACCGATAACTAGAGCGAAAAGAGACCGAGCTGATAAGCACCTGCTGGTGTGCCCTCAGCTAGCGGTAGTACAAGTATGGAACGATTTCACATTGGCATCTGACGCGGAGCTGCCGCGCCTTGTCTCAGCTCGATAAGGCTAGGCCAGGCCATAAGTATGTCTAAAAACAAGATGATGGCCATAATCTTTTAGCAAAACGGGAAAGGCAGAAGCCGGCCGCGATTCAACACATCGTTCCCGCGCCTGAGAATGCGATGACTACTACGAGTACATACTACCTGTCACTCCATATCTCTCCAGACATGGTTCATCGTGGTGCCTTTTTCCGTTTTGGGGGATCCGCCGCGCCGAGACCGAAGATTGGGCAAGGGCAGCAATGACACGTTGATTGTTGGTCATCTCTTTACCAAGAATAAACCATAGCACGAGTCAGTGTCAATTAACGTTCGTCAATCTTCCCATGCTGCGGCTCCGCTTTCACGTCGAGGCTTTGGGCGCCTAAGTGTCTAAGGGTGCAAGAGTGGGAAAGCTGAAAGGACATGGCGCGTTTGGTGCTCCAGATGTGGACTTATCAAACTCCGTATGGATCGTTTTCACTGAGAATAGCTCCACCAGCATCCATCGCTTGACAGCTTGAGAGGAGAAAACCCCTCAAGAGATTCGAGACTGATCAAGCCTCTCGAGATAGCCGGCGAGTTTCGAGCTGTCAAGGTCTTGACACCCGCCTTTGATATTCCGGGGCAATCGTGCATTGCGTAATAGGCATCGGGTTGCAATGGGGGATTTTGCCAAGAGGCTGGGTGGCCTCCCTCGAGACACGACCGTTGGCGACGACAATCTTGCCCTTCTCTGTAACCCAAATACCACGGTATAATGAAACCGTATCCACGCCGAATGGACTACTTTGATTCAAGCTTATTTCGCAACGGTTTGGACGCAATTCGACAGCGCAAGCTTACAACTACCAAGACTGGACTCTCCAACTTTTTGCTTTCGCCAAGCTGAAACTCTCTTGAACAGGTCTCGACCGCATATCTCTCGATAGCGTCCTTTCCCCCTCACGAAACTAGGCAAGCCAGGAGAACCGGCATTGAGCATTCTCAGGTGATGCGGAAGCCATTTGTCAAGATGAGCAAGCTCGTGATGGAATCACTCTGGTTCTCTGGGCTCACCCTCCTACCCCTCCCCGTGGTGGAGTTTCAATTACGTACAAAATGCGGCCTCCTTCAACGATGGCGAGATCCTGGAATCTGGCCTCTCCAGTTTTCGGCCCCATCGACTAGAATACTCCAAGATGAGAAGCAGATGAAAGGTCCGTGATGGCAAGCAGAATCCGGGGCCCCAGGTTTTCGGTGGATGAAGCTGTGGCGAGCCCATCGTGGGCCCGTGGTCTATGTGGAAACCTGCAACGAGATCATCATCACCCAGATCTGAACTTTGTTTTCTCATCCGGATTCTTGTTTTTTCTTGCTTCGGACAAGGCTTGAACTCAATTAACGAGAGGACTTGGAGTTTCTTAGGGAACGTACTCCGTACTTCTTCTGGTTGCATTCTAGGCTCGGCAATTCGCGGCTGAAGCCCAACCCTACTTTGTGTGTGTGCTTAGCATGCATCCGTGCAGAACGCGCAATTTGCTCCCGCTGCGCCATCATCTGCGCTCTGCATGATGGTTGTATCTTTTGATTGGATTACCGGTGAGGCTTATTCCTTTATTCCGACCCCCAGGCCATTTTGATGAAGTGTTTTTTTGCGTGTTTGATTGCAGATTTCCCCTGTTTTTGTCCTGGTGCCGTGGCGTTATTGCCACTGACTCAAAGGGTCAAGCCAGTTTTCGCCGCTGACCTTGCTCTGTGCTACGGTGGCTTCAAGCCACGAACTGGGGGATAAAAAAACAAACCAGCGGCAGTTGTGGGAATGCGACGAGTAATTTCATTGATGCATGCGGTTGTCCGAGTCGTCCGGCGAATAGCAAAATGCGCAGAGTAAACGTGTAGTTGTCTCCCAACACCCGTGTCATGCAAGAACGGACGTTTTCAGCCGGGAGAGTTGCGCGCGTAAAGTTTAGTAAAAACGTAACCAACTGATTCCCTTGGTCAGTTCAACGGAACTTGTAGGATTAGCGAATTGACTCTAGGAGGATTTGTTCCAAACCTTCTAGCTCCATTTTTTGACTTTTTTCTTTACTCCGGAGTCTTGTCTTGGGGGGAGGCAACTTTGCGTGCGGGTAACTGGGATGGCGCTGCCGCTTGTGAGAAGCCCGAATTGTTTGCTCTAAATCCGCCAGATTGCCTATTGAGGGAATATGTGCGTGAAGTGGCTTGAAAGCCAAAAGCGAATTTCCAGGGAAAAATTGAATGGGCGTGTCGCTTCTCGTCGGAGCATGACTCCCTTTTTGAGATTGTGTTCCGCGCTGGTGGGTGGCGAAAGGAAAGGATTCCGCGCATTCCACATTTTTTGTTTTCGATCGAGATGAGTGTTTTGGGGGAGACTCTGCTTATTGGTTTGAGTTGATTTGGTCGTAAAAAAGAATCCAATTGTAATTTGTCTTGTGGTACCCCGTTGATTTGAATGGGAGATTGTGTGAGAGATGGTTGACTGTTGTGGAACTGCAATTTGACGGTTACTATTAGATTGATGTTACCCTGTAAGAGGATATTGAACCTGTTTATTGAAATTAATATCATTGAATCTATCAAACTCTGGGAGCTGTATCGAAGAGTAGATGTAATAGATGTGGTATATTATCTAGATATCTATTAGCATTTTGCTGGACAGGATATTCTCTAGATCTGTGGAGCCATCAGGTTGAATGTTTTGGATTAAGTTATCTTCATTTTCCCATATGGTCCTCTCATATCTCTCTCGAATACCACTCTCCTGCAAGATCATCGATATTTGGTAGTGTAACCTAAGGAGATCGGGATCTGGCATCGCAACTGCTGGGTCTGACTGTGTTATAGTGATAGTTTTCGATAAATCTCGAGCTACGGAATAAACAGCGCCGAGATCATGGACATGGTATTTGTGTTCCTAAATTCCAGCAGAGATTTAGTAATAATTCCCTGCGTAACATCAAAGGTCTAGGCAGTACCGTATTCGTAGGTTCAGCGGCAATACGATGTGCGGCGAATTCCATATGAGCCTCTGACCTCAGAGTTATAGCATTTTCGGGAGCGTTGATATTTTCGGGCCCGATTTTCCCTACGACGAAGGGAAAGTAGCGGTAAATCGCCCTCCAAACCTGGGCCTTGGTTTCGGCCTTTCTGCTAGTCAGCTTACGAAGAGCAAATTGGGGTAAAGACAGCCAACCTCCTGGGTAGAATTCGGGTTAAGCTTGCTTAAAGCAAAGGGAATGATATGTGCACATTCGGTTGTGCAAGACCGTAGATCTCCGCGGTTTTGTGGCGGTATACTCATGAAATGAAGTCGTTCGACCATGCCGGTGAGAACACAGCGGTGACCGTCTCTTGCCAAGCATGCTTGTTTGACAGCAATGTGGTCGCTCCTCAGCTCTGGTTGATTTTGACTTTCCTCTGCAGTTAAGCCAGGGATCACGATGGGGGACGGTGTAAGTGATTTAGGTTGTTTGCCGCCAGCTATTAGCACTGCATTTTCATATTAGTACGAAACAGGAGGTAGGAATTTGGACGGCATATTACTTACTACTCTTTAATATTGAGTCGACGAGGGAATTGCGGAGCTGCCTTAATGATGTGTTTCCGTTGAACTGTTTGATCTCTTGCATTAAGAGTGTTTTTGCATCTTCGCACAAGTATTTGAGGAATGCTCGTAACACCTTGGGGGTGTCATCTTGATTCTGACCAGGCGGATTCGAATAGTCATTCAGAATCTTGTCCACATCGAACTGTAGGGTCTTCCGTTGGGCATGATTTATACTGAGAGCCGGTGCGAGCTGATTGGGAGATTTTGAGCCTGGGTATTGGGCCAATATGTGTCTCCCTAATGGATCTTCGAATTCTCTGGCAAACATGGGTAGATCTAGGAGATCCAGTAGGCGTAGACAGATCTGGTAGGTTGAAGTAGAGATGGAGATTACGTACGGGGAAACTGGCGTTTGCAATGATATTGCATAGTCTGTGGATTGGGTTTTGACCGAGTGTGTTGAAAAACTGCTGCTGCGAAATAAACTCTGGTGGTAAGTGGGACTGACCTCAACCCTAAACTGAGGGTTACTTTTATCGTCATGGCTCGAATAACAACCAGATATGAGATTTGGTGAACTATATGCAGTCTTAATCCCAGAAATCATCATCCTGGGCAGCATGCTGACTGAACATCTTCTTATTCTGAGCTGATGTCATGATAGTATCGTGAGCTTCGACTCCGAACACCAAGTCATGAATGACGATCTACCTAAAACTTATACAAGTTGACTCATGTAAAGAATCCAACGCCACACCTTGGAATATATTCTATACTGATAACATATCTACAGCAAGGTCCATCATCAAACAAATCTCTCATTCACCCAACTGTTCTCGTCATGGCATCACATTGCAGGTCTTGTAACCAGTCCTCATTAAGTCCCCATGCAATCTATATTGTTAACTAAAATACTGCAAGTATTACCCCACTAACCCCAAGTAATATATCCATAGCTCTAGGTGTAAATGTTACGGCTTGCGCTTTTGAAGCTGTCGTTGATGTTGGCAGGGACCCCGTGGTTGTGGTGGTTAGCGTCGGTGCCCCGTACGGAGTAATGATAGCTGGAAAGTCCCCATCAGCGTCCGGAATTCCTGTCACATTCCCTATTTCCAAGATATTATCCGGGCCTGGGTTGGGATTCAGGGGCGCTACGGCGGCGAACATGTTATCGTAGTCCACAGCCAAATACATGTATTGAAGGAAAGTAGCGCCGATTTGTAATTCGCTGCCTGGCCCGGAGGTCAAGTCCGGCCTGTATGGCACGATGGTAAACTCGCAGGTATCGTCCTCAACAGGGATGAATAGTTCGCTCCAAGGTACTGAAATCGTGGCGCTACCAAATACCAGGGAGACGGTGCGATTCTCGGACTGCGTTCTGGCACAATCAACGATACCCATAGAAGCACTGAAGCTCGGGATGAAAGTCGGAGTGATGTCAAGATCGGCATAAATTTGCTGTACTGTCTTATTGGGAAGGAAAGTGAATATGTCAATCGTAGATAATACTGCTGTCGTTGAGTCGGCGAGGTTGTGTTTTGTGGTTGTTGGGCCAGCAGTACTGCTGTTGCCACTCTCCACAACAATTGCTGCGATTGGCGCGTTCACGTTGTTATTTGGTCCTGAAAGAGGAAATGCTTGGAGCGTCCCTTTGTACATTGCTTTGTTGACTCCACCGAAAAGCAACTGTCCCTGGTTATTTTGAGTCCCATAGCTCCAAAGGCTGAATGACGGAGAGTTGATGAAGCCCTGGTCAACCATCAGGTATAGCAAGGGTGAGCCAGGCGCAATGCCCATTCTACTGTCTAAGAAATTCCCAAGATCAATTAATTTGGCCTCCAGTACTAGGTTTGGAACACTCACAGTCACCTGGAGAGATATCGTTAAGCTACATGTGGACGCCATCTACTCTCTGGCTGCCGATTGTCACGACATCCGCGTTGACGGGGCCTTCCGGGTCTGATTTCGAGGGTTGTATCGACTTCATGGTCGACGACGCCGCAGGGCAAAAGTATCCCATGACAGCGCAATAGTCATCAGCAGCGCAGTTATATTGTGCTGAGGTTGTATTTGACTGCGGAACACAGTCCGTGGTGTTCGGCACGAGAAAAGCGATGAAAGCATTTTGGAGATCTACCGCCAGTCCTATCAGCTGTGGTGGCGTTCCGACACTCAATTTGACAAAGGGTGTAATGTCCTGCATAATAAAACGATACATGTCAGAATACGAGACGGCCAAACCGAATCACGATGCTAAACTCAACGTACGTAAAGCATGGTGTCTGCTTGAACAGTAGGAGATGGATTCCTTTTCTGCAGTTTCGCCTGAGAGACGGGGTGATAATCTACTGGAAGAGAAAAGACAGCCGGCATCTCTCGTTTTGTCAGTTGCATTGAGAGGCCTGCGACCCTTCGAAAAGGCGACGCCAAAGTGGCCAAAGCCATCAGGAGTGAGAAGTGCATCACAGAAAGGGTGAAACAGTGGTTCTCGGACTGGTCTTAGGGCATTTTCATCGTTGGTTATTCTGGCGAAGCAGGGAGAGTGTCAGAGCCTGGCCGTTTGCACCTCTTAAGGCTCCTCTCAGTTTTTGTAGAGTTCTGTAGAAGTTGGCGAGATTACTGTCGATTGTTGGTTGTTGGTTGTTGGTCGCATTTTACCGTCGAATTTCGGAGAAAGATGCAGGGGGGCTCATCCTGCCTGACGACTGCGCCACAGAAGTGCACCCACTGGAGTATAGGTGTCAAAGGTAGACTCGCGCTGTTACTTTTTTTTTTCTTAGTGTTTTTCTACAGTTTGCCGTTAGGAGAGAAATATTCATCCTGTTCGCACTTCTCAACTTCAATGTGCTGGATATGTCAAACTGAAACCAGTTACTACATAGGTCATAGCCTAAGAGGCCCGCGAAGGAACAGTCTCATAGCTCAACGCATCGCCAGAATGACAAACAGTAAGATAATATATACATATCAATGTGGGTTTCGAAACAGTGTCGTAGGGGATTTATGTGAATTTGGTATGCACGATGATGAGAACATGTTCAAATCACAGCCCTGCCTGACTCCAATAACCATGTAAACAGAGGAGTGTAAATTCGTTCGCCAATTATGGATACTAGTCGACGTTGCCTAGCGCAGGACGACCTTGGCTTGGATTCGGCGTTATCCCAACCTCGTACATGACCATGGTTCGAGCCATCCATTTAAAGTGACGCCACATCCCGGACTATTTCAAAGTTGGATTTGCAATCAAGTAGGCTTAAAATGGCGTGTCTTTTAGATCTCCCAAGCGAATTATTCTTCGAGATAGTCAAGCTCCTCGATATTGGCGGCAAAATCAACTTAAGTTCAACATGCAAATTTTACAGAGCCCAACTATTGCCAGAAATTTTTAAAACAATACGATTAACTATTGATGAGACATCGGCAACATCTGCACGGACTGTCGTTGAGACTTACGGCCAGTACACCAAAACAATCGAATTTATATGCCAATGCGAACGAGATGATAGGGCAACGGCACCGTCTTTGCTACCGGCAGCTTGCGAGGTCTTGAAAGGTCACTTCACGCCAAACCTACGGACGGTCAAAGTGAAGTTTGACTTTGACCTCGATAATGAAGCCAATGAGGTCTATCAGGACTTCGACTTTCATGAAGATGCGAACTATACGCGCGAGACGGAACTGCGAGACAAATGGCGGGCGCTTATGAACGAGACTTGGGAGGCTCTTGTAGCTAATACTCTCATCATCGAGCTTATCCTTGATTGGTTTCCCCCAAAATGGACATCTACATATCGTACTGATGCGTTTCGTCAATTTCTCAACCAGCTTGAATCTGCGACAATCAACATCTTTGGCTTCGAAGATTATTCAGGAGTCCGGACTAATACAATGGTAGAGTATTGTCAATTTCTCGCCAAATTGGATACTCTATTTTTCCGCCACATGAGAGGACTGAAATGTCTACATATTCAGGCTTCAGATCCTCTCGGCTACGCCGAAGAAGCGACTTCTATCCCGCTTGCTTTAAAGCCTGGCGATCTCCCTCTTTTACAATCTCTCACGCTAGAAAACTGTTTCGTCTGCCCAGAGTTGATTTCGTTCATACAAAGTCATGCTCAGGTCCTCAAATTTCTCGACATAGATGAGTGTTTCTGCGAACACGGGTCCGAAATGACTTGGGCTAAGTTCTTTGATGAGATATATGAAGCGAAGCCAAGGCTTACTGAGTTACTTGCTGGGGGCAATAAGGCGCCATTTCTGTTTGATGAAATGCCTAATTGGGAAGCAAACGACGCTGTTTTACTTATGCGCCAGAAGTTAGAGGCAGACTCAACACTAAAGATCTTTAGGCAGATGCATTTGGATCCTGATGAAGGTATACTCACTGTGAATCATGACAAAACTGTGGAGCGATTCAACCGAGGTGATGATCAGAGGGCATACGATCGTCTGATGGCACTAGTCAATGAGAATAGGCAAAGTCTGACCTAATATTGTCTGAATAACTATTTTATTGTTCATTCATTTTTTAAAATTTAAGACGGATTACTCTTTTTGAGCATTTTTTTTTTTATCCTTATGCGGCCAGTCTATAAGCCTCTTGGACTGGGTTTTTGCAACACCGTCTCAGACAGCTACCCGTTGGTCCCAATTTTAGATACCAACTGCGTGATGGGACCAACGGGTAGATTTACTTGTCCAGCCTAACAATAACATTCTCGCACTCTGCAACATATTCCCCTTTGTTCCTCTTGACCTCAATTGCCGCAACTGTCAACCACAATGCTAATGAGCGGGGCTTCGATCGTGAAGCAGGGCATTGTGCGCAACCTACGATCCGCTACGCAACAGCTACAACCCTGTGGAGTCGACCTCTCTTTATATCGCGTCTTGGCCTGGACTTCACCTGCCACAATCGACTTCGATAATTCACATCGACAGGCTGCCAATACCTCCGAGCTGCGCTTTAACAAAGACACCGAGACCATCAAACTACGCCAAGGGGCATATCTTGTCGAATTCAACGAGACTGTCTCTGTCCCATTAGATTATATGGGCCAGGTGTTTGTTCGGTCGTCACTGTGGCGGTCCGGCGCCACACTTACGGCGGGTGTTGGGGATGCCGGTTACGAAGGCGCTCTTGGTGCATTGCTCGATATAAAGAATCCAGCTGGCATCGTTCTTCACAAAGATGCCAAGCTAGGGCAGATCGTGATGCATCAGTTGGAAGAGAAGGTTGCAGGTTATCGTGGTATTTATCAGTTTTCGGGGAGCAGCCTGGGACGCGATGGACCTAGTATACAGTCTTGAGGGAAACAGCTCATTCAGTCAACTAAAACGATATCCCAGGATAAATTGAAATGATAATCGTCAGTAGACCAACTTTGCGCTGGATGACAATAGCCCCAAGTAGTCTAAGAGGAGTGCCATTATGTATGCAATTAGGGCTGCAAATCTCGGCCACAGAAGTATTACTAGAGCAATAGCATAGTTTTTAACAACCCAGCCAGAATTTGCGAGCAAATATAAGGGAGCATCCAAGTAGATCCATCCTTCTCTCTTGGGTAGACGCTTCACCGTTGTGTAACGTAACAATTCCACTTTACTTGGGAGAACAAGCTCTATGATACAAATAATGCAACCGCCATCTTAAAGTTTACGTACGGTGTGTGAATGGCTTAAGAATGTTTTCTGTCTCTCTTTGGACGAGTAGATAAAAAGTAGTGATTGGCTGTTTTTCTTTATGGCTGCAAGAGTGCCTTAGTGATGCAACGCTGACAAGGGTGGCAAGCCACAATTTAATTAGGAATGCATCCTTCTCAAACCGTTTCGCAACACGCCTTTCACCTTCTACTGTCATTGCAAACGACGGGAAGAAGATAAAAAGAAACAAAAAAAAGTTAAAAAAACATACAACAGCCGGTGTTCGCTGATGGTCACCCACTCAACTACTAATCTGCCGGTTAGAGGCTTGTCTATGGGGGAGCAGACGGGACCCCGAATTTTCCACTACCTATGGTCGTATGTGCTTAATCTCAGGGGTAGTTGGCCTTAAGTTGCAATGGAAGGCACTCACAACGAAAGAGCAAAAAACATACAACAGCCGGTGTTCGTCAGTGGTCACCTACCAGACTACTAATCTGCCTCTTTTAGCTTAACTCCGGGAGAGCAGACAGGATGCTGAATTATCTGCTATCTACGCTTACACATGGGCTTCAAGCATGCAGAAATTTGACTTATGACCCTTTTGCCTTTCCAGTCTTACTTTGGTTTGTGGCGTTGCAACTGATTACGCGTACTATATAATTATTGGTAGATGGCGGCCCCCACCCGTCCTTTACTACTTGTCTCTTTCTCTATTCTCTGACCAATCACTGGCTAGGTAATTGTCAGATCTTGCATAGGAGAGATTGAATAACACTACGTTATACATGGCTAATATCCTCCTTGAACTTTGGTGTAAGTTTTTCCTTCCCTATATATCTTTTTCTTACCAAATCTTCAATATGCTACTATTTTCCCCATCTACTAGCAAAAGAATGTTTTTCTTAGGTTTGTTAGATCCTACTACTTTACACAGCTCAGTCTCCTCCAGCTGTGAAATATATTTGCAACTCCAAAAGTCTTATTGCTAATTCATATATAAAAGCGCTTCTTTTTCAATTACTACCTGTTGCTTATGCTTTTAGCGCCAGCGCCTTTATCCTGCCTCTCGGGCAGAACTCGCCCAATTATACTTTCGCACTTAGTATTCCCAAGAACTCAACCGATATTTACTTCCACCTATCCGGACCGACCGACTACTCTTGGGTAGCGGTGGGAACAGGGCGCAATATGGAAAATTCACTCATGGTTTTGCTCTATGCCGCTGCAAACGGGAAGAGTCCGCTCATCTCTCCCGGTGGAAAGAGATTTAGCTTGGCTAATGTCACATTGCAGATGTTACCGTTAGCCCTCGTCTCTGCTCTGGTCATCAAGAGCCGGTCTATTCGTCTGCACTAGCCGTCGATATCCTAAATGGAACAGGTATATCTGGGAATACAATGACACTTAACGCACGATGCTCGAATTGCGTACACTGGGGAACTGGCTCGCTAGATCTTAAATCCTCGTCTCAGTCATGGATTTATGCCCTGGGTCCAAGTGGTGGAACGGCTGCAATGCTTCGGAGCAACTCTAAAACTGCTAGCATTGAGAGACATTCAAGATACGGTTAGACATAGTACCTTTTACACTATCACCTCACCAGCACTTCTTGTTTTCGAACCTGGCCGCTAATCTAAGCTGTCTTGCTAGGGCGCTTTACCATGGATATGGTGCGTGCAAGTAGTGACTCTGCAGGACTCCCTGCATCGTTTGCAACTGCAGCTGGCTCTAATATGGACGGATCCATCACGATTGATAGCAATTGGCCAAGCATCATCCACGCTCTCTGCCTTTGTGGCACATTTGTTATAATGATGCCTCTTGGTGTAACATTCCTTCGCATCTTCCCACGAAGTGTTCGATGGCATTGGATAAATCAAACTCTCTCCTCTATAATCACCGGTGTGGGGTTTATAATCGGGATTTACCTCAGCACTATGTTTACCAAGTCGGAGAAAGCTAACTCGACACATCAAATCATCGGTATTATGATCGGCCTCGCACTAATCATTCAGCTAGGGATGGGATCCTGGCACCATTGGGTCTTTAAGAATACTAACTCTCCCACTATATTTGGCAGAATTCATCACTACTTTGGACATATTATAATACTACTTGGTATTATTAATGGTGGTATCGGACTGGCTTGGTCTTATGCATCTAGGTCAGTTGTTATTGGGTATTCTATTGCTGTACTTGCTATTTGCTTGGTATATCTTGTTGCTCTTTGGAAGGCTAAGTGGGACACCAAGCACTATAAAAGAAGCCATGCAAGTGCTGTTAATGAGCTTAACCAGCCTGGTTTGGGATATGAATTATAAAATGATATTATCAGAAGCAACATGTACAATAAAAGGCGAACGAGCGTCGCGAATACATACTTAACTACAATAAGCAACGGTATACCACCGTCCCCATGGCTGGCTCTGGCCTGTCCCTTTCTAGATCCTTGTCTCGTAGAATTTGTACTTGTTTTAGATCTCTTGGTCGATGGCTCAGACGCCCGTAAGCTGGCGGCTTCGACCTCGGACGCAGTACGAGTACGTCGCATACTTAAAGTCAGGCGCCTGCCCTTCGTTAGGTTAAGTTAGTAGGAAAGGAAGCAGCTGTAATAATGACGCTGCTGTACTAGGAGCGTTGTTAAATAATATAATTGTTACGACCTGATCTAGCGAAGGTATGTACCTTGGATAAAAATATTACTTACTTTATAATAATATAAAAATTATTTTATAAATAAGTTAAAGAGGATAAATAACTTTTTAAATTTAAGTTTATTATTAAATACGATAGTAAATTAAATAATAAATATATTAATATATTTAGTAAATATTTAAATTACTTTTAAAAAATATTAGAAATTTAAGTATAAATACTAAAGAAAAACTAATATAATAACTTAATAATTAAATTAATTAATATTTTATACTAAATTAAAATAAATAATTTAATTATTAATAATATAAAGAAATATATTAAAAACTAAGAAAATAAATATTACAGCCTGACCCAAAGACAAGGTACATTGGGAATATACCACGGAAGAACACTTTACCCGAAGGACTAATTAGCGCAGGAGCAACGAGCTTATCGTAAGCCACCCTAGATGGATTACTTGTGAAATGGTGATCCTATACTTAGGCTTACGATCCTAAGAGTAAGCTACTAGGAACGACTGGATATATAAGATTCGATTCTCTACGCTCTTTAGATAACTTAGATAGACAGTTGTTAATAAAGCATTAAGATTGAATATAGACTAAATCTTTATTATATCTTACTTACTTTGTAATTACATTTACTTAAAGCTACTTCCTGTCCTCTCTGTGTTACGAGCCAACGCATTTATGGTCGCAACAATAGGCCTACAGGGTAGGCACCCCGGAACTATGACGGACCGAAGGACCAATCATAGTACGGCTCACGCAGCAGCGAGTGAGCCAAAGTGAGCCGCTTCCAATTTAGGAAACCAGCTCACTCTAAGTCAAGTGAGCTCGAGTGAGCCTCATACTATATATTCATTTCACAACGCTCGTTTAGAATAGTTTAGATAGCCAGTTGTAAATACAGAACAACGCTTGATTATACCTACAAAGTATCATCTACTAGTTGTGTGAACAAACCCCCTTTTATCCTTGTTGATTGCCCGCCAGTCCAGCCTGGCCTATCCGCCAACATAAACCTAGCACAAGGTTTATCCCTTAGGAATTCCTCTTATACTAACACTATAGGAGCTCAGCTTGTCACACTCTGCTAATATAAACTAATTAACCTTGGCTTATTACCTTAGGAACTTACCCTATACTATTTAAGTATTAGGTCGGGACGTTATAATAAATAATATTTAAAAAGTATTTTTATAAATACTAAATACCTAATATTAAATAAATTTATTTAAGTACTAAAAGATTTATAAAGTAAAGTATCACGACCTAACCCTTAAGGTCGCAACAATAGGCTAACAGGCTAGCCTAGACCGGATTAACTTTAATCCTTTAACTAATTAAAAAAGGATTAAAATATAACTTCTTAATCTAACAGCAGATTAATAATTTATTTATTAATTTAAGGAAGGATTAATATTTTATTTATTAATTTAGTTTAGGCTAACTAAGTATATAAATTTACTTTATATTACTTATTAAAATACTTAAATAATTAATTATTACTATAGCGTTTATAATATAATTAAATTAAAATATAAATATTTACTTTTATTTATATTATTAGTTAATAATAAGATTACCTATTACTAACTTAATTACTCCGCTAATATAAACTATAGAATTACTTTAAGGTTTATTCTTTAAGAATAACTAACTTATACTAACCTATAGGTATTAGTTTATTATATAGTAATAACTTTTATTTAAATAATTACCTTAAACCTATAAGTAATAAAATACTAAAAACTTAGTAGTTTATAAGCTTTAAAGTTTTAAATAATAATACTAATTATAAAAGTAAAGTTTAAAATAATTATAATAGTAATATTAAGCTTAAAAATATATTAATTAAAAATATAGTTAATTAAGCTAATTATAATAAATTAAAGGTTAAATTTAAAGTTTTTAAAATATAACTTTAGAATTTTTAAAATAAAAAAAAGGAAAAAGGTAAGGTTTTTAAATTAATAAAATCTAAACCTTTTAATAAAAATTTATATAAAATAAATAATTTTTTTTTAAAATTTATTATTTATTTTAAATATTTTTTTTTATATTTTAAAAAATAATAAAAATAAAGTTATTTTTATAAATAATTATTTTATAAAAAATATTAAAATATAATTCTAATTTATTATATAAAATTATAAAGAAAAAAAATTAACTTAAAAAAACTTAAAATATAAACTAAAGAAATTTATATTAAGTATATAGAATTTTAAAAATAACTTAGGAAATTCTTTAGTATTATAAATAAATAATAAAAGGTTAAGTAAGAATTTTATTTTATTATTTAAAAAGGACTACTAAGTAAGTATACTTTAACTTTTTTATATTTATTAATTAAAGTTAATTAAACTAAGGAAATAAAAAAGGAAGTTTATTATAATAATATAAAACCTAAAGTTAAAAATAAATTTTTTAAAATTAATTATAAAAAAGTAACTTTTATTAATTATATTTAAAAAGTTATTAAAATTAATAATTATAATTAAAAATAATAAAAAAAGTAAAAGTAAAAAAAAACTAAAAACTTTTATAATATTTAACTTAAGTAAATTTAAAAATACTAAGTTAATTAAGGAAAAAAGTAAAATAATTATATTACTTTTTTTAATAATAAATAATTAAAATTAATAAACTTTAGTATTATTAAAGTATAATAAAAAAATATTAAATACTATAATTATAAAAAAATATATATATATATAAAAATATTATTAAATACTTAAAAAAGATAATA